TACATTATTTTTAATATAGCATGTTATAAATACACAATATAACGTGAATTTTTCAAAAAAATGAATCAGCCCGTTATATATTGTGAATATTAATATCAGATACATGCAATTAAAAAAAAAAAAAATTATAATATTTTAAACTTGCTTGAGCCCATCTTTTAACTCAGGACGTACTTCCAGATATTTATACGATTTAAAATGTAGCTGCAGAGATATAATATATATTAGTTAATTGTTCTTTAATATTATAAATCTTGATTACTAAGATATTAGCTAATTGGAAAAGTTTCCATAATGGTTACCATGAGTCCTCACAGGGCATCAGCTTCGGTTGTATAGTGTAGTGGTTATCACTTTCGGTTTTGATCCGGACAACCCCGGTTCGAATCCGGGTACGACCTGACAACCTACTTGTCATTTTTTTGCCCGCAATTCCTATTTTTTTGCCATAAAAATCCTTGCTTTGGACTTAAAATATATTTTTATCTTTAAGGAGTTGTTATTAAAGTGTCTTTTCACTGTTTCAGCTTGTCTTTGTGGCTGTTCAGCGTGTTTTGCCAGTCTGCCAAATTTCACGTGCAATAGGAAAGATAAGCCAGGTTAGAACTTCCTAAACGAGAGGCGAAGAACCATTCAACTACTGTACTTTGGTTCAAGAAAACCTTCCCATGTCATCTAGTTGGTTTATGAGAAAGTATTTGCAAGCAGTAAATTTTGTGACTTGTGAATATTTGCTCCAAGAAATAAGATAGGATCAAGTATGAATGAAAACAGCGATCCAAATAAAAAGAAGAGAACAAGATCAAGGTTCGGTTGTCGAAATTGTAAGCGTTTGAAAGTGAAGTGCGATGAAATTAAACCATCCTGTTCATTATGCCTGAAATCGAATAAAGAATGTGATTATTCAATACAACTGACATGGGGTGGACGGCCATTCAAGAAGAAGAAGGTCAACAACTACGGCTTTGCGACCATAAGTACATTTCAGCAAGAGTTTGTCACCGAGACCAAGAAGAGTAAGTCCAAATCACCAACACCTCAATCCAGTAAAGTACTTCCAGAGATACAGATACAAACTCAAGAGTCTTTCATAGTGAATTTAGAGGCTAATGCTAAAGAAAAGGCAAATACAAGGGATCAACAACCAAAGCAGCCACAACAGATACAGATACAAAGATCCAACATCACTCCTTCAACAACTCAACCCTCGCTTGACACGTCCACACCATTTCCAAATACTATAGAGCCAGTGAGGTCGGACTATATATCGGAGGGAAACTCAAGAACAGCTCCAGATATACCAGCTAAATTTGATTTCCAAGCATCAGAGATTTTCCGTGATATAGAGACTACAAATATTGCAGCAAAAGATTTTCTCAATGACTGCATTATACCAGAACTTGAAACATTTGGAAACAAGTATGATGTGTATGCTGCTGAGCTCAGTCCTCGTATAAAAGAGTTGGAGGAAAATTACGAAGATTTATTAGACGAGGAATCGTTAGTTACTAGAAGTTTATTCTCTAGCGTTTCACAAGATCAAGATAGTGAAAATGATAACCATGCATTAGTTGTCTCTACTCCAACAAATAACCAAACCCAAGATATGCTCACTGGCTATGAATTTATCCCATTTTCAATTGTTCCATTACCTGATATGTTATTGAAAGTTCCTTATTTTAGAGAAAATTACCACGCCTATGTGGAAATATATTCCAAAATGATTGTTCCTGCTCCTCCATCCACATATGAAGATAACCCATTGACTTGTATTGTACCAAGAATGTCTTTGACTTCATCTACTGACGGTATGCTATCGGTTTTGATTGCATCAAGTATCGTTCAAGGAAGTCACTATCGGGGAGAAAACTATCCACAAGAAATTGTTAATATGCTAATCAAAAGGGCCCTGAATGATCTTTATGAGAGACTTACAGATGAACAAGAAGCAGAATCAGACTACACACTGGCATTGATTATGATTTTAGCATGTTTTGAAATAACTTGCAGTGAAAAATACGATTGGAGGTCTCATTATTATGGTGCTCGAAGAATTATTTTATCCAGAGGTTTAATCAAATCAAGTGATGATACAGGATCTGCTAATCGTAAGATTGTTGGGTTTGATTTGAGTGAAGAGTCTGATGTTACTTATTTTTTTGCTCGTTGGTTTGCTTATACTGATGTTATTGGATCGTTATCATCTTCATCATTATTGAATAAAACATTTAACGGGAACGAGACACATTTAATTTGGGAAGCTCCTGAAATAACACAGAAAGATAAGTTAAATTTGAAAGATATTGATCCTTTTATGGGATTCGACCTTAGATTGTTGAAATATTTTGCAGAGATTGTTAATCTAGTGAAGGAACGTGAAAGAAATTGTCCAACTGTTGATTTTTTATCAGCAACATTGATAAGGAAAGCTCTAGAAATCAAAGAAAGCATGTCCAAGTTTTTGACTGAATCAGAAGTTGAAAGGACTCAAGTTTTGAAAGATATCAAAGAACAAGGTGATGAGAAAAGACTAAGTTTTTTGGAGCGTTACACAATACTAAAGGCAACGAACCGTTGTTTCGCTTTAGCTGGTATTTTGCAAATTTATAGAAGAATATTGTTAATGCCAGCTGCTTCAACATTGGTTCAAGAATTAATTTCAGAGATCACCACAGTTTTCAAAAATGATATTCCAGTGGGGACACCTGCAGCTTGTTGTACCATTTTTTCTCTATTCACCTCAGGCTGTGATGCTATAGATAAAGAAACCAGGGCATTTTATGAAGAAAGAGTTTTGCTTTTAGCCAAAGATGGGTTTACATTTGGAAATACAGCATATCAACTAATGATTGAATGTTGGAGTACTGGAAAATACTGGGCTGATCTAATTACAGAAATGGATATTGATCTAACTTTTGTCTAAATGCAGGTCATTAAATTGAGTTCAGTCGTTATATAGTATATATTCATGCAAGAAATTTATGATTGAGTAACGTTTGTGCTGATGGACGTTCCTTGTAGTTCCAGATCAATGCTGAATTTAAAAAATCAACAAATTGTGGTTGCGTTTCCTTCAAATCTTTTAAATAATTTTTATCAGTTGGGCTTTGGTCAATTCTTAAGCCCTTATACTTGCCCTTTTCATCAAATTTTGTGAATATAAAGACTCTTTTGTCAACAAGTTTAGGGTCCCCTTTCTTATTAATGGATCCATATTTCAAAACTTCGTTTCTCATAGTTAAAATTGTATCAGGCGTAGGCATCCCAATGAGTTTGACAATCATACTGAAAAGTTGGCTTTCATCTCTAGCACCAAACAACGGATCACCATGGTAAAGTTCAAAAATTAGAGCTATAAATGACCAGATATCAATTTTTTCATTATAGCGACACCCCAAGAGAATTTCAGGAGCTCTATAATATCTTGATTGGATATAAGGATAAGAAACATCTCCAATAGCCGATGAAGAGCCAAAATCAATTATCTTTATATCTAGAGAGTATGAATCAACCAACATGATATTTTCCGGCTTTAAATCAGCATGAACAAAACCTTGTTTATGAATAAAATCTAATCCACTTAGTAAACCTTTAGACCATTTCCGTATGATCGAGATATCAAAACCATTAAACTTTGTAGCTTCCAGAGCTTCAAAGAGGTTAACACCTAGTAGCTCTGTTGAAATACAGATATGTGATCTAAAATTGAAATGCCCATAATACGCTAAAAGATTCTCATGTTTCATTTTCTTCAAAATTTTGATTTCGTTAATACATTGTAATGACCAGGTGATATCATTTTTCATGATTTTGATTGAGACATCTGTTCCTGTTTTGTGATCATAACATTTCATAACATTACCAAACATCCCTTTACCCAATTTCGATATTACTTGATACCTATAGTTGATGTGATCTCCAGTTTCAACTATGAGGTTTTTCTCACCATCATCAAAGCCAAAATTCCCACTAAAATCACGTAAATTTGAATTCTTTGATCTCTTGTGTCCTATGAAGTAAACCTCATGATTTTTCAAGATTTCTGCTTTTTCATAAGAGCTCATTGTCTTTGTTTGAATTACCTCATATGGATCCTGTGGTGATTGTTTTTCAATAAGTTCACCACCATTGGTTTGCAAAATGTTTCGAGTCTTTTCAAATCTCAACAAACAGTCTTTGAGCTCACTTACTGTTGTGATTTTTTTGTGCTTTTCACCCAATGAAGAAGATGTACGAATTGTTGATATTAGTCTTGGCTTTTGATAAGAAGGTATTCTGTTTGTTTTCAAAGGAACAGAATTATTGCTTGGTTTTGTCAAATCTTGTAGGCCAACATTGACACTAAATGATTTTGTCATTTTGGATCTCCTTTTGGGTATAATCAGCTTTTCATTCGGCTGTTCTTTTTGAATCAAGATATTCTCTGATCTTTGAAGTTTAGCCTTTGTAGCTTTTGTTTCAATTGCAGTTGAAGTGCTATTCGACATAATTCTTGATGATGACAGTGATGGTTTTCGTGTTGTTGGGGTGATATTTGAGACACTCCTTACCCTTGTATTCAGATCTGAAATAGTAGAAGATCTGGGTAGCTTTGCAGTTGACTTGAGATTTGGTGCAGTAGTGGAACGTGTTAATCTTGTAAGTAGAGGTGAATTGTCATATGGATCTTGTTTTGGTTTGGTTGGCCTCAAAATAGGATGATTTTCCTTGGACCGCTGAGAAGTAATTACCATAGGACTATTCAAAGAGACTGATCTCATTGATTTCGAATGTGATATAACTCTTTTTGGTTTTGATGGAGAGCTTGAATTAGCAGCAAGATTATTTTGCACTCTCGATTTCAGCAGCATTGAAGTTCTATTGCCAAGATAGGGAGACGGTGTAGGATGCTGTTGCTCCTTCGGTAATTGCTGAGCTGGTTCTTCATTTTGATGTTGTGGATCCACTTTTGTGATAGTTGTATTATCAGGCGTCGTTGTCTTCAACTTATCATCAATTGCAATGTCGTTCACTTTTGATCTTTTCTTGGAAGGCGAAACAAGACTTAAAGTAGATAATTGGTGCGCTAATTTTGTAAGTGTAGATGGTGGTGTGGGTATTGTCTCATCGAATTTATTTGATTTTGGGGTTGACATGTTTGAATCTTTATTAATGATTGGTGTCAAAGTTTTTCGTTCCAAGCTTGTTGCAACTAGAGGCGAAGATGTGATTCTGGGTATTGATGACTTTTTAACATTTCCCAAAGTTGAATCATCCAGAGGTTCTATTGGAACTGATACTTGTCTATTTTTGATTGGTATTTTGGAAGCTGAATTGGAGTTTTTGGTGTAGTATGAAATATTTTCCTTGTTTTGTCGCGTCTTCAGCATGATGGAAGGTGATTGATCTTCATTTTTGGGTACCATGATCACGTGCCATTTGAATTGTGAACCTCAGTAAAGAATTTTCTTATGGACGTAACAAAGTGGTGTATGTGTACAGCGTTGTAAGTTAATTAATACCCTATACACTGGGCGCCAGGTACAAATGAATTGAACCTTCGTTCTGTTTTGATTTCACAATGCTACGCGCACGCTTGTTTTTGGCAGATTTCACGGGCGGGTAAAGTTCGCGAATGCCAATTAGTTTTTCAAAGATTGAAAAAAATGGCCGAGGTTCAAAAACTACCACCAAATTCATGGTGGATTTATAGCACAGAGATTAGTTCCAAGCTAGATCCAATATGGGAAGACTAAGTAGAAAGTCACCAGAAGCAACGGAGATGGTATCGCTAGACACGTTGGGAACAAGAGATGTTCTTTTGCTAAGTCAATTGGCAGAAGAGTACGGATCAAACAACTTGTCCAAGATCCACCAACAATTCATCAACCACCCAGCTTTCAAGCTATCTCATAGCAAATTGGATGGAACTGAACTTGAACTCACTGAAGAACAAACCGGTCACTTACTACAGGAACTGCTAGAACGCCACCCAGGACTCAAGATCGTGTCTGTTTGTGAGCATTATTACAATTTGCGTTTGCAAGAGCTGATGGCAGAAATACGTGACACCAAGCAGGCGTTTGAGCAGGTGAAAGGATGATGATCCCCACATATGGGTTTGATGCTTTATAAAGTTGACAGCGTTTCTTCGTTTCTGGCTCTGATTCCAACGGATTAATCAACATCTACAACAATGTCACTTGCACTGGGAAACAAAGGATTCGATTACAGAGCGCTTGGGAAGTTCTACAGCAGGAACAAGAACTCCATCTTGAAGGCATCGTATCTCTTATTGTTGTTTCTGAGCTTCAACACTTCTAGACCATCTAGAAAGAAGAGTACTGAAAAAGTTGATGAAGCAAAAGAGACTGAAATTAAAAAGAAAACCAAGCTTGATAATGCTACCGTAAAAAGAATCATGAAAGCTATCATTCCAGATTTCAAATCACCTGTTATTTTCTACTTTATTTTACAATTATTATTGCTTGCAGCTAGAGCTGTGTTGACGTTGAAAGTTGCCGCTCTAGATGGTTTATTAGTGAGCTCAATGATTAGAAAAAAGACTTCAAAGTTCTTACAATTGTTAGTTAAATGGATGCTATTAGGTATACCTGCTTCCTTCACAAATTCATTTCTTGATTTTACAACAAACCAATTAGCTCTCAACATTAACAAAAATTTAACCAATAATCTATTAGAATTATATCTGCCAAGTGAAAAGAAACATGAAGAAACATTAGTTAAGAAGAACCCAAATTATTACACTTTGATCCATATGTCTTCAGATGATAAAGTTGACGATCCAAATCAAAGAATAACAACTGATGTGAATAATTTATCCTCAGCGTTGGCAAGTTTACCGAATCATTTGTTAAAGCCATCGCTAGATCTTATCTTATGTTCTTTTGAATTGGCTAAATCAGGTTCAGCTGAAGGTACCTTAATTTTAGGTGTTATTGCTCATTTGACTTCGTTACTTTTGAAAATATTATCACCAAATTTCACTAAAATTGCCATTGAAAGATCAAGACTTGAAGGTTTATTAAGAAGTTTACATTCAAGAGTTGTTTTGTTCAGTGAAGAGGTTGGATTTTTAAGAGGTCATTCAAGAGAATTGGACATTTTGGATAGATCTTATTATGAATTAGAAAAGTTTACAAATTATGAAATTAGAGCTAGGGCAGTTTATGATACTGCAACTTCTTTTATTGTCAAATATACTTGGGGTGCTGCTGGGTTAGTTTTATGTTCAACTCCAATCTTTTTGAATAAATTTGCAGGCATAATTGATCATAACAGTTCCGCTACTTTTATTACCAATCGTCGTTTATTGTTATCAGCTTCTTCTTCGTTAGGTATGTTGATTCGTTCAAGAAAAGAGATTCAACAAGTTGTGGGTTATTTCAAGAGACTTACAGAGTTCAAGAAAACTTTAATCGAAATTGATACAGCTGCTGCTTCAACTGAATCTTCAACTAAGGGAGTTGTGAAATATGATGATAATAAAATTGAATTTAAAGATATTCCATTAATTACACCTGCAAAGATTACTTTAGCAGAATCATTATCTTTTACTATTAATCATGGTGATCATTTGTTAATTGCAGGTCCAAATGGTTGTGGTAAATCTTCATTATTTAGAATTTTGGGTGGTTTATGGCCTGTAACAAAAGGTGAATTAACAATTCCTCATTTTGAAAATGTGTTTTATCTTCCACAAAGGGCTTATTTAAGCAAATCATCATTGAAGGATCAAATAATTTATCCAAGTACAGAATACAAGTACAAGACAAATAAAGAATTACTTGAGATTTTGGAAGTTTTAGACTTGAAGTTTTTACTACATGAAAATATTGCATTGGAATTATCCAAGAATCCTTATTTAGAGGTTAAAGATATTGACCCTTTTGCAACTATTAGAAATTGGCCAGAAGAACTATCAATTGGTGTTCAACAAAGATTGGCAATGTCAAGATTATATTATCATAAACCAAGATTTGCAGTCTTAGATGAATGTACTTCTGCTGTTTCTCCACAAATGGAACAGTTGATGTATGCACATGCTCAATCGTTAGGAATTTCTGTTTTATCAGTTGCTCATAGATCTTCATTGTGGCATTTCCATAACTATATTTTAAAATTCAAAGGTGATGGTACTTATTCTTTCACTAAACTAGATGCTAAGCAAAGATTAGAATGGGAAAATGAATTAATTGAATTGAATAAATTTTTAAGAGATGTTCCAAGCTTAGAATCAAGATTAAAAGATTTGAGAATTGCGCAGGAATCTCAAGAATTCAAGAGAACACAATCACAGTTGAGCATGAGAAAACTGTCAAGTGCTCAATTGGCCCATTGAAATACTATTTATAGCTTCTATTTGTTTATAAACTTATGCGTTATGAGATTCGGTTTGAACTTATGTAGTTTGAGCGTGTGGTGTTTGGATGTAGCGCTGCCCTAATTAATTTTTTCATTTTCGCTGGTGAAGTTTGAAGGTTAAAAAAAAATTTCAACCAGGTCCTTTTAACTTCTTTCGTAATATACACTCAAAAGTCAAGTGACACGAAGAGTAAGTTCATTGTTTAAATGCAAATGAAAAAGGTCTCTAGTATTTTAGGTGATGATACAAATTAATATGCATAGTTCAACTGATATTAACTGAAGAAAAACTTAACCATCGTCTTTCGCTCCTATCTGATTCATAAAAATACAGAAAGATTCTTTATTCATTAGATCAATGATTTTTTGAAGAATACTAACAAGTATACAGCTAGAGGTATTATTCATATTTCTAATACATATATTTTTTATATCAATGCAATTGTAAAAATCATAAATTCATTCAGGCTTCAAGGCGTACATTCTAACGGCAAATAATTCTTTTGGTAAACCTCTTTGTAATTCAGTAGCTATTAGTTTCAACCCAGCTTTTTTAAAAAGTTTTTGGAAATTAGCATTAGATCTAGTGACAGAACTATCAGTTTCATCAAATACATCATCTCCTTGAGCATTGTTTTCTTTGACAACAATAGTACCATTTGGTTGAAGGCCATTTTTACACCTTATCAAAAATTCTATAAATTCTTTATCAGGTAAATGACCAACGCACCATTGACACCAGACCAACCAATATTTACCTTCTTCTGGAATGAACTCTTGCATACCAATGTCATAAATTTCACCTAACTTTCCTTCATCTTTTAACGGCTTTAATTCTTGGTGGATCTGTTCAACAAATGGTTTAACAGGTTCAACCAAATCAACTTTATCACTAAACTTGTGTAACATATCTCTGGTGACACGACCAATACCAGCACCTATATCCACTGAATATTTGATTTGACCTTTTTCTGGAGTCATTCTTGCCTTCAATTTACGTAGAAATGTTGATGACCCTACAACATCAGCTTTTGGTACAGAGGTTCCTTCACCATATCCACCAAGGACACCATCAACTGTGGCAGGGATCGAAGTCCAATAGTCTATAGCGTCATTGTAGTCTATGAGAGCATCTGCCCGATTGTCTTCAGCTTCACTCATTGTTCTTTGTTTGAGTTAACAGTTTCAGCCTTGAATCATGTTTATACACTGGGTTTGAATTTTTTTTGCAGACCACACGGAAAAGAAGCCAAAACGGATTATCGTATAATAATTCAAGCTCAGTCAATGGGCACCAATTACTGATCAATAACAGAAAATTTCACCACTCTATAGCCTTTATAATCATTCAAAATAGCTCATATCAAATGAACTAGATCACCAAACATTCTCTTCATTAATCCCTTTTCATTGTTTTAACCGTGGAAGCAAGATGCTGACATAATCACAGCCATTTTTCAGATTTTTCCAGTTATCAAAAGCGTCGACGTACTTTGATTATATGGCGACAACCCTGTGACACACCTCCATCTCCTACTTCTCAGCTCTTCAATCTACATTCCAAGATGAGTGGATGTAAGTGGTCTTTTCAATGGAATCATCTTATTTACCGAAACTGAAGAATACTAACAGATTGGATCTCCATAGTTCGTCTTATTGACTTGGCCAAACCTTTTCTACCTCTTCTACCAGAGATTGAGTTACCTTTGGAACAAGTGAGTATTCTATATGTGCTTTGAATCCAGGCTTTCAATTCTAACAATATTCAGTTAACTTTTGATGATAAAGTTATTTACACCATCGGTACTGCTTTCTTGTACCTATTTGCTCAATTACCAGTTTATGGTGACTCTAAAATAAGCAATGACCCAATCTATTTCTTACGTCCAGTTTTTGGTGCTGAAAAGGGTACATTATTGGAATTTGGCGTCTTTCCAATCATTTCAAGTGGATTGATCTTCCAATTATTGGCCGGTTTAAGATTAATTAAAGTCAATTTCAACCAAAGAGGTGACAGAGAATTGTTTCAAACTTTACAAAAAGTTTTCACCATTTTCCAATATTTCGTTTTGACTAATTTGTTTTTATTCACTGGTTACTTTGGATATAACTTAACATTCTGGCAATACATTTTAATCAACTTACAATTGGTTGGTACTGGTTTTGTTTTCACTTTAGTCTCTGAAATCATTGATAAAGGTTATGGTTTTGGTTCAGGTGCTTTGACTTTTGTTACTGTTAACATCTCCACTAACTTTGTTGGTGATGTTATTGGATTAAACAGTGTCAAAACTACAAGAGGTTTCGAGTCTGTTGGTGCTTTAATCAACTTGGTCAAAAACTTACGTAACAAGCCATTCAAAAATGCTATTGTTGAAGCATTCACCAGAAGTTATCTACCAAATCTTTCCCAAGTTTACATCACCACAGCAACTTTATTATTCTGTATCTACTTACAAAATTTTAGATTAGAATTGCCAATCAGATCAAACAGAGTTAGATCAGTCAATAACGTTTATCCAATCAGATTACTATACACTGGTTCTTTACCATTGTTGTTCTCATACGTTGTTTTATTCTACATCAACATTTTTGGTTATTCAATTGTTCAATTGGTTTTCAAAAATGATCCAAATCAAGTTGCAGTTAAAATCATTGGTCATTATGTTACTACTGGTTTCAACTCAAACTTTTTTGTTGAAAAACCATCAATTCTTTACTTCTTTGCTCCATCAAAAGGTTTATTCGATTCATTAATCTCCCCATTGAAAACTTTAGTGTTCTTTGGTACTGTCTTGGTTACATCAGCTTGGTTTGCAAATATTTGGTGTTCTATTTCTGGTTCAGCCCCAAGAGATTTAGCAAATCAATTTAAAGAACAAGGTATTTCAATTGCTGGTCGTAGAGATGTTTCAATCTCAAAAGAGTTACAAAGAGTTATCCCTGTTGCTGCCGTTTCAGGTGCTGCTGTTTTAGCTTCACTATCTCAAGTTGGTGAAATTTTTGGTACTGATGGTAAAAATGCTGCTATTATTGTCGCAATTGGTGCAGCTTTCGGTTTCTTGGAACTTATTGCAACTGATTTCCAACAAAGTGGTGGTTCCCAAAATTTTGGCTCAATTTTTGGCCAATAAGATCAATTTTAGAGCTTGATCAGTAATTTCAAAATTGAAGAATAGTAATAGAAAATTAAAAAAAAAAGAACAAAACACGCCAACACACATTCAAATAACAATGATAAATTGAAAAACAATTTTGAATTCATGTACTAATGAAAAAAAAAATTAAAGAAAACTCAGAACCTTTTTCTAATGAAAAATCATAGTTTTGAGTATCATAGGATTCAAGTTTTTTTTGTATTAATGTTTCCATTCATTTCAATGTTTGAGTTGTAGCACATTTAACATAACCTGCATCAAAGTAAATAATAATAACTTTACATTGCCAATTGGTGCTCTTCACTAAACCTTGAATGGCTCAGTAGTTTGACAATTATGAAATTGGAAATTGGCGTACGTCTTTGTTTCAGTTGTTCCAGAATCAAGCTTTCGCTTATTGTTGAAAAAATCGCGAATGCCAATCAGAGAAGAAAAGACCATTCAAAGGCTAAAACTGTTCCTTAAAAACCCACCGACCAACAAAAGACTCCCAACCTAGTTGATCAAAAGATGAGAGATATCTTAGCAATTACCGTATTGATGTTGAAAGGTTAACTTTACTGGCTATTTGGTACACGTTTTGTTTTGGTGAAGATGTCCAGTACTCAACGATCCGCCGCTGATTATTGATGCTTGTAAGGTTCAATTATCATATAAAGGTAATGAATCCTCTAGAAGTGAGCTTCAGTATTTAGTTATTAGAAGTATAGGACGCGTGTTACCAATGTTGAACTTACTCAAACTCTCGCTTATTGCTGGTTCGGCTGCTGCTTACACCATTGAACATGGTAAACACCATTGGAAAAACTCAACTGTTTCATCAGCTTCATCATTGTTTTCATCTTCAAGCTTAGAATCATCTTCTGAAAGTGACTCTACAATCACTTCAACAATTTATGAACCTTCAACTTTTTACCCTTCAACTTGGTCATCAAGTTCAAGTTCAAGTTTTGAAAGTGACTCAACCATCACTTCAACTCTTTTCAGTACCAGCACTCTGGAAACTGATTCTTCTGTTGAAACTACATCAATTTCAAGATCAGTTGTTGAACCATCTTCTACTGTCAATGTTACTTCAACAGAACCAACTTCTGAGATTGACAGCACAATCACAACTGTCATTCAATCCACTTCAACCATTTACTCAACTTCAGTTGTTAATGGTACTACCGTGACTGCTACTGAACCGTGCTCAACTGTTGTCTCTGAGGTCACTAGCACTATTACCCATCACCCAAAAAGCCATGGAACCACTGTTACTGAAAAGCCAACTACTGAGGTGAAGACTAGTGAAGTTGAGAGTACTATTACTACTGTTGTTTTATCAACATCAACATTTTACCCAACCACTGTTGTCAGCGGAACTACTGTTACTATTACAGAATCATGTTCCACTGTTGTTTCTGAAGTTACAACCACATTGGCTCCACACAAAACCACAGTCACTGAAGTTCATACTCCATCAAAGCCTGTTGAATCCACTACAGAAACTCATCACCCAGAAACCCAAGAAACTACCGAAGCTCACACCCCTGAACATAAAGGTACTACTGAAGTTCACCCAACTGAAACTGAAGTTCATCACAGTACTGAAGAGCATACTGAAACTGCTAAAACTGAAAAGACTTTCAGTACTATCCAAGTTACATCCCAACCAGCTTTTCCAACTGTTCATGTTTCTTCTACTTTTAAAGGTTTCCATAATTCCACAATGATGCCAACTGGATTTCAAAACCAAACATCAACTACTGGATTTCACAATGCAACTGTCCCACATCCTGGTCCAACTGGTACCACAATTACAAAACCTCACACTTCAACACATTACATTACTGAATGTGAAACCAAGGGACATACTACCGTTGAAACCTTGAGCACCATGGAAAGTGGATCAGAAGTGTCTACTGTTGTTACCCACACTTTCAGCTCAGTTGAAAGCACTGTTTACCCAAGTGTCGTGACTACTGCTCAAACAATTGTCTGCACTGAGACCGTTTGTACTGAGGTTCCAAAAACAACTGCAACTCATGTTGAGACAACTCCAGTTGAATCTGCTCCTCATACCGCACCTGGAACAACTTATGAAACTACACCAATTGAAGGTCATACAACAGCAGCTCATGAAACTACACCAGTTGAAACCCATGAATCTCATGAAACCACACCAGTTGAAACCGGTCATGAATCAGTTACAGAAGGTTCTACTGTTGCTCATACTACTGGTGCTACTGAAACTGGACCACATTTTGAAACTACTGGTACTCATCCAGCCTCAACAGAAACTGGTGAGACTTCTCACGTTGAATCTGTACCAGCTACACATGAAACCCAACATGAAACCCATGCTCCATCTACTGAGGAAGAAAACTCCACTGCTTTTACCCAAGAATTTATTACTTCTACATTAGCTTCCCAAGGTCATGCTGGTTCATTGACTGCTTCTCAGCCAGGCGTTGCTACTGAAACACCAGGCGTTGGAGAGCATAATGGTACTGCTGCCCCATCTACTCTTCAACCATTTGAAGGCAATGCTGCTGCTGCTACATTACCAACAGCCTTGAGTATCTTTGCTGCTTTAACCTTTTTCTTCTAAATCATTTTCTTATGATTTTTTTTTCCATGTGTGTTGAAATTTCTTGACATGCTTAACTGTTTCAATTTCTTTATATTAATTCTACAAAAAAATATCAGATAAGAAAGTTTCTTCTTTGGCTCCTGATGATTTACAATATCTTTTTAATAAACTTCAATAATTATTCAACTATGTATAAGTGTCAATGTGTCAAATTTTTGTATCCAAGAGTTATTTGTAGTTTTTGATTTCCAGTTGTCCAAAAGTATATCTCCATCGAGTCCCTGGGGGCCATAAACAACATTTGCTGTTATATAATCCGGGTTCAAGTTACCGTACAATGATATTTCTGTGAGCTTCAACTTGATAAAAACCTTATATCCTTCAACGTTATTTGTTTCTTTCACCACAATATCTAATGTGTCACCCATAATTAACTTGACCGGCGATACTAAACCTATGAAGTAGAGTTGATCATCCAACCAGTTTAATGATTGTATTATTTTACCAATTTTGGTTAGCTGTTGTCCTATACTTAGTGATTGAGGACTGGACAAGTAACGAGTCAAATAAAACTGAGTTAAAGTTGGCAATTCTTTGGATAATATGTGATCTAAAGGTTTCGCTTCTGAATCCGATAAATCCACCTTCAGCTCAACTAAGCCATCACAGAGTCCGACAGTGACAATAGTTCCCGCTAGTTGGTGAAATTTCAAGCCTGATATTGATTGAATTGTTAAAAATGACTTTTTCAGGTGTTCAAGTCTTGACAATGGATCTCTTCCATTAGTTTCGATGAACTCTAACTTTTGGTTTACTTCTTTCTCTAAATCTTTTGAATCTTTAAGTTTATCTGAACTTTCTTGTACTTGTATCTCCAAATCATCAAATACTTTCTGCTGTGACAATGATGTATCTAAAAATTCCAGAAGTTCGTGTCTTAACGAAGTGACATCCTCACTAGATGAAGCCTCAGCTACCTCATTTTGTTTCAAATAACCTTGAAGTTGGTTATCAATCGAAAAAAATTCCTCATCGATTGTTTTCTCCAAGTTTGTCACTTCTTCTAAGACCGAGCTCAAATTAGTTGATTCCTCCTTTAGTGTTCTTAAATTGGTGTCTAAACGACTAACAAGCTCTTCTAAAAGTTGGTTTCTCCAAGTAAGCCATGAAGTTTCTGCCTGTTTATCTGATAAAGTTTTCATAAACAATAAGTGATCACTCATTTTCTTCTGTTGTTGTATATTCGTAGATTGATAATATTCACGAACCAAAGGTGGATTCTCCTCAGAAAACTCTTCATTCAAGTTATCGAATAATCTTTTTAATTCAGTCATGTTCTTTTGAAGTTCAGTGCAGCTAAACATATAAAGCTCAAGCCATGGTATGAGTGACATCTTTCCTTTTAAGTAATCAAATGTATGGATACCTGTGATGTCAAATTGTTCACTAAAAGACACCGTCAAATCGTCATTGATGTTAAGGTTGTCAAAAAATTCAATTGATAAGTCACTCAAAAACTGTTTCAAAGAGACCGGAATATACTCTTCGGTGTTTGTGACATTTTCATCATGGGAAGGTGCCAATGGTGCTTTCTCAATAGATTCCAGCGCAAAGTTAATCAGGTCCGTTCCGATAACAGACTTCCTGCTTGAGCCTTTTGATGATCTTAGTGGTGTGAATGAGCTTTTAGGTTCTTCTTGGGAACTATGATGAGCACTAACAAGTGGGAAGAATAAATCTGATTTTTTCTCTTGAGAGCTAACCTGTTGCTTATTGAGACTTTTGCGTTTCTTCTTTGGGGTCAATGAGTTGATGCGTTCCCTTAAGTTGAATGAAATTGTATCATCTTGCTTATTCTTGCCTTTAGAGGACATTGGAGAGCCAGTTTCCGAAGTATGGGATCGTGATGGCTTGAGTGGTGTTGTATGTTTAGCTTTCTTCAGATCATCTGTAGTTGATGCTTTGTGGACTTCTGGTGGAGTATTATTGATAGGCATCAATTTTGTCACATCCATTGAAACCTCTGTATCATCATTGAGAGCTGTATCTTCATCGGTTGAAGCTAGAGGTTGAGTCTTGTTGGATGAGGCACCATCAGCACCACGGTTGATTTGAGTATTGTGCATTGTTATCTTATCAGTGCTACCTTCAGCAATACTTGTGAGATCCATAGTTGTTTCCTCCATGGTTACATCATATTCTTTGGAATCATGTGCTTCAACAGCTTCTTTCTCTTTGTTGGAAATAATTACCTTACTGAATGGTTGAGTTAATTCCATTTCTTGTTCATGATCATCTTCACTGGCAGCTTCACTACCAAAAATACTCGTAATTGATCCAAACGGCCTTGATGCTGTTTCAGGTGTGTCTTTTAAGTGTTGATTTGATAGGCCTAATGGGTTACTTGACTCTTGAAGCATCATTTGCTGAATATTTCCCAGTGGCTTGGTCAAATCCATAGTATTTTCACCATCACTCTCTTCAAAGTTTTCTGTCAAGCTCATATTGTCAGAGTCACCGTCATTATGTATTTCGAATCTTGGACCCGTAGTGATTTTGTTTGGAGATGAATAAACATGACTATCATCTTCCATTTCAACATCACTGCTATCATACATTAGACCATTATCTTCCTCTTCTTCAACTTCTTGATGTTTACGCTTCTCACCTATAATGGGATGGGAACCATGTACGGGACTTTGGCTTCGACTGGATGATGGTGCAAAAGCAATAGTTTCTCTTCTTTTTGGTTGACGTTGTTCAGTTGAACTGTGTGGAACGAGTTCAATCTTATGCAAAGTAACTTCAGGGGCAAATGAAACTCTTCTTCTGTAACTAGATTTCCCTTGATTTATATTCAGTTGATTTTGGGAGTCCCTTAATGGTAATTGCATGACTGCTATGGTGTTGTTATCATCATGTCTGTTTAAGTTCTTGAGGATTCCTCTACCTAATGAATCTCTTCTGTTAGCCTTGGACTTTTGACTACCTGATTCATTGTTCTCTTTGTCATTGGATGTATCAGGATCCATTTTGTTTTGTCAGGCGACTTGTGTTTGGTTGTTGGAATGGTCTTTTGATAGTTGTGTAACCAGGTTATATCACTTTTTTGTAAACAAAACAAAACAAAACACACTTCATTTATTGGAATGTTGCCATGGCAACACAAACATTTCCATAACAAAACAAAACATTGATGTTGCGCGGGCCAATATTGCCAGAGCATTTCAGGGTAAACACAGGGAATTTCAATTAGTAGTAGTAGCAGAACATGGTACTCTGGAGTCTGGTCGCCCATTCAAAGACCTTGGGACGTTTCAGATCTGGTATAGGTAAAAAATCAGTAACAGGACGTGGCCAATATTCGAGTTTTTGTTTGTGGACCTCTTTCTGATTTTTTTTGGTGGCCGATGAGATGGTCAGGGTGCTTAACCACAAGATGATAATAATTTTTTTTTTCACTACACTGCACTTGCATAACTGTTGTCATAGAACTAGTTTGTGAATACCGCTATAATTTTCACTACCTGCTAGGACTAAAGCAAAATGAGTCTCTCACTTCTGGAGCCAGTGGAACATCATGGTCCATCCATTGCAGTCAAGTTTTATGATGATGATCTGTTACTTGTGGGACATGGCCCAATGTTGAAAATTTACAACTATAAAACTTCTGAAGTATTGAGTTCAGTTCGCATATTGAAGAAAAATAAGATCCATGGTATAGCATTTGATAGAGATACATTTATATTTTATGGTGGGCGCTCATTCAATATTCTGTCCCTCTCACAGCTTATGGAGTCGAAAGATGTTACAACCAATGAACAAATGATAAATGACTGGATTATCACTGCTGAATTCAGTTATAACGGGCTTGAAGCTTTCATATTGACCGCTCACAATGTTATTTTAAGTGTTGACTCATATTCCCAAACTTTACAATGGGAAAAATCGGTTTACGGAGAGAAATCCATTCTATATTCAGGTTCCATCAGAGTGGCATCCAAACATGATGTATATATCAACGCAGGAACTGTTATGGGTGGTGTTATTATCTGGGACCTATACAAGGAAGAAGTGGTTCATAATTTGATTGGTCACGAAGGTTCAATTTTCAATGTCCAAATGAGCTCTGATACCAAATATATAGTCAGTTGTTCTGATGATAGATCAATCAAACTTTGGGATTTCAAGTCTGGTAAATTATTATCTACAGCTTGGGGTCATACTGCCAGAATCTGGAATTTGAAATTTTATGCAAATGAAAAAGCTGTCATTAGTGTTTCGGAAGATCTGACCTCAAGAACCTGGACCATCACAGATGAAGAACAACTTGTGCCTAATGAAACATACCAGCTACATCTTGGAAGACATATATGGGGATTGGATGTCAATAAAGAAGGATCCTATGCTGCTACTGGTGGTAATGATGGCCGTGTTAGATTAGTTTCAATAGTCCCTGGCCAAACAGAAGCTGCAACAAAAGACTTTACTTTATCTGATATTACAGCCTCAACTCCTGCCTACACCCCTAAGAATAACGAGATTGTCAAAGGATTTTGGAGACTTGACTTTGGTTTAATAGTGATCACATCAGAAGGTGGTGTATTCTCATATGTCAATGATGTTTGGAGCCTGATAATGACAGAGCCAGATCTAAGAAACTTTTCATTAACCAATGGTTTGACGCATGCAAACATCATAATATTTACCAATAGCAAAGGTGACTCACTGTTTTTGAAATTTGACTCCAATGGTACAATAATCACAAAACAGTGGATCCACACTGATGTCACCAAAGTGGTGAACGCGTTGAGTACATCTTTTGAAGATAAATTTTATTTGATGATTGAATCACCAAACACAAAGGAAAAATTATTTGTCTATGAATTTGATGGCCAGTTGTCTATAACAAAAACTGTGTTCTTGGAAAAAGGCCCTACATTTGTTAGTACTTGTTTTGAAGTTAATGGTGACTTAATATTTGTTGGTTTCAGATTAAGTTCAATTGGTATTTACAAATTATCAACATCCCAAGAAGTTCAATTCATCAAGAAATTGTCTATAAGTGATACAGTTACCTCTATTAAAAGTGTTCATTCCGATGACAAACAAGCACTACTTGTTATTGGTAATCGTGATGGGTACTATGTTTACATTAAGTTCAACAAAGTGACTGGTGATTATGAATTTCTTCATTCTAATAACACAAGAAAAGGGTTTTTAGAGGGTGCCTTTGAAATTGATAATGAACTAATAATCTATGGGTTCAAATCGAGCTTCTTCTATATTTATAATGAATCAAGAGAATATGAAATTGCTTACGAGAATTGTGGTGGTGCACATAGACAATGGAAATTATTTCATTTACAAGGGTCTTATGAATTCGTTTATACAAGAAGTGGTACCTTGACCATTAGAGAAGTTCCAAAACCAGCTGTTGATTATTTCTTGAGTGAAGGTACACATGGAAGAGAAATCAGGGATATTTCAATCAGAGACAAGCCTTTAAAAGATGGGAAAATTCTCTATGTTACAGGTGCCGAAGATACAACCTTGAAGCTGTCGTCGATAGATAATGACAAAGGAAGTATTAGAAATTACTGGACATTAAGAAAGCATACATCAGGTCTACAAAAAGTCAAATTTCTTTCAGATGACCTATTAGCATCATCATCAGCTAGAGAAGAGTTTTTCATTTGGAAGCTTGATGAGAGTTTTTCTAATCCTTTATTAATTCCAACTGCATCACTTCAACCATCTGCTGACAATCCAGATTTAAGAATTATGGACTTTGATCATCTATTTGTTTATGATTCAGACGATAACATGAAAGGGTTGTTGCTGGTTAATGTTTATTCAGATTCAACTATCAAAGCTTGGTTTTTCGAACCAACCACTTCATCTTTCACTCCGGTTTTCGAAGGGCATTACAAAACATGTTGTTTACTGGATGTTAAATTGTCTATTGTGAATGATCAAGTTTTCTTATTAACTGGTGCAACTGATGGTCATTTGACTTTGTGGAATATCACAGAGAGTATTGGTTTTGAACTTGTTGAAGGCAAACTAAGATTCAAAGGAGAAATATCAAAAAGAAGCTTGCCATCTCCTGTATCTACAATATCCGTCCATCAAAATAGCATCAAAAGCTTCAGTGTTAAACAGGATAATGATGATTTGATTGTTGCTACTGGTGGGGATGATAATGGGCTGGCCATCACCACATTCAAATTTAACGGTGAAATAGTTGAAGCTGAAGTCAATTCGTTGGTTGAAGATGCAGCTTCATCCACCATTACTTCACTTGATATGGTTTCAAATGATCGCTTGATAGTTGTTTCGGTAGATCAGATCGTTAGACTTTGGAGCTTCAAAGATAAAAAACTCAAACTGCTTGATAAATTGTACACCACTGTTGCAGATACAGGATCATTGGGCACTTATCAACAAGGGGACAGACATGTTTCATTGATAGGAGGTGTTGGCCTGTCAGTGTGGGATATTAAAAACTAAATACATATAGACCTGTAATTCATGCTTACATTATAGAACAACAAGCTCAAACTTAAACCGTAATATTTTCATAATATGTAACTAAGCCAAACCTTAACAAAAATACCACTGATGCTTATATATGTACAGGAATCAAAAGAAGTAAAATTTAACCAACTAGAAACGGACTAACCTTGACGTTGTTTGTGTTTTTTGTTGGCTTTGCAGTAGACATAAGTACGTCCCTTTCTTCTCACAATCTTTAGACGGTTAGTAGATGGCCAACAGAGATAGCTTTTATCCAAGTGAAATACTCACATAACATTCATTACAAAATTTTTTGACTGATGTTCTGACTTTGAATCCTCTAGTTAAAGCTGGCTGTATAAATCCAAGAGGGGTTGTTCTAAGGGCATTTAAAGGACGAGCAGTAGCAGCTGTTGTGAAGAGTGAGCGAAACAGGGAATTCATTTTGATAGAAGACTGCCAACTTTCGATAAATTGACCTTCTTCATAAGTACTGTTGATAAATCTATGTTTTTTTTTCAATTGTGTTGAAAAACTTTTGATCCGAGCACTTTTGAAGTAAATTAACAAAATCTCAAGTTGTAGTGATAAAATGTAAAAAATTGATGAAAAAAATATCCCTGATGAATGTCAAAAGCTACTGATTAGCTTGACTCGACTTTTAGGATCAAAATGATTTTTTGGTCCTAAAAAGCTAAGTCTTTGCTCGAATATACCACCCAGAATCTCGAATGGGCCTGCCCGTACCGCTTGTTTCCCTCAAAATGTCAATCGAAAGTTGAAACCAACAACAAATGGCGTAGAAGGTTGAATTACAGAAAACATACATCTCTGACAATTCTTGATTTGTTATACGCTGGTATTGTGCTTTAGCTTCCTCAATTGCTTACTTCAATCAAAAAGAGATTAGTGACTTTTACCATAAAAATGGAGGGCTGGAATGAGGTATGTAATAAGTCTGTGATAAGATCATAACAGAGTACTAACATAGACCAACAGATAACCAGGTCCCCCGTTATAAGGCCACCAAAAAGCCCCAGTACAAAACCTGCAACAGTGTCTTGTACCGTATTTGACGAACAAAGCGATATTGTTTGGGTTGGTGACTCTTCGGTACGTTGAAAACAGAGAATTTGTTGTTTACATTCATGTACTAACTCATTGGATCAGGGGTTCATAGCATCATACACCGGTGATGTCCTCTCACCATATACACGATTCGCTGCTCATAGGAAACCTGTCAAACAGTTATTGTCCCATGTGAAAGGTATCCTGTCAATCGACGAAGATTCCATTAGGTTCACTAATAGAAGAGGGCTGATGATCTTTCAATTATCAAGCAAGGACCACCCAAGTCTTGCAAGAATAGGCACTATGGAATTCATTTCACCAAATGAACTAATGGTCACTGCAGAATCTTCATTGCTTAGACTTGATATTAACAAATCAAAAATCACCCAGGTCATACCGTATAAACATGAGATTGTTTTAATCGCATCAAGTAAGCGTTATATCGCCCTTGGGAGAACAAACGGTATGGTGGATATATTCGATCCAAAATCAAATGGTATTGTGAAAACATTCATTTCAAATTCAGGCTCTTTGTCTGATATTGATTTACAAGAGCATACTTTGGTAACGTGTGGATTCTCTCAGCGTCATGGCTCTTCTGTTCTGGATCCATTGGTTAATGTTTATGATCTTCGAGTTTTGAAACCGCTTTCACCTATTGCTTTCCCAGCCGGTGCTTCTTTTGTGAGACTTCATCCTAAGCTAGCTAGCGTTGCATTCATCGCTTCCAAAACCGGGCAGTTACAAGTGGTGGATATGTTCAACCCTACAGATGTTTCACTTTATCAGATTGATGCTGGACCTATGATTTCCAAGTTTGAACTTTCATCTACAGGTGACTTTTTAGCAATTGTGGACGCATACTCATTACTTCATTTGTGGTCACATAACCCTGAACATTCATCAATGTCATCAAAAGCGCCACTAGAATATGCAACAATGCCAGAACCAACCCCTTCAAAAGTTACAATCGATGAAGATTTCCCTTTGAATACAATCGGGTTGCCATATTACAAAGAAACCCTTTTGTCTGCTTGGCCAACTCAAACAATATTTAGAAGTGCAGGTACGATACCCAAGCCTATTGATTCATCTATCCTCCAAAGTGCACAAATTATAGATGGCATAGCTGTTGCTCCATATGATAGTGAGAAGTATGGCCCAAGAAATTTGGCAAAGAAATATGTTCCAATTATCACAAATTCAGAAGCTGGGAAATTCAAGAGTTCCAAAATTTCTAACTCTCCATCAAAAAAGAACAAAACACAAGAAAACTTATTTGAATTTAAAGAATCGGAAGAATCAAACAGTCCACCCCCAGCTTTCAGAAAACTTGAGATTCTTTATTCTAAATTTGGTGTTGATGATTTTGATTTTGACTCATACAATCAAACCCATTTCACAGGACTTGAAACTCATGTTGACAATTCCTACACAAACTCTTTGCTTCAGCTTTACAGATTTGTACCAGAAATGTTCAACTTTCTACTAGGTAATTTGGCCATTGAAAACCTGGATTCAAATTCAATTATAAGAGAGCTGGGATACTTATATGATATGATGGTGAAATCCTTTGGTCATCACCTAAGACCTACAAACTTTCAACAAACATTTTCGTCTTTACAGGATGCTAACAACTTGGGGTTAATTGAGAAGGAAAATGGAACTATAAGCAGCACAGCGAGGGATATTGGAACAAGAATAAAGCTCTTCAATAAATTTTTGCTTGATAAAATAACAAAAGATGAACTTAAAGAGGTTGCTGAAGTCTCCAGAAGTTTACAGTCATACTCAATCTTCGGTATTGAAGTTGAGAGCACGATACGCTCTTTATATACCGGAGCGATGTCAACAGATACAAGTGTTATTAATACCTTGGATGTGTTTTCACCTTTAGCCAACAGCTTCAGACCATCAATCAAAAATGGATCACAACCTTCAATCTTGTCATATATTGAATCATCGCTGAACACTGTGGAACAAAGAAGTATGCTCAATGAAATGACTGGTCATTATGAAGCAGTTGAAGTCTCTCATACTGTCAAAAGACTTCCACCTGTTCTATCGATAAACTTGCATCTGAAAAATGATGAATTGAAAGGTATAAGAAACAATAGTGACTGGCTAAAACCAACATTTTATACAGCTCCATCAAAAGGAAGATTCACGGTGGTTGAAAATATTACAAACCATGTAATGGCCAATGCGTTTGAAGAGTATTCATTGGTTGGGTTTGTTTGTGAAGTAACGGGTGAACTAGATAAGGACAAACATTTGGTGACATTTGTTCAAACGTATAATGATTTCTTACAAAAGAACGAGTGGTATTTATTCAATGATTTCCTTGTGACGGCCATCCCTCATTCTGAAGTTTTCAATCTTTCTTACTGGTGGAAAACTCCTGTTACTTTGGTTTATAGAAACACCAGAAATCTCCCTCGTTTTGACTATGCTGCTTGGAATAGAGGACTAAATGATGAAATTCTATATAGAGATCATTTTGCTTATGGCACAAGAGAAGGTAAGAAAATTGAATATGAGTTGTTGACTAGAGAGGAAGCTCCAAAACCAGGTACATTAATTGCAATAGATGCAGAGTTTGTGACATTAGAAGAAGAACAATTTGAGATCAAGAGTAATGGTCTTCGGTCAATGTTGAAACCAAGAAAACAGACATTAGCAAGAGTTTCTGTGTTGAGAGGTGACGATGGACCAAAGATGGGTGTTCCATTCATTGACGATTATGTTATTGTGGAAGAAGGCATTCACGATTATTTGACTTCATTCAGTGGTATCGAGCCTGGTGACTTAGACCCTAAAACAAGTGATAAGGCTCTAGTATCAAGGGAAACTGTTTATAGAAAGTTGTGGTTACTATTGAATCTAGGATGTGTGTTTGTTGGTCATGGTTTGACTAATGATTTTAGAACAATTAACCTTAGTGTTCCACAAAGACAGGTACGTGATACAGCTGTTTTCTTCTACAAAGGCCAAAGAATTTTATCGTTGAGATTCTTAGCTTATGTGCTTTTGGAAAAGAGGGTTCAAACAGGTAACCACGATTCTATTGAAGATGCACATACTGCTTTGCTATTATACAAAGAGTATTTGACAATCAAAGAATCTGGAGATTTGGATTATGTTTTGGATGAAATTTACAAAGAAGGACAACTTTTGAAATTCAAGCCACCAGAAGATGATTAATACATATTGGTATAATAGTTCAAGTCTATGAATTATACATAAAATTAAAAAAAAGATAAATATTAGTTTTGTTCGTAAAAATGCAAAACCATGACGACGTGTAAATGTATCATATTTATGAAAAGCAATGTTTAGCTTAGTTTTTGAACGTGTTCTTCTGGCAATCTAATAGCAGCTAAGTCAATTCTTTTGTTCTCTGGTGAGTTGTTAGCTCTATCGACAGCTCTGGTTGAAGGAGCAGCTGGTGATCTCAAAGAATTCCCCATTCCAGAAAACGATGAACTGGTTGTTTGCAGCAATGGTGGTCTTTGTGATTGTGGCACTTGTTGATACTTAAAGCCTATATTTGGTTGATTTGGACGACGATTGCCCGGAGATTCACCTTCAATCCAAAGTTTGAACAGCTTAGCTTGGAAATCGTTGCTTGGAACATGTTTGATATGTTTTGTGTTTGCCAAATTCATTTGACCTGTAGATTGAGGCTTCAGTGGTTTTACCTGAGAGCTGACTCGTTTGACCGATTCAACACATGGGTTTGAAAACCTTCTAACATTAACATACTCTCTCGATACTCTTTCAAAATCACGTCTTAATTGAGGATTGTTTGAATTATTTCCACTAGCAGAAGGCAAATCCAAAAGACTGTTTTCTCTCTGTAACCAAAGTTTTTGCTGTGTTCTAGTCTCAATATTTGAATTATTAGTCCTGAGAAATTGATCGAAATTATTTGGAGTACCAGCCGCAGAATCAAGACGACCCGGATTGCTACCTGATTCTTTGGCTCTGAAAGACATTGCAGAAGACGATTCATTTGATGAATTGTGAGTATTTGGAAGATTGTGAATTGTGAACTGTCGTAGAGAGTTCGATGAGCTTGATGTTGACTTCATATTCCCAAAATTTCCACTTATATGGTCATTTGAATGGATATACTGAAGTGTATCTTTATTATTCCTCTGTCCTATTTGATCATGGACTAATGAATTCATGAACGGCTGATCCCCAAATGCTCTTACAGCTCCTGTTGACTGTGATAAAATCATATTTTGGTAATACTGGGAGAGGCTTTCCTTGTATTGGTTAACATCTTGTGGTTGGTTTGGCTGGGCCGATGCCTTTGACTCTTGACTAGAAGATCCTGCCTTCTCCGACAGGTCATTCAAGTTTAGCTTTGAAGCCTCTGTTTCTATCCTGGTAGGATCCAACTTCAATGAATTTTCAACACTTTCTTGCAGTTTATCAACTTGAACGGGTTCTTCTGCTGGTTCAGAGGAAAATGAAGAGTTTTTAGGAACACTATTGTGGCTAAACTGTGGGGGAGCTTTGTAACTTAATTGAACTTGAGATGGAGCTTCAGGTATGTTTTCTGCTGGTTCATCATCACTAAATTCATCAACTTCCTCCTCTGACTCACTATCATTTTTCTTGTTTGTGCCATCATTCTCATCATCAGAAGAATCTTGCTCTTTATGTAATTCCAAAACAGCTTTCCCTGTACCTCTATGAACAGGTTGATGAGATCTGGTCCTTGTCAGCGGTTGTAGTGATGATAACTTAGTGAAACTCCTATTCTTCCTTCCTAGTGTTCCATCAGTACTCTTAGATCTGTTCAAAGTTGGACGTTGATGAATTTCTTCAATACTAGTTATTCTTCCCAACTTATTCAAATTTCTTCCATAAGAGGCTGATCTGGAATGTGAACGAGCCGAAAATTGTTTCGTCTTTCTTTCTTGTTGTTGCTTCCCGCTAGGCATCTTCCTTTGTTTCTGTTTCTTTTGATTGAGACTTAAACGGGCTCCACAATTATTAATCTGTTTAGCTTCTCTCAGCAGCTTTTCAAACCTTCTTTGACCTAAGTTTTCCCCTTTCTGATACTTGATGAAGCTTCTGGCAATTCTCTCACGGGATAAAGTGCGTTTTCAAGCTATATCTTTGTTGTGTTCAATAAAAAAGACTGTTTTATTCAAATACACTAGAGCGTTGTTTTTGAGCTAGAACTTTTTGCTCAATTTTAACTAGGAGGTTATTGACACGCTCAGATCTATACGCAAAATGGCAGATATCTTTTAAGGAAAATCGCGAATAGAAAAGTGCAATGTCAAACATTTCAGAGAAGGCAAAGCACATTTTAAAATCGTTCAATTATCAGCGCCAGAACAAGCAATTGGTTTAGCATGAATTTATTCGAAGTCTCTAATTTCTATCTGGGAAGGATAGTAGGCGGTGATCAACAGACTGCTCCTAAGAACGAAAACAGCGTGTTGCCAGGTTCCAGAATAAAGGTGCTTCTCCTTGATGAATACACCACACCAATCATATCATTGAATTCAACACAATCAGAGCTACTACAACATGAAATCTATTTGATCAATAGAATTGATAATTTTAACAGGGACAAAATGAGACATCTCAAATGTATCTGCTTTTTGAAACCAACTGAAGAGTCAATCAACTATTTATTGGATGAACTCCGTAATCCAAAATACTCAAGTTATGAATTATATTTCAATAATTTTGTCACAAAGACTCAATTGGAAAGACTTGCTGAAAGTGATGATTTAGAGGTTGTTACAAAAGTTGAAGAAAACTTTCAAGATTATCTAACCATCAATAACGATTTGTTTTCTCTTGAGTTAAAATCACCAAGTCATAGAATTTATGGAGATTCACTCAATTCATGGCATGGTGCTGCTTTCAATAGAACTGTCGAAGGATTAACATCATTGTTATTGTCATTGAAAGTTAGACCTGTGATTAGATATGAAGCTAATAGTAAAATGGCTGCCAAACTATCAAAAGAGTTGATGTATGGAATAGAGAAAACCAATGCTTCTTTGTTTGATTTCAAAATGAAGGATTCACCACCGTTGCTATTGATTTTGGACAGAAAGAATGACCCAATAACACCATTATTAGTGCCATGGACCTTCCAATCTATGGTGCATGAATTGATAGGAATTGAAAATAACACTGTGGATTTGTCAAATACACCAGGTATTACAGATGAATTGAAGAAGATTGTTCTTAGCGCAAAGCAAGATCCGTTTTATGAGGAGTCTATGTTTTTGAACTTTGGTGATTTAAGTGATAAAATTAAAGATTATGTTTTCCAATATAGAAATAAGACGAAGACAAATCGAACTTTGGACACAATTGAAGATATGAAAAGGTTTATTGAAGAATTTCCAGAATTCAAAAAACTATCAGGAAATGTTAGCAAACACATGACTCTAGCTTCTGAGTTGGATAGAAGAATCAATAAACTAAGATTATGGGAAGTTAGTGAACTAGAACAAAATATATCATCACATGATCAACATAATTTAGATCTTTCAGAGATTGAAAAATTGTTATTGAATAAACCAGAAGCAACGGGCAAACCACCATCTCCACCAATTTCAGAAGATTCAAAAGTTAGATTAGTGGCATTATATGCTTTAAGATATGAAACAAATTCAAATAATCAAACTAATAGATTGAAGGAAATTTTGAAGCAACAAGGAGTTCCATTATATAAGATCAATGTTATTGATTATCTGTTAAGACTATGTGGTGTTAGTCAAAGATTGGATGATGAACAAACTATTTTTGACAAGGCTACATCAAATTTAATTACAGGTTTTAAAACAAATCATCAAACAAATAATATTTATATGCAACATATTCCAAGATTGGAAACAATTTTGAGTAAAGCAGCTCGTGGGAAGCTATCTGAAAAGAATTATCCAATATTATCACCATATCAAGGGGTGTATGCTAACTTGGCGACTGAGAAAGCTCAAGATATTATCGTTTTTATAGTTGGTGGTGCAACATACGAAGAAGCTAGAATTGTTGCAGATTTGAATCAAATCAATAAGAATGTTAGAATAATATTAGGGGGTACAGCTATACATAACACTGAAACATTTATTAATGAAATTGAGGACGCTGGTTCAAGATGGCCAAAAACTACACCTGGTGAACGTTTACATTCAAGGGTCAATTAATCATTTTGTATCTCTTCATCATACATGTCTTTTTTTATGACATCACACACTTGTAATGAATTTATCATTTCTCACCTAATTTCCCGTATTTTTCTTCCCATATCAATAACTTTCTTGTCAAACCATCCATTAATTCTAAACTTCCATTATAATTTTCAAATAATTTTTCAATTTTTTCCTTGTGAACATCATCTTCAACATATTTCGTCAGCTCTGATTTATCATCTTGTTCAGTTGCAATATCAACTTGAGTACGACCAATAAATTCTAAAATAGCTGCCACTCTTTTTCTCATCTCGTTCATTGTGGTACGTTGGTTTGGAAGTCTTGGTTTTGTTGGTTTATTGAAATCAATGGTGGAATCTTTATCCTTTTGAGGTGATTTATGGTTTGTTTTGGCCTTTTTTGGACGTTTTTTAGCTTTTGTTGATGTTGATTCTGTATTGGATTCTGACTCTCCGGATACTTTACCAGCTTTAGAAGTTGACGATGGTCTTGAACCATTGTTGTCTGTAGGCCCGTTTTGTTGAATATTTGCATTCCCTGCTGAATCTGGAGCTTCTTCCGATCTTTTCCTTTTAGATGAATTTTTCTTCTCATCTTCATGGTTTTCTTCAAATTCCTTCTTCACACCATCATCTTCCTCATCGTGTGGTTCTTTATCATTTTCATCATTTTCTTCATTTTCTTCTTCTTCGCCATCTACATCATCTTTTCTTGTTTGTCTTCTTCTAGATGACCTTGAACTTCTTGATTGACTCTTTTCATCCTCTTGTTCACTTGTTGTACTTGCATCCTTTTTACTCTCCTCCATCACTCTCTGTATTAGGGCTTCATATCTTGCATCTTCTCTTGAGCTATAAGCACCCCTATCTCTTCTTTTTCTTTGTGCAGCTTCATCAAGGTCCTCTTTCTTTATTTCCTTACTTTGATGATCTTTCCCGTTTGAACTAGTAGTACCAGCACTAGCAGCTCTTCTATTTTTCCGTCTATTTAAAGCAGAAGAAGTCTCTTTTGGTTGTACTGGCAAATACTTTGTCATTTTTCTATCTGGCCTTATAATGATTGTATGAAGTTCAGGTTTGCAAATTTCACACCAGTATTTCTCTGGAACTATATCAGAAATTGAAACACAGTAACCATGTTGCCAGACAGAACATTTTTCACATTGAATGAAGAGACCATTTTCATCAGGAGGATCGGCCTGGCCACATATACAACGAGTTTCTGCTTCTTCATCATCTTCTTCATCTAATTCCTCGTCATATTGTTCTTCCTCCTCCTCCTCCTCCTCTTGTTCTTGACGAGGATTAGTCTTATCTGCGCTTCTTGTGCTTCGTAATGAGGGCATTCTTATCTCTTTGAGTTTGTGTCCGTTGTAAGTCAAATTGGGCTCTGAAGATTTAAAGATCTAGGTGAAATAATAATAAAGTCTTGATCCCTTTGACTTTGGTGGCAATTATGGATAAAACTTGCTGTGTTGATGGGTATTTACATTTCACGTTGTTTTATGGAGTTCAAAAATTGTAGTTCTTGAAAAAGAGAAACTCGGTGAAATTACCATGTAGGGAAACATTCCCAATTTGGAATTATGTGTCCCCGTCCATATGTCTGCCATTCTAAAACGTGCCACCAGCCACGGGTTTCACTGCTCCAAAAACTGTTGGCTCTGGTGGTTTTGTGGGTGATGCGGTTGATGCTGGTGAAGTGATCAAGTGTGTGAGTATTGGCTAGTGGATCACAAGAAACATTTTTTAAAATCATAAGATTTGTAGAATTGAAATAAGTACAGGGTAGAATTGTTCAGATTAAATCCGCATTCGTGGTTCCTTCGGTGGATGCTGAGATGTTGTGATGTTTATACAATCGAAGTTTGGCCGGTGCTTGATCAGTTGATGGATTGACTGAGGATTGTACTACGATGGATCTAATGAACAACACCTTGGCTGAATCCCATCCTGGACTGATCCAGAACAACCTGTCTAGCTTCCTCCAACTCTGTAACCAGTGCTCTTATTCTTTCTCTTCTCGTTGATGGAGACCGGCATCTTCGTTATTGTGCTCATCACCACCATCAACGCTATCTCTTGTATCAAGATTACATAATTCCCACCACCATCAGACGTTGTACAGAGCCAACCTACACGCCTAACTAACGTCATACTACCAGTCTAATCCAGTCTCCAATTCCAGCCTACGCTCACCATGTGTCCTCTGCCCAACACCCCTGATGCTCATATTGGTCTCGTTTGGTGGTGTCAACATGTCTTTTTAGTGCTGAGATTGTAGTTGCGTGGTGGTCACCAGCAGAAAAAAAAATTTCAACAGCAAATTGGGAAAAACCACATCAACAGCTGTGTCAAAAAAATCATATATAAATCATCCATATCACTTGTAATCGTCAAATGTACTCAATCTTAAAACTTTGAAATTTTGTTGATTTTTTCTCATTATACATTAAATACAACTCAATCTTTATCACACAATGGCTTACGAAAACTCAAAAATCGGTTGGTTAGCTTCCTTAAACGTTAGTGAAACTCCTGAATCACAATTACGTCGTACCTCAATCATTGGTACTATTGGTCCAAAAACCAACACTCCAGAAATCTTGGTTAACTTAAGAAAAGCTGGTTTAAATGTTGTTCGTATGAATTTCTCTCATGGTTCTTATGAATACCATCAATCTGTCATTGACAATGCTAGAAAATCTGAAGAATTATACCCAGGTCGTCCATTAGCTATTGCTTTAGATACTAAAGGTCCAGAAATTAGAACTGGTACCACCAGAGGTGATACTGATTACCCAATTCAACCAAACCATGAAATGATCTTCACCACTGATGAAAAATACTTGAAAGAATCTGATGATAAAATCATGTACATTGACTATAAAAACATTACCAAAGTTATTGAAAAAGGTCGTGTTATCTATGTTGATGATGGTGTTTTATCATTTGAAGTTTTAGAAGTTATTGATGAACAAACCATTAAAGTTAAATCCGTCAATGCTGGTAAAATCTCTTCTCATAAAGGTGTTAACTTACCAAACACTGATGTTGATTTACCAGCCTTATCTGAAAAAGATAAAGCTGATTTAAGATTTGGTGTTAAAAACGGTGTCCATATGGTCTTTGCTTCATTCATCAGAACCGGTGATGATATCAAAGTTATCAGAGAAGTTTTAGGTGAAGATGGTAAAGATATTAAAATCATTGCTAAAATTGAAAACCAACAAGGTGTTAACAACTTTGATGATATCTTAAAGGAAACCGATGGTGTTATGGTTGCTAGAGGTGATTTAGGTATTGAAATCCCAGCTGCTCACGTTTTAGTTGTCCAAAAACAATTGATTGCCAAATGTAACTTGGCTGGTAAACCAGTTATCTGTGCTACTCAAATGTTGGAATCCATGACTTACAACCCAAGACCAACCAGAGCTGAAGTTTCTGATGTCGGTAATGCTATCTTAGATGGTGCTGACTGTGTTATGTTGTCTGGTGAAACCGCTAAAGGTAACTACCCAATTGAAGCCGTTACTATGATGCACCACACTGCTTTAATTGCTGAAAAAGCCATTGCTTATGCTCCATTATATGATGAATTAAGAAGATTAACCAAAAGACCAGCTGGTACTGTTGAAACTGTCGCTTTAGCTGCTGTTAACGCTGCTGCTGAAAACAATGCCAAAGCTATTGTTGTCTTGTCCACTTCAGCTACTACTGCTAGATTAGTTTCTAAATACAGACCAGACTTACCAATCATCATGGTCACCAGAAACCCAAGAGCTGCTAGATTCTGTCACTTATACCGTGGTGTTTACCCATTCGTCTATGACAAAGCTCCATTAGAAAACTGGCAAGAAGATGTTGAAAAACGTTTAAGTTCCGGTATTGAAGAAGCTACTGGTTTAGGTATCTTGAACAAAGGTGACAATGTTGTCATCATCCAAGGTTGGACTAAAGGTATTGGTCACTCAAACACTGTCCGTGTTTTAAGTGCTTAAGCTGCTAGTTGTTGTTCATGATCATCATGAGCATCTCACGAAATAAGGGGTTTGGATTTTTATGTTTTTCACGATTTTTTTTTACTTAAAGCTATAAGTATAAAAATATAATGTTATTTATCGTTTCAAAATGAAAGTTATTAATAGACTATAGAATTTACTATTGTACGTAGAGTTTATTAGTCTCACATCTTGTATTTATGATCTTTGCAGTACTTGTTCACATGAGTTTCAAGATCTTCTATAATGTCAACCCACTTCTCACAAATTTGAGCGTCAATGTCTAGCTTTATTAGTAAAGTCATGGCCTCAATCAAGTTCAAACAAAACACCAAATTTTGATTCAACAACGATTCAATATAAGTCTTGTATACTTCTAGATCTTTTGAATGTGGCCCTTTATGCTTTGTATGAAGAATCCACTTTTCAACTAATCCAATAACTTCTCTGGGCCGTTTTCTTTTCTGGAATACAAGTGGTGTAGATAGCTGCTCGAAATGTTCCAAAGACAATTCATCAATTTTGCGAGTATCCGGTTCTTGTTCATTAGCTAAAGCTTTCAAATTTTCTCTGATCTTGGAGAATTCTGTCTTGTTGGCATTTTCATAAGCTTCCCACTCTTCAATAATATTTTCTCTTAAAGATGTTGGTAATTCATTCAATACCTTTTCATCATATTTCTCCAGTTTCATCGGTGATTTCGATGGTGATCTTTTAAACGGAGAAGCTCTATTGGCAGTCTTTTTAGTGGGACTCTTTCTTGGTGAGATGACACGAACATACTCGGGTTGAGAGCCATCAATAGGGAAAACTTGTTGAAGATATGACTTTCTATCTTTTTGTGGAGTTTGTGGATTGAGTGGGATTCTTCTTCTTCTTAATTCTTCTTTCAGCTCCATTTGGATTTCAATAGGTAAAGCATTGAAAACTTCTATGTCAACTTCTTTGGGGATTTCAGGTACAGGTTCATACGATTTTTCTCTTTGATCTCTAATATCTTTCTTTATACTTGAAGGTAATTCTTCCAATATTGACGAATCAACATCGCTTGGAATCAAATATTGGGTGCTTTGCACTTCTTTAACTGTTGTTACCTCGTCTTTGAACGGTGAAGAGTTTTCTAATTTTTGCTTTTTAAACGTTTCAAAATCAACCTTTTTGAATGGTAGGCGTTTTTGGTTTCCTACTTGATCTTTTGAAACTAGTTTTGCAACTGATAATGAAACACCTCTTAGCTCAAATGGATCACAACCAATGTGCCTGAATAACGACCTTGCTTCTGTACCAAACGATCTAAACTCATCTGTTGGAACTCCAAATTTCGAGCTTTTTGACAGCGCATCACATTTACCACAACCCAAGTATTTTGGTGGTTCAATTGGAGCATCCTTAGCCCTTTTAAGTATTTTCAATGTCATCTGAAGAGCGCACATATTCAATTTCGCTAAACGCTCAGACATTTCCTTACCTAGGTTGAACAAAAACGTATCAACCTGTTCAATAGTATCAAATCTAATACCCCAGTTGACATCAATTGAAACACTTTTTCTCATAAATTCTTGAGGATTTTCAGAAATATCAATGGAAGTGTCATCATTTCCTCTAGCATAATCAAACAGTTTGCTACCAGTTTTCATTCCAAAGATCTTTATCAACCTCATCTTGTCTATTTTCAACAAATCATCAACAGTGACCCTATCATTAGTCTCAGTGGAGTGAGGGTAGACCTCTTGAATTAGTTTGTTTTCAATTGCATAACCAGTGCCAGGTAAGTCTCTCACATTAATATCTCTCAAGAAATCAGTTATATCATCATGTAAATAGAATTGACCGTCTGGTTTGGCATGTCTCAATGCTAATTTAGCCAACAGAACGTTATTTGAACATCCAGTACTGACAGAACATTTGGTAATATCGAAAACTTTTGACCGAAGTTCGGAACATAATTTCTCAACACTTTCAACAGATTCAAATTCATCCACTAGAGAAGAAATATCCAATAATGCTTCATCAATAGACACAGGAAAGACACAATCAGGTTTCAAGTCAACCAAAATATTATAAAACTGTTTGGAAATCTTATCATATGTTGGAAAATCATAATCAAGACAAACCAGTTCAGGACATAGTTTTTTTGCTGATCTAACCCACATACCATTCTTAACACCATATTTACGACACACATAATTACAACTTGCAATATCAGCTGAGGAGTTCCCTTTATTTCCACCATGTGAAACACAAACTGGTGTGGTTTTAAAATCAATCTCTGGATGCTTCAAAGCCGACGCTGTTGCAAAGAAACAATCAAAATCAACGTGCATGATGACTTTTATTGATGGCTTTTCTCTTTTTTGTAACTTCTTCTCCTTTGCTTGATTTAGAGCAACAGCTAAGAATTCAGCACGAAGATCTGATTTCCAAGTACTCAAGTGATGAAGTCTTGACTTTGTAAAGAACATTTTCAAGAAATCAGGGTGTTTGGCATCAATAGCTTCATCCATCATGACATCATTGATTGGTTTTGTTTCCTCTTGTGTCAAAGGTAAAATTTCACCATTATCTTCGTTTTGTTCTTGTTCTTCGACTGTTGTATCATCCTCGACTTGTTCTTCGAATGGCAATCTTTTTTGACCATAATCAACCTTGATAACAGAGTAATCACTCCATTTCAGCTTTTTGCCTTGTTCGATACTCTCTGTTACCCATTCAGGTCTTACCACTTTATAATTTCGAAATTCAATCTCTTTTCTAGGTGTTAATCGACTAGCAATAACATGAGTAGCAGCACCTTTCGAACTCAAATGATGAATAAATTTACCACCGTATAGAATAATCAATTTATGTAAAGTTTGGATACCAGGTCTAGTATGCCCATTCACGTGAATTATGCAACCTTCAAAGAGTTTTGGCAATTCTGGGGATAAACCTTGTTCAACACGCCTTTGATGATCCCATGTTAGATATTGATCATCTTCTTCCTGTTGCGCTCTTGATTTAGCTGCAAAGTAAGTACCATAATCTCCAAAAATAATACTATTGTCCTCTTCGTCATTGATCAATTGTTCTTGAGGTTGTGCTAGTTGAAGTTCTCCGGAGGAAGGTTTTGAACTTGACGGTTCTTGAGGTGAATCTGCTTGATCACCGTCACCAACAGCCTGAGAGAGTGTGACTCCGGCAGCATCACCCAAGTCTTCTAAAATAGAAGAATCTAATATGGTTTCTTGTGCAGTTGGGTCCGGTGTCTGTTTTGGTTCTTGAGATTGATTCTTTTGACTTAGTTTATTGATGAATTCAATAAGCTCATTATCGTCCAGCGAAGTAAGAAAGCTTTGGTTTGATATCTGGGATATTTCAGGCTCATCAATATCTTCATTATTCAGTTGTGTGGAGCTCATCTATATTTCATTTTTACCCAGTGTAAAGCAGCTGGTTTGTTGCTTTAACTGAAAGGTAAATATTGGATGGCGTCTAATATTTTTGACGTGTAATTTGCAGTAGTTTCGCGAAGTAAATGTACAGTAACTTAATCGGTCATTTGCGGCCACATACAATAAAAACATGTTTAAAAAAGTATTCGTTCTTCATAAATAAACTATAAAACCAAATAATTCAAGAAAAGTCATCAATCAATAAATATAAATAAATAATAATAAATAAGTACGGTAGCTAGCAAACTAAAGAAACCAAATTTAAAAGTGGAAGCCACAATGTAAACTCTATTATTTAGCTCTACTCTTGACAGCTTTAATCAAGGATTCAACAACTTGTGGGTTCGATAAAGTACTAACATCACCTAGTTGATCCTCTTCACCAGCCAAAATCTTTCTCAAGATTCTTCTCATCAATTTACCAGATCTTGTTTTTGGTAAATCATCAACTAGAATGATTAATTTTGGTGCAGCAAATGGACCAATTTCTTTACGAACAGTCAAAATTAATTCTTTTGAAATTTCAGATTCATTTTCACCTTTAGCTTGTTCTTTTAGTGCAACAAATGCTGCAACAGCTTGTCCAGTTAATTCATCAGCATAACCAACAACAGCTGATTCGGCAACTAATGGATTTTCAATTAATGCAGCTTCAATTTCAGCAGTTGATAATCTATGACCTGAAACATTAACAACATCATCAACACGACCCAAAATCCAGAAGAATCCATCACCATCTCTTGCAGCACCATCACCAGAGAAGAAATAACCTGGATAAGGCTTCAAATAAGTATCCAAGAATCTATCATAGTTTTTCCAAATAGTTCTTGCAATTGAAGGCCATGGAGATTTAATAGCCAAGATACCTTCCACATTAGGACCTTTTAATTCTTCACCAGAAGTTGGATCTAAAATCAAAGGTTCGATACCAAAGAATGGTAATGATGCAGAACCTGGTTTTAGTGGAGTAACACCCGTAATTCCAGAAATTAATTGAGAACCAGATTCAGTCATCCACCAAGTATCCAAGATTGGGATTTCACTTTTACCAATCTTTTCGTAGTACCATTCCCAAACTTCTGCTGCAATAGGTTCACCAACAGAACCTAAAGTTCTTAAAGATGATAAATCATAACCTTCAATATAAGAATCACCAGCTCTTTTCAATAATCTTAAAGCAGTTGGTGCAACGTAAAATTGAGTAATTTTGTATTTTTGAATGATTTCCCAATAACGAGAATAAGATGGATAAGCAGGAGTACCTTCAAAGACAACAGTAGTGGCACCGTTTAATAATGGACCATAAACAACATAAGTATGACCAGTAATCCAACCAATATCACCAGCAGTAAAGAAGATATCTTCTGGATGCACATCAAAGTTGTACTTCAATGTGATTAAAGCACTAAATAAGTAACCTGCAGTTGAATGTTGGATACCTTTTGGTGAACCAGTCGAACCAGAAGTGTACAACAAAAACAATGGGTCTTCAGAATTAACAGGGACAGGAGGGAAATATGGACCATATTTCTTGATTTCTTCATGCCACCAGATATCTCTTTTGTTGTCAAATGGGATATGGTTACCAGTTCTTTTGAAAACAAGAACGTTTCTAACTTGAGGACATGATTTTAAAGCTTCATCAACAATTTTTTTAGTTTCAATAGTTTTAGAACCTCTTTTAGATTCATCTGCAGTGATAACAATCTCAGAATTAGCATCATTGATACGATCTCTTAAAGAAGCTGAACTAAAACCTGCAAAGACAACTGAATGTAAAGCACCGATACGAGTGATTGCTAATAAAGTGACAATAGCTTCAGGAATCATTGGTAAATAAACTGCAACAGTATCACCTTTTTTGACACCTAAACCATCTAAAATACCTGCAACTCTTGAAACTTCTTTTAATAATTCACCATAAGTGATTTGTCTACCTTCATTTGGCTCATCAGCTTCATAGATGATTGCAACTTTATCAGGGTTTTTAAAAGCATGTCTATCAACAGCATTATAAGAAGCATTCAATTGACCATTAACAAACCAAGAAGGAACATCATTATCTTTGAAACCTTGTGGCTCGTTTGGCCATCTAGCCTTGTCAAAAGGTCTGAACCAATCTAAATGTTCTTTAGCCAAATCACCAAAGAAAGTAGCTGGATCTTCGATAGATTGTTGATACAATTTCTTGTACTCATCTAAATTTTTGATGTAAGGTTCACCAGGTCTTTTTCTGTTATTTTTTGGAGGTTGAATAGCTTTGATATTCAACAAATGGGCGTTTTCCAATACTTTTTCAGGCATCTTGAGAGATTCAATTGATTAATTGATTGATGTACTGGTCAATCGGTTTTGTCCATCATTGTGCAAAAGGGAAAAGTTGACTTATATATATGATCATTGGTGGTTAGTATGGCTGAAAGGTTCTAACCTGAGGGCTGCCCCACAAACCGTGAATTTGACATGATCAAGGGCCTATTCCTCTAATTGAGTTTCCTTGTTTTCAACAATTGTTGGATGGTTGGCCTTTGGCGATGCTGTTGGTACCAGATTCCCCTCCAAAAAGTACAAGAAATTTTGTCAATTTTATCGTCCTTTGAAACGAAAAAAGAGTGACATTGCCCGATGCGGAAGTATTCCGCATCGGGAAGTATTTGTGGCTAGTGATCTGTATCTGTGGCTGATGGTCACGTGCAGAACTTGGAGCCTGTGGCTGGTGCCCTTGCCACGCCAAAAATAGAAAACCAATTTTCATCAAAAAAAAAAGTGTTTACGTTTCTTTGACAATACAAAACAATATCATCGTTACTGCCTTCAAATAACACATCCACTCCACTCAACTTCATCATCCACTACCATCTTTAGGAACAACCATCCATATCCATAAGCTGAAAGGAAATAACTTTTTTTGCTGTCTATTCGTTTGTTTCATCACATTCTTCAATCTGAACCGCCCTGTTTTCCAAGGATCCAACAATAATCACTTAACATTGCTAGAAATATAAATATCCATATACTACACATTCATATATAAATGCACCCAGAATGAGGTTCAATATCTGGTTTATATTCTGCTTCCTATCAGCAGTATTGTGTGAAAGAGTTATCAAAACAAGTTCTCTTTTAACATGTATGAAAAGTTCACAATTAACAGCCTCATACTTTGATGTTAGATTTTATCCATCAAATAAAACAGTGGAGTTTGATATCAAAGCTGTTACAACCATTAGTGGTGATATTGTTGCACATGCTACTTTGATCACTTATGGTATTAATGTCTTGGAAAAGGATATTGATTTCTGTCGTGATTTGAATCTAAAAGAATTATGCCCACTGAGTGCAGGTAGAATCGATGTTGATTCAAATTATCAATTAGGTGATAGTATCATCAAGATGATTCCAAATATTGCTTACACGATTCCGGATTTGGATGCTCGTGTTAAAGTTGTTGCTTATGCGAAAAATGATACAAATACACCTTTAGCTTGTGTTGAAGCTGTTTTAACCAATGGTAAAACTGTTCAAACCAAGTATGCTTCATGGCCAATTGCAGCCATTTCAGGTCTTGGTTTAATCACATCTGGTATTGTTTCAATTATTGGTCATTCCAATACTGCTGCTCATATTGCTTCAAATTCTATTTCTTTATTCGTTTATTTCCAAAATTTGGCAATTACTTCAATGATGGCTGTTAGCAGAGTCCCACCTATTGCTGCTGCTTGGGCTCAAAATTTCCAATGGTCTATGGGTATTATTAACACATCGTTCATGCAAAAGGCAATCAAATGGTATGTTCAAGCAACTGGTGGTCACTCTACTATCGTTGTCGAAAATTCAAATATTCTTTCAATCTCTGTGCAAAAAAGAGATTTCATTGAAAGTTTATTGAAAAGAGCTGCTCCAATTGCTGCTGATACAGGAATAACTTTATTGAAAAGAGCCGGTGATTCAATTGATGAATTAGATGATAGTTCTCTATACACAACAGATGAACACAACACAAATGATATCACGTCCAAGATTTTGATTTTAAGAGGTATTCAAAGAGTTGCATATTTAGCTGGTATCGAAATCTCAAATTTCTTCTTAACTGGTATTGTCTTCTTTTTATTCTTCGTCTTTGTTTTGTTGATTTGTTTAATCTTTTTCAAAGCATTAGTGGAACTATTGATTAGATCAAATATCATGAAACAACATAAATTCAATGAATTTAGACAACAGTGGGCCACAATTATCAAAGGTACGTTATTTAGACTGGCCTTGATTGCGTTACCTCAAGTGTCTTTGTTAACTTTGTGGGAATTTACTGAACGTGATTCTCCTGCAACCATTGTTGTTGCAGTGTTTTTATTATTGATTGTCTTTGGGTTATTATTATATGGTGCAACAAGAGTTATCTTGATTGGTAGAGAAAGTTCAAGATTATATAAAACACCAGCTTATCTATTATATGGTAACATGAAAATCTTGAACAGATTTGGATTCTTATATGTTCAATTCCAAGCTGATTACTATTGGTGGTTAGTTCCATTATTAGGTTATACTATTTTACGTTCAATCTTCGTTGCTTTGATTCAAGCTTATGGTAAAGCTCAAGCTTTATGTGTTTTCATTATTGAATTAGTTTATTTTGTTGCTTTATGTTGGAAAAGACCATATATGGATAAGAGAACAAATGTTTTCAACATTTTAATTCATCTTGTCAATTTTTTCAATTCTATTATGTTTTTGTTTTTTTCGAACTTGTTCAAACAACCTCAAGTTGTTTCATCAGTTTGTGCTGTTGTTTTGTTTGTTGTTAATGCTGTTTTCGCCTTGTTTTTGTTAATTTTCACAATCGTTACATGTACTTTATCATTGCTTTACAAGAACCCAGATACAAGATATCAACCAATGAAAGATGATAGAGTGTCATTCATTCCAAGAACTGAAGCTGTTGAAAAAACAAACAAAAAAGATACAGAATTATTAGCTTTAGGTGAAACTGTGTTGAAAGGTCAACAACCTCAACAATTAAATCAGATGCAAGATTCAGAATCAGATTCAGAAAGTTCAAATAAATTCCCACAATCAAGAATCCCATTCAACGGTAATGAAAGATCTCGTTCAGATTCATTGAACAGTAGCTCACAAGTTGAACCATCAAGTGCAGTCTTGGGTACAACTAACAATCTAACCAGACCGGGAATATCGTTTGCTGATACCACATATAGAGGTAATTCAAGATTTAATCTCAATGATTCAAATGAATTCGTGAACAATCCATATGAAAATCCATATGCAAGGGCAAGACAAAACAACAATGGCAGTAACAATCGTTTTTGAAGTTGTTTTAAGTGAACATTTATTATAATTATTCCCACAAGTTGTGAAGTTTATTTTTTTTTATTGTTATACTTGGCTGTTTAAGAAGTATATATTGTACATTACAATACAGAGTTTATCGTGTTTAAAAAATAACAAAAAACTGTATATTCTAAATCTATCTAAGCACTGAAAGTGTTGAACCAGTGAATTTGATCAAAAAGAGCTTTTTCCTTAGCATACTTGACAACAGGGTCCTTTGGATCACCTCTAGCGGCAAAACCATGAGAAACACCACTGAATAAATCAATTTGATAACGAGCTTTAATCTCTTTTAATTTTTCTTCAGTTTGTTTTCTTAATTCATCAGTAAACAATGGATCTTCTTCAGCTGCTGAAATTAAAATTGGTTTTGTAACTGCAGCAACTTCTTCAAGTGTAACAAAAGAAGGATGGGCCAATGCACCAGCTGTGATTTTGGTGGAACTTGTCAATTGTTGAACAACATATTTAGCACCAAAGCAATAACCAACTAAACCAATAAATTTTGTATCAATTGAGCTTGTCAATTTTTCTAAAAAGGATTCAACAATTGGTCTAGTAATTTCTGAAGTATGATATGGAAACCATTTTTGAAGATCAGTAACGCCAGAAACACAATCATCACCTTTCAAAATATCTGGAATCAAAGTATAATAACCAGCTTTGGCAAATTGGTCGGCAATTAATAAAGCATTGTTATATTTATTACCATAGATATCGGTAAGGATCACGACAACTTTATCACTCTCTTCACCGGTAACATAAGTATTCACTGATCAAATTGTTAATAGGTATCCAGTTGGGTGTTTTTCAAAAGTTCCTACTTACAACCAAATAGTTCAACATGTTTTCCAACAGGTGTACCCTCTATCAAAATGTTAGAAAATCGACTTCATATCATTCTCAAAAGATGAAAACTCACCGTGAAGAGTGGATTGTAAACAACAGGTGCTAGGTGGATGGGAAGCCATTTCAGATCTCTTTTCTCGGTTCTTCAATTGAGCGTAGCACTAGTATGAATAGAAAGCTGAATTGAAGTTGAAAACTACCAAATAAGATTTCGATGGATTTCCACAATTTTGAATAGTATTAGTAATTTCTTAGATCGACGTAATAAATCCGGACACAAACAGATTTCCGAAGACCTAATACTATGTACACTTCAAAGCTTCAAAACTTAGGGCATTCCTGAAAAGATTAGCACCGTTTTATTTCAGATTTCAGCATGTCATGTCTTGATGTTGGAATCGAAATGTTGATGTCAGGACAGCTGCAAATTCAATAAGACTCTAGGCGCGACCTTTTCGTTGTGATCATTGTCGCCAGTGTGTTCTTGGCCCAAAGTTCAACCTTCCGAACAATAGGAGTCCATAAACTTCAAAGTGGTGAAGTTTGTGTGATCAAACTCTGTGTAGACATAACTTTTGAGGGCTTTATTGTGAATCATTCAATGGTTGAACAAGTTCCACATCTTTTAGAACTTGTGCTGTTGGATTACTTGCAGCTAGTGAACCTACAATAGTTATCGATATTTTTGACAATTAAATATCTATTTACACAACCACTACTTTCAAAACAGACAACTTGAATCACATTCCACAAAACTTTTGCTTGCCAAATATGCTCTGATGAAAGACATTAACCCAAGTGATAGGTACGCATTCTTCAACAACATTACCAGTTTTCTCCTTCAACTGTTCTTTAGTAGCAGCTGTAGTTGCATATGATTTGATCTCTTTAATTGTATCTTTGGTTTGCTTTTGAATCATCTTTTGTTCTTCTTCACTAACTGGTTCTTTGGAGGCCTTAGTTTTGAAAAGTTTTTTGATTCTTTTCCCACTCTTTGTAAGTTCACGTTCATCATCTTTTGAAGCTTTTGATATAACAAATGTATTTGAATCACTTTTATCTTTTTTCTTGTCCTTTTTCAACTTCAATCTATGTTCAATTTCATTTTTCAACTGTTCTACTTTTGAAGCTTCATAGTGTTTATCAACAACTCCAGCATCTCTCCCTTGTAATTTGTGCTTGATTGTTTTCAATTTTGTAACCACCTGTGAATAACCTTTAGCTCTTGGGGTGTATGTGTCAACACTAGTGGCAGATTCCTCATCATTATCTTTAATAATAGATAATGGTAAAGTCAATTCAGGGAAATTGGAATCTTCATTTGTCCTTTGTGTAGAAGTTTTTGAGCTGAAAGCTGTATCACGTTCAGTTAAGCGGTCTCTTTTAATATGTTTCTTGAGTCCGTTGAACGCTGGGAATAAAACCAAGTTGTTCATATCTTCTTTAATTTTGATACAATAACTTTGTGTGGCAGCTTCAATATTCAGAGTACAAAACACTGAATGTATCAAATGTGAATATCCAACCGAGCTAATCCAATTTTGAGCAAAAATATCAAAGAACAAATTGAGATCTTGATTACCCATATAATTTTTAACCTTCATTAAAGGGATATTATATTCTTTGGCTTCAAAAACACTGTTACCACTTCTAAACATAAAAACTAATAATGGATCGCTTTCTTCCAAAGAATGTTTGAAAATTGGTAATTTAAACCTTGAGGTCAAAATAATATCATTTTCATGTAACAATTTCTTATCAAAGCCTGTTGGAACCGGTAAAACAAGATAATAATCTATCAATGACGTAAACTCTGGTAATTCAAATGGAATTGCATGATCAATAAAAGATGCGTATTCAGTTCTTGTCTTCTGCAATGGGATTTTGAGAGGATCAGTTGTATTGAATAAAAAAAGAGGTTTGGTCTTTTCAGGTACCATAATCTCTAATTGGGCATCAAATGCTTGATTTGACATTTTGAACTTTTTGGCGTGCTTGATGATATGTTTGAAACCAAGCCCATTCATTACTTTTTCGTTAATATGGTGTCTTGGAATAACCAAAACATCTTCTTGGAGGTCTTCTTCACTTGCTGATGAATTGTCTAAATGCTTTACCATCATTATAGACTCTAACTCATTTTGAAGCACATTTGTAGCATTTGATATGCTGTAAGATTCTGACGTAGCAGTTGAATGAACTAGTTCTGCATCCTTGTGATGAACTGGGGCACTGAAAACAAATGAACTTGCACCAAGGCAGCACAAAAAAGACTTCAACAACATGATGATTTCTTAGCAAATTGTTAGCGATTGACCTAAGGAATATCTTCTTTGATTTGTTTGGTTGCATTGTGTATAATTTTGGGTCATTAAAGATTTGATTTTCAATTTCTTGATTCTTTGTGAGCGTAACTGACACAAAACCATCACAACAAGTTATGCAAAGTACCTTAGCTCAAACATTCATTGCCAGCAGAATTGCATGGAGCATTTGGGCATAGTTGGAAGCAGCATCTAAAAGTCACTATTCAACACGTATGTCTAGTGAAGACTGAACATTAAGCAGCAGTAATATAGATCCTAATAGATTCCTAAGCAAATAAAGAACTCCGTACCATGTCCTTATAGGAAACCGTAAATTACCTTCATCATGCCTCGTTTTCAATAGTACACCGTCCGCTAGCTAATCTCAACTTGTAAACCTTGGTTTATAAGTCCAATAGATGTTAGATTTGATAAAGTTTGTTTACCTTTCAGCTTATATTATTGGGCGGTCGCGCGAATTGCAAGTCTTTACCCTGAGCTTGCAGAACGTGTTCGCGACGCCCATTTATGGGATTGCTTAACTATGGTGAAAAATAATCGTATAACAAAAGGCTCAACCGTTTGTCTAGAGCCATTATCATCAACAATTAAACTCCAAGATGATCAAGAACACTATAAAAAGTTCTGTGCGTCCATTGGCGAAGATTCCAATACGCTCCATTTCAACTAGATCATTTTCATCTAAAACTGATGAATCTCCAAAGACTACACATTTTGGTTCAAAAACTGTTTTAGAATCAGAAAAAGAGAAATTGGTTGGTCAAGTCTTCTCATCTGTTGCTTCTAAATATGATGTTATGAATGATGTTATGAGTTTAGGTGTTCATAGATTATGGAAAGATCACTTTATTAGAAAATTGGATGCAGGTGCTAGACCAGGTGGTAGACCTTTAGATTTCATTGATGTTGCAGGTGGTAGTGGTGATATCGCATTTGGTTTATTGGATCATGCTAAAGCTCGTTTCAATGATGATAAGTCTACAATGACCGTTGTTGATATCAACCCTGATATGTTGGCTGAAGGTGAGAAAAGACTATTGGATACAAGGTATAAAAATGATGATAGAATTAAATTCTTGGTGCAGAATGGTGAAGTTTTGGATCAAATAGAGAGTAACAGTAAAGATGTTTACACTGTCTCTTTTGGGATTAGAAATTTTACAAATATTCAAGCAGGTTTGAATACAGCATACAGAGTTTTAAAACCAGGTGGTATTATTGGTATTTTAGAATTCTCAAAAGTTGATAATTCAGTTATTGACCTAGCTTATCAAAATTGGTCAAAATTCCTACCAGTTTTCGGTCAAGCAATTGCAAATGATTATGATTCCTATCAATATTTGGTTGAATCTATTCAAAAATTCCCAAAACAAGAGGATTTTAAATCAATGATTCAACAGGCTGGTTTTTACGTTCCTGAACCTGGTTACGAAAACTTGACATTTGGTGTCGCTGCGATCCATATTGGTATTAAATTATGATTTATAAAGACTTGTAAATATATGAAATAATGCTTCAATTTGTCGTCTGTTTTTTGTAACCGGACACGATTTTTTCGTCTTTTTTCGCAGAAAAATCAACAAACGTTAACTTGCAAAATGTATGGTGTTCTAACCTTTCATAGCTCTACAGCATCAACATCGAAAAAGTCCACTCGTTCTAAGACCAAATGCAAGATACATTTCACCAAAAGCTTTCGTCGATTGTGAAAATTCTAAAATCATCCCCGGGGTCAGTGACTGTACAGAACATTCAACGTCTTTCAAACATTCACAAGTTTGAGACATTCATAGAAACTATCAATGACAAAGTCAAAAGATTATCAATTGCTGGTAAGATCCTTGTGATGGATATTGATTTCATCGAGCTCCCTAGTAAGAATAAAGATCAAACCAGGTTTGAATTGAACGATGTGAGGTTGATTTTGGCCAATAATAACAATAGTTTTAAGTATGTCAATACTGAAAATGGTGAAAATATTTTGAAGAATTGTCTCCTCAACTATCCAGATTTATCCAAATTTGATGAAACCTTAGAAACTCTATCCATTTTTGATCAAGTTAGTCATGATGATTTTGATCTGTTTGATTATTACATGAAAATATATGATGCATTTCACCAGATACCAGAATTTGATGTTAAGATGAATACAAATGACAAATTTACAATCATTGTCCAAGATATGTTTGAAGTTAGTCTTGTAAATGATGAAAGGTTGAATCTATCAAGAATTGAATATAATGGAGAATGGAATGATAAAAAGCAAAAAATAAATGATGTTGGCTTACAAGTGAAATTTATCGGTGATGTTTCAATTGCAATTACCAAAAACATTTTATTACAAAATGATCTTATTTTTGATGATTCAAAAAAGAAAAAACTTTTTGATAGTAATGAAGTTTTCAAATCCAAGAAAAATTCCAATCTAACATTTCAAGGCTTCCAATTTCTAGAAAGTGAAGTTTTGCTAATATCAGAAGTCTTTAGTAACGACTTACCATCATTGATGAAAGTGCTGGTTGAGCTTCATAAGTTTTCTAAGTTGGAAAGATTTATTGAACAATTGAAACAAAACTTTACATTGATTGATAAGTTTGCAGATTTAGAGAATGAAGATGTTAGACTGAACGATTTTTTAAATGGTGAAAGTATAGATGAAATTGAAGTTGAACATCATTTTATTACCATGAGCTTAAAGCAACAACAAATTGAATTGAAGAGTGATGATAGTGAATATAATTTTACAATTGATACATCTATCCAACACAAACTAGATGAGGGATTAGAAAAATTGAAGGGAATACTCGAAAAGTAAAGACACTTGGGTAAGTATGGCAAACCAATTATAGAGTAATAAAGCTTTCCATTCAAAGGTATTCCTTTGTTTGTTTGCACAGACCTGAATATGCTTTTCCGAGTGAGATCCATGGAGATTCAAAGAACTATAGCTTGCCCAATGTATAGCCATGACGGTCAAATAATAGAAACATATCATCAAGATTGAATATCTTTCCCGCTTACTAGGGTCAATTGTTAAAATATGGTTGATTAAGTGTATAAACTCTGTAGACAGTCTAGGTGTATGTGTATAAATTTACAAATATTCGTAGCTTATATCCGACGATCTACCCGAAAAGTACGTTTTTTCGGCAATTTAAAAAAAGGCATCCGGGCTTTTGCATTGTTCGTTGCTATGGTTGCGAAAGCGTAACCAACTGTCTAAGGTGTACCTTTTGCTGGAAAGCGGCTAAACAGATGTAGAAAGGAAGATGATCCGTTACAGATGAATAGCAATAGTTTACACTATCCATGTTTTTTCTTTGCTTCTGAGATTTGTAGAGCTGAAGTTGACAACGCTCTTTGTGGAAGAGATTTCACTTTGTTGTCTTTGTGTGCCAAAAAAAATTCTCTTGAACAGCTGTTTGAAAGAAGAGCGCCAAGCAAAGGAAAAAGTCTTGGCAAAGCAAAGGGTGGCGAGAAAAAAGTGCGTGTTCGTACCGGGATAGCCTAGATACACATGTCGTTGTGGCAGTCTTCTCCTTTTTTTAGTGCGAAACTCTTGGCGTCAAGCCCTCCGTGAAACTTTAAAAAGAAACGCTGCTGGCCCAACCAGGCCTCCCACAATCTAAAATGCCAAGACCATCTCTTTTTTTGTTTTGGTGAATCGTGATGTGAACATTTTCGTTCGAACGAGTTGTTTTTTGGCCTGATTCTTCGCTCATCTCGATTTTAAACGCTGCGCAAAATAATAAAAATGTACTTTCTTGTAGGGCTCAATTGAGCAACCTTTGAAGGTACACTAGGCGTTTGTTAAAGGATAAATCGGGCTAAAGGTCATGTTGGCTTAATTTGTTGATGGTTGATGGCCCTTGTAACTTTAAGTATCATGTGAAGATACATTCTTCATGGTGATTTGAGAACAAGCGTGCAGTAGAGGCTAATGGCTAATGGCTAGTACCAGTGTACTCCCAACTAGTGATCAATATTCTTGATGTTTTACACTGAATAGTCTGCATTGCAAAACTGCAACGTCTGGTGAACTGTATAGAGATTTGTAAGAATATGTGATCAGTGAGTAGATTATATCTGGAGATCTTTAAGCCAATTGTTCTCTCCAACCTGAAATCAGTACCATAATCCATCACAATTGCTAATACCCTTGAGACCTGAGTGACGAGTGTGCAATTGGTGTTGTTGTACTACGGTTCCTTTTCTCTGGAAGTGTGAGATCTAGGAAACGCATCTATATTTATGGATCTAACTCTAGTTTCTGCCTTATTCTTGGGTCAAGTGCGTGTTCTTTGGTTACCTTTCCCCATGTACATTGCGTTATAAACGTGTGAAAAGTGAACCTTGGAAATGAGATCATGTAGTTGAAGTCAAATTTCGATTTCAACTGCCCAAGGAACGTTACAAATTTCTTCGACGTACTACAGTCATTGTCAAAAACTACAATCGAGATCAAACCGTTTTCTCTCTATGAGATCGTGACATGAATACAGCTCATGACTTAAACCATCTATTGCACTCAACCTGTACCGTTCCAGTCACCTTTTGTATCTCAGCTAAAATCGACTCCCTCAAAAGTTTGACGCACATTGATCATCACCAAATTGAAGCCTTTTTTTCTGAGTCCAGAAAACGAGAGAGGAAAAAAAAAAAAAAACGATGTTTCAATTTGTTGTTGTCAATCTTATTTTTTTTTTATTTTATTGTGCAGCGCTGCAAAATAATTGCCAACTGTTTTACTTCGCTCGTCGTTTTTTATCAACAACACTAGCATCGAATAATCTGGTTTTTCCTTCCTTTTACAAACCACAATCAGAAAACACCATTCTGCTCAAAACACAACACCAACACACTCTACCGCCAGCCGCTGCAATTGAACTGGCTACCTTTTTGTCGAAGATTAGAGTGAGATCTTAGTGCTTTTCAACCCTAAAGTCCATCGTGGCCCCCCATACGTATACCTTACAACCACAACAACAAAAACAACGAGTCATTTCAACAGACAAGCCAAACAACACATTCTTATTGAAAGTCATCAAAAAAGAAAGCTTACATTAATATAAAACTTTAGAACAATCATGAGTGCACAAGCCGTGAATAACCTTGTTCAACAACAACAAGTTCCAAGACAGGTTCAACAACAACAAGCCGTAGCTCAGGCTCAACAACAATTAACTGCTCAAGAACAAGAACTGAAGAATGCCACTGCTGAAACTTGGTTAGCCATTGGTTCTTTAGCCGAATCAGTCGGTGATGCCGATAGAGCTGCTGCTGCTTATGATGCTACACTAAGACATTCTCCAAATTCTGCACCTGCTCTAACCTCATTAGCCAATCTATATAGAGCTCGTGATATGTTTGCCAAAGCTGCTGAATTATATCAAAGAGCTTTGACTGCTAAACCTGATGCTGGTGAAACTTGGGGTCTTTTAGGTCATTGTTACTTAATGTTGGATGATTTACAAAGAGCTTATGCCGCTTATCAACAAGCATTATATCATTTAAGTAATCCAAATGTCCCAAAATTATGGCATGGAATTGGTATTTTGTATGATAGATATGGATCTCTAGAATATGCTGAAGAAGCTTTTGGAAGAGTTTTGGAATTAGATCCTAATTTTGAAAAAGCTAGTGAAATTTATTTCAGATTAGGTATCATCTACAAACATGAAGGGAAATTAGCTCAAGCTTTGGAATGTTTCAGATATATTCTACCAAACCCACCAGCTCCTTTAACTCAACCAGATGTTTGGTTTCAAATTGGTGCTGTTTTGGAACAGCAACGTGATTATAATGGGGCCAAAGATGCTTATCAAAAAGTTTTAGAAGCAAATCCAAAACATGCAAAAGTTTTGCAACAGTTGGGTTGTCTTTATTCTCAACAAGGCTCTAATTTCACAGATCCAGATATTGCTTTGAGGTTATTGAGTCAATCTTTAGAAATTGATCCAAGTGATGCTCATACTTGGTATCATCTTGGTAGAGTTCACATGTCAAGAGGCGACTACACTTCTGCTTATGATGCCTTCCAACAAGCTGTTAATAGGGACGCAAGAAACCCAACTTTCTGGTGTTCTATTGGTGTTTTATATTATCAAATTTCTCAATATAGAGATGCTTTGGATGCTTACACAAGAGCTATCAGATTGAATCCATATATCAGTGAAGTTTGGTATGATTTGGGTACTTTATATGAAACCTGTAACAATCAAATAAGTGATGCTTTGGATGCTTACAAGCAAGCTGCAACTTTGGATCCAAATAATCCACATATTCAAGCAAGATTAGAGCAATTGACTAAATTCCAAAAGGAAGGTGGTACAAATGGTGCTCTACCTCCTCCACCTCCTTCTCAACAACCAAGACTACCTCAAGGAATGTTACCTCAACAACAACAGCAACAAGCTCAAGTTCAAGCTCAGCAACAACAACCTGCTTTACAACAATTACAAATGAATCCTCAACATCAACAACAACTTCATCAGCAGCAACAACAGCAACAGCAATATCAACAATACCAACAGGCTCAGGCTCAACAACAGGCTCAGGCTCAGCAAGCTCAGGCTCAACAACAAGCTCAGGCTCAGCAAGTTCAAGCTCAAGCTCAAGCGCAACAACAAGCCCTTCAACAAGCGCAACAACAAGCTCAACAACAACAGTACCAACCTTCACCAGCCCCACCAGCTCCACAAACAAACAATAATCCACAAGAGATAAGACAGTTGGATAGTAACTTTCAAAGATCTTCTGTTCCTCCAAAACGTGAATTGGAAGATCAAGCACAAGGTCAAAGAAAAACAAAAAACAAAACAACAATAAATCAGCAGGTCTTTCAAATTTGGTCAATAATGAAGACGGGTCTGCCAAAAAGTCAGCCATTGGCTCTTTGATGGATTCTCAACCTCCAAAACCAACTGAATCACCTGCACCAACTCCTGTTGTACAAGAAGCTCCTAAAGTTACTTCTCCACAACAGCCAACTCCACAATCAACTTCTCCTGCTGACAACACTGTTGCTCCTGTCGAAGAACATAAGGATGAAGCTTCTGTTACTGCTGAACCTGAAAATGCTGTTGTTTCTAAGAAAGATGAAGCTCCAGTATCTGAAGAAAAGAAACCAGAGGAACAACCAGTCGTCGAAAAGAGTACTGAAACAACTGACAAAAAGGATGAAGAATCAAAGGAGGCTGAAACTAATGGCACAGTTGAACCTGCTACTGAAAGTGCCCCTCAAGAGAAGGAAGCTGAAGAACCAAAAGAAGTTACAATAAAACCATCTGAAGAAGCGATTGAAAAAATTAAAGAAGATCAAAAAAATCAAGAAGAAGAAGAAGCTAAAGCTGAAGAAAAGGATTCAAAACAAGAAGAACCAAAAGTTGAAGCTCCTGTAAGAAAAATCGAAGAAGATGAAGATTATGATGATGATGATGAAAAACCAAATGGTGAAGAATCAAAAGAATAAGAGGTTTTAAACTGAAAGAAAGAAACTTTAGTGATCGAAATTTTTGTCAATTTTGTCAATTTGTTTATTATATTGGTGTTAAGATATGAATTGTTTTTATATTGTTTTTTGTTACGTTTTTCTATGATTTGAAAATGAAAATAGTGTACGTTCTGTATCAATATAAGTTGTATTATTAATAACTAATAAATTCAATTGTAATAATATACAGACATTCATTCGATCATCATTATTGATTAGCTTTTTCTTGTATTTTTAACCGTTAATGATTTTACAACATTACGGACCCTGAAGTTTGGACTAATTGTTCGTTTTATATCTCTTTTTCAACAACAGTCTCTAAAAATTGTTTTATTTGAAGTAAGGTATCATTCTTGACACTTTCAGGTACCATTTCTTAGTGATGTTAGTAGGTCCATTTCATCTGTACGGCAAATTCCTCGATACTAACCTAATGCTTTTGGTTCAAGTTGTTGATTCAACCTGCTAAAATTTAAACTATCTTCATGGCTTATTTGGTCTAAATAATAGGTCAGTAATTAATTATTACGCATTAAAACTCAGCCACCTACCATTTGCTATGCTCTTTATATTATCATACCACCCAGACTCGGCTAACTTTTGCTTCAATGCAGTTGATATGCTAAGTATTGTTAGAAAAAATCATTTGTTGTAAAACAGCGATGTGAACTTACCGATCATATTCACCTGATTCTATTAGTCTTTCTTGAATCTTTGCTTTCAGTAAATCTGTTTCATTTGCCATTTTTTGATTATACGCTTCCACTTTTATTATAATGTGAGCGCAAATGGACAGTAGTGATTCCATGTTATAAGCATAGTTTATGATCTTTTGAAATTCATCTGGTTGGGCCAGGATCTTGGGGGTAACTGTTATATTTTCGCGATCTCATCAGTTGCAAAATCCTGGTGAACCCATAGCTGAGATTCAAAACCCAAAGCAATCAACAATTCAAGCCATTTTCGTCACTGAAATCTTGGAGGCAGGTTAATTGTATGCTTAGACTATCAAAATCACTCAAATTATCGGTATCAAGATTCTCAATCGCTCGGACTTTACCTAACACACAAAAGATTAAAATAACAACAATGGTTTCTCCAAAAGCGGCTCCAGAAAAAGCCAAAATTGTTAAAGTTGAACCTTTGGATTCAAAAGATGCTAAATGGACAAAGTTAGAAAAGATAACATATACTGATCCAAATGGAAAGGAAAGACCATGGGAGTGTGCATCTCGCCCAACAAGACCAAAAAGCTCGGACGTTGATGCTGTCGCTATTATCGCTATACTAGAAAAACCAGATGGCCCTGAGATTGTGTTGCAAAAACAATTTAGACCACCTACTGGAGGTGTTTGTATTGAAGTTCCAGCAGGCCTTGTTGACCCTAATGAATCGATTGAAACCACTGCACTTCGTGAATTGAAAGAAGAAACCGGTTACATTGGTAAAGTTATTTCAAAATCACCAACTATTTTCAATGATCCTGGATTTTGTTCCACAAATCTTTCTTTGGTTGTTACTTCTATTGATTTAGGTGATGAAAGAAACCAAAACCCAACCCCTGAATTAGAAGAAGGCGAGTTTATTGAAACATTTTCCGTCCCTATAAAAGATTTTGATGATCAATTGAGAAAATTGGATTCACAAGGATATAAAATCGATTCAAGGGTTCAAAACATTGCAGAAGGGATCAAGATTGCACAAAAATTTAAGCTTTGAAGTTCCTTTTATATGAAATCTAGTGATCTATGTCCGTTATGAATACACATTTTTTGAAATTTTTTGGAGTGTATAAATGTTCATCTATAAGCAAACAAAAAAAACAGATCAGAATTAGTCCATATTACAATTTACGGTCTTCAAAACCTCTCAGATATAGCTAAAAAGTCAAAAATTGCAGCAAAAAATAAACGACACCTGCAGGACTCGAACCTGCGCGGGAAAATCCCAAAAGATGCCTTGAAGATTCAAGTCTTTCGCCTTAACCACTCGGCCAAAGTGCCTTTTACAAAAAAGATAGATTTTGTGATTAACTGACTATAAGCAATAATGTCACGTGATCAAATTTTATCATGATTGGCATTAATTAGTCGATTTTAATTAATTATTTAGTATAATAAAATTCAAACGATATTATTCACCAATAGATCAGTCTATGACTAATTTATAATAATAAAAAATTATTTTTTTTTTNTTTTTTTTTAATTGTATCTGATGTGTATTTATAAAATGCTAAAATAATGTACAAAATCACTGGGGACTCAGTCTATGACTGATTTATAATAAAAGAGATAAATCAGAATAAAAACAAGTAAGAATGAACTAAAAAAGCTGGCCATTGTTATAATTGGAGCAATTGTAAAATTTGTGGAAATCACCAAGATATTCCTAATACTTTTCTTGATGAAGTCCTAATGGTTTGTTAATTAGTTGATTCTAAGGTGACTGAACCACTAGCTTAAAGGAGCTGAGCATGAATGCCGGATGAACCTGGAAATGGAAGTAAAATATGGCATAGGAATTGAAAAAAGAATTGTTGATCAATCAACATATGGGTTGGCTAACTAACTGACATCATCATAGTAGTGGATTGGGGAACGTTTGAGCTTCAGGTATCTGGCTGCCTCTTGCTCTATCTTGGCCAGGTCTGTGGTGGGTGGGCTAAGAGTGCGACGTCTCTTAGTTCTTAAGTACCAAATAAGCCCAATATAAGTAGATAATTGGAGCATTTTGGTTTTGTCCCCGTCCCAAGGAGCCACCAGCTCCTCAATTGTATTTTGATGCGTGAAAGTTGTTGCTAAATGCCATAATGCTTTGGATATGATGCAGTCTTGAAATAGGTGGACCACTGTTTCTGGTTGGTCGTCTTGTTGACAGAGCGAGCAGAACGGTAATCGTAGTCTGGGTGCTTCATCTGGAATAGTTGATGAATTGAAGTGATATTTCTGATCAAACAGGCCTAAATTGAACAATTGTAGTGGTTCTAAGCTTCCCGGGGCAGTTATTTGGTGCTTGTAATGCTTGTACCTTAGAGATATTATAAATTAATTATAATTATCATGAATATAATTATAATGCGATCATGAGCGCCGATGAATTAATATTTATTTTTTTTTTTTTTTAGTTGATGAGGATATTATAAGGAAGCCTGAATTCCAACATAGCGAGAAGCCTACAATCCAAGTGGTAATTCGTGCGTAATTGCATTCCTCATCCAAGTTCATCAAATACATCAACTAAAAAAAAAATAATTATTAATATCGATGATTAACTAATTGGATGAGGTCGAATGCAATTTATAATATATTATTTATAAACTAAAATTTATTAATATATACACTAGGCCGTAAGAATGACATCATGAACTAAAAAATTGTTGTTGGCCATTGTTATATTAATTGGAACAATATTTAATCATATTGACGTTATAATTAATTAATTTGTGGAAATCACCAAGATATTCCTAATATAACTAGTTTTCTTAATGAAGTCCCAATGGTTTGTTAAATATTAGTTGATTCTAAGGTGACTGAACCACTAGCTTAAAGGAGCTGAGCATGGATGCTTAATTATGAATTACGTCCCGGAATTAATAGCTGAAATATTAGACGTAAAAAATGGTCGAATGTAGCTGGAATTGAAAAAAGAATTGTTGATGATCAATCAACAGATCATGGGTTGGCTAACTAACTGATCACCTCATCAATATAGTAGTGGATTGGAGAACGTTTGAGCTTCAGGACGTATCTGGCTGCCTCTTGCTCTATCTTGGCCAGGTCTGCGTGCATGAGGTGGGTGCAGGCTAAGAATTATATATTATAAATTCTAGTAAATATATTTATAATTCACTTATAATAATTAATATATATCATATGGCCGAAAAATATACTATTATATTAATTATATATAATATAGCGCTCATATTATAATTAATGTTGATCATTATAAATGCAGAATATATAAGATACCACCCATAATTAATTACTACGTCCATGAGCTGTGCATTATCACAATATCATCATGTAATATTTAATTAAAATAATATAATAATTGATTATACAGTAGATCGACAGCTAATTGATATTATTTAAAACAAAAGAGCAACAATACCGGAAAATAACATCAAGATGAAGCTAGTTTGACCAAATGTGGATGCTGAATCCTCATATTGTGAAACAGGAACAGCAGTTGAGCTATTAGCTGTGACATTTGATCCAGCTGATGCAGTTTCAGAGACTGCTTCATATACATGAGTTGCCAAAGTTGGTGTATTATCCGCAGCTAAACTGAAACGTCTAGCTAAACGTTTGTTACCACATGACCCTTGAGAGCTGACACCTGTTCCTTCTAGTTCAATGGATGTAGATGATGTTTGAACTGAGGTTCTTGAAATACTGTTAGTTGTGACTGCATCTGAAACAGAGGAGTATAAAGATGCTTGTGTAGAACCAGGAATTGAATCATGAAGATCTTCAATGTGTGAATCTGAAGTATCAGTAACTGGTTTACCAAACAACAATTCTTTGTTTTCAGCATCAAATACACCATAAATATAAGGAAAAAATACCCAACCAAAAGTGATAGTGTTGTCATCTGAACCAACATTAATATTTTGAAGAACACATTTGTCTGAATTTTTAACCTTCTTTGTGAAACCAGATGTTGGGACTTCAATCTTGTGACCCATAACCTCAACCTCTAAAGGTGTTGCATTATCACAATCGAAGACATAGTTTTGAGAATCTGATTCATAAAATGCATCAAAATTGTTCATTAGTTTTTCGTGAACAGCCGAAGGAAGAGTGACACCAGTTGTATAACCACAATCAAAACTGATGAAGTAAGTGTTACCACCTGTAGCAGATTTACAACCAGCTGATAAATCTGTTAAATAAGTCCACCAAACATAACCATTACCTGAGGATCTCAATGGAACAGCAACAAGATCACCAGTGTACTTTTCAGTATCAATGGCACCAAATGTGATTTGACCCAATGAATGATCATTAGCACTCGAATAAATAGAGAAAGTCTTTCTTGAAATAACGTTGTTATCTTTCAGATCATCAATAAGAGTTGGCTTATCATAGTCAAAACCTAAACCAAAAACATTGGTATCACTACTGACACCTTGAGTGGAAGCATTTGTAACCAAACCGAAATTTAATTTGAACTTTTGGCCATTCTCAGTGTTTGAAACATCATCTTCACTCCAAGTACCTTTATAACTAGTGGAATCAGCATATTGGACACTGAAGTCTTGATGTTTGTCTTCATATGATGAGGATGATTTGTAGTCAAAGCCTTTGTTTTTGGAAACATCTGTAGATTGAAGGAATGGGGTAAATGAACCTGTATCTAATATTATTGGAATTTTTTGTTTCTGACTACCAAAGTACAAATCAATAATAGGAGCAGCGGTTGATCCAGCTTCAAAGTCACTGTTGAAGTCGTCTCTTTTCATAAGATGACTTTGATTGTTGTGGTTGAATTGAAAGTTTAATGCAGCATGGGCATATTGAATATAAGCAAGACATATGTTGATGGCTAAAAATGTGTTCATCTTGATTCTTGTCTGATTATGATTATGATTATATTTGTTAACGTTTCAAAAAATTTATCGAAAGGATTTCTGATGGTTTATATACTCCAATTTCAAGGGTTTAGTCAAGTATGATTCTTCCATGTGGTTCAAGTTAGTCATTAAACTTTGCATTCGAAGAACTCCATGGCAAAGATTTTTCGAGTTTAGCCAAAGCCACCAAATCTTGTTGCTCATACTTGAGTGGTAGTGGCCATTTGCATTGATTTTCAGTGGTTCCTGAAGTTTATTTCAACGTCTAAAAAACTCGATCTGACCAAAATATGTAATTGTTTACGGAAGGTTTTTAGACCGTTGAGAAATATGCAGAGAATATGTCAGATTTACCGAGGTGCAGCTGCCCGCCGATGCGGATTAACACGCAAACACGAATTTGTATACTGAATTCAAACGTTCTTGATTCCAGAATTCAGCTTCAAATTTTACAAAAAATGGTTATTGAAAACTGGCTGTACATTAAACACATATTGATGTCTTATTACAACTGAAATATCTTGTTAGCAGAGCGAGATGGTGGGCCCGCTGGTGGCCAGCGTATCCAGATTCGTCACTCTCTGACTCGAGCATTACAGTTTTGAAAAAATCTTATTTTTGAGTAATAACGTAGATTGCTAGCTGTGTACAAACGTCAAATTATCTGGATAGTTGTTGAATTACAGCAGCTAACAAATATTCAAAGCTTTAATGACGACGCTATTACCCAATTCAAGTTATTGTTAATGCTGATAATTTTCTTGAAATGTTTATGAAGAGACGACAGATCTCCCAAAATATGATCATCAGTTCTTGAAAGTTAAGGCAAATGCGATGTTCATTGCGTTGATTATCTGTACAGTTTAGTTTGTAAGTTGAGAACTTGAAACACATGAAGTTTCGATCATTAGCGGACAACTTGTGTAGCATCGAAGCGTAGGTTTCGGGCACAACGGACTGCTTTGCTTTTGGTCTGGAGTCGTGTTTAAGATGCCATCCAGAAAGCTGTATGATCTCTTATTTCAAACGGGTTATGGCGGTGATTAAAAATTATAAGAGATAGTAAGTCATCGTCATCGCGGTCGTTAGTATATTACATACAGGTTTTGATAATACGGGATTAGGTTGATTCAACATAACAAAATCTATAGTACGCACTTATTGGTCCCACAAGCCACCGTATTCTCAATAAGATGCGGACGAACACTTCACAATCTCCAAATGTGGTACTCCAACTTTTAATGTGTGTTTCTTGTGCTTGAAAATTGTGACAGTCATGAAGGTTGCGTACTCATGTCACCTGTGCTATCTGAAATTTAATCGGCGAAGACACACTTATAAAATTTCTTTTCCTTGCTCAGCAAACCTTTTGAGGGAAAAAAGATTCAAGATCCAGCGAACAAGTGTCAAGTGGCCCTCAAGTTTCAAACACACTTGTGCTTCAACTTCCTATCGAGTAAATAATATTTTCAATCTGCAACGGGCATGGGTTAACACTTAGCACGCTCAGCGTAGTTTGGTTCAGGCTTTTGGATCTATTTATTAATCCGGCGGATCATATACAATCAGCTTGTACTACAATACAGTACCAATAGAGAGTATAGGAGCATATCTCATCATAAGCAGCGAGCACTTGATTTTACTGATACGTTGGCCTCGAATCAGCAAGTTAAATTGAGTGCATGTAAAGATGGCGTATTTGATCGACACTAGTCTGTGTTCCTGAATCTTGATTTTGAGATTTTCCAGGCGCGAAAAAGAAATGAAACGCGTCGCAATTGTACTGTGTGTATAACTGATGAAAAAGGTGAGCACTGAGCTTTAAAAGAAAAGGTCAAGACTGACGGGTGAAAAAGGTGAAGCTAAGCTATGAGCTACGACGGGAATAAAGCAAGATTTTGTCAAGCAACATCGTCAGGAATAATTTAGAAGACTGATGTAATTACACTAAATAGCTGCTTGGATTCATATCCAAAGTTGGCTGAATTTGGGTTATTTATTGATCTGTATGTTACCTTTTAACCAGATCGTGATAACTTCTTCCCCTGAAATCAGCTTAAAGTCGAATCGACAGCTGTGAAGATCATGTAGATCAACTAGCTGTTCTTTTAATGAGTCTGTTTGAAGCCATGAACGAGTAAACTCACTGATCTGACTTACTCATCGTTTTTGTGACAACTAAAGTCTACTTTATCTAATGCGGTACTTTCTTTTGGGGTTCCCCTTGAGATGTATGTTGGTATTATTGTGGAACCGGCTCCCAAGGATACATAACTGACACAAAACGTTCATTATCAATTGCTTGTAGCCCAAAGTCTTCTAGTAGTGATGGATGCTCAACCTACTTCACTTTGCTATATCAAATCATTGCTCAGAACTCAATGGGCCGATTAATGGAAATAGGTGCCAAACATAATCTTAGAAGTCTTGAATAAAGTGAAACCTTTGAAATGATTGCTTTTCACGTACACCCAAATTACTATCATGATGCTTGAACATGTCTCCGAGCTTCCGTCTATAGCCTTTTGAATTGATGATTGTTTTGTACTCAGAGTCAACCACTACCCATATATAGTTACACTTTTTAGATTTCCAACACGAAGCCTAAACAGCTCCTTTAGACAAGGTAGTTTGCCTTCAAATTCTATTAGAATTGCTACAACATAAATCTTTTGAATAATCAAAACTGTTCATAATTGATCTAATGTACAAAATAATGGGGTATCATAAAGAAAGGATATCATAGAAAAAGACTATGCCCTTTTAGTTGAGAGAAAAAAAACAACATTGGAACGAAATCAAAGTAATTGTTTAGAAAAACATAACGACAATTGGCAGAGCGCTCAACATACCAGCGACTAATCTGTTACCAGAACCTTCATATTGTGAAACTTGAGCTGGGGATTGTGGATTAGTACCATTATTTGATGCACCACCTTGAGTTAACAGTTTTGGGATAGAGCTGCTTGAAACACCACCTGAGACTGGTTCTGTAGTTTGAGTAACCAAATGGGTAACATATAATGTAGAATCACCTTGTGTTGAAGTTGGGACCAACTGAGTACTGACCAATGCTGAGCCATTAGAGACTGGAGTACCTGAGCTAGCTGGGGCTGATGACTCTTGAGTTGATGCGATGGTTGTAACTTTACCATCTGGTAAGGTGGAGGTAACTTGGACAACTTGAGTTGAGGTACTCTCAACACCTGAACCAATTGAAACACTAGCTTTTGAAGTTGAAATTGAACTTTTACCAGGAGTAACTTCAGCACTTGATTTAACTGTAGTAACTGAAGTAGCTGCGACTGGGGTAGTCTCTGATGTTGATGCAACTGTTGCACTTGATTCTTCCTTGATTGTAGTAGTTGATGGAACGGCAATTGGTGTGGTTTCAGAAGTTGAAGCAACGGTGTTAGGAACACTTGATGGAGAGTATGATGAATCAGAGCTTAATGGACAATAAGTTGTGTAGACATTGATGATGTTACCAAGTGTTTGAGTAACAGTTTGAACAACAACTGTGGTTGGTTCTTCAGTACAAACATGGCCAGAGCATGAAGTAACGGTTGCAATAGTGGTTTGCAAGTTTTCGACCACAGCTGTGGAAGTGGATAGTTCACCAGCAACAACGTTAGAGGAATCTCCAGTGCCTGAAATTGAAGCTTCTGAAATTGATGAAGAAGAAACTGGTTCAACTGTGGACGCTGTGTCAGAATTGGATGGTGAAGAAATAACTGTAGCTGAAGCAGATGGTGATTCTGAAGCTATCAAACTAGATAAAACAGATGTAGTAGCAGATGAAGAAGTAGAGGATAATGATGAAGAGGCTGATGCAGTGATAGTATTACTCAAGGTGAAACTTTGAGTAGCTCTCTTGACAAGTTTAGCCCCGTTTCTATCAGTAATAGCAATGACGATATCAATGGTAGCTGATTGACCAGTGAATGGAGCAGCAACAATATGGGCTTGCAATGTTTCACCATCTTCAATTTCACCATCATAATTGTATTGGAAGGAACCGCCATTTTGTTGGAAGACCGATGGGGAAACTTTTGAGCCAGAAACCAATAAATCAATATGACTGTATGTAAATTCAGCTTCTTTAGCAGAATAAATCTCAACAAGACTCCAAGGACCTAGTTCAAATGGTATATAAACATCCCATATTGGTGAGCCATCGACAAATGAACCATTGATAGATGGTGTTGCTGATGAACTTGGCAAAGCAGATGATGATTCCGAAACGACTGGTACTGAACTGGAACTGTTAAAATAACCGGAGAATGTTGAGCTTAGAGCTGATGGAGAAGAACTTAATAACGAAGATGATGATGGGACAGTTGCTGAAATGGTTGGGAAAGAAGAAGGGAATGAGCTTGGGTATTCAGAAACGGAAGCAGCGTTAGAGACGTCTGAACTTTCAATAGAAGCAACTGAAGATAGCACAGGACTGGATGACTCGACAGCAGAGCTGGATAATTCATTAATGGAGCTAGTAATACCAGAGCTTGATGGTTCAGCACTGGAGACAGATGACTCGACAGCAGAGCTAGCATCAGAGCTGGAGGATTCATTAATGGAGCTAGTAATGGCAGAGCTTGATGATTCAATGCTGGAGTCAGATGAGGATGCACTGGTGCTGAAAACAGATAAAGAACTTGATGATTCTGAACTCGAAATAGCCTCTGAGCTTGAAATAACAGAAGAGCTTGAAATAGCTGATGAGATTGAGCTTGCACTTGAAGAGCTTGAAGAGCTTGATAATGAGCTTGAACTTGTTGGGGTACAAGTGGTCAAACCTGTTGGACCATTATAGTAGTCACCTAATGATGAAGATGAAGCAAAAATGCTAACAGTAGATGCTGATGTATAGTCAATAGAGTTTGTGGAAACAATATCTGTTTGTGAGTAGCTAGCAGCCTGAACAGAGCTTGGAACATCACCTGTAATCTCAACAACGCTTTCATCACTTGAGTTTTTGATCGGCTCACCAATCAAAATTTCCTTGTTTTCAGCATCAAAAACAAAGTAGAAATTGTTGAAAAAGGTCCAACCTAATTGAAATGACCCTTGCGAGCTGACTCTCCAATTAACTGTACAGTAATCAGTACCAGAGACACCTTGAACAAATGAGGATGTTGGAATTTCAATTTGGATACCACCAAAATCTAAAGTTAAAGATTGAGCTTTCAAACAATCAAAGATGTAACCTTTCAAAGTTGACTCATATTTTGCTTCTAATTTGTTAATCAACTTGTTATAAACATCTTCTGGTAAATATAAACCTGTTGAAGAACCTGTATCAATCAAAATTGGATAAGAGTTACCGTTTGTCAAAGTTTCACAACCATGGTAAAAGTCAAATAGTTTAACATTCCAAGATTGAGCATCAATAACAGGGATGGCGGTTAAGTCACCACTGAATTTAGAAGTATCAATACCACCAAATGTAAATTCACCTTTTGTTAAAGAATCTTGATAAACTGAAAAGACTCTCTTGGAAATGATTTCTTGTTTAAACAAGGTATCAATAAAAGTTGGATCTGGAGAATCTGGATAGTAACCTAAACCAAAAATGTTGGTTGAATCTGCAGCATCATCAACGAGGCCAAAAGTTAAGTTAGCAGTATGTGTATTTTCGTTATCAAATGACACATTATCAGCGACCCATGTACCTTTGAACGATGTACCATCAGCATAATCAACAGAGTAATCTTTATGCAAGGAGATCAAAGAAGTAGAGTCGTTACCATTGAAACCATTTTTTGAAATTGAGCTGTCTTGAACATAACTTGTGTAGGAACCTGTATCAAATGATACAAAAACTTTTTGGTGTTCACTACCGAAGTAAAAATCAGTACCTGGAATGATATAAGTTTGAACTGAAGTGTCAGTTTCAAAAGCATCTTTCTTGACTAATCTTTCTAAACCACCATTTGGACCAACTGGGACTCTTAGCAAAGCAAACGCTTGTGGTAACAATGATGCAATACCTAATAAGCACTTGTAACTTAGCATGATAAAAACTTCCGAACTTTAATAAAACCTTAACGCAATAGAAAATAACTTAAACGTAAATGAATGATGAATGAATGAATTAATAGTTGGTAGTTGTATTAGAATAAACGAGCGTATGGGGTTAGACCTGTTGGAGTTGTGAAGAGTTTGAGGTATTCAAGATACTGTGTGTTGTTGAAAGTGGGCGGTAAGACCATTATATACTCTCGCAATCAGATTGCCGATGAAAGCACCCCAAGGCATAGCTTCCTCTATTCGTCAACTCAGGCTGCTTTTCTCAGATGGATCCATGACTTTTATTGGAAGGGTTTTCAACTCGGAATGCTTGTGTACAGGTTAAATCAGCACCATCATCATTTTGATTCGCGTTTTTCCTCCGTTTTTTGTGAAAAATTCACCATTCCACGAATCCACGAGCACACCAACCAAAACAAATAAACAGAGATCAGCCAATCGCCTAAGGAACGAGGTCAATTCAGATCGAGGGTCCCGAAAGCAAACATTCAAAGCCAAAGGGAACCATTTTACAAACTATGTACATGTACTACACACTGAAGTTTCATGGAGTCTATTCTGTTGAGGAGCTTAAAATTTCAGGGGCTAGCCCAATTGCCGATGTCTGTTTACGCAGGTACGTGCTTTTTTTGAGTGAAAAAATGTTGTATTTGTTCATTTGGTGACCGAATCGAGAATCGAAAAGTTCAGATTTCGGCCTGCAAAATGAATCCCACCAAAAAGGGACGTGAAGTTGCAAGATCTGGCAAGAACTACAAACGTTTGGTTTTGCGAAATGTAACTGCAAGTGGCTCAGGAATCACATACCAAAGAGCCAAACACGTAAATAATATGAACACACCTGATCAAGCGTTGCTAGAGGTCCGAGTGCTCAACTTTCGAAATGTTACATCAGAGCCAGCTTATCTGTGCAGTGTAGCAAATGTTACAGTGACTACACCGCTGTTCAGTACAAAGACACAATTTTATTCAAACAATACAAACTAATATAAATATATTTCTTTTAAACTTCTAGCTTTTTTTTTTGAAATATCACCTCATCAACAACCCATCAGAAAGAATTACCAAAACCCTGACCAGTTGGTTGATATCCTAAACCTGTAGCAGGAGAACCATTAGTGATCATCAATCTTTGGTTTCCTAAAACTGGTTCTTCATCTTTTTGCTTAGCTTCGTCTCTAATTTTCAAATCATCCAACAATTTCTTCAAACCATCACTTCTTTCTCTTTCAACAGCAATTTGGTATGGTTTAATGTAATCATTCAAGTCATGTAACCAAGCTAATTCAATGACCTTATCGTAGTGAATTAAATCATATGCACTGTACAACAAAGCAATGAATGATTCATTGTTACCAGTTTCAACGAAATAAGTCAACAAGTCTTCAGCAACATCAGTTGATTTGGAAATAGCAGCAGTTTCAATGGCATCTTTCCACAATTGATCTGTTTTCAAGATTGACAAAGCCTTATTCCATTTCTTGTTTTTACGGTATAAACGAGCAGCAATTTGTCTGAAGAAAATCAAATCATGTTTTTCTAATCTTGCAGCAAGATCAATTGAATCAAATTTGTCATGTGTATCAACAACGGTACCCAAAGTCTTATAGTCTTCCTCTTCAATTAACAAATCATGGTAAGCGGCATTAACAACAGAGTTATTTTTGTCCAAAACACTAACCAAGAATGGTTTAATTAATGGTAAATTATCTGATTTTTGGAATAGTCTTACAACTCTTGGAATATCAATTCTTGGGGTCAAAACAGTCAATAAATCAGTGATCAAAGATGGATGTTCGTTGACATAGAAATTTATAGCTTTGTAGTAAATTTCTAAGTTAGCAACCTTGACAATAATTTCTTTGAAAGAAGAATGATCAAAACTTGAAGCGGCTTTTTCAATCATGGTCAAAGCAGCATTATCCCATTCATCATAATGAGCATATAAAAAGATCAATTCTGGCCATAAGTGTGCAGTTTCAGTTGCTCTAATAACTTTTGGAATGTTGATTCTTGACCAAAATAATTTCAAGTGTTCTAAGGTTTTTGATGGGTTGTACTTGGTGTATAAAATAGCCAACTCTGTAAACATACCCATATGAGCTCTTTCTAAACCTAAACCAGCTTCAAATAATGAAATCAATTGATCAAAGTAACCTTCACTTTCATATTTTTCAACTAATTCACTCAACTCTTCAGCATGGACAATCAAGTTCAAACCACAAATTTGAGCCAAACGGAATTCTTTATGTTCGAGACATGCGTCATTAACTTGCTTCCAGACCTTAGTGTTACTAGCCTTTCTAGCACATTCAACAGCTGATTGGTAATCATCCAAGAAAACTAAAGTACTTGCCAATTTTGAGTAATTTGAAACTGATGAATACAATAGTTTAGCAGCTTTATAATCTTTACGATCATATAATTTATCACCAACTTCATTTAAATCAGCGACATTTGAGCCATTCAAAAATGATTCAATTTCATTCAATTTACCAAGCTCAGCATATGCAACGACAATCTCACCATCAATCTTTGGTTCCTTGTAATGTTCTCTAGCCATCAATAAGAATTTGATCAACTCTTCAAATTTACCAGCAGAATCAGCAATATCAATAACGGATTCAAAGTTTGAAGCATCACCAGCTTTGATGTATGAATCAATAGCTTCTGGAATACGCAAACCATCTAATTGAGCAGTACCTAATTGACTCCATAATTGTGATTCACCAATCTTTTCAGCATAAGTCTCACCTCTGTCCAAAGACAAGATATCTTCAACTAAAACTTTCAATGCTTGAGAGTGCAATTTATTCTTGTCATAAATTTCAAAAGCTTCTTCATGTAAACCAGCTTCAGTACATAGGGTACCAATTTCATTTGGATCAAATTGGTCTAATTTCTCAATGTATGAGCTAACCTTAGTTGGTTCAACTTTAATAGCAGTTAATAATAACAAACCTTGTAATGATGGGTTATCATTGAATGGTGATGGCTCTAAAATGATCTTTTCTAGCAATTCAACCAACTCTAGAGTTAATCCATTATCCATAAAAGCTTTAACTGTCAATGAAACAGGTTCTGGATCAGTCAATTCTGGAACAGCAGTACCAACAACTTGATCAATTAATTGTCTTCTGTGAATGTTTTCTTCACTCAAAACTTTGTTCCATAAGTTCAAATCAGATCTTTTCAATAAGTATCTAGCTTGATATTTGTACATAGAGTTTTCATTGGTGATTCTAATTAATTCATCATCATTAGCACCTCTTTCATAAGCTATGTATGCAAGATATGGATCTCTCTTCTCACAGTAATGACCAACTTCTAAAGTATCATAAGAGTCATTTTCTTTCAAAAACTTTTCTGGATTGTTGTTTGAATCGATGTAGATTTTAGCTAAAGTGTTGAAAACAGCTTGATCTTGAGAGCCAGCATTCAAAGTAGCTTCTAGGAATGGTAATAATAACTTCAAACGGTTTCTCTTTTCAACTTCAGCAGTTAACTCAGCAATTGGAACTTGACCAAGGACACTTTGAATCAAGTTTTGGATAACTTTTTCGTCACAATCAACATCTAACAAAGCAGCAACAACTTGTGGAGTTTTTGATGGGTTAACTTGTTGAACATAAACTTCAATAAACTTGAAAAATTGATGTTTGTACAAGTACAAAATCAAATCATGAATATAATCAAAACGGTCGCAAACAATAATCAATGGCAATTGATCTTGTAAATTGGCATCTTTCAAAAAGTTTTTAACTTTTTCTGGATCATAAACATTGTTATCTTTAACAACACGCTCAATTTCTTTGACTTGGCCCAATTTTGAAGCAGATTGAATATATTTGAAAACAACATCTTTGTCATCAGTTAAGTTAACAATAGAAGCCAAGTAGTAGTACAAACCTTCATGACAACGGAACTCTTCGAACAATTTGACCAAAGTAGCAGAACCCAATAAATCAGAATATTTGGTGGCGACTTGGATAACAATTTGTAAATTTTGAGCAATGTTTCTGTCCAACAATTCTCTCAAGGCAACCAAAGATTGTTCAACATTTAGTTTACCAAAGTATGAAACTAACCAATCAGCTGGGATAGCGTTTGTGTTGACAATAACCCTCTTGATGTCTTTGATATCTGAGTAGTTTTCCAAAGCTCTTTGATATAAACCAGCCTTTTCTGCCAATTGTGCAATAGTTGGTTTATCATAATGATGGAACATATCGTTACCAAGAATAGCATCAGCAACTTGTGGAGCATGTAGTAAGTTGATTTCCAATAATCTTGTTTGTAAATGTCCTTGGTTTGGGGAATCATCTTTCAAAGCATCCAATAAGAATGATGTACCTTGTTGAATAAAGTTTTGACTAAAGAAAATATCAGCAATTTTTTCAACTTCAATTTGCTCGCTTGTTGATGGTGAGTTTAATAAACTAATGGCAAATTCCGAAGCTTTATCTGGATTTGATCTTAATAAGTTTGAAATCAAAACAATAAAGTTTGGTTGATAGCCAACTTTTTCACTGTATGGCAAGATTTTATCAAATTGACCAGATTCAGCTAATGCAGAGATAACTTTTGGATGAGTTTTAGCTCTCAAGTAAATCGCTAATGCTAAGTTCAAATCAAATGGTTTAACAATATCACCTAATTCTTCTGAGGAGGTCAATTTATCTTCCTTCAACCATTTTTCAAACAATTGTTTACGATCTTGTTGTAAGACTGGTTTAGCTAATTCAATAGTTTCAAATTGATTTAATTGACCTTTGTCCAATAAAGTTGAAAAATATTGTAAAATTGGAGAGATAGAACCTGGTGGGGCTTGAATATTTTTCAATTTTTGAATAGTGGTTGGTGTTCTCAATTGTTCTGAAGATGCAGCAACTTTAGCAGCATTTGAGTAATCACCTTGATTCAATAAAGTGTCAAATTGTTGCAAAAACAAGTTTTCAGCACCTGGTAAACCACCTCTTGAAGCCAATGATAAAGCTAATGGGACATTAGCCAATTTGTTCAAAACGTATGGAATCAATTTATCTTTTGAAATTTCAACAGCCAAAACTTGACCATTTTTGTTGATAGCCAAGATACCGTTACGATCATCATAACTTGAAGCAATGAAAACTAGAATGGCAGTAATTCTGTTGACGAACAAGTTTTGACCACTTTCTAAATCATATAAATGGATGAAACCATATTTGGTCAACAAATAAATGATACCGTATTTCTTAGAGATTTGTAAACTAATTGGGAAATCATTTACAGCATCTGGAGGGAAGAAAATGTCAACTGTTTTCTTTTGAAATGGTGGGTTATTGTTGTCATGATCGATTTCGATGATGTGTAATTGTCCCGCAGTAGCAGTTCTATTACCACAAACAAACACTTGAGTTGGAGAACTAGCATTTTCCAAAGTTATTGAGCTGAAATTTGCAACATGACCTTCAATAGCTTGTGAAACATTTCTTTGTTTAGAGTAAAGTTGAATTTTACCAGCGATACGACCATTTTCTTGAGTAATACCAACAACGGCAAACCAATCAAAGTTGGCATTAGCAACAAAATTAATGATTTGAGCATTGTTTAAATTGGCATGTCTTGTAGTCAATTTAGTTGGGCCTGATGAAGGTTGGCCATCAAAAACATTCCAAGTGTAAATAGATGAGGCAGTAACCAAACCCAATTGTTCATCATTAAGCCATTTCCAAAAGATAACTGGTTCATCAGTGTTGAAAGACTTTAGCTTTTCTTTAGTTTGTAAGTTAAAGATCTGTAAAGTTGTACCATTAGCTCTTAATGAAATGATAAATTGTGAAGGGTGTAAAATAGCATTATCGGCAGTCATGTTTTTTCTAGTGACCTGGTTGTTGTTTTGCAAATCAACAATGGCAACAGTATTTGTACCATTGACTTGCTCCCTAACAACGACATAACGATCACTTTCCAAAGTTGTTGATCTGAATTCGAGTGATTGTTGATTTATCCCAAGAGAGGTCAAATCAGCCAACTCTGTGAATTCAATTGGAATGTCACTCATGTTGTATGTTTAAAAAATCTTTGAAGCAATTCGACCGATACAACTGAGCTTAAAACTTTGTAATTGAATTATAATTTGACTTAATCGACTTGAATTTTTGTTGAACTTCGATAACTGTGTTGATTCGGTAGATTCGTTGTCGTGTTTTTTTGCTAGCAGCCCCTAATTTTGCCAGCGCCCACACAAAATTCTAGATTAGGGTGGAAAGGGCGGGCGACTGCTTAGCTAAAGAGATCGTGTAGAGGACACATCAAGACAGGGTGAGTTATATAGAGGGCGACGATATCCGGAAGTATAATAATACTATCTATTAAATCTATTTAAACAAAGCTTCTAGGTCGAATTCACCATTAACCTTTGTGACCACACCGTCTTCGGTGACAATACCGTCAATTAAATCATGAGGAGTGATATCAAAAGATGGGTTCCATACTTCAATACCCGGTGCTGCAACACCAACTTTACCACTAACAGCATAACCTTTTTCATTTCTTACAACTTCATTAGTAGTAAGATCAATAACACCACCACTGACATTTTGCAATTCATTAGCTGGTCTTTGTTCCACAACGATGTCATCACCATGTTGAGTTTTAAGATCAATTGTAGTCTTTGGCGCAACAACCAAGAATTTGATACCAAATGGTTTGCAGATTAAGGCCAATTGATAAGTACCGATTTTGTTTGCAGTATCACCATTCTTAACAATTCTATCAGCTCCAACGACACATGCCTTAATTGGAGGTTTTGATGGATCTTTATTCAATGATGAAATTAAATAAGTAACCATTGAATCAGTGACTAGTGTTGAAGGGATTTTTTCATAAACTAATTCGTAAGCAGTTAATCTAGCACCTTGGTTATACGGTCTAGTTTCCAATGGGTATACACGTGAAAATTTAGCAGTTGTAGTCTTAATTTTTTTGGTAGCTGGCTCATCTTCATTGATTGTTGTATTGAATTGTTCTGCATGTTTCCATAACGATCTAACAACACCCAAGGCTGTACCATAACCACTTGTAGCTAGTGAACCAGTATTACAAATTGTCAAAACGCTGAAATCACCTTCAAAATTTTCTTTGGCTAAATGTTCCAAGATCCAATCTTTACCATTTTCACCCAATTTAACGTTATTAGTGTAATCATCATCGATTAAATCACAGCCAAACTTCAAGATTTGTGGGTAAAGTTCATCAATTGTGGATGCGCTTGTGGATTTAATAATTTCAATAACTTCATTAACAGCATTTGATAGATTAACAGCAGTTGGTCTACTTGTTACCAAATATTCCAATCTCTGAATTAATTGAGATTTAAAGTTGTTGAAATCTTTCAAATCATAAAATGATTGACCATTAAATTTATCACCAAGAAAGATATTAAGCTCCACGAGGATCGATAAAGTACCGACAATAGCTATAGCTGGAGCACCTCTAACTTGCATTTTTTTGATGACATCGTGGGCATCAGCGATGGTGTTGATGGTGATGTATTCGGTGGCATAGGGAAGCAAAAGTTGGTCCAATATGGAGAGTGAGATGGTCTCTCTATCAAATTTGATCGCTTGAAGGGACATTTAATTGGGTGGTTGGTAAGAGTCTTTAATGTTTAAAGATTCAAGTCGTTTTCTTTTAACATGTTGACTTTAGCATTTCTCGAGAAAAAAAATAAAGTATGGCTCTGCTCCAACTTCTAACCATGGATAGACTTCAAACTTCAATACCCTACAAAAAGAATCAATGGGCTCAAATACCAAAATAAAGAAGGCTCAATCACACAGTCATACACACAGAATGCTTTTTACACCATCATCGTACACTAAATCTCAATCGTCTTATAACGTTGAAATTTGTCATAGTTAACGGGGTTTAATCCAAATTTGGCTCCACAGTCGATCGGCAGATAAAGTACCCTAAAAACATATAAAGGAGTGATAAAGGAAGCCCAAATGAACTTCTGATAAAATGCTTCTCTCAAGTCAATTGAATTGATTATATTGGACAATGTCTGACCTCAAGTTGAATAATCCCACTTCAACCAATTCAAAGTTCAAAAGACACCTTTTAGGTGCTTTAATGATCTTATCTTTGATAAGTTATTCAATTTATACCCATATTTCATGTTTCAACGAGACTGCTATTGAAATTCCACCAAACCCATACGCTAATATCAAACCATTACGTCCAAGTGATTCAAAGAAGGCTCATTTCATCTACACAGACCCTGAATTCAGAAACAAATCACTAGAAACATATCAAGGTATTTTACAAATCCCAACAGAAGTTTATGATTTTACTCAAAGACCAGAAATTGATATTTCAGGATGGGAACCTTTTTTAAAATTACATGAATATCTTGAAGAGACATTTCCGTTGGTGTTTAAACATTTAAAAGTGGAAAAAATTAATAAACTTGGATTGATTGTTACGTATCAAGGTTCTGATTCCTCATTACCCCCATTATTATTAACTGCTCACCAGGATGTTGTCCCTGTTGATACTGATACTTTGAAAAGTTGGAAATACCCACCTTATTCAGCACATTTTGATGGTCAATTCGTTTGGGCTAGGGGTTCTGCTGATACTAAAAATTTATTATCAGGTATTTTTGAAACTTTTGAAGAATTGTTAAAAGATGGGGTTAAGCCTAAAAGAACCATTATATTTGCAGGTGGTTATGATGAAGAAGCTATTGGAAGGTATGATGGTGCTGTCTCATTAAGTTCGTTCCTAGAGGAAAGATATGGTCATAAATCCTTCTATGGTCTAGTTGATGAAGGTGGTAGTGTTTCGAAATTTGGAGATTCATGGATTGCAACTCCATCCATTGGTGAAAAGGGTTATTTAGATATTTATATTGAGCTCTTCGTTCCAGGTGGGCATTCATCAATCCCACCAGATCACACTTCAATTGGAATTGTTGGTGAATTGACTACATTGATTGAATCTAACCCATATCCTTCAGTTTTGACACTTGATAATCCTATTTTGGATTTGTTAAGAACCGTTGGTGAGACTTCAAATGAGTTAGATGATTCTATCAGATATGATTATATCCATGCTAAATTTGATGAAGGCGCCCTTAAGAGAACATTGGAAAGATTGACTAAAGAAAAGGGAACAAAATACTTGGTTCGCACAAGTCAAGCTATTGATATCATTCAAGCAGGTGTTAAAATCAATGCTTTACCTGAAGTGTTGACATTGGGAATCAATCATAGAATCTCATTGGAACTAACCGCTGATGAAATCATTCATAACGTTGTGGGTCATGTTGAAAAAATTGCTAAAAAGCATAACCTGGGCTTAACGTGGAATAATAGTGAAGTTATTCTTGATACTACAGATGAAGGTCATTTCAATGTTTATTCAGTGCAAGCTTTGGATCCATCACCTTTATCAACCACAAATGATAAGACTTGGGATGTCTTTGCAAGTAGTATCAAACATACTTATGATGATATTGTGTTCAAAAGTTCAAATGACACAATTTCAGTGGCACCTTCTTTGGTTGGTGGTTATACGGACGCTTCAAGATATTGGCCTTTAACAGACCACGTTTACAGATTCATTGCAGCTACAGGAGCTGGTTATGATATTCATGCGATCAATGAACGCTTTGAATTTGATAGTCATTTACAAACCATTGCGTTTTTGTATGATTATATCTTGAACGTTAACGAGTATGATAGTTGAATTTGAATCATAGGAATCTACTAGTTTTAGATCATAAATAAAAACTCCATTTGTATCAAAAAAATCAATCTAAATATTCTATAATAAATATCTATTTGTCCAAGACTTTAACTTCATTGTCGATGAAGGTCTTTTCATATGGACCAGAAACTGGAGTACCAAAGACGATTTGAGCTTGAACAGACCAAGATTTTGGAACTCTATCACCTAAAGCAGCTTGAACATAACCATTGTAATGTTGTAAATGACCACCTAAACCAATTTCTTGTAAAGCGGCCCAAGTGTTGATTTGAGCAGCACCGTTAGCAGTAGTGGCCCAGATTGGGAAGTATGGAGCATAAATGGCGAAATCAGTTTGGAATTTCTTGACGGTTTCTTCTTCATCAAAGAAAATAATTGAACCATAAGCTTCATCTTTTGCAGAAATTGGTCTTTTTTTACCAGATTCATTTTCAATGGCATCAGCAACTGAACCCCATATTTGTTTGTGTAATTCACCAGTGACAATAACAGCTCTGACGGTTTGAGAGTTGAATGAAGTTGGAGTGTGTTTGACGATTTGTTGAACGATGCTTTGAACTTGGTCAACAGTGACACCTTCTGGTAAAGTGTTTTGTAAAGCGTAATGGGTACGTCGAGAAGTGATGGTTTTCAAGAATTGAGACATTGTGAGTTGTATGATATGGATCAACAGACAGACTACATCTTTCAACAGAGGAAATGGATGTGTATTTATATTTGCAAACTGTGGACGCATTGATTAGAAAGATGCACCTGAGTTTCACCGTTTCACGTACTGAAAAGTTGACAAATAATCTGACTAAAACATTTCAAATCTGAGCCTCGGACATGTATGGCGTCTAGTTTAGGCAGACAACTCCGTGTGGATACATAGATATTAACTAGTGTACAATAGTGATACGTTAGTAATTTGATTTATAATACAGGTTGGATTGTTCATGGTGTTGTGTCAAAAGATATACCCGATCACTGTCGCTTCTATAGTGAAGTGTATATTCAATTGGCTGTTTTAAGTTTAGTCAACTAAAGAAACAGCTCTTGGGCGAGTCAAGGGCATGAGCAGCCGCTTCCGTCTACAATCAATTGACTTACTACAACTAGCTCAAGCGTAGCACCATAATTCCAATCTGAATCCCTCCCTGGCTTTACCATCCTCTTACACCACCTCTTCTGCTACGCGACTCTCTAATTGGCCAGTTTGAATATCTTCTTTATCATGTGCAGGAAAAATTAATTCTCTTGTTGGACGCAATCAAAAAAAAAAAATTATTGTTCATCGACAAATGTTGAAAACCCTTCGATCAAGTACAACTCGTCAATTCTTGAAATCAATAACAACTTTGAAGATGTCTGCCGAATTAACTCACCCAACTATCAAGGACGGATGGTTCAGAGAAATCTCTGACACCATGTGGCCAGGTCAAGCAATGGCTCTACGTGTTAAGAAAATTCTCCACGTTGAACAATCAAAATATCAAGATGTTTTAGTCTTTGAATCAACTGATTATGGTAATGTTTTAGTCTTGGATAACGTTATTCAAGCCACTGAAAGAGATGAATTCTCTTACCAAGAAATGATTACCCATTTGGCCATGAACTCTCACCCAAACCCAAAGAAAGTCCTTGTCATCGGTGGTGGTGACGGTGGTGTCTTGAGAGAAGTTATCAAACATGAATCTGTTGAAGAAGCTGTTTTGTGTGACATTGATGAAGCCGTTATTAGAGTTTCCAAAGAATACTTGCCAGAAATGTCTGCTTCTTACAAACATCCAAAAGTCAAAACTCATATTGGTGATGGTTTCAAATTCTTGGATGATTACAAAAACACTTTTGATGTTATCATCACTGACTCTTCAGATCCAGAAGGTCCAGCTGAATCTCTATTCCAAAAACCTTACTTCCAATTGTTGAAAGAAGCCCTAACTGAAAAAGGTGTTATTACCACTCAAGCTGAAAACATTTGGTTACACATGAAAATCATCACTGATTTGAAAAAAGCTTGTAAAGAAGTCTTCCCAGTTGCTGAATATGCCTACACCACTATTCCAACTTACCCATCTGGTCAAATTGGGTTCATGGTTTGTTCAAAAGATGCTAATGCTAATGTTAAAACTCCATTGCGTTCAATCTCTGAAGAACAAGAAGCTAAACTATACAGATACTACAACAAGGCAATCCATTCAGCTTCATTTGTCCTACCGACATGGGCTGCTAAAGCTTTAGAATAGATTTTAAATTCGATTTAATTTCCCTTGGATGTGATTGAAAAATATTGTAGTGCCCAATACCATCTTTGATTTTTCACATCTTCAAAAATGTAAACAAAAAAGCCTACATCAAAGATTCTAATACACACCAGCTTCTTCAATGCCCGAAAGAATAGTTGGAATAGCAGGCGGTGGGTATGAAGCTGCTATTTGCGACTTACTACCAGCAAATAAAGACAGATCCACACTAGTCCACACGCTCATTAATGCATATGGTTTAGATTCTTATTGTGAACCAATTACAGTACGACAAGCTACAAAAGAAGAATTGACCAAATTTCATGATAGCTCTTATGTCAATTATGTTTTGAGGAGAAGGAAATCAATAGATGAAGGACTGCCTTCAAACCTACACTCTAAATTGGGGAAATATCAAATTGGACAAGATGGTTCAGATTCAGATTCAGATCAAAGCGATGATTCAGATCAAGAATCAGATTCAAATGACACTTTACTAAGTTATGGATTGTTATATGACTGTCCGGTATTTCCATACATGCCACAATATATCACAACAGTAGCTGGCTCTACAATATCTGCTGCTAAATACTTGACAAAACCTCGTGAAGAACAAATCCAACGCGTTGCAATCAATTGGAATGGTGGTCGTCACCATGCCAAAAGGGCAAGGGCGTCAGGTTTTTGCTATGTTAATGATATAGTGCTCGGTATATTGGAACTCAGGAAGAGATATGAAAAAGTTATGTATATTGATCTTGATTTACATCATGGTGATGGTGTGGAGACCGCTTTCAAATTTTCTGATAAAGTATTGACGTTTTCAATCCATAGAAAAGATGTTGGGTTTTTTCCGGGGACTGGTGAATTAGATGATGTTGGGAAGGGGAAAGGTTCTGGTTACTGTTTCAATGTTCCTATAAGGCATGGTTTGAATGATGGCTCGCTGGAGAAAGTCTTAGATGGTTGTTTGATGCCAACAATTCAAAAATTCAATCCCGGGTGTATTGTGGTACAGTGTGGTGTTGATGGATTAAGTAGTGATGAGCATCAAGAATGGAATCTTACTATAAAAGGTTTTGGAAAAGAAGTTGCTAAGATTCTTGATGTCGGGAAACCAACACTATTGTTGGGAGGAGGTGGATATGAACATAGGCAAGTTGCTAGATGTTGGACATACCTAACAGATATCGCATTAGGAAAAGATACAGTGTTTGATTTAATACCTGAACATGATAAATCAGATGTTTATGAAGATGAAAATTACGAGTTTTGGAATATTCCATCAAAGAACATGATTGATGAAAATGACGATGAATATATTGAGATGCTTAAAGATGCTATAACGGGGAGAATTAATTCATGGTAAACGATCACCGAACTTAGATTTCCAATTAGGATTCCATCTATCTGCACTTTTCAATACTGCACCTTTCTTCAAAGTTTCATAATAACTTTCATCTTTGAATAGTTTTTCCAAGCTGTTGAACATTTCATTTGAATCCTTAACAGATAACCCATTCACACCTTCAGTCACAAGTTCTGGTAATGCAGGGAAACCAAGTGCAATAACAGGAACACCACAACCAAACATATCAACAACCTTCATTGGTAAATCAATCCCGCTTGACGAAGTGTGTAAAGAAACACCAACATCCGCAGTAGCTAATATCTTTGGATAATCTTCAGCTGTCAACCATGCATTTAATACATCAATTTTTTTGAAATCTGCATCTTGAACTTTTTGTAAAAATTCATTCTTCATTGGCCCTTTACCTGTGATGATAACTTTCAATTTAGGCAGAGTAGATTGGGTATCATATTTCCTTAAAGCGTCAATCAAGATGTTGAAATCTTCATCAGGTGTAAAAGAAGTGGAACTGATCAATACTTTATCAGTTGATGCGTCAAATTTTGCAAATAAATTAGGATGTTTTGAAATGACATCTTGTCTCTCATCAATTGTCAAAGGTTTGAACTGTTCAGCTGCCTTATCATACAAGACAATGATTCTTTTCTTTTCAACACCACATTGCTTTTGTAAAAATTTACGCATAGCATCTGTCACTGTTAGATTGATATCAGCAAATGAAGCCAATAACTTTTCATAAATTCTTGAAATTGCCACAAATGGATGAGTTGGTGCTAATTTGATTTGAAGGATACTAAACCCCAAGTTATGCCAGTCAATAATTAACTTTGTTCTTGTAAGGTACTTATAAACAACTGCAATATATAATGTTGGAATTGAAGGAGGGTTTTGAACCAATAGATAGTTTGCACCTCTCAATTCAAACAATAATTTTGATATATTAATTATTTGTCCCAGCACTTTCAACACACCAAAAACAATGAAAGGTAAATTATGAGTGTTCCTTATGATTTTGATTTCATTGATACTAACATTTTCATTCTCAGTCAAATCGATTGGTGGTGCTTCTTCTAAATAACCACACAAATCAACACTATACCCCTTATCAGCAAAGCTTCTGGCATGGTAGCAGATTCTAGGAGAGTGCCCCAAGTCACCAAGCACAAATATTATTACCCTTTTCTTTGTGGACACGTTACCATAAATGTAAGGTAGCACAACATAGGTCAGCACTGGGAGCAGGAAGTACAGCCCGATTAAATACCAAACCCAGGTTGGATAGTCCAGGTAGTTGACAAACTGGACAACTTTGGCGTAGATGAAGCCAGCAATTGGGATGTTCACTATCGACACCATTGCAGTCCACTTCCAATAAGCCAATGTCTCTATTTTCTTCACCAAATTTAGTGTATTGTGAGCCTTGAATCGTGATGATTTGTTGATGTTTTTGCGTGTCAATAGCAAGAATTTGATGCTACGTCAAGAAAAACATTTTTCTTTCGTGAAAACGACAATTACTTGTTTACACTTAAGGCACTCGCAATACAACACGCAACAATCACTCCAAAAAGCATCACAATGGTGAGTATCATGGGCTATAGAATTGATTGGAATTGATGGGTAATGGATTCATAACATTTGACGCCATAGCTGCTGTTAATGCTGGTGTTTTATGAGCATATTACACGTCTCTTCATTCCCTAGACTGTTTTTTTTTTTGGATGGCGATTCACCAACAACAAGCTGACCAGGAGCATGGGTTTATCAACAATTCCGATCTTGTTTTTGAAAGTATCAATACTAATGGTTCAAATAGGCCTCTGAAAAATTGACTGAAGAACAAATTGCTGAATTCAAAGAAGCTTTCGCTCTATTCGATAAAGATCAAGATGGTCGTATTTCAGGTACCGAATTATCAACTGTCATGAGATCATTAGGATTCTGTCCTTCTGAATCAGAAGTCACCGATATGATGAATGAAATAGATGTCAATGGTGACCACCAAATTGAATTTAGTGAATTTTTAGCCTTAATGAGCAGGTGAGTATAAACTTTTACGTTGGTTTAATCCGATGATGCCAGCAAAAAAAAACACAGGCGGAACATTTATTAACATCCATGAAAGACAATTGAAAACAAATGATTCAGAACAAGAATTACTAGAAGCTTTTAAAGTGTTTGATAAAGTAAGTGGCTGATATATTTTTCCTTTTCATGGATTTATCAATACTAATCTATTTATAGAACGGTGATGGTGTAATTTCAGCAGCTGAATTAAAACATGTTTTAACTTCAATTGGTGAAAAATTAACAGATAAAGAAGTTGATCAAATGATTAACGAAATAAGTGATGGTTCAGGTGAAATTGATATCAAACAATTTGCTGCTCTTTTGTCCAAATAATGATTTAAAACTTATTATTTGCATATTTTGGAACCCTCTTTTTTTTATTTTACTGTTTTACTTGATTTTTAATCTCTTTCTTACTTTTTACGTTAGAAAACAATATAATTTTGTTGTCTACAATTATGCCCAACTTGATGATCCCTTTTAAATACTAGAAATAAAGCTTTTTGTTAGACGCATATCAATTATTTGTGTGTTTAGTTTGTTGTCATACGATGTATACCAAGTGTGTGTTTTTTTAAATGATTGTAAAATTCATGATATCTATTCTCAACTATTAACTTCTATGGAAACGATCATTTTCTTTAGGAACCGCATTCTTTAGATATCGTTTAAATGGATTTTCTTCTTCTTCCTCATCTTCATCCTTCTTTGTAGCTCCTATATCACTTTTACTAACATTACTATTAACTCTGGTGGCTTCAACTTTATCCTTATTTTTTTGAGGTAATTCAGAAACAACTTTTGAAAAATCATTAGCCAAAGCAGAGTTAGCTTGGAAGCTCGGTTTCTTTTTTGGAATAGCTGGTGGTGATGACTTCTTTTCAGGTAATGAAATTTGTGGTTTCTTAGCTGCAATAGGTGGTGGTGTTTTCTTTGTGACATTAATACCTGATGGTTTTGGAGCTAAAGGTGGTGGAGCCTTCTTTGATTTAGCCTCCTCATCTGTAGCACTAATATTTGACGGTTTAGGTTTCAATGGAGGTGGTTGTTTCTTTGGTTTTGTTGACTCTTCAGATTCTGAACGATGTGGTGCCGGTGGTGGTAATGAGAATGAAGAAGCTGCTGAAATTGGAGCTGGAGTTGGAACTGGACGTTCTGGTTTAACATTGTGTGAATTCGTGGCACCATCCTGAGTTCTTCTAAAAGGTTTTGGCGGTGGAGCAAATTGATTCAAAACAGATTGAGGAGCAACAGGTTCAGTTGACGCTGGTGTCTCTGCATTTTGATGAGGAGTGTAGGGTGGAGGTGGAGCTTCATTGTTTTCATGTTCATGTGAAGAAGGAATTGGCGTTGGAACAACACTTGACCTATCTCTTGAAGGTGGTGCAGGTGATGCATTGGCTGGGCTTCTTGCTGGTGGAGCTGGAGGAACAGGTCTTGAAGAACCTGTACCAGTTTTGGAAACAGCGCTTGGTTTCTTGTGATGTTCAGCTGGTGTTGTGCCACGAGGTCTTGGAGGAGGCGCAAATTTGACATCAATTTTGTAATCATAAGAACCAGCTATACCACGATGGACCTCTTCATTCTTTTCACTTTCCAATTTATCACTGGTTGTTTTTCTTGGTGGTAACGATGTGCCACTTTTGGCTGATCCACCAGTTAATTGAGGTGACTTTATAGATGGACTTACAGCTTGGTGTCTTGGAGGAACTGGAAGCTTAGAAAGATCTGGAGACTGAATTGATGGCGAGGCTGGACCGATCTGTTGTGCAGTAGCTTGGGTGTTTATAGCGCCTGGAATCGGTGCTTGTACTGGTTGCCGAATTGAAGCTGGACCTTGTGCTGGTGCTTCATTTTGTACTGGAGGTGGAGCAACTGGTGCTCTTGTATAGGTTCTTGGACCTGGAAGAGGAGGTGGTGCAGTTGAAGTTTCAACAGTATTCGTGCTTGTAGCTGATGAGCCAGTATCTGCCGCTTTGACTGGCACCGCACCTTGATAGTATGGATTTTTCAAATCTAATGGAGGAGCTGTACTATCAGCTGGCTGAACTTCAACAACTTTCTGTTCTGTGTATTGCTGAACAGGCTGTTGTTGTGGTGGTTGCTGTCCACCAGGTTGAAGTGATTGTTGAAGCTGTTGTTGCAATTGCTGTTGGAATGATTGTTGAGGTTGTTCTTGCTGAGTTACTTGTGGGACTGGTTGAATAGGCTGCGTTTGTTGTTGGTAGCCTGGTTGAACAGGAATTTGCTGGTTAGGTTGAGCATACTGCTGAACAGGCTGTTGAACAGGCGCTTGAACATTTTGCTGATATTGTTGAACATTTTGCTGAGGCTGCTGCTGCTGCTGCTGCTGTTCTTGTGGATTTGGATTAGCCTGGCTCTGTTGAGCAGCTGCAAAACTTGAGGCAAATTTACCAGCAAAATTCATAGCTTGTTTTCCATTAATGGAATAAGCTGGCAACTGAATGTTCTGACCTGATATTTGAAGTTGGCTCGCAGGAATTTGAATGTTTCCTGAACTTTTTTCATCACTTGTAGATGATCTTGATGGAACTTGAGGAACTTGAGGAATAGCCCTTTGTTGATATTGAGGAGCTTGTTGAGGAACCTGTTGAGGAACCTGTTGAGGAACCTGTTGAGGAACCTGTTGAGGAACCTGTTGCGGAATCTGTTGAGAAATCTGTTGAGGAGCTTGCTGACATTGCTGCTGTGGTACTTGTTGATTAATCAATTGACCTGTTGTAGGATCATATTGATTATTTTGAGGAGCCACATTGACATAAGCTGTATTTTGCTGATATTGAGCTTCGATTGGCACAGTCTGTTGATATTGTACTTGACCCACTTGGCCCTGTTGATACACAGGAGGTTGACCAGGAGTTGGAATCGGTCTCTCTTGAGCCTGTGTTTGTGTAAACTGGATAGCTTGTCCTGTGTTGGGATCATACTGAGTTGCTTGAGCTGTTGTAGCCAATTGAGCTGTAGGTGGTGTCTTCGATTTACTTGTGTATTGATTTTGACCTGGCTTCAATGGTGGCGCTGGAAAACTATCAGCTTTCGCTAATGCAGTTATTGGCCTGGACTCTCCAAAGTCTGGTGATTGTTTCCCTTTAAACATATTGTTAGTTAACATTCTTTAGTACAACAATCATTTTACTCACCATCTTCAGAACCTCCTTGTTGCCTTGTAATATTGGAATTTCTTTGATTCTGAACTGCATTGTAGCCTGTCTTTCCAACAAACTTTGCTCCTCTATAACTATATTTACCAGCAGCTTTAGCACCTTTGAAAATACTTTCTTTATTGTTATCCCAAAAGTCACTCATTATATGGCTTGATCTCCTTAACCTTGGTAAAGATTTTGTGGTTCAATTCTATGGCTTGTCCTTGAAGAATTTATTAGAGTATGTTAAGTCGTTCTTTTTGAATTGGATGAAGTATTCTGAGGCTATGTGTTCTTAAACGATGATCAATGGTTCAAGAATCAAAACTCACGACTAGTTCATTTCTTGAGCCTTCATTTTCTCTCCAAAGGCTAAATCGCAAGGTGCTATGCTTTCGCGAAATTATTGGTTTTTCAATGTTTACGTGAAACCAGAAAACATATAAACGCGTTGAAATCACTCAAGTCGATGCCCCAAACATAATGTCGTTCTTTGATAGCAATTTGAAGTTATTCAAATCCAATGATATTGTTATAGATTTTAGCTCAAAGAGACTGGCTCACAATTTAAAGATATTGGTCGTTGCAATTTTAGCAGATTCACACGATGATTTGATCATATCTTCAAGTTTATCGACCCTTACAACTGAAGAAATACAAGAGCTCACGAAAGTGAAGCATGAACAAAACATTGAAAATATTAAGGTAAAAGAGTATGATGTGAATACTTTGACAATAACGTTCCCAAATCAGATTTACAAGAAACTATCGCTTACTCTCATCAAAAGTGTGGAACCTTCAACTAAACCATATAGCACATTGATTTTGGCTAGAGGAGTACCAAAGTTCTCAAATTTATTATTACAATGGCTTAAATCAGAAACTGGTGCATTGATAAGGCCCGTCAAATTCCATTCTCAGTTCTTGATAGAATGTATGAATATCGTTGTGAATGGATTATCAAACGATAACTCAAGATTAGGTGATCTGGAATTAGTTTTCAATGCACAAACCCAGCTCAATGCACTTTCAAATATTTCAATAGAGATATCAAATACAGAAATAGAAAAATTCTCCAAAGAAGCTGGTGATGAAGAATTGAGGAAATTGATCTATGAGTTTTTATTTGAAAACACTTCTATTGATTTTGAAAAATTTGATCTAATAAAGTTTAAGTGTAATTTCCTCTACATTACAAGTGATGGGAAACTAAAGTTCTTCAAAGGTATACCCAGATTAGGGGCTTCTGATACTATTGGGTTTACAGCATGGGACTTTATTGAAAAAATATATGAAATCCTATAAGTTTTGAAGCAAATTAAAAACTGTAGTGACGTGGTCGCTCTCATTATTTGATTGGTGAAACAACGTAGTATTCTGATCCCAAAAATTGGGTCAAGAACTTCTTATCTTTATCAGCATAAGAATAATCTGGTAAAGATTCAATTGTATCTTCAATTTGTTTTTTAAGCTTTGCTTTTTCATCATCTGGGAGACTGGTTATATAACTTCTCGATAACCAATAGTCATAAACAATGGTCTTATCGAAAGGATAGATTTTATGCTGGAATTCATTGATAGCAGCATCTGAATCAAAAAAATTTTGATCCTCAAAAGCATCCCTCCATAATCCCTTTCTATACTGAGGAACACCTTGATCTTTAGATTGAGAAAGATATGCAATTTTCTCCCAACCTTCCTTTTGTTTAAGCTCTTCTTCAGTAAGTTTCAAGTCAATTTTTGATCTTTTGAGACTACCATTATTTTCAGTACTATCAAAGTTCCAAATCATTCCCAACTTACCAGTTGGCTTTAAGACTCTTCTGATTTCCTTCAATGAATCTTTATCAGCAAACCAATGGAAACCTTGAGCAATAATGACAGCATCGACTGAATCATCCTCTAATGGTAAGTCATAACTTGATCCTAATCTTGCATCAGCATCTGGGAAATTCTTACTGAAGGATTCAAGCATACCAGATGAAGGTTCCACAATTTTCAAATTATCATTTCTTGACCAACCTAAAGACACAATGTTTTTTGTGAACTTACCTGTACCAGCAGCTAGTTCCAAGACCTTTTTATCAGTATCATAAGAACCATCACTTTTCACAAGCCCTAAATCAACCAAGAACTTTGCAACGAACTCTTTATGGAAATCAGGTCTCACCTTATCATAAAGAGAATGATTTGAATTGAATGAGTTCAATGAAGTTGGATGGACAGTTCCTGCTTTTGTTGATAAAGACATTTTCAACAATGATTGAGAATGAGGGATGGAAGATTTCAAGCAAGAAAAGGAACGAAACATAGAGAATTGTAGTATTTATATTTATTTGAAGACCAGAAGCTGTGGCGGAAACTTTAAGCAGGTGATCTTCAATAACCGGCAACAAATTTAATGGGAACTCATTGTGTATTTAAGTGTTGAACTGATAGCTATGAAATCGGCCTTTTCTCTTCTTGATTCTCCAAAAGTTCAGTTCCTAGAGGACATCATCCGCGACCAAACTCTGAATACTTTATATAACAAGAAGTCAGCTTCCCTTCGCTATATTGATCATATTTAGCAAATGTAGAATCAATTTAGTCCATCTTGAAGCCAATTTCTATCCTCAAGAGAGCCATTTTGTGAATTGTGCGCTCTATGATTGTTCAACCATGTGAATTGTTTGTTTATCATTCTTGTGCGAACGCGTTTGTGGTGACACGTCTCTGGCCAATCAGCGTATCGCGTCAGCTTAGATCAAAAAGTTGACATAAGCGGATAACTAATTTGAGTCTTTGACCCGTGGGCGACGGAACCTCCAGGCTCCAGGCTCCGGTGTAAATTTGAAAAATCTTCCTGTCCACTGTCCAGTGTCTAACCAGCCCATGCTAAAGACATCTGAGAAGGATTCAGCCCTGGAGCAAACGCCCTAGCCTCCAGGGCTCAGATGGCTGCCAGTCAAGCTGCCTATGAGCCTAGCTCCCCAGCCCAGAACTTTTTCATTTCCGCCTAGAGTTCAACGGGGAGTTTTTTCTTTGATGCCAGAAGAATCCGGCATCTTTGGGTCTTCTCTGTACATAAGACTTTCCCTTTTAAGAACGAAAATCCATGTGAGATCCTGCGCCTTGCTCAGCACTGTAACAATTTTTCGAACTGATCCTCAAGAGTCAAGAGTCAAGATCCACAACGCTCCATTAAAAACATCGTATACACAAGTAGAGGATGCCTGTACAGTATTTTGATTCTACAAGGTCCCAGTGAGGCCCTAAGTGCTTTGAGGTCTCAATTTACAAAGCTAATTGTTGAACTTTCTGTTGCTTCAAACTCAGCTTTCAATTCTTGAACCTCTGTCTGCATCTTTCTCTACAAATTTGTACTGATATTTTTTATCATGCAGATCACCGTGATGGGTTTTACAGAGATCTCTTATTCACTCCACTTTTTACAAAATGCTACAAACTTATAAGTAAAATTTCGAGAGATGTCATCCAAACTACTACCAGTACTTCTCAGAATTATATTCTTCTTGTATATGTTTTTTTTACCCTAAATTTGTATCACTTGATGTTTTTTTGACGTTCAATTTAACTTAAAAACTGCTCTTTGATGTGGTTTTTAACATGGGACAATGCTCCCAAAACGTCCAATTCATGCAGAAATTACATTTGTCGCCCCAACAACATTTCCTTATTGAGCGCATAATCCTGTGACAAAAGAAATCTTCACCTTATTTGTTTAGGTCACTGGAAAAAGGACCATTGATATTTTGCAAGTTCAGTTTGAAGCTTGATGGACGAGGATGTTGATTTTCTTGTAGAGAAGTCTTTTTTTAAATATTTATCAATTGTTTTCATCTTTCAACGCGTTCAAACTAGTTATCGTTGAACAACATCTATCCCTTCGCTATCAATCACGATCGCTATCTTCTCAACATCAATATACTAAAATGGAGTTCAATTTTACGAGAAAGTGGCTAAATCTTTTCATAATAACGTTGTTATTCCTTACAGGTCGTGTTTATTCTGATGTCTCCATCTCAAAACCATTGACAGGTCAAACATATCAAGTATCATCTGGGAAAGTAACAGTTCCAATTAGTTGGATAGAGTCTAATGCTGTTCCAAAACTAAGCAACATCAAATCATATACATTCACCTTATGTTCTGGTCCAAATAGTGATATCTTTTCCGTTCATAAACTTGCTGATGGAATTTCTTCCTCTGATATCACTGATTTTTCTTATGAGGTTGATATTGATTCTTCATATGGTAAAGATGGTCAATATTATGTTCAAGTTTATGCTGAAATCGACAAGGGGTACACTATTCACTACACAAATCGTTTCACTTTGAAAGGGATGACAGGTAGTTACACTCCAAGTGTTGGTGGAATTTCCGACCCACCATCAGGCCAAACATCTATTGCTGGTACTGGACAAACTGGTATTGTTTCAATTGATTCTCGTTCTTTTAGTGTTTCATACACAATGCAAACAGGATTAACAAGATATGCTCCAATGCAATTACAACCAGGAAGCACTGTCACAAAAGATAAATCACAATGGTCAAGAAGATACCCAACTAGTGCAGTTACTTATTACACAAGTTTAAGACCTTCACCATCTCAAGTGTCCACTATAACGCCTGGTTGGTCATACACCATGTCATCATTAGTCAATTATGCAAGTCCAGCTTTGAGTCCATCTGCCAATGGTGGTTGGTATAATCCAAGTTCCAAGTTAGTCAAACCAACTATATCAACTCCATCAGAATGGTTAAAGGCTCAAACAACTAGCAAAAAATGAACTATATTCCAGCTTGAATTCACTATCATTTAATGACTTAACGAAAATCCACAATCCTGTTATATTAGAGACAATACATTTTCTATGCTATTTTTGTATACTAACATATGCTTCATATTTTTATAGTTTGCCCTTTCCCTGAATGAAATATTCTTCAAGATTATTGCACACCTTGTAGACCTACACAGAAGTTATTCGAATAAACATTAATGTACATTACTGATTTTAACGGGTCATTCACACACAAAGATATTGGCTTCTATCTCAGTTTCTTGAACGTTTGAAGTTACCACCTCTTTTACCATTTTTGAAACCATTGAATTTTCTCTTTTTGTTGTTTTTGTTACCTCCAAAGTTTTCATTGTTAGCTTTCATTTCAACATATGCAGGTTTGCTCATGATCAATAATTCATTATCTTTGTATTTTGGTTTTTCTGATAGCTCAAGAAATTTTTTAGCATCTTCTGAATCAGCAAATTCAACGAAAACAGATTCTTTGAATTTTTTATTGTCATCTCTTCTTAATCTAACTTCATTGATTTTACCGAATGGTTGGAAAAAAGCTTCGAGATCTTCTTGAGTGGTTGGAGTTTCTTCACCGAAACCTTTAGCATAAATACTTCTTTGGAATCTTGATTGTTTGTCTGAATCACTTGGTGGTAAGATTGGATTTTTACGTTTGATCATTTCACCATTTTCGGAAACAACTAAAAATTCTGATTTTTTCAAAGCATCAACGACAGCAGAAAGTGGTCTGAACTTTTTCATTCTGTTGAAAGAGGCAATTGTACTAATTGAGACCCATCCTTCTTGATTTGATTGAACAGTTCTCCATAAAAATTTATCTTTTGGTAAGTTTGAATCACTAAAGTAGAATTCAACTTGTTTTAAAACTTCTTCTGGTTCAAATTCAGAAGCAGCTTCTTCAGTTTTAGTTTCTTCAGATTTTGGTTCTTCAAGTTTGGCATCATCTGCCTTTGCATCTTCAGGTTTAGCTTCGGATTGTTCTTCTTTTTTATCTTCTTCAGTAACTTCAGTTTTTGATTCAACAACTGGTTCTTCAACGCTGGTTACTTCTTCAGTTTTTGGAACTTCAACTGATTCAACAGCTTGTACCTCTTTGGCTTCACTCATAGTTCTATAGATTGCTTGGAGTCGTTTAAACTTATATGCCAAATCTACTGAAAATTTTACTATTGATGTTGATGAGTGTAAATTTTTTTGAATCGATGACTTGTTACGGGCACATATTACAAAAGCAAAAGAGACCGAGGGTAGTCATGTGATTTTGTTATTCCGGTACATTGTATAGAGCTAAATTCTTTAGTTTATTGGTTAATTAGGCTGCAATTGGGCACTTATATTGATTATCTTGGTTTAAGGATAATGCAACTCTAGAGGACTTTTGCTCTTTTAAGCTTTATTTCATTTTTGGTTCCAACAAGTCAGCCATATGGTCATATACTATCAGTGAACTCGATCTCTTTTCCTCCTTCTAAGCAATCCACAAATTTACAAAATACCTGTTTTGTTTTCATATTGCAAGAAAATGAATATATTTGGTCTGTGAATTGGAAGAACTCTTTGGGTATTGCAGTGTACTTAAGTTCGAGCTCATTTTCAGAGTTTGTATCTTGCAAAATATTAAACTTTTTATCCCAACTTGTACTTATTATTGAGCAGCCCAGAGTGGATTGTGTTTTCTTTAAAACAGAGCCTAGAGCTTTATACTCTTGCACAAGGGTTCCTTGTTGTTTTGTTCCCCAATAAAATGTGGATATGTTATCGATAATCACTAAACCAATGGGTACTTCAGCATCTGATTTTTCAAGTAACGGTGAATCAGGATCCTTTAATGAAACCATAGACTTTATAATAGCTGCTGTTGAATTTCGTGTGTTCACGATTCTGATTCTATCAGCTTGCTCAGGTGATAAGGACGAGGTCAACTTGTTAAAGTATTTGTTCTTTGTATTCCAAACATAGTACGTATCAAAAATAATTATTCGTCCAATTGCACCCTCCATACAGGTCTTGATGTAATTTAAGATAACCTCTGTGATGTATTTATGCCGTATAGGCTGTGGTTGGTCTATCATATGTATGATTGTACATTCTCTTGTATTGGTAAATGGACATTGGATCTCATGTTGAATGGGGCGAACAAACTGAAAACAACATAGTTAGAACAGTAACCTCAATATTCGGGAACATTACTCACATTCTTAAGACTAACTGGCTTGATGTCTTTTATAAGATCCATTGGTTGATCTTTTCATGGTGTTAATGGTGTTTTTGTGAACACTGAAGATCTTAAAGAGAAGAGTTGAACATTTCAAAATCTGCCAAAACATCAGGACATCACTTTAAGCTACATTACAACTGTATCAAACCTTCTCTGATTACCAATATCGTTTATCATTTATAAATTATATACATACATCAATCTAAGATCTCCAAAACAATGGACATGAACCCCGGTATCAAAATGTTGTCATTCAAGTTACTATTTCCTTCCAGGATACCACTTAATGTACATGTTAAAAGTAAAGAATGGAATGTCTTGTTTTGAAAGAACCAACCAATTTGTTTTAAAGCAGCACACACAGCGAATGATGCTGTAACAAAAGTCATTGTACCTTCGACAGTCTTTTGAGAGCGTCCCCAGTTGATTGTTCCATAATTTGACCCAATTATCGAGGCCAACGAATCACCAACCCCGAGCACAACTAATCCAACAACTGAATTATTGAATAAAATAGGTAATGAAATACCAATGAATAAATATATGTATGAAATAATAATTGGACCCTTATCGTCTCTGAAGTCAGCAAATAACCTCAAATTTTTGTCAAGGGTGACACCAAATGGATACAATTTCAAGTATCTGATTTGTTCAACAACCAAGAATAGAATCAACGAACCAGCTAAACTGACCTTGACAAATTCTGCATCTAGATGTAATGGATAAACAATCAGTCCAAGGACTAAGAAATGCCAGATCTTTCTTCTGAAGTTTGGAGATAGCTGAATTTTGTAATTGAAAATGGTTGGAATCAATAAAATCAAGGAAACTAACCAAATTGATAGGATTTGAATTCTTGTTGGTGTAGCAGCGGCATATTCATAGATCCAAACAATAGAATTCTTACCCAATATTGGATCCAATTGATACATTGTTAAACCAACAAAAGTACCAGTCCATGAGCACATCAATAGTATAGTTCTCAGCCAGTTATTTTCGTTATATGTCTTGGTGATCAAATATATCAAAACAATTCCTGCACCAAATGATATAAACAACTTTTGTAAAATCAACACATATAATGAGTCTGAATCAATCAAGTATAAGTCAGTAAGCAATATACTAAACAGATTGACTTCAACTTTATCTAAAGATTTATATTCGGATATTTGCCCCAGCACATAGTTGATAGCTAAATGACCTGCAGTGACTTTAAAATTCACGATGTAATCAGTATGGTCACTATTTGAACCCAAAATTGACATTTGGACCAATATTTTAGCAAAGAATGGAAGATTCAACAAGGTTGAAGTTAATGCAACATTATAGAGCAGTAAGTCTTTATTCAAAGTTAGTGCCAAAAATGAAGGTAAAAAGATCAAATAAATAATATTCCAAGGTGGGAGAGGAATTGGTTCAGTAGACCCTTCTTTTTTAGCGTTATTTGTTTGTACTCTAAATGCAATAATAACAGCTGATACCAAAGCGATAATACCACAAGCAGCACTAATCAACAAATTTGAATCCTTTTCTGATTCCATATAGAGATCTTTATACCTAACATAAGCCAAGTTGATTACAAAAGCCAAAGTTGATAGCTGAATGAATTTATCACTTGAGCCATGTTCATTTGCAATGCCTCCAATCCATCTGAGGAAATCTTCTTGTGGGATAGTTGGAGGTTTTGGTTTATTTTCTTCGGCTTTTTCAGCTTCAAGTTCTTCTAGTTCCTTCTGTTTGGCCTCAACGGCTAGCCTTTTGCGTTCTCTCTGGGTCAAGGTTGGGCCTGTTGATTTCTTGGGTGGCATTATGGTCAATAGAAGGATTCAATTATTCAACAATGGCCCTTATGTGGTGTTTTATGCCCAAGTGTGCTTTGTTTTTGCTTATCGTGTTCTCTATTTTTTTTTCGTTGCCAAAAAAAAAGCCGTGTTTTAACCTTTAACTGACACGCTACAATCGACAGCACCATAAAACTGTCATAAACTCGTATTTTACCCATAAACACATATCTATCTAAAAAAATATTACTGCTACTTTGATTATCAGCTGCTGCGTTGTGTTTCTGAGCTTTTGCTCAAAAGACTGGTTCTTTCAACAGTGACTTCTGGATCATCCGTAGTGAATTCATCAGTTTCATTTGGGAAAGTCTCATATGATTCTGGAGTTTGACCATCAATAGTGGATAATCCAATAGTTTTCAACTCTTCCAACATTGTCTCTCTGATTTTAGCAGAGAAGGCACCAACATCTTCTTTTTTCAAATCTTTAGTGGAGATTGGTTCCAAAACTTTGATTGTTATTTCACCACATTCAAAACTTTTTGTAGAGGCATCAAGTAATGGAGATGTGACCGAAACGATTAATGGAATAACAGGAATTTCAGCTTGTTGAGCAAGATGGAATGCACCTTTCTTAAATGGTAACATTTCTGGGGTCTTACAGTATGATCTAGTACCTTCTGGGAAGATAAATAAACCTCTTTTCTTTTCTTTCAAATTAGCCAATGCCTTGTTCAAAGTTTTAACAGATTTTTCTCTATTTGAACGATCCAAGAAGAAAGTACCACTTAAAGCCATGAACCAACCCAAGAATGGAACATATTTCAAAGATTTTTTAGATGTAACAACACAACCTTTTGGGAAAATTCTTCCTAGAATCAAAATATCCAAGGCACTTTGATGATTAGAAATAAGAATAGCTGGTAGTTTATCCAAACGTTCACCATTTATCAACTTTATTCTGATACCAAGTAATGAGCTGAAAGTGTAGTAGAAAACTCTTGCAGTAGTCCACTGAGCTAAATGACGCTTCCCAACAAGTGTTAGGGCAATAGAAGCCAAAACACCATAGAGGGCACAACCACCCAAGATAGTGGCAGCCAAAACAGTTTTCGTATAGAACTTGAGGGACTTGAAGAAACCCATGATGATGATAAAGTTAACGAGCGACAACCAAACAAGGGAGAAAGCTGATCCAATTTGTTGTGCACTTTTAAAGAAGTCTATACAAAATTACTCGCTTTCTTTTTTTTTTTTTTGTTGTTTGTTGGAAAAGTCAAAAAACAGCTGAACCCGTTTTCTTTACCCGTCGTACGATGGCAGAGGGGCCACTTGTTTGGGATTAAACAGCTACAGACCAAATTGGAAAGGTTTTGTTCTGGTGGTTGCTACGATGTTTCTTGGGCAATAACTAGGCGAATTTAATAATAATGAAGAATGTGGAATCCCTCCTAACTACCACGGAACTCTGAGTTCACGTGACCGCAGTTCACTGCTGCGTTAACCAGTTCTCCAGTATATCAGAAATCAGCGGTCGATGGCAAAGAGCCAAGTTTCTCCATTTTGCTATCGTTTCACCATTAACTGGAACAATTCAAAGCTGATAAATCCATTGCCACTCTCATAATTTATCTTAGTATTTAATTTCAATAGTTATTCACAGGTTTCATTGATAATTGGATGCTCTGCAATTGATTTTTTGGTTTTTGTGTGGTTATTAGTAAAAGACAGAGATCACAATGCCACAAGACATCAATGCTCCAATTCCTTTGAGAAACAAGGTATTGTCTACTCAGGCAAATGAGGCTCAAAAGATCATGAGACCATCATCTAGCATCGATCTATCAAATCATGCAAAAAGGGCAAAGCTAGACAAAAAACCACTAACTCCAGATCCTGCTGGAATGGATTCAAAGACACCACAAGATCAAGATTTGGATGCGGAGGATCAATTGATTAAACAACGTTTGAAACATTATAACTTGGACTATCCAGACTCATATGAAGAATATTTGAAGGAATCATCAGATAAGAAATCAAAGTTTTTCGCTAGAGCTGAAGCACGGAAATTAGATTTAAAGAATCTTTTACCATACCAAGCAGAATCTCACAAAGATCAGGCTAAATACTTGACTCACGTCCTAGTTCATCTTTACATTGCAATTAAATCACTTGACTTGGAAGGTCTCGTCAGTATTTCAACGAAGGATTTGGCTAATATCCGAAATGATATTGAGCTGACTTTAGATACAGATTTTTTCAATGCGGATCTGTCGTTTGATTATGAAAATGTTGAGGAAGATGAAGATGATGAAGACGAGGAAGATGCTAAAGGTCAATCGGGTGTTATTGGGAAGTTGTTACCAAGATCAGCCACTATCATAAGTGTCAACCACTGGACGAATGAATTGAAGACATGTTTGAAGGCAAAATTTGATATCCCATTAAGTCTCAGAGCTTCATTAGCCAAAGTTTACTACTATTTGGCATTATCGAAAGGCCAATCTATAAATTCCCAGCTGTTTATTGATCTTTTTGTTAAATTGACTTATAAGTATAGAGATTTATTGATAGAATCTAACAAACTTATTCTTGATCATAAGCCTTTAATCAACTATATTGTTGATTTTTTTCCTGATGTTGATCCTACTTATGACATTTACAGTCCAACCACTGATGAGAATGATAAAAAAATCTTCAATCTAAGCATGAAATTGGCCCTAAATTCAAATTGTTTCTTCGCTCCAAGTGCTATGCGTGAACTTTATGATTTTTCATTAAGCAGATTCTCAATCCCAACTGCATTTACAAGTTTAACCATTTTATGCAACTCATTGCCGGTTTTTTTCAACGAATCAAATTCCATCATGGATTTCATTCCCTCGTTGTTTTATTTCTGGACAAACAACACATCCATAAAAGCATTGGACATCAATATCATTGATCTTTTGGGGCGTATCTCACGCTCGGTTTATTTTCAAATCGCAAATGGCAGTGACAAACCAAAGTTTGGAAAGTTCGGTATTTATACAGAAGATCAAATGAACTTCATTTTCAATAATCTACAAAACAATTTGAGAAATGACTTTAAGGTTTCAAGCTTTTATGGGGTCGCAAGAATCTTAGTTTTTTCAATTAATAATGAAAATTTCGAAGGTTTCCATCAAAAACTAAAGGTTTTATTGAATTCAATTGAAACTTATGCACATCCTTCAAACACCGGCTCGTGGTCTATTTTAGTTGCAAGATTTTGTCATAGATTTATCAAGCAATATCATAAAAGAATCATTGCTGAGAAAGATGAGGACTCTAAAGTTCCAAAAGAAGTCCGTTTATCCCCGGAAACAAATGCTAAAATTATCAGTGCATTTAAAGAGATTGTTTTGTTGGGTTCTCAAGCTAAAAAAGATTCGGTTAGTAATTATTATATTGCTACTTTAGGTTATTTGACAGACCTTGAAGCTACAAACAAATTTCTTCTTGTTAATCAAGTTCTTATTGATCTTTATGACTCACTAACTGACCAGTTTATCAATTCATCTCATAGAATCATTGTTGCCTTGAAACAATTTACTGAAATCTCAAGATTCATGATCCATGATAAGATTTACAGAATTCATATGACCAATTTGATGTCCCTCCTTTTAGGCAAAATTGGTACAAATGACTTGAATTTAACAAATAATGTTTTCAACACACTAGTGACAGTAGGTTCGCTGGTTCCATTTAAGGATCTTACAACAGAAGATGATTTCATTTCATTTGAATCAACAACCCTTGGTTTCATTCAAGACCATTTATTCTTTTTGAAAGAGCACCCAGATGAAGAGTTTTCCGCTGATCAATCAACCATCCATAATGCATTCTTAGGTTCCACCAAAATTTTCAATGATTTGACCAAGACCTTAGTTGATAAATTGTTTTTGCTCGTGGAGGCTGATTTGAATGAAAGACTGATCTTCAAAATTACTCAGTCGTTGTTGATTTTGACTCAATCATTCTCTGATGAAGTTTTTGAATCTTTTGCAAAGTGCCTAGAGAATAAGTTTCATGATGACAATTTGAATAACGTTAATGAAAATGAGGTTTTGATTGCAAATATTTACGGTGCTTTAATCAAATCTGATGAAAGACGTTTTGGTAAAATGTTCAAACAATTGGATTACTTGATTAGAGAAGAACTCGAGCAAGGTGCTGGTTCCATTAGAAATAAAACTAGTACCGTTTTGGGTCGTGATAAGAAGCTTGTTCTATATCTTTCAATTTTGGGTGAAGTTTTAAGTGTTTCATATAATCAAGTCTTGAACTACAAAAAGGAATTTATGAACTTGATTCAACACTTGTATGAAAAGATATCCAACCCTTCACTCCATGGTTTGGCTGCCAATATTATCCATAAAACATTGTTGAATTTGACAAAGATCAAACTAAGGGAGAATAAGTTATTCAGCAATGAGGAGAATATCAAATATGAAGAGTACTGGGGTGGCAAACAGTTTGATAGTGATAGGTTTGAAAAAAAAAGATTATCATTTAGATGGTATATACCTACCAACACTGAAGTCTCGTTTGCTATTGAAGTTTTTGAAACTATTGTCGTTGAGACTTTGTCCAAGATTGAAGAGTTGACTAAACATAAAGATGATTCTGAATTAAGTTTCTCAGATGAATTTACTAAGAATTTGTTATACATCAGCAGCTCTCTTTCCGGGAACAGTATTTTATTTGATCCAGATTATACTAGTGATCAGGCTGATAAGAATGAGAATTTTACTGGAACTTCCTTGCAAAGAAAGTTGATGATTTTGAAATCATTGAGAGCTTTTAAAACTGATGATAATGAGCTTAATATTGATATTGAAGAGATCACAAAGCATCATGAAGACGTTGATTTAGTTTCAGAAAGACCTGTTAGTGAAGACAGAAGTGATGTTAAAGAAGATTTCAAAGAAATTTTGAATGGTGTTTCTGAAGATGTCGAAGGAATAAACATTGATGATGAAGTTCCAAGCTCGAGAATGTTGACTCCGATGCTACAACATGAAAGTGATCTCACCTCAATTATGAATTCCTCTGTTGCTTTTAGAGAATTGAAAATTTACAATTGTAATTACTTTTTTGGTAACAATTCATCAGAAAAAAAGAGTTATACAAACTATGGTCATATTCATTCATTAAGATCCCTTGTTGGTCATGGATTGCATAAGGTCTATGAGTACCTATCTGAACATCAAAATGAAAACCTTTATTTGTTCCAAGCTCTATTGCATACTGTTGAGAGTTATTTTTGTGATGTTGGTAAGGTTTCCACTTTAGATTTTGAGGACGAATTATTCATCGATTACACATTTTTGAAAAGAGTCCAATCCATTGGAAACTATACAAAGCCATTCACAAGAACGTGTCTTGGCGCAAGAATTGAAAAGTTTCATCGTCAAAGAGTTATTTTACACTCAACTAATAGATTTCAAACCAAATTAGATAAACTGTTACTACAGGATTTAGTTGAAATGTCTACATCATCTTATCCAAGTGTCCATCAACCCTCCCAGATGGTTATGATCGAAACAATGAAGAAGCTAATTGGTTCATATAGTCTCATCCTTCATGCAGTTGTTCAAAATGTTGAAAAGTCCATTGCTGAAAAGGATTTGAAAAGAATCGAGGCAGGTTTAAGAATTTTCAGACTGAAGAAAATACATAATAAACTTTTGTCTGATTACACAAATATTGGGAAAATCACGCAAATTTTATGTCAATGCTTAATGATTGATAATTTGGAAATCAGTGGCCTTGCGCAGCTCTGCCTAAATGATTTTTCCATTTCACTCAGGATACCATCTGCTATTGCTCGCTTTGAAGTTGTTGAAATTGATGGTGCTATCAGACCACCAGATAAATGCATAGATTTGGAGATTCAAACTGTTAAGGCTGCCAAAGATGCAAAGAGAGAGTTTTACATGACCAAACTTGATGATTTACAAGAGTTATTGATCAAAGCTGAATCTGAAAATGAACACTGGAAACTGTCAGTGTTGTACTTGAAATTTTTAACCAATATTCAAGCCTACTATGAGGTGCCTACTAAAGGTAAAATCTTGGAATTGTTAATCTTGAAGTCCAAACATCACCATCCAACACTAGTGCGTCTTTGTATTAAAGCATCCACTAAGCTATTTGAAAAAACCGTTAGATTTGCTATTTTCAAGTACAGTCTGGAGAATTCGTTTGATAACCAGTTTCAAAGAGACGGTATGGTCAAAATTGATACAGCAGATAGCTTTTCTGACAAGTTCAAGAAAGAAATGGAAAACTTTGAAGATCCAAAATATTTTATTGATGGTCGTGCATTCAAAGGATGGCTATTTTGGGATAAGTTCATTCAAGCGGTGGATTCAACAAAAGCCGCTATTGATGTGCAGTTCAATGATGCAGACCAAGAAAGCTTGAAGTTGTTGGGCTCTCTTATCACTAAAGACTGGTTAAATTTAATCCTCAAAACATTGATGCAAGATAATGAAACCAAAGGTGTTTTCCAAAGCATAGATGTCTTTATGTTTTCAACAATAGTTCATTTGATCTCATTAGGGTTTACTACGCTAACATACCAAGAGCTACTTCACTTGGTTACAGAAAATTATATCAAAGATGAGAAAGCATCTGTTATTATTGTTGCTGAGCTTATATGTGGGTTGTTGATTGCTACCAACCATACAACAAAAGAGAATATTCAAGCTAGAGACAGCTTTTTGGGACCATTTTTAGATTCTGTTGTTTTACATGATCTTGCCCCAGATACTTCTGGTGTCTGGAACATTGTTTTCTGGTGGGTCCCCTCTAGAATTGATGTCAGAAGAGTTCCTATCCTTGCTGAGAAAGCTATGAGTTTGGGAGGTGTGATTGATGTTGACTCAAATCTGGCTTTCATTCAATCTTCTAGGGTTAATTTTGCTAGGTCATATCTTGCAAGTTTGGGTTGGAGGTTTAATGATGCAGAAAAGTTGTTTGATGCTCTTGTTTTTGAGCACCCCTATCAGTTGGTCCGTGACCAAGTTGGAAGCCTGGTTGCAACTTTAGCTTTCACCATTTTCAGAGAATCATATGATAACTCCCAAAAGTTCATAGATGCCCAAAATCAACAGGAACTCGGACTGAAAGCTTACAATATTCCGGAATCTTTTGCTGAAAGAATCAAAGGTTTATTCAATCGTATCGAAAGTCTCAGATTGGAAACAAGTGACCTCAGTGCTCAAGACCTTCTCAAATCAGAGTACTTTTACATCGCTTCCACTGTATTGAAATGGTTGGAAGATGGATTTTCTGGGTTGTTCTCTATCTCATTATCACCATATGTATGTGATTACATTGCACCATTTCTGATGAACTTGGAGAACAATAGAGAGCTATGCAAATTGGCTGGTATCAGTCCTGGTTTTGTTTATTATCGCATGGCTAGCATTGCATATAGACCAGAAATAATACCGGATGTTTTAAAAGTTGCAACAAAAACTGATTTATCAATTCATCAACTTCAAATCCAGCTCACATTCATTGAGCGGTTCTTCTCTCGCCAATTACTACAACTGACACCTGAACAAAAACAACAATTACTAGTTTGTGTTGATAAGTTATTATTCCACAATTCTGTTGAAGTGAGAACAAAGGCTGCTTCTGTTTTATCTGGTTTTATCCATAGCTCGCAAGACTTAGAAGGTGTTGGACCATTCATCAATAAGTACGTCAAGACTTTAGGAAAGAGAAGGCCAAAAAATGCTAAGCTCACCAATGAGGAAGCCATCAAATTACACGCCAGTGCAATGGGTTTAGGTGCTTTAATTTCAGCATTTCCATATGTTTCACCTCCTCCAGCATGGATGCCTTCTCGTGTCTGTACATTAGCAAGAGCATCTTCACTTCCTGGAATAATCGGTAAATCTGCTAAAGATACATTGAGTACATTCAAAAAGATTAGATCTGATACATGGCACATTGATCGGACTTCATTCACGGAAGAACAGTTAGAAGATTTAGAAGGTGTCTTATGGAGAAGTTATTTCGCATGATTACTTTTCCAAACAAACAAAAAAAGTCATATTACAGTGTTTCATTTTGCTTTAAATTTATTTGATTTCCAACAATATACATCTTTACTTAAGCTTTAGACTTAAGCTCTTGTAGTCTTTCTTCTTTGGTTATTTCTCTTGTCCATACCATTTAATGCACCACCAGAAATACTACCTGGGGCACTTGCTAAAGCACCAGTAACTGGAGCAAATTTAAAATTTTGATTATTACGGTTGTTTTGACGATGATTTTGTCCTTGGTTGTTACCAGAATTATAACCACTGTATGAGAACCCTTGTTGTTGTTGACTATGACCACCAGCCAAACGTTCATTACGTTCTGATAACAAAGTTGCTCTATCAGCCAAGTTTAAAGCCAATTCTTGTAATTTGGTTAATTCAACACCCTTAGTGAAAACAACAGAGTTTGAAACTTGATCTAGACCAGCAGCGATCTCTTCTTTGAAAATCATCTTGGATAAAATTGCAGAAACTTTACTTTCTGGAAGTTCAAAAATTTTAGATAATTTTGCAATTGAAAGTTTGGAATAGAATGATTTGAATTGGAAAACATAAGTTCTTAAACCTTCTTCTTGTAATTTTTCTTTGATCAAACTTCTAATCTTGTCTGATTCTGGGAATAAATTCCAAATCTTGATGGAATTCAATAAATCAGAAGCCTTTTGCCAGTTACCAGCTTGTAAAGCTTTGGCAGCATGCATTATAAAATCTCTTGTATTTTCTGGTGGACCTTGGAAAGTTTGTCTCTCATGGAATTCTAAGGCACGACGGAATGATTTGGATTGTAATCTCTTTTTGGCATCAATTGAAGATCCTAATTGAGCGTATTGTGGAATTTCAATCAATAAAGAACTGGTCAAAAACACACTTTCTAACAATTCCAAGTTGATGTGAGTATGGAAAGGCAATAGACGTTGCTTATCAGCGACTGAATTTTGGTTATTGAATCTTTGAGCACCTTGACCTAATAGTTCTTTGTGACGTGATGAAGTTGAAATTTCTTGTAATGTTTGGTGAGCTTCTTGAATCAACCCATTTCTGAAAGCACATAAACCTAATTGAACTAAAGCTCTGTTGAACAATATTTGTAATGAAGCATCAGATGTGTGAATTGAGGATTGTAAATGTGAAATTAAAAACATATCTCTAGCTTTGAAATATTGGTTGTTGAATGCATAATAGTAAATATGAGAAAGCATAGCACGTTTACGGTAAACGGCATTTGTTTGTTTGTATAAAACTGAAGCTAATGAGTCTAATAATGTATCAATATAAGATTCATCCTCACTAAATGGTAGGATGTATGATTTTTGGCCAATTGATGATAAGGATTCCCAAGCGGTACGTTCACTTTGTTGGATTAATGCTGATGGTTTGAAGTAAATGTGTTCAATTCTTCTTGTAATAACTCTTGCTATTTGATCACCATTAGCGATATCTTTTTCAGGAATAACTAATTCAGAGTATAATTGAGCACGAATGATGGTACTGTAAATGATTTGTTCATCTTTAAGACGATCAATATATTCTGTGGCATGAGGATCAATAACTTGTAATGAACGAGTAAATTCATCATCTAATCTTTCAACAAATGAAACAACAGAACCTAAAATTTCACGGATACCTTGAGCATTTGGAGTTGGTTCAACTTCAATATCGTCTAAAGCTTCAGCATTTTCCAAAACACGGTATTGAGATTTATTAGCTTCCAATATTTTGAACAAACTGTTAATATCTTGAGCAGCTAATTTCCATTGTTCAATAGCCATGTACGATAAAGTTGAGGAACCATCGAATCTGTATGGAATCAACATTAGGTAAGCAATGATTGATTGATATGGAGTTTGAGCTTCTTCAATTAAGCCTTCTAAAGTTTTGATTTGTTCACGAACATCAACATTCTTTCTACCTCTTGATTCTGCAACAGAACGTAAAGTTTTGAAGAATGAAGCACCTTCAATAGATTTACCAGCTTTACCAACAGAAGTGAATCCATCTGAAACACCTGGAGCTGGGGTACCAGCTTTTGATGGTGTTGCTGAAATTGGGGCTTCTTTTTCGAAAGCTTCTGGGTTTTCTCTAAATGATTCAACTAATGTACTATTATCACGAACGGCTTTCTTAACCCTTTGTCTAACAGTGTTGAAAGCTTTTGAGACACTGGCGTTCAATTTCTTTTTATCTTGTTGAGTTTCTTGAATTGAATCATCCAATTGAGCAATAGCTTTGATATAAATGTTTGGGGTAGACAAATTTTGTTGTTGGGCACGGACTAATAAACGGTTCAATTTGTCAAATTCTGATAAAACAACAATCCAATCGTTATTTGTCTTTGAAGAATCAATAGTGTTGATGGCGGATCTGATTTCATCAAGTAATTTATCTTTAGCACTTTTAACAATTTTTTTACCATCTTCTTCATCAGATGATTCGTCATCACTGGCTGCGCCTTTGGCAAATGATTTCTTCAAGAAATAAGCTGGACCTGTGGCAGCGCCGTCATCTGAATCTGAGTCTGAATCATCATCGTTATTGGCAAATTCTGAATCATCAGATTCTTCAGCTTCTTCTTCTCCTTCTTCACTTGAAGAGTTTAATTCTTCTTCTTCTTCAGAGGAACTTAGCAATTCTTCCTCAGATGAGGAATAGTCTGAATCTGAGACACCACCAGCGAAAAAACGGGACATGGTTTCCTTGATAATCTGATGTTGTTTTAACTATAACAATCCACTTCTTTTACTATCAGCTTCTCACTTAATTTTCACTTTTTTTTTCGACAAAAAAAAATTATCACCTACCGAAAAAAAAAACGTAAGCCTCAGTAAGACTCAGCACGTCGCGAATAGTTAAGCGATCAAAAGTGTGTAAAACCTGGTACGGCATAGGTTTTTACAATGATTATAGCTGAAAAGCGCGTTGCAAAGGGAGTAATTAGGTGATTCAATACTAGGTCATTTCAAATGTATTTAATTCAAGATCATTTTAAAAGGTTTACTCTTCCAAATCATCCAAAAGCTTGAATTTTATCGGAGAACTATTTCTAATTTGTTAAGAGTGCCATAACCGATGAGAAAAGAAAAAAAAATTAGAAATATACAATCAGAAATTCTATGATTTGATAAAGGTTTCTACCTAGTCAAAAATTTGGTTAAAAGATAGTGTCAATCGTACTCAAAGAGATCCATAATGTCCACAGGTGCTCCAAAGCCAAAGCTTTCACAACTTTGTGAACTATGTCATTGTCGTAAAGCCATGATCAAAAGACCAAAAAATTTACAAAAAATTTGTAAATTATGTTTCTATAATGTTTTCGAAACAGAAATCCATAATACTATAGTTAATAGTAACTTATTCTATCCTGGTGAAAAAATTGCAGTTGGTGCTTCTGGTGGTAAAGATTCAACAGTATTGGCATATATCCTAAAGCTACTAAATGAAAGATATAACTATGGAGTGGAGATTGTATTATTAAGTATTGATGAAGGTATTGTTGGGTATAGAGATGATTCATTAGCAACTGTGAAGCGTAATAAAGAACAATATAACTTACCATTAGAGATTATTTCATATAAGGATCTATATAATTGGAGTATGGATGAGATTGTTAGTTGTGCAGGTATTAGAAACAGTTGTACATATTGCGGTGTTTTGAGAAGACAAGCATTGGACAGAGGTGCTGCTAAGCTTGGGATTCACCATGTTGTTACAGGTCATAATGCGGATGATATGGCAGAAACTGTGTTGATGAATCTTTTGAGGGGGGATGTTGCAAGATTAGAGAAATCTACAGCTATTATGACTTCAAGTTCAGGTTCTCCAATCAAAAGATCAAAGCCTTTCAAATATTCATATCAAAAAGAGATTGTGCTTTATGCCCATTATAAAAAATTGGATTATTTCTCTACAGAATGTACATATGCCCCAGAAGCTTTTAGAGGGACTGCTAGAGAATTGATGAAGAATTTAGAAGCTATTAGACCAAGTTGTATTATTGATATTATTCATTCAGGAGAGAATTTTGTATTGAGAGAAAAGAAACAAAGACAACAATTTAGAAAGAATCCAAAGGCTAACAACGCTGTTAGTAATGAAATTGAAGTTAGAGCTGATGGTTCGGTCTCTTTGAACAGTAAAGGGGGATTTGTGGATGGTAATAGATGTGAGAAGTGTGGTTATCTATCAAGTAATAGAATTTGTAAAGCCTGTATGTTGTTGGAAGGTTTAGAAATGAATAGAGCTAAAGTTTCAATTGATGGTAATTCCTCAGTTGATGGTGCAGCCAAAATGACTAGAACTTTAGAGAAGCTTACATTTTGATGGGCATGGAAATTGGTTTAATTGCATAGATTTTGGGGTTTTAGAATGGGTATTGTATAGTGATTTAGCTTTTTTTGATTTGATGACTTTTTATTGATCAAAATTTAACTAACCAAGTAGTCCAATCTTCTCTCATTTCAGTAGTAACCTCGTGTCCTGCATTATATTTTATGGCTTGGAATTGTTCCTTAGAATCAAAATCCTTACGACTTTTGAATTTTTTACCATGCTTTGTTAAAAATGGTTCTGAACAGGAACTAGGAATAACATTATCATGGTCACCAAACATTAAAAATGTCTTCAATTTATCATCCAAGTCATAATTATTGGCACAATAAGTGTCATCTTTAGCGACGACATCAAACAGTTCTCTTGGATATAGTCTTGGCTCAAAACTTTTAGATAATGAATCATAAGATTCCTTGTATAAAGCAGATCTACCAAAATCATGTAATCTATTCATTAAAGAAGACGTCAAATCAAAAGAGCCAATAAGTGAAACAGCCCCACTAAATATACCAGGATGTTGAGCAGCAACTCTTAAAGTGGTCATAGCACCCATTGAAATACCTGACATGACATGTGTAACTTTTTTATACTTTGATAATCCAGGAACCAAAGCTGGTAAATAATCGTAAATTGTTTTAACATCAGCAACACCACCGGCAATGATTGATAGCATATCAGCACCATGACTATCATTTCCTTCTTTCCAGGTTTTGTTTCTATCTTTATTGACAGTTCTCTTGCCATGATTTCTGTGATCAAAAGTGATGATAACTAATGATTGGCCCGGTGATTCTTTATAGTATCTTGTAACTAAATCTCTGTATAAACCATCTGATTCTTGAGCACTTCCATTTCTCCCATGCAACGAGAACATTACCTTTAAAGATTCATCATCCCCAATAGACTTTGGATCAAATGGGTTTGGCTTAGCTTTGGAATAATAGGCGTACACTTCTAAACCGGCAACTAATAATGTTTCTTTCTGAACAGAGTCATCAGCAGTGGAGCTCATTGGCAAGGCTTCGACCTGATTGTGGAATAGAACCAATTGACAAAAGATTGATAAAAGTAGTAGCTGTAACTTCATTTTGCAATGATTTGATGTGGATCTAATCAATCAAACATGAGTATTGCAAGTGGTTCATCCTCATATTTATAGTCAAAGCAACTAGGGTCCAATTGAGCTAAAAACAAGATGGGACTGCGATGAGTATTTTCTTATGTGATCATAATGTGCTATCAAATAGGTGCTCTATATTTAAAAATAGTACTTTTGAGTGCCAAGTGGATGCTACAGTAAAGTCAGATCCGCTTAGCTCATGAAGATGTTGATGTTTTGATGTTATCTTCAATTTCAGGTACCCGATGCTTTATAGGTGGTTACGGCCTTTGAGAGGCTGAATTGCACAACCATAAACAATAAACACTTGACACAATAAAATATGGCCAATTGACCCAAATCAATGAACAATACACTCCATTAACTCAAGCCTTGCACCTATAATCAAAGCGTGTAAAGCCTTCTTTCTATGCTGATCTCACATAAGCCCCAGCCATAAATGTCGCGAACCAATTTCAGAAACTCAAATAGAGAACAAAATGAGATTTGTATGAGCATTACTGAATTGGTTAACAAACCTCCAATAACCACCATTCTCCAAGATCTCTGATCCAGTCCATTGATAAGTCGCCAGAGCCATGCGCTCATTCATCAAAGCTCACCGCCGAGGATCCTCAACCAACATCAATGGTGAAGTTCCCCTTGAGCTGAACACAAACTCAGGAACAAGCACTTCAATATCTGCTGATAATATCCCACAATTGCAAGCTCAACAACCAGATGAAAAACTCCAAAATGGCTCCATATCTGCAAACTCGTCTGCCCAATCCTCTCCAATACGGCAGTCGCCTTCATCTCCAATCGTCAACAAGGGTAAAAAGCTTCATAGGCTGTTTCAAAGGAACAAGACCTCATCACCAAATTTAATCAATTTAGCATCACCTCTATCTCCCAAAAAATCACCACCTCCTTCAATCATAGGAACAAGAAAGCATGAATGGGGTAATGGGAGTAGTGATTCCCACAAAAGTTTCAACAAGGTCTCCAGTAATAGGCAAAGTACACAATCTTCTCAATCATCAACTGCTAATTCATTATATTCACTGGAGGATCAAAACTTTCTATCGTCAACATCAACTCAAAATAAAGACGCTCTTCAAACTAATACAAATGATGATAATGATTTCTTGCAACTGCCCTTAAATACTGTTTTAGAGATCCCTAATGAAAGTTCATTAAGTCCTTTCATGAGAGAAATCCCAGATTCTGCTGATATGGATAAGAAATCCCGTCATAGAAGAGCACAAATCATCTCGGCTGATTCATTCAAGTTGGAAGATCCTCCTGAAATAATACCTGCTCATGAATTACAAAAAGTGAAAGAAGTGTCGTCTCCTGAATTGTTTAATGATGGATTTGTTGATCCTGATGAAACTGTTGCAGAAACGATAAGGAATCAAAAACAAAGGAACAACATTGTTCAAGGGGAGCAAGATAAACATGATGAATTCAGCTCTTCATCTGATGGTGATAGTGAGTTTTCATTTGAACAAGATAATAAAAGAGGACGTAATGTTTCGATAAAATACTACAAGTCTCCAGAGGAAAGATTCAGAGAGGAGGAAGCTAGAGTGGTTAAAGAACAAGGCTTTTATGTCAATGATTTGATTGATGATAATTTTGATGATGATATGAATTACTATGATGAATATGATGATGAGTTTAATGATGATGAGGAAATTTTCAATAAGAAATATTTTTCCGATGATGAAGATAAAGAGATAGTACCCAAATTTAAAACACAACCATCGGTCAAAGATGATAAAATTACACCAAAGAATTCCATTTCATCAAAATTGACAACTGCAAGCTCTATTTTGTCCAGTAATAAGGACATTACTCCATCAAATACTTTAACCACACATAGAAATGGACTCATCAATCAAAGTAATTCACAAATTAAACCTAAACCATCATCATTAAAAGAAGATTTACTGAAACCAAGCAGATCATTAAAATATCATCAAATATCAACAACACTGGATCAAGATGTTCCACAAAATAGGTATTCATGGTTTAGTGATGACGAAGATACTCCTCATCGGGCTGTTAATTCTAGTTATGATTCATTACTTGACGAAATCAACAACATCCCTGAAGATTTTGAGTTTGGTCATAAGGCAGATAATCCACAAAATCAACAACAACCACGCTCCAAATCAATGAATAGTAGTATCAAAAGATCAAAAGGTGTATTTGAAGATAATCCTCAAAATACAAAATTTGAAAGTAATAACAAAACTGTCACACTTTTCAATCGCCCTTCAAGACAAAATTCTGTTAAATCAAATGATTCAAATGATGAACAACAACAAATGTCATTTGGATATATGACACCAAATGGGTCGTTCACTGTCCCAAATCCAGGTTTTGCAAATAGTCAAAATATTGAGTTGAGTCCAATAACTGAAGGTTCTATAGATGGGTCACCATAATACTATGATGCGGCATATTAATGATTCGTTGGTTGTAGGATGTAACTACGTCGAAATACTTTATTGATTGGTCCATTTCATTAATTATTAAATAAGTGCAGTTGAACTTTTTGATCTCATAAAAGTTTCAAAGTTATATGATTGATTATTTTGATAATCAAAATAGTTTTCTGAATCAGATTGTTGTCTTTGTTGTAAAATTCTTGTTGGATCTTCACCATAAACATAACTTTTAGGTCTTGAGTTACCATTGAGGTTTTTAATTTGTCTTGTCTTTCTCATCAAATTTGCCTGTAATTCACGAACATTTGATAATCTTTTTTCATCATTTTTTTTAGATTTCATTGCTTCAGCATGTTTCTTCATCAATATAGTTCTTTGTCTTTTCAAATCATCTAAAACTTGTCTCGTTGTCTTCATGGTATCATCACATAATTCAACAACGGATTTATTTTGTTCAGTATATGTTCTTGGTAAATTTTTCAAAGGATATCTATTTCCAACTAATTGTTTTTCTTTTCCATTAGAACTATAGTGTAATTGGACTTCAGAAGCAACTGTTTCAAATGAAAAATTGGAAAAAGCTCTATTGGATCCACCAAATTCTAGATTACCTAAAGCTGATTTTGATCTTTTATGTCTAATGGTTAATGGTGGAACATTTTGCTCCTCATCATCATCTAAAACAATGGTTTCACGATATTTACCATCAATTTCATCAAATGTACTTCTATATTGATCCACTGTTGAGTTTCTATCATCTTTTTTAATTGTGATATCATAATTATCATTAGTTAAATCCACCATTATAGAGCCAGCTCTATGAATAGATTCAGAAGTTTCAATAGTTTGAGCAGATGATGATGTAGCACTGAAAGGTTCACTAAATTTAGATTCATAACTTGAATGACTTGGATTTGGTGAATCTTGCTGAACCTGTCTTGATTTTTCACGGTTAACCAAAATTCTAGATTGTGATATTTGGCGAATATGTTCTGGCATGAAATTGTCTGATAGTTGTACAATTTGTGGTTGATGTTGAGATCCCAATGGTTGAATACGTTTTGGAACTTGGATTTGTGAAGTAGATTGTTGAGCTGGTTGTTTTGTCTTGATGCGTAATGGCTCAGTGATGCTTGGTTCAGAAGATGTTGCGGATGCATTGCGAGCTGAATTGGTATGAACAGTGGATGGAAGATCAACTTGACTTCTTGAACTGATAATCATTCTTCCTAAATCCAACAATTGGTTTGGATCATCCTCTTCAGAAAGAGCTGAATCAATACTTTCAACATCATTGTTTTCAATATCAACACTAGACTGGATGGAATCATTGATAGAATCTTCGTTTTGAGCTTCAAATCTATCTGGTTGAGGTGGTGTTAAAACAACTTTATTCTCATCATAGCTGGAATATTCACTTTCTGGTGTACTCTCTTGTATTGGTCTGGTAGTTTCTTCTTCTTCTTCATCAATCAACTCTGGTTCAACATGCTCAGTCAACTCCCTTTCAGGCTGAACAGATTTTGCAACTTCATAATCAACTTGTTTTTTTGTTGGTAATTCATCTAATTTATCAACTGGGAAATCAATGATCTGTGATCTTGATCTTCTATGATAATGACCTCTTTTTGAAACTGGGGGAACATAACCAGTTTGTTGGTGAGGATAATGGTAGTTATATGTTTCTTGAGATTGAGGTTGAGATATGGCAAATCTACCATAAGATGATGAATTTTGTTGATGAGGTGAATTCAATGGTCCATCGTGTGTGAAAATTTCTAATCCTTTGCTTGGAGAATTTTTACGAGGTTTTTGTGGTAATTGTGGTAAGTCCTTCTCTATACTATCACTAGATAATTCATGTTGTTGAAGCTGGGGTTGCGAGGATGATATTTGAGGAAATGCAAATGCCTTATTAAGTTGATTGTTTTGTTTCTTTGCAGCTGGACTTGGGTTCTGTATTTCTTCTTCATTGTCCATTTCAGAACTCTTCAGTTTAACAGGACTTCTCAAAAATGGTTTATTAAGATCCGGTATTTCAATTTGTCTTGATGGAGACTGCTGTGGCTGTGATGTTTTAGTTTGCCTTGGTGGAGAACTTTGTGGTTGTAACGGCAGCACTGACTCTTCAATTTGCTGCTTAGAAGCTTTAGGCAATACTGGAGTTGGTAAAGACTTGTTGAGGTTTAGACTCTTTGGTCTTGAATATTGATCAGCTTGTGCAAGTTCTAATTCAAATGGCTCATAATCAACACCATTATAAATTAAAGAAGTTGGTCTTTTCTTGTTTTTATTATCTGGAGAAAGTAATGGAGGTAACCGAAGCTCCACAGGAATTGGCAACTGTTGTGAATTCAGCTCAGAATCACCTCTTATGAAAAGCCTATTTCTCTCCGGACTCGTACTCACAAGTTGTCTCATTGAATCACCAATACTCAATTCAGCATCTGATCTTGAAGTGGATCTACCTCGTATTGGTGCTTCTAATTCTCTTGATCCCAAATTGAAGATTGATCTTTTCTCGAAATCATCAGTATCATCAAATCCTTGTACAATATCCAAGTCATCGTTATCATCAAAACTATAATCTGAGTCTGGGGGTGGTAATGAAAACCTCACTTGTGAAGTTGAACCTGTTATCTTTCTTTTGCTTGGAGAGCCAGATTTCACCATGGAAGATTGTAAAATTTGACCATCTGCCGCCATATAGGTTTTCTCATGATCTCTTTCTGGAGTACCTGGAGTATCTAGCAGAATTTCAGCAGCTGGCATTGAAGTTGGCCTTCTTTTATGACCTTTGTATGACATGTTTCTTAATCTGATCTGATATAAGCACAACAAACCATCCAAGGATTAGAGTTCAAATGAATCAAGGTATAAAAGGCTGAGGAATATGAAAAAATAAGCGAATGAATCAAAGCCTTTTGTGAAGCTTTTTTATAAGAACTATCAGCAATCACCGCTGAATATAAACAATCTTTTTTGTTGTTTTGAACGTTTAAAAGATGTGATGGATGGAAAATGAAAGGGAAAGGAAAACTTTTTGAAAACTAATTAACGAATGATCCAGCGATTTCAAGCTATTTTTATTTCAGTCTCAGATGTTTAAGACCTTCCTTGTTGATACGAATTCGAGCTTTCTAGGTGAAATGCAAGAAGCAGTTTTTTACAAATTCGTGAGCGATGCCCTTGTTTACATCTTGCCGCATTGGGCCAAAAATGTGCTGGTTTGCGCAGCACGGGCCTTTATTTTCAGCATAGAAATTTACATCTGGAAGCCAACGTCAGAATTTTATAAATTAGCGAGCTGCTTGGTTGCGTTTCAGGGCATTCAATTGACATTGGCATGTTGTGCTGCTGAGAAATGACCAATGCGGAGTGTGCTTGGGCTTGAAAGTACGTTTTTTAGTGGAAGTGTTGAAGCTGTAAAGAGCATGATTTAGTTCAAGACGTCGATCTTTAATTAGTTCTTCAACGATATGAGCAGCCATTTTTTGATCTCTTCAAGCTGATCGTTGTGGAAAATGGCTTCAGATCATCTATCAATGGGCCTAAAGTAGCCGTGTTAGGTCGCTACACCAGCACTTAATAATTTAACTTGTTGATCTTGTTTCAAAGATACCAATGGTTTTTGCAAATCTACTGGTTAAATCGTTGAAACGTTGTCGAAATAAAGTACGAATCGAATCATCAATTAAGTTAATTAGATAAACGGCCGTTTAAAGCTCGAGCTTCAATTTTCCAGTCTAAAAACTGCAACATGTGATATAGATAAGGGACTTAAATTAGCCAGCTACAAACTCTACATTGTTAAACAAGATTAATAGTGAAAAACAAAATTGTAACCATTAAAATGAGATATATAGTAACAACTGATGTGAATAATTAAAAAAGACAAGCCCCCTAAAAAACTAATGTATAAGATAACCAAAATTTAAACACGATATTATAAATAAGTTGCAGCAGTTTAAAATTAATAAAATTAAGCTCCTTATAAAACAACGTTTTTGGCAAGCTTCTTTTTATAATCACCAATTGAACCATCCCATCTAGTAGCAGTTCTATTTTCAACAACAAAAATATCTTTAGCAATTTTATCCAAAAGACGGAAATCATGTGAAACAACACAGACACCACCAGAGAATTCATTAATGGCATCAGCTAAAGAATCAATGGTTGGAATATCCAAACCATTAGTAGGTTCATCCAACAACAAAATGTTTGGAGATTCTAAAGCTAATAATGAGAAAACAACTCTTGAACGTTGACCTTCTGATAAAGTGGCCATTTGAGCAGTTTGAGCTTCACCACTTAAACCATAACGACCTAATTGACCTCTCCAGTATTGATAATCTTGAGAAATATGAGAGAATTTGTCACGGACGAATTCTAAGGCGGTTTTAGTTAAATCTAATTGATCAGCAGAATGTTGGGAATAGACACCAACTTTAATATGTGTATGTCTTGAAACACGACCAGATTGAGCTTGTAATTCACCAGTCATAATCTTCAATAAAGTTGATTTACCAACACCATTTGGTCCAACTAAAGCAATTCTTGAATCCATATCAACACCGAAATTCAAATGTTCATATAAATTGTGTTCTTTGTTACCATCATATGCAAATGAAATATCATCAAAAGATAAAACTGGAGGTGGTAATTTTTCAATATCTGGGAATCTAAATGAGAAAACTCTATCTGGAACAACTTTTTCAATTAAACCATCAGCTTCCATCTTATCTAAAATTTTTTGTCTGGACTTGGCTTGACGAACCAAATTTGCATAAGTACCTGCAGAAGCAATGAATTTTTTAATATGAGTAATTTCTTCTTGTTGTTTGTTATAAGATTTCATTTGATTTGTTTCTTGTTCAGCTCTTGTTTTGGCATAAGAATCATAATTACCACCATAACCTGTGATTTTTTGTAATCTCATATCAATCATATTTGTACAAACACCATTCAAGAAATCTTCAGAATGTGAAACTAAAACCAAGGTACGGTCGAATCTTTTCAAATATTCTTCTAACCAAACACAAGCTTCTAAATCCAAATGTGCAGTTGGGTCATCTAATAATAATAAAGTTGGTTTAACGAAAAGGGCTTTAGCTAAAGCGACACGCATTTTCCAACCACCAGACATATCTTTAGTTTTCTTTTTGATAGTTTGAGAGTTGAAACCTAAACCAATCAAGATAACAGCGGCTCTTGATTCGAAAGTTGAAGGATCCATTGAATCAATTCTTTCATAAATACCTTCTAAAACTGGGGATTCTGGACCATCTTTTACAATGATATCTTCAACTAAATCTTCCAATCTTTTCAATTCATGTTCAGCTTCACGAACAACATATTCTAAAGCGGAGAATTCAGAAGGTTCAGCAGGTTCATTTAATAAATAAATATCAATAGCTTCTGGAATTGGGAATTCTCTAGCGGCAATAGCATTTAATAAAGTTGATTTACCACAACCATTTTCACCTAATAAACCATAACGACGACCATAATTTAATTCTAATTCGGAATCTTGGATCAAAACTTTACCGTGGAATAATAAAGAGACTGAAGATAATTTGATATCTCTTGAAGTTTCTAAAGAATCTAAAACACCAGTAGTAACACGATCTGAAATACCTTCTTTATCTTGTTGTAATTTTAATTTTTGAATTTCATCGGCAGCAGCATCAACTGATTCAACTTTATCTTTCTTGGTTTTTTTACCAGAAGCTGCTTTTTTAGCATCTCTTTTAGCTTTTGAAGCTGAAACGGCCATTTTTCAATATAATTCTTTCTTTCCTGTGTTGTATTTGGATAGCAAATGAGGCAAAACTCTATAAATTCAATTCAAAAAAGGGGGAGATAAATCTAATAAGTTAATATCAGGTTAATTGTAATCTTTTTGGTGAATTGACAGTAGTTGAAAAGAAGTATAACGGATAGGTACCTTGCGTTGTGAAAAGAATTGCCTAGTTGTCGATATCTTTTTTTTAAGTACTTGAAGAGAGAAAAAAAAATTTTTGAACTTAGAATTTTAGGAGGGTAACTGAGCTCATCGCGCAGCTGTCGTGTGCGTACCGATGAGGATTTTAGTATTATGACGTTTATATTCATTAATGCTGTTATTATAGAAGGTCGTCTAAGAAGGCCTCATCACTTTTGAGCATTGATGGTGTCTTGTTTTGATGTGGCTGTTTTGGTTGTTGTGGTTGTTGTTGTTGTGGGTTTGGTCGTGGTGTGGTTGTTGGTCTAGTCAAGTTGAGTAATTTATCAAGATCTTGAGATTCAGAATTAGCATTATCTCGACTATTGTCAAATCTCTCATCAACAATCTTTAAACTGCCTAGCTCATCTTTCGACATCTTTTTATAATCGGATTGATGTTTCTTGCCCTTGTTGGAATCAATAGTGTTGAAATCTAGCTTTTTAAAATCAATACTCTTGATGAAATCTTCTTCATCTTGATCTAATCCAGGTACATCAACTTCTTCTCTATATCTCCAGGCATTTGAATTTACTTCATCGATCTTCTTTCGTCTTACAACCTTAACACCATCTTCGTTATAATCCTCAATCTCGTCTTCTCTAAGCACAAAGTTTCCTTGTTCATCCAACTCTGGATCGCTTACATCTTCATATTCTGTCTCCAACTCTTCTTCTTGTTGGTCAACATCTTGAGTTTCTGAGACCTTGGGTACAACTTTAGAATAATCTTTTTTGTGATGTCTCTTTAGCTTGGACTTGTCCTGAAACTTCTTTCTATTCTCTTTTTTAAGATTAAACTCCATCTTGATACTGGTCTAAAATCTGGTGTTCTCTGGTTATAAGCTCTACCCAAGTTTTCAACAAATCCAAAACCAATTCGCGAAATGCGCTGGCTGGTTCTGGAACAGCCGGGTATCCTGGTACGGGACGCACGCCACTTTTCTTTTCTGGCAGTTTCATGATTGATTGTAAAAACAACCATTTTTGCTCCTTTAAAACACTTATCACTTCATCAACAGCAGTTTTACTACAAGCGTCTACTACTATATTATGAAATATTTGATTCAAAGTGTTAAATTAATCAACAATACATCTCCTATTTCCTCCATATAGAACACACACCAAGTTAACTACACATATTATAAATCTCCATGATGGTCCACGATCAGTTCAAGAATCAGGACACAAAGTTCTTTAACCAACATAAAAATGAGCCAATAAGAATCCCATCTCCAAATGTTTTGCCTAATGGTCAAAAGCCAGACTTTGGGAACTCTTCAAGATCTTCAAAGAAACAAGCTCATCATAATCAAAAACCTCAACAACGTTTACCAAATGGACAAATGCCAGATTTTGGAAACTCACCAAAGAACAACAATAACAACAACAAGAAGACAGGCGCTTCAAAGACCAATAACAGACCTAAGAGTAACAACAAAAACAACAACAACAATCAAAGAAAGAGTCCATTATCAAGTCCAAAAACAAATAGTTCACAAATTAACAACAACAATTATGAACTTTCATTCCAAAAATCAGCTCCAGTCTCAGCTGCTTCATCTTCATCATCAAAAACACCTAGCTTTGCTGGTTCAACTTTTTCAAACTCTCCACAAACAAGCTCTATTCCAAAACCAACATTCTTATGATTTTCATGACCTGATTTCTATTCGTTCTTTTTTTTATAAGTCTGCACATACATTCGTTCATTTTGGGTTTTAAAGTATTGTTTTTGCTTTATTTTTTTTATCATTAAGGGATTCTGTTTTACATCTTAGAGCTTTTGAAATTATTATTTATTGTATTTAATAAGTTTGTTTTTTCAATTTTGGTTTTCAAACGTTAGGATGTCTTTGTTTTTCAGTTCTTTGATGAAATAATGAACTATTTGTCAATCTCATATATTAAGATCAGTGGTCTTTCTTTGTTTTGTTTTTATTATTGAGTTTTTTTTAAGGTGTTTTAACTTTTTCATCACCTTTGTTTTTTTAAAATTTTTACTCTTTTTTCCTACAAAAGGTTGTGGTTTGTTTATAGAATTACAATGGATAAATTCTTGAGGTTGGCTGGTATCAGCTACTATTCTCACAGTTGGAAAAAATACAAAATGTAGTTTTAATTTAGTATACACAATATGACCTGCACAATTTTTAAAATTCCCTAACAAAATGAGTTGGACAATGATAGCCAGTTGGATTTTTATCTAAATATAATTGATGATAATCTTCAGCATCATAAAAATTCTTTATTGGTTCAATCTTTGTAATTATTGAATTTTGCCATTTTGGTTGATATTCTTCTGTAACTTGTTTAGCAATTTTCAAATCTTCATCATCATGAGTGAAAATTGCTGAACGATATTGAGTACCAGTATCTGCACCTTGTCTATCTAAAGTTGTTGGATCATGAATTTTATAGAAAAAACTTAGTAATTCTTTTAATGAAACTTGTTTTGGATCATAAGATATTTGTAAAACTTCAGCAACTATTAACAACTGTTAGTATCTCTTGTAATCAGATCTTGAACATTCAGTACATACATTGTGTATCACCTTCACAGACTCTTTTATATGAAGGGTTATCAATGGCACCATTTGCAAAACCAACTTTAGCATCTATCAAACCTTTTGACCCATAATATTTTCTATAAACTTGTTCAACACCCCAGAAGCATCTATCATGGTAATTAGTAATTGCTCAAACTAAAGAGATTGAAACTTAACATACCCTGCTGCGACTGTGATTAGCTTGTTTGATTGTGGATTGAATTTGATAGTTGGAGATATGACTGACATTATTACTTTTAAGTGACTTGGATTGTATTGTATCTATTGTCCAAGAGTACAATTAATCTCTATGTTCTTGAATCTATGAGTCTATCATGTCGCCATTCTCGGTACGCGCCACACCCACAACCAAAACTGTGGCTCCTTGTGATATGGCGACATCGAAGCTGAAGTACAACAACTTGAACGAACCAAATTTTGACACAAAAAACTGTTGAAGATTGTAAAAACCATCTTTTCATTGTTTAAACAATCCCAAACACATATACAAACCAATATTGTTGGATACAAATCAACAAAACACCAACTAGACCATGGAGATGCTATTAATAGCCCCTATCTCGATTCTGGAATTTGGGAAAAAAAAAGAAGAAAAATGACTCAGGAAGGAAAGAACCAGATAAAGTCAAGTCCACGTTTGGAAGTTAGGGAAGAGATATGATAGCAGAACAACAACAACAACTACGTACACCAAATCAGAAACACAATGCACTAGTTAATAGATCAATCAGAACTACAATCGAGTGACTCTCAGCACACATTTGAATGTTTTCTCTTTTAACGTGTTTTTGACTCTGTGCTGTCCAGTGTCCACTCGGGGTCTGTGAAGGTTACAAAAAAAAAGTATACATGCGGACGTGTTCCCATTCTTGGTGACTTTAGTGGTTATCTTGTCTGATTTTTTATTCCTTTTGAATACTTGTTATCTTTTAGAAAGGACTAGTTAAAACTATATAAAGGTTGGCTATTTCCCATTGACTGACAACTCTTTATCTTTTCATTCATTAACTCTATTGAACACTTACACAAAACAAATCATGAAACAAACAACAGACTCTTCTGAATATCCAAAAATTACCAGAGATGAATTCATCAAAGGTGTTGGTAACACTCCTCTAATTAAAATCAAATCTTTATCAAACGAAACTGGTTGTGACATTTATTGTAAGGCTGAATTCTTCAACTCTGGGAAATCAATTAAAGATAGAGCGGCTATTTATCTATTGAATGATGCTATGTCAAAAGGTTTGGTTCAACCAGGTGGTACTCTAGTTGAAGCTACTGCTGGTAACACTGGTATTGCTTTGGCTTTATTGGGAAGAACTTTCAATCCTCCTTTCAAAGTTAGATTATATGTCCCTGAAACTTTGGTTCAAGCTAAAATCGATGTTTTAGAAACTTTGGGGGCAAAAGTTATTAAATGTCCAACAAATGTTCCTGCTGATCATCCTGAATCTTTTAACAATAAAGCTATTAATTATTGTAAAGAAAATGAGGAAGCATTCCATGTTAATCAAATGGATAACTTAGAAAATAAAAGATCTCACTATGAAACAACTGGTCCTGAAATTTGGAGACAAACTGATGGTAAAATTAACGCTTTTATTGCTGCTTGTGGAACTGGTGGTACTTATGCAGGTATTGCAACTTCTTTAAAAGATGTTTCAAAAGGTGAAGTTAAATGTTATGTTGCTGATAGAGAATTTTCAGGTTTACATTCATTTGTGCAATCAAAAGGTACTAGTTGGGAACATGAATCCGGTGAATCATTTGTTGAAGGTGTTGGTAGACAAAGTTTAACTCGTAATCTTGATGATATTCTTGAGTTCACTGATGGTTCCTTTAATGCTTTGGATTCTGAAGTTATTTTGATGTTGTACAAACTATTAGATGAGGAGAATCTATCAGTTGGTGGATCTAGTGGGCTAAATATTTGTTGCGCAAAGAAATTGGCTCAAACATTACCAAAAGGTTCAGTTATTGTTACAACTGCTGCTGATGCTGGTGAACGTTATGCCAGCAAAGTGTTCAATAAAGAATGGCTAAAAGAAAAAGGCCATTGGGACAAGATTCCAGAACATTTGCAAAAATATGCCACTTATGCTTAGGAATCTCTTTATCTTTATCTTTATGTTTAATCTGCTTTTAATGAATTTGATGCTAGAATACACTTTGTAGTACAAGTTCGCGATTCACCAAATCTCTGTGCGCGTCGGTTGGATCTCTGAAAAAAGATTATGTACATCAACAATATACACAGTTCTCACTATAATCCAATAACCATCTCAGCTTTCCCCCTTCTGTTTATCTGTTTACTTTATTGAATACTATGATAAGGAACCAGTGAAATTGTCAGAATATCCAAAAGTCACAAATTTATAAAAGGTGTAGGAAACACCCCATTAATTAAAATCGAATCATTATCAAAAGAAACAGGTCGAGAAATTTATACAAAAGCTGAATTTTTAAACTCTGGTAAATCAATTAAAGATCGTGCTGCAATCTATCTTTTAAACAATGCACTTTCAAAAGGGTTAATCAGACCAGGGGGTACTTTAGTTGAGGCAACTGCAGGAAATACAGGTGTTGCACTAGCTTTGTTGGCAAGAACTTATGATCCACCTTTTAAAATCAGATTATATGTTCCAGAGTCTTTAGTTCAAGCTAAAATTGATATCTTGGAAAGTCTAGGTGCAAAAGTTATAAAATGTCCATTAGTTCCAAGTGATGATCCTGAATTTTTCAATACTCAAGCTGTTAATTATGCTCAAAAAAATGATAATTGTGTTCATGTTAATCAAATGGATAATCTAGAAAATAGAAAAGCTCATTTTGAGACAACAGGTCCTGAAATTTGGAAGCAAACAGATGGTAAAATTGATGCATTTATAGTTGGTTGTGGAACTGGTGGTACATTTTCTGGAGTTTCAAGTTATTTGAAAGAAATTTCAAATGGGAAAGTTAAGGCTTTCATTGCTGATAGAGAAGGATCTGGACTACACTCTTATATTCAAAGTAAAGGTGATAATTGGGATCATGAAGGTGAGTCATTTGTGGAAGGTGTTGGTAAATTATCATTAACTGGTAATCTTAATGATGTTTTATCAATTGCAGACGGTTCATTTAGAGCATTAGATATTGATGTTATCATTACTTTATACAGATTATTAGATGAAGACCATTTATCTGTTGGTGCTTCTGGTGCTATGAATATATTTTGTGCAAAACAACTAGCATTAACATTGCCAAAAGGTTCAGTTGTTGTGACTTCTACAGCTGATTCTGGTGAAAGGTATGCTGGTAAAGTTTTCAATAAAGAGTGGTTAGTCGAAAAAGGTCATTGGGATAAAATCCCTGAACATCTTCGTAAGTACGCAACTTACAAGCCTTGATAGAGATAATAAACGAACAAGAAAAGCTGGTCTTTTGAGCTGGTCCATTTTGTGTAGACAAAAATTCGCGAATCTACCAAAAATCCTAGAACTTTTTGGGGAACTTTTTCAGAACTTTTTTTGGGTCCAACGAGCTCCAAAAATGAAGAAAGATGTGCCATATCTCCAGCCAGATGCTATCATTTGTTTTGAAAAGGTGTAAAGATATAAAGTGCTCCTTCAGGAACAATATGTAAAAGTTTGAGGTGTACTTGTGTAATAAAAAACAAAGTTATTAACGGAACTTTTCTTCTGGAACTTTTTGAACTTTTTTTCGCAAAAACGAGTGAACACACATTTTTACACTAAACATCTCATTTGAATTTAATTTTATTTGGATACCTCTACTAGCCTTATCACAGTTTGAACGGTATTACCAGTATAAATTTATCTTTCAATTATCATTATTTTTCTCTGTTTATGGGCTATTAACTTACCAAGATGAGTCAGCTTAAGCGTAATAATTACCTAATTAAGGATAAATTTATGTAATCAGTGAACTTTTTGAAATTTCTTGAACTTTTCGGGTCTTCCCACCAAAAATTTTGGGATTTTTACCAAAAATTTTGTGGTGTCAAAAAAATATTTTCGTTTTCCCTTTTTGGGAATTCCTTGAGCTGTAGGGGAACGATGATTTTGACAGAATACTAACAACAAACTCACCTCACTTGTAAGTTGTAACTAACTATATTTACCATATTCTGTGTCAAATTTCGAATGCCTATTCTTATAGCTGAAACATCGCTTGTTTAAGCATTCGCTTTGCCTTTCTTTTTCTCAGCTATAGTAGCTACAGAGTTGGGTTGGCTATAAATATCAACTAGCTCTCGTTCCAACTTTCAACTCACAGTTATACAGCTGACGGAAGAATAAATTCATTATGTATTCAGCTCTGCTTTAAGCATATGGCAAATTGAGCTACCACAATTGCTTGAAATGTTGTTTACAGCGAAGTAGCGTCGTCACTGTTCACGACGTCTATAATCGAAACCTCGCAGGTTTTGTATGTGCCTAGTTGATAGTAACAGCTAGCAATCCCTAATGCACCTTCATGGACATGGTGTAACGATCAAGTTGCAAGATACTTCACAGCTTGACCAATGGGTGCATAGGTGGGAAAAAATGATGTTTCGAAAACGAATAGCTAATTGTGCACCATAACTTCTCTGGTCTCTTTTAACGACAATACACCTTGAAGGGCCCGATAATCGAGTGCTTCTATTCCGTTTCATGTCTCCATCAAAGGTTTCAAAAGTTTGTGTATTGTTAACTCTATCGAATTTGGCTCATCAAGTTCTTGATAGTAGTGAACATAAATACACTGCTTGTTAGTCAAATTCACCCCGACTTGAACCATGTAGACTGAGGAGTCCAATGATCTAACTATCTAACTTCAGTAAAATCAAATCAACTGGCTCCTCCGACTGAATCCTTTACACTCTTGTTTGTTCTGTCTATGAATACAGACCAGTTGTTTTCGAAGAGTAAACAATCGTCCCAAAGTGGTAGAATTCCTTTTTCAACAAATTCCCCATGAATTTTGAAATTTTTCCAGAAGAAATGCACAGCAAAAAAAAATGAAAATTTTCAAAAAGTCAAATCTGATCAGTATTAAGTAAAACAGACTTTTTTAAGCCAGATTTTGCAAAGAAACTTTCCAATAAGATTCTTAATTGATTACATAGATCTCATCTCAGAAATCTCAATCACAAAACTATGTCATCATCGAATTAAAAAGTTTACTTCTTCTTTCCCAATTCAGTCTAATCAATTCACATCATCTGCCTAAAGAGCTAAATCAATTGCTTGTACATTTCTTTTGCTGTAGTGATGATCCGTACATGGGTAATTACCCTGCAAGTCACCAATCTTTGGCGTAAATATGTGACCGGTCATCACCCAGCACCACGTACTTCTCAGCACACTCTGCCTAATGCCTATCCACTTCTAGGCAGAGCTCCGGCTGCACATGGAGCCATCTGAAATTTTTTTTTTAATTTTTTTTTTTGATGGCAGGTAAAAAAAAAATTTTCTAATATATAAGGAAAGTTTTATCGCCACTTTTCCTTTCAACATTATCCTTACTTTCTTTTCCTTTTCTTCGTCCTCACACCGGAAATCAATTGCATTCCTTCTGAGTATATTTAGATTAATTCAAAATGGTAAGTTTTGTGAAAGAACGAGTGCACAGGTTTTGATTTGGGTAGAGTTTGGTTGAAAAATGTATTTTGTTCTGGCTTTGCTGATACTCAGCTTCCCAAATATTTACTACAATGTTAATTTAATTAAGAAATCATAATTATTTAGCTATTTATGAAGAACAAATTTCATGAAAAATGGATTATTCAATCAGCTTATTTTTTGGTAGCTTTGACAGCAGCTTTGGTAACTTTACCAGCTTTGTCTGATTTTTCAACAGCTTTGATAACACCGACAGCAACAGTTTGTCTCATATCTCTGACAGCGAAACGACCTAATGGTGGGTAGTCAGTGAAAGCTTCAACTGATAATGGTTTTGATGGAACAAATTTAACAATAGCAGCATCACCTGATTTGATGAATTTTGGAGCTTCTTCTAATTTCTTACCAGTACGTCTGTCAATTTTTTCAATTAAAGTGTCAAATTTACAAGCAATATGAGCAGTGTGACAATCTAAAACTGGAGAGTAACCAGCAGAGATTTGACCTGGATGGTTTAAGACAATAACTTGAGCATTGAATGATTCAGCAGCTTTTGGTGGATCGTTTTTAGAGTCACCACAGACGTTACCACGACGGATTTCTTTAACAGAAACATTCTTAACGTTGAAACCAACATTGTCACCTGGTAAACCTTCAGTCAATTGTTCATGATGCATTTCAACAGATTTGACTTCAGTGGTAACACCAGCTGGGGCAAAGGTAACAACCATACCTGGTTTGATAACACCGGTTTCAACTCTACCGACTGGCACAGTACCAATACCACCAATTTTGTAAACATCTTGTAATGGTAAACGTAATGGTTTATCAGTTGGTCTTGATGGTGGATCAATAGCATCAATGGCTTCTAATAAAGTTTTACCTTTAGCTTCACCAGCTTTGGTTTCTTTTTTCCAACCTTTGTACCATGGACAGTTGGTTGATGGTTCAATCATGTTATCACCATTCCAACCTGAGATTGGAACGAATGGAACAGTTTTTGGGTTGTAACCAACTTTCTTGATAAAGTTTGAAGTTTCCTTGACAATTTCTTCGAAACGAGATTCATCCCATTTAACGGAATCCATCTTGTTGATAGCAACAATCAATTGTTTAACACCTAAGGTGTAAGCTAACAAAGCGTGTTCTCTGGTTTGACCATCTTTTGAGATACCAGCTTCGAATTCACCAATACCACCGGCAATAATTAAAATAGCACAATCAGCTTGGGAAGTACCAGTAATCATATTTTTGATGAAATCTCTGTGACCTGGAGCATCAATAACGGTAACATGGTATTTTGGAGTTTCGAATTTCCATAAAGCAATATCAATAGTGATACCTCTTTCACGTTCAGCTTTTAACTTATCTAAGACCCAAGCGTATTTGAAAGAACCTTTACCTAATTCAGCAGCTTCTTTTTCGAATTTTTCGATGGTACGTTTGTCAATACCACCACACTTGTAAATTAAATGACCAGTGGTGGTTGATTTACCAGAATCGACGTGACCAATGACGACGACGTTAACGTGAGATTTTTCTTTACCCTAATTGAATTGTTAGCTAAATGTTCAAGTGATGAAAAATTGTGTGAAATAAGACAAGCTATTGGATAGAGTAATGCAATAACTAATGATTGATCTGTATATGTTTATTATTGGCGTAATGCTGCTTCTGTAACCTACAAGAGTTGAAACAATGAGCTGTGATTCTGCAGCATACGAGGAAAGTAAAGTTGATGGATGAACAAAGATAAGCGCCATGAACAGCCATTTTTTAACCAAGAAGAAAATAGTGTACACTGTACATAAATCAAAGAATTTGTCTTCGAGAGTTGAGGTCATATTAATTGCAACTTTACTTTTCAAATCGACACATCATGAGTTCTTTCGACACTTGACATATTACAAGTTTCTGTCACGTGACAAGCCCATAATATATCGACAGATAACACATGACCTGAGTATAAAAGATGAGTGAATTTTTATATCATTATGCTCAGTATTGCTTAAAGTATAATGTATACGTCAGCTTCTTACTGATTAAATGGTAATTTGAAATTTTTGATGTTTTTGATGTACTTTAATTCAATTTATCAAGGTAGTATGGAGTAAAATCACCTATTAAAATTTCAAAAACACATAAATAATATTAAAATATATATTAATTTAATTATATATTAATTAATATAATATTAAAATTATTTTTTTTGTCAATTTTGATATAAATAATAGTTTAATCATTTAATTACAAGTAACATGTATATATAATGTACCTAATTATGATAATTAAGGACCAAGACGGTGTACTGATTCGGAATAATTCTTTGCGCATTATATTTTGATTAAATATCATAATATTAATTAGCAGCAGCGGAAGCGCCAGCTGTTCATCTGGGCGGAGGCTAAAATTCAACAGCATTTCATATTGTAAAAGTACAATAAAGAACTAATCTACATTGACTATTCAATCATTATAAAAGAATATAGTACAAACATTTCATTAAAAAAAATCAAAGCTATTAAAAAATAATGTGTACTTGAAAAACTAATCATTTGAAAGGGGGGGGGGGTGGTCATTAAATTGGGAAAAACATTTATATAAGTTGATTATAATCTGGTTGGAAACAATATCAAAAAAAAAAATGGTTGAATATTATGGTTTATAATTGATAAATTGATCTATTGGTCTCATGAAAACATCCAATTAGGCAACAAAAAAGAACTAGGCAAGAAACAGATCCATTGATGGTGACTAAAATATATCATAGGGATCTTAAATTGACCAAGGCAAATGCTGCATCTTGTTCATCTTTTTGCAAATGTTCAGGTATTGAAATTTCTGGAGGTGCCACACTATTTTTACGTAATTTTAAGGCTCCTATACTTTGCCAATCTTCTTCATCTGTATCAGATTCATCATTTTGATCATTGTTTAATGTGGATCTTATAGAGCTGTGTCTTCTGTTGATTGCTGTTGAATTCTTAGATTTTTCAATTTTTTGATAATACAACAGCTCTGGAGAAGTTGGAGTTTGAGAATTAGATCTAACAGATTTGAACTTTGGTTTGGAAATACCTCTTGAGAAACTTGATCTCGAACTTCTTGTTTGGTATGGTGGTGAAACTAGTCTTGAATTTAATTTCAAAGGTGGGATTTGTTCTTCATCATCAAATTTGAAAACACCATTCTCAGCTTCATCATCATCATCATAAAAATCACTAGTTGAACTAGCGCCATTAGCCAAATCTTCTTCTTCTTCTTCATCATCATCTGAGGCAATTGCATAATCATCATCCATCATCATTGAATTTGTACTTTTCCCAGCAGTTTTTGAAGTAAGAGTGGAGTTTGAGCCATGTTTTTTCAAAAACTTATCATGATGATCAATTTCATACTTGTTTTTCGTTATTGACTCTCTTCTTGCTGTAGCATTATTGTGTTCACCATCTTTAACTTTTGCATTAGCGATTCTAATCGCGTTTCTTTCCTTAATGAAATTATCAGGTTCAACATGTTTAGCAGACCATTGACCCCAACCAATTTTCTCAAATATTATAGATTCCTCTTCAAAACCTTGATCCAATGAGCTCATGATTAGTCTTCTTTGCTTTGAAAGAGATAATTTTTCAAAACCTTGGATTTGCTTAGCTAAGTTGGAGGTAATATGTCTAATAGCCAATGGACCTGTTTCAAGTAACAAATGAGCCAATCTTTCAGGGGTAACCTTACTAGCAACTGCAATACCGGCAGGACTTGAGGTTGACAATTGGGTTTGATGCTTTTGTGCTGATTTCTTCTCCTTATGGGTTGTTGTTGTGAAATTTGGAGAAACATTGGTTGAATGGTTTGAAATGGATGAAGTTGACAAGTTTGAATAGTTTGAAAATGGTGAAGTTGGAGCCAAGGAATCTGGCGATGTTGTTGACTTCAAAGACATTTTAATATGACGCGTTGTTTATATGTTGTTTATATGTTGTTTATATGTTGTTGTTGTTGTATAGTTTGTTGAAAAGTTTCGAGCTTATCAATCTGAAATCTCGAAGATAAACAATGGTGGGCGGGACGATAAATTTAGATTGGAAATTGAATGAAACGCGTGTCTCGTGGTTGTTGTTGACGTGTAATTGATTGCTTGTGTGTGTTTGAAGGGAATGTAAGAGTGTTGCAGTTCAATTGAAAGTGAAAAATTGAAATATGAGCTTTATTTATCTAGAAAAGTGGAAATTGTGGGAATTGAAAACACATTTTCTGTTTATTTATAAGTTCTCTCTTATCCACAAACAAGCGGGCCTAGTCCCCATGTGACACACGTCTGAGCCCCCGGTTGTTCTCGGTGTTGCTCGTGGCAAGGGTGGCAAACCTGAGTCACTCTGGGTCTGGGGTCTGGGCCTCGTGTATTTTAGTCTGTACCGTGGCCGTCAAGAGCTTCAATTGCGAGCATCACCCATCAACCACTACACACAATCCCATCGAAATGGCTTCAAACGTGCTGAAATTTCAATCAGATTCTAATTTAAATGCTGCTTTGGGAAACGCTCGACACGTCTGTTGCCTTGAAATTCATAGCAAGCTTCAACCATAACCAACCATCGACAAATCGCGTCTCGGATATTTTCATGATCATGAGCTGGTTGAGATTGAAACTCTTTGATAGAAGCTGATAGTTCGGATAGAGATACGTAATCACAACTACACGGTCCATAAATCCTAGGGTTACACACAGATAAGTGGATAATGTCTCAATTGACATACATCCTTGATCCATTGATCTCTTGGTCAATCAGCCCAAGAATCTTCGACTGGTGTACTTCATTTGTTTGGCTGTATGTATAACATGTGTCTTATCGTGTCGAATCTTCCTCGACCATTCAAATATTTTTCACTTTTTTCACTTTTGGGACTCAATCAATGCGGACTCAGTTTGATAGCTCCACTTGCTACAATCCAACAAAGAGTTTAGTTCCAACGGTAAGAAACTCAATTTTGGTGGGTTATGAATAGAGACAATAGTCCTTTGCGAGAACCCTCTCAATCCCATCTTGTGAGATTACAAATACAATACAGAACCGACAGTTCGATTACAATGCCACTGATTTCTAGATTCAAATCGTCTTTGAAATGGAACACTTCTGTTCTCTAAAATACGTAGTGCTAGTACTAGTGAATCTATATCTTACTATTGATGAGCCTTGCAACACAGATTAAAATCCATTATGAGTTCTTTGAGACTCAAGAGTTTAGTGATGCGAAAATATTGGAGTTATGTACAAGATTCATCAACATTTTGAATAATTTTGTCTATGGCAAGTTGAACACTTTAAGAGATAAATTTTCTGCGTTGGAATGTTTTTTCTATCAATTTTTGTTAATTTTTTCAAGATATTTAAATTTCAAAACTGTGGAAACCATGATGATGGTGAAATCAGGACCCGTTAATGGAGATGTTCATTTCAATAGCTCATTATCAAAAATTTTAAACACTTCTTCAAACATACAAGGTGATGAAAATTTCCAAGTGTTGGTTCGATTAAGGGACAAACTTTTAGGTATAATTGGGAAAAATTCATTGAAGAATAAGAGAATTATGAAAGTTTTAGATGTTATAAAGTCTGTCAATTCATTTGAATTAGATTCTACAGCTTTTACTAAAACAGCTTCAAATGAAAACTATTTGACTGAGGAATTGAAATCTTTGTTAGAAGATCCCGTGTATGATGTTTTGAAGAGTATAACAGATTACCCAAATATGGATAGTAACTTCATTGATAATAAGTACACAATGATCTGAATAATGAATAATTTTTTTGAACAATTGAGATGTAATTAATCTGCGAATGCAAGTACTCGTTGACATGCAGAAGTCATGTCAGTGATTTATTGAAAACACGAAATGATTTAGATTAGAAAGCCGATTCTTGATTCTTGAAGCTTATTGAAAAGGCTACAGAATTCAGTGAGAATTACTTCAATTTTTGTCTATTAAAGCTGTTATTATTCACCTCATGCTAGAAATTGGCGCCAAATTTGGCAGTTTCGCAATTTTTTTTCGCGCAGAGTTAGCGCCAAAGAAGCTGGGGGATTACTTTATTTGGGCGAGGTGACACAAAAAACTCTGGTCAGCTACATAGCAAGCACAAAGAGAAACTAGGATAAAGAAGAAGCTTATTATGGAATGTTGGGTCATGAACAGTCTGAGTGCACAGGCTGTTGAGATGGAGTATTTGCTTGATGTAATCGAATGACTGCTAGTCTCTGGCTGATGTTTAATGATGCTTTTTGTCTTACGTAGATTCTTTAGTGTGAGAAGTAAACTTTTCATTCTTTTTGGAAACTTCAACTTCATCATCATTGATATCCTTTATGATTTTTGATTCAAGAAAACTATTATATTCATCATATTGCTTATCAATCTTTAAAATTGCTTGATAACAAATCTTAGTTTCATTAACATATGAAGAAACAAATAATCCATTCTTTATTCTTAAAACTTCACAAAGTTGATACTCTTTCAACTCATCATTTGATTTTTGAACTTCACTAAACAGACAGCAAGAAGGTATGATATTTGGTCTTGAGGATGCAGAGCATATGAGTGCCTCCATTGTATTGATCTTTGTCCAAAGTGGACCACCTTCTATGTGTAGTCCAATACTATAAGCATTTGAAACTAATTGGAAGACTAATTTCCAACATTTTTCAAAAGAATAAATAAAATAATAATAGTTGATCAATATTAATTGTGATTGTAAGAATTTTTTAGTTTCAGTTGTTTGTATTTTGGAGATTTGGAAATAATAATTAATCAAATATTTAAGTTTTTCCTCTTGATGTGAAATTATTGGTGGTTCACGATTCTCCAGTCCATTTTTCAAAACATCAACAAGAATACAACAGAGCAGCATCATATCTTCATCATTGGACCATGTTTTCATGGTATCATAATTATCCAAAAATTTCAATAAATCATCCTTATCAATGATTTCATTGAAATAGTAATATTGATCCACTTTGAAGAAAAACTCAACTAATGATTTGATAACTTTCTTATTCCTTTCATCATCATCATCTATGATCACTGGTAATGGTTTTTTTTTCAGATTTATCTCCCTTGTTATATCTTTCTCAAAGGGTAATATCCCATTCATCATCTCAGATTCCAACGAGGGTATACTATTTTCTCCGAAATATTTTGTGCATGAGTTCCCTGTTGAATCGAAAATAGATATCAGATCCTCAGAAATAGCTAGCTTAGTCTCAAGTTCTTTGATTTTAGACTTATAATATTCAACACCCATAGAAGTTTCTGCATTAGTAGTTGGGTTCAACTTATTAATCTCTATTGATCTGAATTTTGAAGGATAAGTGCATGGGATGGATTTATTGGAACAGTTTTTGCATGGCTGGACTCGATCGCAACGGATCTTTCGACGACGACATTCGTTGCATGAGATGGGAAGCACCATATTCTGTGAGCTGGATATACTTATTTCTTGGATAGTTTGGCTATTTGTAACGTTCTTTTCGAGACGGAATTCCCTTTACACTTTTTTTCCGTGCTGCTCATACCGTCCTCCATCTTTCTCCTCCTAAACTGTGGACAGAGCATACTTCAGTTCAACACAACGACGACAACAACAACATCGCCATGAAGGCTTCAAACTCAACCAGTTAGCCCAAATGTCATCCATCGCTACGCTAGAGCTCATCGCCAACATCAAGCGCTTCGCCGTGCCAAAAGTCTACCCGGTCCAACAGATATGGCCTGCGTTCAGAAGGTCGGCCGTCATGATCATCCTCTTTATAGGCAACTACGGTGAGCTGAGAGTTCTATTGACGAAAAGATCAAGAAAGTTGAACAATTTCTCAGGTCATGTGTCCTTGCCTGGCGGTAAAGCTGATAATGAACAAGAGACTGAAGTCGATGTTGCTAGAAGAGAATGTTTCGAAGAGATTGGATTACCGTATGATGATGAATTACAGAAGCAAGGATTGAAATTAGAACATTTGAATATGATGCCATGTTATCTTTCCAGAACTTTCTTAAGTGTCAGACCTATTGTTTGCTTTCTCCATGATCATGATAAGCCAAGTGTACAGATCAAAAACCTCAAGTTGTTGTTGAATCCTGGTGAAACTTCTTCAATTTTTTCAATACCGTTATTAGATCTCATTGATAAACACAACAAACGGGAATATTTGAAGAAATCAGTAAAGACATACCACTGGGGGCATTTGAAATGGCCTATCAAACATTTTTATTATCCTACAAAGAATAATAATGAAGTGACATGGCTAGATGATATTCTTGATTTGAGTTCTGATGATGAGGATTTGATTGATGACATGAACATTCATTCCAATGGTAAAGACATCAAAGATCTTTGGGGTTTAACTGCACAAATGCTTTATGATCTTGCTAATATTGCTGTTAACAATGCTAACAACAATTATATTGGTAATGAGAACCTAATTTATGCATTAACTGAGTTTGGAGGCCAAATGTTGGATCGGAAACGAACTGATTGGGAGGCCGGCATGATTGTAAATGAAAAAGACAAGAACTATGAACAGGTCATACCTAAGCATATCTATAACCATATAGTAAACGAGTTTAAGCTATAATAAAATCTTGTTTAGAAAATCAATTACAGTGTTCATCTTATATAGTGTAGGTATCGACCCGTGGTGAAATGGCAGCATGGGGTACCCGCCAGTGGCCACTGGTTCGGGGCGCGGTGCACACAACAGCTTCACCCTTTTCAAAAGCAGATAGACGAATATTCCAACACATCAAATACACAGCACCTACAACTTCAACAACAACAACAGATCGTTAACTCAGGGAATAGACAATCCATACTCATACACAATCTTGTGATTTAGGCACAACCATCCAATATCAACAACCAAGGACAATCAATTCATCCTGTGAAAATCATAATTGTGTTTTTGTCGCGTTAAGATCTGTATATCTGTCGTTAGTTTTCCATCTAGGTGATCTTCAAAAAAAACAAACACATTCTAATTGTTTTTCAAAAGAGTGAAAAATCCAAACTAAAACATATCATTTTCAGATTTTGGGAGGTTATTGAACAGGAATTATAAATATTCAAAAGAATGCCACCGGAAGATAATCTTCGAGATCAAGAAGATGTTGATAGGACTGAGAATTCCGAAACCAAACCAACAACCGCCGAGATAGCTGCTGATGCTTCAAATGATTCAAAGCTAACAAATGGTTCTGATGATAGAGAAGATAATGATACTCCAGATACAACTGAATCAATTGAAAATCAACCACCAAAAGAAAATGGTGAAGTTGTGAAAAATGAAACCCCAGAGACCAATGGAAGTAATGAGATTGAAACCCCAAAAATTTCAGAACAAGATAAAGAAAACCTCAAAGATGATAGCAAAGGTGAAGATGTAACTGATGCTGAGACTTCATCCGACGTTCCTACTGCACTACCGAGAATTGTTACAAACCATGAAAATGACAATAATATAGCTAGACATTCAAGAGCTGTCTCGGTTATTTCAAATGCATCTGTTGCTTCTAAAAACTCAACACATATTTCATTTGTTAAAAGTGCAATTACTTTAATCTCAGAACATAAAGATATCAAGAAAAACACATCTTTGATAAATCTTTGTAAAAAAACATTGGATAAGTTGAATAATGGGTTTGATTCTGCTTTAGTCTTTGAAAATTTAAGAGTTGCAATTGAAACTAAAAGTGTGGAGATTGTCGTTATTGCATTGGATTGTATTTCAAAAATTTTCACATTTCAATTATTTGAACCAATTCAAGTTTCACCTCCAAAAACAATCACCGCAACTACAACAGATACTGATCTACCAGCTGGTACTGGTGAAACTATGATCACACCTCCTCCAAAAGTCAATTTGATTGATGCTGCTATTGAAACAATTGCTAGCACTTTTGATGGAGAAGGTACTGATGAGAGAGTTGAAATTCAAGTCACAAGAGCATTAATGGCAGGTGTACTTAATGAACAATTACCAGCTCATGGTTCAACTCTATTGAGAGCTATTAGGCAAATTTATAACATTTTCATCTTGTCGCTATCACCAGTTAATCAAGGTATTGCTCAAGCAAGTTTGACACAAATTGTTAATGTCGTGTTTGATAAAGTGGAAAAGATACCGCATTCAAAACCGCTTGCTTATAAAAGCTCATCATCTGTTAATATCAACGATAATGACTCTCAGAACCAATCACCAGGTCCAGGAACACCTACTCGTCAAGACTCGACACAAGAACCTTTGACTTTAAAAAATTTGAGAGATTTGAATGATGAAGAAGAACGCATAGTGGATCAAGAAAATTATTCCGGTGATGAACATGATTTGATTATTAAAGACGCATTCCTATTGTTCAGAGCTATGTGTAAACTTTCAATTAAATCACTTGAGAATGAATCATTAGATATGAGGTCACATGCTGTTCGTTCAAAATTAATTTCATTACACATTATTCATTCAATAATCAAAGAACATATTGATGTGTTTTTATCCAATGACATTTTGATCTCATCTCCTGCAACAAAAGAGAAAACAAGATTAGTTGATGCTGTTAGACAATATCTATGTTTGACTATTTCAAGAAATGCAGCTTCTGCTATCCCTCCAGTTTTTGAAACTACAGTGGAAATATTTTGGCTGATTGTTTCTAATTTGAGATCTGAATTCAAGAGAGAAATCCCAGTGTTCCTTAATGAAATTTATTTCCCAGTTGCAGAAATGAAAACTTCAACTTCTCATCAAAAAAGATATTTCTTAATTATTGTTCAAAGGCTATGTAATGATCCAAGAGCTATCATTGAATTTTATTTGAATTATGATTGTGATACCACTTTACCAAATATTTGTGAAAAATTGACAGATTATTTGACAAAACTTGCTTTAACAAATGTTGAGGTTACTGCTAACCAAAAAGCTCAATATAAAGAACATTCATTAAAACCAATTGCTACTTATAATTTATCACAATTACCTTTGTTATCAATTTCCAAACTTTCTTCTCAGTCTGCAATGCCTGATACATCTTTACCATACCCTGTTGATTATGCATTGAAACTTACTTCATTGAATTGTGTTGTTGGGTTTCTAAGATCATTAAACTCTTGGGCTCAGAAGGCAATGACACCAGAAACTCGCTCATCATCAGTTGTTTTGAACAGAAAAAGATCAAGTACAAGCGGTTCTGTTGTGCCATTATCACCATCTTTTTCAATGGATGAAGTTGATGACCCACAAGAATTTGAGAATTTGAAACAGCGTAAAACAGCCTTACAAGATGGTATAAGACAATTCAATTTCAAGCCTAAAAGAGGTATCGAATTTTTAGTTAGACAAGGTTTCATCAAAGACAAAGAACCTTTGACCATTGCCAAGTTTTTACTTGAACAACATGGATTGGACAAGGCAGTTATTGGTGAATATCTAGGTGAAGGGGATGAAGAAAATATTGCCATTATGCATGCTTTTGTTGATGAAATGGAATTTTCAAATACTTCATTTGTTGATGCTATGAGAACATTTTTACAAGCTTTTAGATTACCTGGTGAAGCTCAAAAAATTGATAGATTTATGTTGAAATTTGCTGAAAGATATGTTGATGGTAATCCAAATATTTTCGCTAATGCTGATACTGCTTATATTTTGGCATATTCTGTTGTTTTGTTAAATACTGATCAACATTCAACCAAAGTTAAAAATAGAATGACCACTGAAGAATTTATCAAGAATAATCGTGGTATTGATGATGGTAAAAGTTTACCAGATGATTTTTTGATTAACATTTATAATGAGATTGCTAAAAATGAAATCAAATTACATTCGGAACAACAAGCTGCTCTATTAGCTGGTGACTTGTTACCTACACAACCTCAATCATTCACTCTTTTTGGTAATAGAGATGTTAATAGAGAAGCTTATATTCAAGCATCAAAGGAGATCTCCAATAAGACTGAAAAATTATTCAAGAACTTGGGTAAGACTAAAGGTGATAAGAAAAATGTCTTCTATTCTGCTTCTCATGTTGAACATGTTAGATCTATCTTCGATACATTATGGATGTCATTTTTAGCTGCACTTACAGCTCCTTTCAAAGATATCGATGATGATGAAACCACCAAGACTTGTTTGGAAGGTCTGAAATTATCTATCAATATTGCTGCTTCATTTGGATTAGACTATGCTAGAACATCATTCATTGGTGCATTGATACAATTTGCAAATTTATCAAACTTGAAAGAGATTAAAGATAAGAATGTCGATGCTATTGTTTTGTTGTTGAAAATTGCTGAAACTAATGGTAACAATTTGAAGAATTCATGGAGAGATATTTTAACCACTATTTCTCAAGTTGAAAGATTACAACTTATTTCAAAAGGTATTGAAGCTGATTTACTACCAGATGTTACAAATGCTAGAGTTCATAGAACATCGTTAGACAGTACTAGAACTACAAACTCTAGCAATTTTTTCTTTGGCTTAGGAAGAAAGGCAACACCAGCCGAACAAGCACAAACAAATCATCAAAATCAACATTTGGACCCTGCCATTGCACAGCGTTTAGTTTCTACTGATATTGTCGTTGTTATGGATAAAGTCTATACACAAAGTGCTCAATTGAATGGTAGTGCAATCATTGATTTTATTAGAGCATTGACAGAAGTTGCTTATGAGGAAATTGAATCTTCATTAGATAGTCATACTCCAAGAACGTTCTCATTGCAAAAAGTTATTGATGTTTGTTACTACAATATGGGTCGTATCAGATTAGAATGGTCCCCTATTTGGGCTGTCATGGGTGAATGTTTCAACAAGATTGGTACTAAACATAACTTATCAGTTGTTTTTTTTGCATTAGATTCTTTGCGTCAACTTGCTATGAGATTTATGGATATTGAAGAACTTTCAGGGTTCAAGTTCCAAGAAGACTTCTTGAAACCATTTGATTACATTTTAAGAAATGCCAGAGATGTCCAAGTTAGTGAAATGTGTTTGAATTGTCTAAATAATTTGATTGCATTGAAAGGTGATAAGATTAAGTCAGGTTGGAAAACAATTTTTTCTGCATTGAACTATACAGCTGGTGATATAAATGAATCAATTGTTTCTAAAACATACGAGTTAGTTAATTTCATTTACAAAGATCACTTTGATTCAATTTTTGCTCAGGACGATTCATTTTCTGCATTGGTCTCCACTTTAAGAGAATTAGCTAAAAACACAAAATTCCAAAGAATCAGTTTACATGCCTTACAAAACATTAAAAGTATTGTTATTAAAGTGGCTGATGTTACATTGGATACTGAAAGTGCATTTGTCAAATCACGTAAAGATGTTTTCAAAGAATTATGGTACCCAGCTCTATTCAGTTTCAATGATGTTATAATGACAGGTGATGATCTAGAAGTTAGATCCAAGGCATTAAATTTGATGTTTGATATTTTAGTTCAGTATGGTAATAGATTTGATGCTCAATTTTGGGATCAAATTTGTGTTAGTTTATTGTTCCCAATTTTTGGTGTTTTGAGTAAACATTGGGAGATCAATCAATTCAATAGTCATGATGATTTATCAGTTTGGTTATCAACCACTTTAATTCAAGCTTTAAGAAATATGATTGCCTTGTTTACCCATTATTTTGATGCCTTAAGCAGAATGTTGGATGGATATTTAGGTCTACTCATCTCATGTATTTGTCAAGAGAATGATACAATTGCCAGAATAGGTAGATCATGTTTCCAACAATTAATTACTCAAAACATGGAGAAATTCACACAAGAACATTGGGATAAAGTTACAGAATCTTTTGAAAAATTATTTGAGTTAACTACAGCTGTTGAATTATTTGAAGCTGATCCATTGAAAGAAGAAAATAACATTCCTGTTTCACAATCAACTCAAGAATTGAATGAAGAAAATGGTGTTGATTTCAGTGCAAATGGTGATAGCAATAACGTTCAAAAGGGTATTTCAAGAACTAAAAGTGCAGAAGACATAAGAAGAAAGAACAAGTCAAAGAATGCTATTGTTGTTAAATGTATTTTGCAATTATTGATGATTGAAACTCTAAGTGAATTGTTTGATGATGAGAAATTTTACACTTTAATCCCATATGAATCTTTAGTTAAGGTTTCAGGTTTGTTGGAGAAATCATTCAGATTTGCTAGAACTTTTAATGATGATTACAATCTAAGAGTTAGATTATGGAACTCAGGTGTGATTGATAAATTGCCAAACCTATTGAAACAAGAGTCATCATCATCAGCTGTTTTTATCAGTGTTACATTTAAATTATACAATGATACCCAGAAGATAACACCAAAGCAAAAAGATGCAATTAGTGCAAGTTTGATACCAATGTGCGTTTCAATTGTTGAGAGATATGTTTCATTGGATGACAGTACACAGCAAAGAAACATCTCCACATGGAGACCTGTTGTTGTTGAGATTTTACAGGGCTATTGCGAGTTGGAAGAGAAGGATTTCAACAAGCACTGTCCCCATGTTTATGATTTAGTCTTGAATATCTTGGATAAGAGTGTGCCAACAGACCTTCGCTCTGCAATCAAGGCATTCTTTTCCAGAGTTGGAGACGTGTATATCAATGATGAAAAACCACAGGAGAGTGATTAATCTACTATAATTTATACATGTTGAAAAGTGTTTTAATTCTATGTAAAATCCATTGTTAGAGAGTCGCGACCATCCGATGATCAGTCCAGTGCCGGTATTGTGCCAGCCCCAAAATTACGCGTTGTCCGTGCTGAAATTTATGCGGATGTGAAAAATTTGAATTTTTTTCGACGACGCTTTTCAAAGTGAAAAGCTCGAATTGCCAAAGATACAGTTTCCAACCTTCAAGAGTCATCAATAACACAGACAAAAATGAGTGTACGTAGACCCATATTAGAGAAGGGATTGTTCATGTGGCCATTGCGGTTATTCAGAGCATAAAAAAACCAGTTGTTTCCCCATGCATATACATTATGAATTAGTCGTTTGCTCATTGAAAACTCCAGGTATCAATTAATCAAGTTTCAACATTTCCACTTTACAAACCCACCATAAAATAAAAATGATCAATCCCTATGTTTTAATTTTGTCAAGTTGATTTTTTTACTAACTTTTGCTAATTTTAGAACCCATTTGAACTTTTAGGTAACGACGTTGAAGAAGTCGACTCCAGAGCTCCAAGAGAAGTTGTCAAGAAGACAACCTCTTCAAAGAAATCTGATGTTCCACCACCATCAGCTAACAAAGACCGTGCCAACAAAAACCGTCCTCAAGCTACTGGTAATGAAGCTGCTTACAAAGATGGTAAAGCTGGTAGAGCTGCCAACAAAGCTAAAGGTGTTGAAGAACCAAAAGCTTCTAAAAAACCAGTTAAAGGTGGTAAAACTGACCGTCACTCAAAGACCGGTAAATCAGACACTCAAAAAAGAGTTAAACAAGCTGGTTGGACCGCTGATGGTGAAGGTGAATTAGAAAATGAATTAGAAGGTGCTGAAGATGCTGCTGAAGAATTAAAAGAAGATTCTGAAGACAAACCAGCCAAAAAATCTTTACAAGATTACTTGAAAGAAAAAGAAGCTTCAACTATCGGTGCTGCTCGTGAAATTAGAAAAGTTGAATCTGCTGGTGATGATGAAGTTTTAGTTAAAGAACAAGAATCATTCATTGCTCCAACCAAAACTAAAAACGTTAAATCAAAAGCTTTGAAAAACAAAACCTTTTTAGATTTTGATGCCACTTTTGCTGATGACTTACCAAAACCAACTTCAACCAGAGGTAGAGGTAACAACACCAGAGGTAGAGGTAGCAACACCAGAGGCAGAGGTAATGCCAGAGGTGGTAGAGCCCCAAGAGGTGGTAAAGCTCCAAAAGCTGATGCACCATCCATCAACGATGAAGCTAACTTCCCATCATTAGCTTAAATCGAAGATTTGAACTCAGTCGAATCTATATAACCGTTACCTCAAAAGGAGTGGAAAATTTTATGGTCTTTTGAAAAACCATTATTCAAGGGATTTATAATGGGATACTTTGAAAATCTGTAATTCTTGTTGTTTATTATAATTATATCTTCGCATATGAATTCGAAATGTAGGCTTGGACCCTGTTTAATTAATATCGTAAGTTTTGAATAAAAGTCCCCAGCTGTCAAAAGGGTTGGTTGATCTTGGTCAATGGTACAAAATATGCGAAGCCTGGACTTGAACTCTTCAGAATCTGAGATGAACCAGATCAGTTAAAGCCTATCATAATTCTTGTAATACGAGCACAGTACGCCTAAGTTCCACCTAGCTTGGCTACAGCAGTAGTAGTCTGATGATTAGAATTTGATGATATATGGTGATGACTGATAGTAGAAATAGGCCGGCTGCATGTTTCCGTGAAAAATTCAAGAGCCTCTATATAAACCTTCTTCTAAAGCCACATCTTGAAATCGTTATGGATCCAGGGTTTCACAATTAAAAGCATGGCTATAAGGACTATACCTTATTACTGAACTAATAATTACTACAAGCTCAAGATCAATATGGCTGTTCAAGATAATAAAAAGCCTAAAAGCTGTGAAGCTGCTCAAGAAAGCACAATACATGTCAATGATTCATCTGATGAATATGACCATACTACAAAGCTTGAAGCTGCTACCAAAACGAATGATATACCCTTAGAGGAGATGGATGATGAAACTTTCTATTCAAGATTTTCACCAGCTAGAAAGAAGTTGTTTGTGTTCATTGTGTCATTGTCATGTTTCTTATCTCCAATCAGTTCAATGGCCTTCCTACCTGCAGTTTCCATTATTGCAGAAAGATTCAACACAACAGGTACAATCATCAATGTTTCAAATGCTGTTTATTGTATAGTAATGGCTATTTCCCCTTGCTTGCTAGGTCCATTTGGTTATCTATATGGAAGAAGAGTTACATTCATACTGTGTCTGTCGTTATTTTGCGTGGCATCTGCTTTAACTGCATTATCACAAAATCTTGCAATGTTCTTTATATTCAGGGCACTATCCGCATTGTTCGGTACTCCATTCTTTTCAGTAGGTGCTACAGTTATTGGTGATATTTACAAACCTGAGGAGAGAGGTGCTGGTAATGCTTGGACTTTGTCTGGAAGTCAATTAGGGCCTGCAATAGGTCCTGTTATCGGTGGTATCTGTGTTACATATACAAGTTGGAGAGTGATTTTTTGGATTCAATTTGGGCTAGGTGTATTGGATTTGATACTTGCTACATTGTTTCTACCTGAGACTGGTAGAAATATTGTTTCTGTTCAAATAAAGAAAGAAACTGGGAAGAAAAGAGTATATTGGATCAATTATAACCCATTCCGTGTTATTCTTGCATTCAAATATAAAAACTTGATTTTGGCTGGTATTGTCAGCTGCTCTTTGCATTATAATATGTACTCACTTTTAACTCCAATTAGATATGTTGTGGATCCAAGATTCAATCTAGAAGATCCAGTTTATGGTGGGTTGTTTTATTTAGCACCGGGATGTGGGTACATTGTTGGTTCATTTTTTGGAGGCAGATTTGCAGATTACTATGTGAAGAAATATATCAAAATCAGAGGGAAAAGATTACCAGAGGATCGACTACGTTCAATGCCAATAGCTTATGGTTTTTTCATTCCTGTAACGATTTTGATTTATGGCTGGACTTTAGAGAAGGAAAAGGGTGGTATGGCCGTTCCAATAATTATGATGTTCATTGGTGGTTGCGCACAAACTATTTGTTTCCCAAGTGTCAACACCTATTGTGTTGATTCAATGCCTCATTTGAAAGGTGATGCTATTTCAGGTAATTATGCAATCAGATTCATCGCAGCTGCTATTGGGACAGCTACAGTTTTGATTCAAATTCAGCATATTGGAATCGGCTGGACTTGTACAATATCTGCTGCATTTTTATGGGTGGGATTTGGCTGCTTGTACTTATTGATACGTTATGGAGAACAGATGAGATGTCAGTATGATGAAAAGAAGGAGGAAATTAGTGAGACGTGAGTCGTTTAGATGGGCTTTCGGTTGTTAATAGATTTGTTTTTACTTGCACTAATAATGATAATAGATTTATAGATCAATAATTGGGAGGTATTTCACACCCATTGTATTGTTTATTACACAACACCCAAAGTTTCGCCTTTTCACAAGTCTTTTGAATGATTCTTGACTCGCTATTGTTCATTTTCTTGATGTCTGTAAATTTTGTGTCAAAAAATGTAGTCACGTGCAGGATCTAGGGCATTTGAAAAAAATTCGAACTTTTCAAAAAATTACACCTTTAAACTTCACCTTCTACACCCCATATTCCAACTCAATATCCATAGTCATGGGGTTCTTGAAGCCAGGGAAGAAGACAAAGAGAGCCCGTACTGATGATAAGAAATCACAGAAACCCCATAAGGTGAAGCGTATAAAGCTTGAACCTGATCCAAACCTTGAAGATTTATCTTTGATGCAAAAATCAAATTCAAAACAAAGTTCATCATTACTTGAAAGACTTCCCTCTGAGATCATACATGAAATATTCCTATGTACTACTCTTTCCAATCTCCCAATAGTCAACAGACACCTATTTCACCAATTAAGACCAACAAAATCTTTAAAGATCAATATGCTCAAAAATTATATCGTGGATTTGAACAGTAAGATTGTTGCACCTGAAATGGTTTATAAGGATAGATTCGCCTTATATAAACATGCACTGAATTATAGATTTGTCACATATGATATCTTGAAAGAGGTGAAGTTTGATACTGTACTTCCCTTGAGCAGCGTACTATCAGAGTCAAAAAATAGATTGGTGTTATACTATGATGAATTGAATCAAAGACTTTTGGAAACAATGAGAAGAGCTGAAAGTACAGAAGAAGAAATTAATAGGGAGCTGGCTAGGATAGCCGATGAAAATTTCAACAACGTCAATGTGGATGAAGTTGAACTTGCAGATGCACCAGATCAAGAAGCTCAAGATTTTCCTGAAAGGTTTTATACGGCACCTTTTGATGACGATAAACTCGAAATAATTACATTTTTACATACAAAGGGGTTACAATATATCAATGGTGATTTGGTATTATGTAATGCCATGGAAGCAAATGTCTCAGTTGAATTGTTGGAAGAGCTGAGCCAGTGTTCACAAGCAGATTTTGTGAGGACTACCTCACCATTGATAAAAGCTTTTGACGTGAATAATATGAAATTTGTTGAGTGGGTAATTTCAAAATTAGAGTCTAGAGATCTGCTGAATCATGACGATTTGTGGGTATACATCTATCAGAAGCAAAACTCCAGCTTCCTACACTATTTAGAGTCTCAGGGTGGAACACCGAGTCATGAGATATTGGGTATGCTTTCATCTTCCCACATATAATGAGTTACGAAATATATATTAATGAATGATCACGAACTGAAAGAACTACGACTGTAGGTGTTATTAAAACAAAGAAACCGTAAATAAAAATTGAGAATTGAAAATGTGAATAAAGTGCAAAACTGGCACAGGGAAACAACCTATTGGTAATATTGTTGTTGCTGTTGTTGAGGTGGGACCTGTTGATATTGTGGAATTTGTGGAACTTGTGGAACTTGTGGAACTTGGTTGTTTTGTGGAAGTATATGTTGACGGGCTTGTTGTTGTTGTAATTGTTGCAATAATTGTTCTTGATTTTGATCAGCGGAGACAGGATTACTCAAGTTATTGTTAGTATATTCACTAAACCATGGGTGTTGTAATGCTTGTGCTGCAGATATTCTATTCTCTGGTTTCATTTGTAATAAGCTGTTTAATAAATTCAATGCCAATGGATCTATATTTGGGATAATTGTTCTTAAATCTTGTGGAATAAACATATTGAAGTTTGGTCTATAATTTGGTAATTGAGAAACACCTGGCCATGTTCTTTCATTTGGAGTACCCATCAGTCTGAATATTTTGGTCAATTGATCTTCATTGGAACCACCTGGGAAAAGAGGTCTCCCAATAAACATTTCAGCCAATATACAACCAGCAGACCACATATCAATAGATGTAGAGTAGTTTCTGGATCCCATCAAGACATCTGGAGCTCTATACCATAATGTGACAACTTCACTTGAGAATGTATTGACTGGAATACCAAATGCTCTTGCTAAACCAAAATCACCAATTTTCAATTCACCTTTTGAGTTTGTTAACAAGTTTTGTGGTTTCAAATCTCTGTGTAGAACTCTATTTTGGTGACAGAACTGGATCCCTTTCAATAATTGAAACATAAATGATTTGACGACATGTGGTTCTAAAGCCCCATTATTACCATGAACATCCATGTATTTCTTCAAATCTCTATCCAAATATTCGAAAACCAAAGTTAATTTATTCTCAGTGTGGATAACATCATATAAGTTGATAATATTGTTGTGTTTCAAATCTTTCATCAAAGAGATCTCTCTGATTGCTGTTGATGGAGTACCTTCTTCAGAGTCTAGATTGATTTCCTTCAAGGCAACGAGCGTACCCGTGGCCCTGTTACGGCCTTTATAAACGGTAGCATAGGTACCTTCACCTAGTTTTTCCAATCTATTAAGGAGTTAGTAATTGTCACAGGTAACATAATATAGAAGTAAACGAAAGTAGACAAAACATACTGTTGGAATCTATAGTGTTTGGTGTTAGTAGGTTTGCGATGTGATATAGAGCCTCAACTCTTTTGTTCAATACTTACTGAGACGCTTGACCAGCCATTGGAAGTGTTGTGTTGTGAGTTGTTCTAAAGTATGTCTTTGGTTCACAACAGTCTCAAAACGATGGAATCTGACTGAGCTCTTTAAGTGGTTGAGCCTGAACAAGAACCTTTTTGTGCTGTCGAGGCTATTTTAATCTGCTTTTGATCTTGTTCAGCTTTTTTCTTTCCTTAAAAGTGACAAGTATTATGTAATCACCAGCCAAAATTTTTTTGGTGTGAAAAAAAAAAATAAAGTGTCAATAAACATTTGGGTACAAAAGATTTGAAAAGTGTTTAATTTGAAGGGATTTCTTACTTCGACAGTTGGTGATTAGAGGGCAGAGACTATATAGGCAGACACCATAAGCTCATAAATCAATCATGACCGAAGACAAAAAGAAACCAGAGATGCCAAACATCATGAGCGAAGCATCCATTCTAGGCCCAGAGTGGATCGGTCTATTCCAATCCCCAGTTGAGTTCAAGAGTGAGCACTTTGAAGGTGCTATGGAAAACCTGATAAAACAGCCAAACATTAACTCCACGGTGATCTTAAGAGCAGATATCCTAATAGAAAATAAGTATGATTATACCGAATCTGAACCAAAACTGTCAAATTTTAAAAGTGAACTAGCAGATCAAAAACCAGACATACCGACAACTTCAGAAAATGAGGTGATAATAGAGAAAAACTTGGATGATATTGATCTGAGGAGTATCCCATTAGCTTTGAAGTCAAGACCAAAAGTTGAAATTGTGAGAAGGATTGTCCCGAGAAATCCATTCAAAGATGCCATTATAAATCAAACATGTTTAGTGCTTGAACTCAAAGATGAGGGTGAGGAACAGTTTGATTCCACTTTGATTGTCTATAATCCACATATTGATGATTCAGAAGACTGTCCATTTTATTTGCCTGGTGTTCAAGCTGTTGGTATTCTATACAGAAAAGGCACATTATCATTACATTACTTACCATTTGGCTATGAAGATCCCCAAAACATACAGAATTTCAAAGAGTTAGATCCAAGTGATCGTAATATTAGAATTGCTTTCAGACTGTTACAAACTGCAAGAAAACATTCCACAGGTGTGATGCAAGGATATCAGAAAAGAGTTAAGCATGATCTTGTGGTTTCAAAAGTCTCATTTCAAGATCGCTACATCACATTAAAGAAGAAATATTCAAAAGATTTAGTAGATAACTGGGTTGAATCAACAGATCCAAGAAAACATGTTTTTGAAGATATTGCTATAGCTGCTTTTTTGATTGAGCTTTGGTCAAAAATATATAAAAGTAAAGATGAGTTTGAATTTCGTGATTTAGGATGTGGTAACGGATTATTAGTTCATATTTTGATAACAGAAGGTTATAAAGGTATTGGTATAGATGCCCGTGCTAGAAAGAGCTGGAAAATATATCCTGAAGAAGTACAAAGCAGGTTAAAAGAGCAAGTCATTATTCCTTCAGTGTTGTTGAGACCACATCCAGCTGTAAAGAATTTGGCACCTCATTTGACAGATAATGGACGTGTTTTCCAAGTTCCAGTGAGTAATGGATCCAAATTTATAAGGGACGGTGGTGTCGATGTTCCAGTTGTTGCTTATTACTCCTCAGCTTCATTATTACAATCGTCAAACGTTAATACTGCTCAATTTCCTAAAAATACATTTATTATCGGGAATCATTCAGATGAATTAACATGTTGGGTCCCATTATTAGGATATCCTTTCTTGGTTATCCCATGTTGTTCACATGCTTTATCTGGTGCTCGTGTTAGATATCCTTCAAAAAGAATTGCTCGAAAAGAAGGCGAAAAGACTTCATTTGGGGCATCCACATATGCTGCATTAGTTGATCATGTGGAAGATATAGCTAAAGAAGTTGGATGGAAAGTTGAAAGAGAAATGTTGAGAATCCCAAGTACAAGAAATGCAGCACTAATAGGATATCAAAAGGAGAAAGCACATGCAAAGATCAAATCAGTCTATGATATGCTTGTGTTGGAAGGAGGCGCTGAAGGTTGGGTTGAAAATACAATGGCTTTGACAAAGAAAGCACCAAGAAATCATTAAAAGAGTATGTAATTACAGATTGAATCTAGTTTTATAATATACATTGGATACGAGTTTTTTATACTCTTTTCTATGAAGTGATGAAATTTGATAAACGAAATGCAAAAATTTATTTATACAGACATGTAATGAAAGCCTATTATTTGTGTTTTTGTTGTCTTCTCTTACGTTTCATACCAATCAATTTTTTAGTATTTTCATCCAAACCAGATTTGTTAGTTGATGCAGTTTCTGGTTTCTTTTCAGTTTGGGGTTTAGGTCCCTTATTCATATTACCTTTCTTATTTGGTTTTCTACCCTTTTTATCTCTCTTTTGTCTTTTATCTTGTGGTGCTTCTGTGGCCTCTTCTGGGGATGGTTCAGTACCGTCTTCTCTCTTTCTTTTATAACCACCTTCTGTTCCAAGTTTCTTTGCATGGAAAATCTTTTCTCTTCTCCTTTTTATAACATTAGCATGTTCAACGGCAAATTCAACAATAAGTTTTCTTTTCTTATTAGCATCAATCTGTACTACTTTCTTTTCTTCATCTGTTAAACCCTCTAATATTTCAGCTGGTGAAACTTCATGTGCATTCAACCATCTTAAACCCATCAATGCAGATTTATGGTCTCTGAATTCCAAGAAACCATAACCTCTACTACGACCAGCATCACCTGAACCTTTGACTTCCATGATAACCTTAGCTTGTCTCACAACACCTTGTTTCTTTGATCTGTTGCTTTCACCTAAACCAAGTTCTTCTAATCTTGCTTTTTCCTTTATAGATCTGTCAAGCTCTTCTTTACTTAATGGTTGTCTCTTTGTTTCTTTAACTTCAGTAGCAAAAGATACAACAGCCTTACGACCCAAAGCTTTTAAAGCCTTAGCATTCATAGCTCTTGGTAAGTTTCTGATAGCCAATCTAGTTAATGATAAATGTAATGAAGGGTTTTTGTTCAATTGTTGGACTCTTAATTTGTATGATTTTTCTCTTAATTCTAAATCTGTAGCAGAAATTGCTGACGCTAATTTGGAGTTTGTGGTAATTCTACCTTCATTCAAAAGGTATAAGTTACGTTTATCTCTTTCACCTGGAGCTTTACCTAACGCTTCACTTCTCTTAAGTGCATTTTTTTCTGTTAAAACAGAGGCTGACTCTCTTGTGACTGCTGATGTGATTGACAATATACGACCTTGATAAACATATAATGGTGAAACATCATCTGAAATTAAAATGGAGGTTGTTGAACTATCTGGAGCATTTTTCAAACATTCATTGAAGGAATCTTCATTCCAAAATGCAACAAAAGCAGTACCTTTAGCTAACCCACTTTCTTTATCAATAACTGGAAGGGCATATTTGACAGCACCAAATTTTTCAAAATGTTCTTTCAAGGAATCTTCATCTGCATCGTAAGGTATGTTACGTACAAAAATACAATAGTTCTCTTGTCTATTCTTTTTTGGTATTTGTTCCTTTGATTCTTCTTCGTCTTCTTCACTTAGTTCTTCGTCACTGTCCAAGTCGATATCACTTTCATCTTCATCTTCGCCTTCAACATCTGCTTCATCAGAGTCAACATCTTCAATTTCGGCATTACTGCTTTCATCTTCAGAACCTTCTTCATCTTCTTCTTCCTCTTTGACATCATCATCTTCTTCATCCTCACTCTCTTCGTCTTCTTCATCTTTTTTGTATGCTTCCCATTTGGATTTTTCAATTGCGAAATCCACAGCGACTTCTCTACCTTCAATTTTCAGACCTTGAGAACCTTTGATAGCATTTTCAGCATTGGTATTCTTTTTCATAGTGACAAAGGCAAAACCACTCATTCTTCCACCTTTCTTTCTAGGAATGATTGCATCAGTAACTGCACCATATTTTTGGAAAATCTTCTTCAGTTGTTCAGGATCACGAACAGACCATGGCAAGTTACGGATAATTAATCTTGCACGTCTTTTTTCAATAGCTTCCTTCTCAGGTTTGACATTTGAGGCATCTTTATCTTTACGATCTCTTCTCTTTGCAACATCAACTCTTAATAGACGACCATTGAACTTAGTCTTTCTAGCTTGAGCAAGAGCTGTCTTGGTATCATCATCCAAAGAAAAACTAACAAAACCAAACCCTCTTGAGTTCTTTTCAGCATCTGTAACAACAACAGCATGCTTAACGGGACAGAATTGGGAAAAGAAATCTGATAATTGTTCTGAAGTAACATCAAATGGAATGGAACGAACAAATAATGTCTTCATGTCCAAATGTTCTTGGTTTTTTGGAACAACAGCTGTAGCTGTCTTTTCATCGTCACTCATGATTTCCCCTTTCAAAAACACTAGAATCAGGGACTAGTGAATGTTTAGCTATTAAAGATCTTTATCTGCACTTAATTATCAGCTCTAAAAAAAATTTTTGGTAAGTCTATATTTCGCGAATTTCGCGATGAGGTTACCCCCAAATTGACGATTCGCACGACGTTTTTTGGCAGACGACTATGTTATTTTAAACCGTATAACAATAAACATGTTGCGAATTTGCTTCTGCTTTAGAAAGCCAATTCTTGAACAGTGTCTACTATTGGTATAAGATGGAGCAGGATGAAATATCAATAGACAATGACTATATTACGGGACCTGAGTATAGGCCGCAAATGCCCAAGAGACCTCAAAAGAAACCATCATTATCACAGTTAACCGTGGGACAACCTAGATCATCATTACGCCTGTCTGAATTACAAGCTCAACCTACAACTGAATTATCAACCCAGAACATTGGGAAAGAAGAGAATTTCCTCAATACTGATAGAATATACAACACACTGAACTATTATGATTCAAGTCATGATCCAAACTTTGACGCCTCAACAATAAGGACATCAACCCCAACACTGACTATTTATAGTGACGATGAAGAACTAGAAAATACTTTAGGTGATCTGATCAGTCAACCGTCGTCGGAAATGAGACTGCATTTCAATCATGAAGAAGAGGAAGCTAGCTTGAAAGGCGCGAAGCAATTCTTTATACTTTCATCGGCTGGTAAACCCATTTATTCAATGAGCAGTGATTTAGACCATAATGATGAAAATTTTATTAATTACAACGGTATAATACAGACTATTGTTAGTTCATTTATTTTGAGTGGGTCAGAACTACGATCTTTTGTCACAAAAACTTCAAGATTTACTATCTTAAATCAATCACCAATAGTATTGCTGGCAATTTCTAAAATTGGTGAATCGGAAATGGATTTATTGAATCAGCTTGATCTACTTTACAGTTTTTTATTATCAGCTCTAAGCAAACCACATATTATGAGATCATTTCAAAACAAGGAAGGCTTTGACTTGAGGAAACATCTTGGGAGAGCAGACTTATCGGGATTAGACTCATTAACCAAAGAGATTATCAACTTCAATCCGGGGATTCTGATTGGGGCTTTACAATGCATCAAGCTAAAGAGATCTGTTAGAGACAAATCAAGACAAATTATGCTTAATAGGAGAAGCAAGAACCTTTTGTATGGAATGCTGGTTGCCCCTGGTGGGAAATTAATCAATGTTTTGAGACCGAAAAGTCATACCCTTCATACTACTGATTTACAAATATTGTTTTCCATAGTTTTCAACCAATCTAAAAATTATTCGGAGGATGAGGAGCTATGGCTACCTATCTGCCTTCCAAAATTCAATCCTAATGGGTTTTTATATGCATTTGTTAAATTCGTTGATTCTGTTGCTTTGATTTTGATTAGTGCAGACAAGAATTGCTTCTTTGAAATGAGTGAGACATCAACTAAAATCATTAATGAATTTAGAAAGCATGAAATATTGAGCCATATTAGTGACTCTTTGAAACATGGCTTATCAACAATAGATATTCCAGCTCCTTTGATATATCATTTCATCTACAAATCCAAAAAACATTTACAATATGTCATGCCAACTTCAACTAATGTCACGGCATTACAGAAATATTATCTCCAGCTCTACTCAAGTGTCGATAGAAATGGTAAGATTAGTGTTTCTTATATAAAATGGGAAAAGGATGGGAAGAGTCCAAATAAGTCTATAGCTGGCTTAGGTTGGATAACCCCAAATTATGAGGTTTACTTGATTACTGGAAGCATTACAAAAAGAGAAGTACTAGTGAATAGTGCCAGGGGAATTGTAAGTTGGTGTAGGAAGTATCAAGAGAGGTTATTTGTCTGTGAAGGAGCAATTTTTTAATAAACTATCATGTTTTTGGTTTAATGTTTAGTAATTTGTAGTGTTGCCCCATGTCCAATTTTAGGCGCGTTATATCCACAAATCATAAAAACTTGGTCAACTTTCATGACAAAACACTCAGGAACTTATAAAACCAATTTGAAGCCATGAGTGAAGATCCTTTCAATAGGAAGAGGAGCACCTCTACTCTGGCAAATACCATCAGTTTCACTCATACCAGGGGTGGTGGTGAAGAGGACCGTCAACAATCAAATAAACCAACATCGCCATTTGGATATCTGAATAGAAATGGTTCATCATCTACGATCCACTCCATCACTCATACCCTTTCAAATGTCGGTTTCAACTCTGTCAATCCTTCAATTCACAGTCCTGAATCATCCACAAATAGTGTGACTTCTCCTACTCAGGGGAAAAGAGAAAATGCATTGACACGAGCAAAGCTGTTTGCAAGAAATAAAACAAAAGAACTGAAGAAAACCAGGGATACAGATAGGCCACATCATAGCCATCATCATCATAATTTTTTAAAGATCAATAGTCATCATGGTCTCTCGTCATCCTCATCAAATTCAAAAGTTTTGGATTCAGGTAGCACGCTGTATTCATTTGATCCTTCAAATATAATAGATAATGATGTGATGAAACATGTTGTATCTGATGCTAACCTGAAGGGACTTTCATTTGAAGAGAAGGATCAAATTGCTGATAATTTATGGACCACTATAACGTCTACTGTTCTGCCCTTGTTCAAATTAGAAAATTCATCATCTCTGAAATTGAAAACTCCAATTGAAGATGTAAACAAAATGGTTGAAGTTTTCCTCAGGTTAAGAATTGAAAACAAAACAACTGCAACCTCGTTGATTAGTGAAGTGCAAGAACTTTTGAAGAATGGTTTAAACATTATGGAGAATGAATTGACGTTTAATGAGAATTCTGATCAAGGTTCTCCGTTTCATAGGCTGGCCATAACATGGGAATACTTTTTTGCTAACGTTTATCATTATTTATTGGCAATTTTCTTACCACTTCAACTTGAGTTTGAAGGGATAGGTCCAATTGTTAAAAATGCCAAAGAATATTGGAGCGATATTTCAGAACCATCAGTGACTCAGTCCACTAAAAAAGTTATTTTATCAGCTTTCAGAGACTATGTTGTGATTCCATATTTTGATACTGAACTGAGTGTACAGGATGTTGAAGATTCAGAAAGAAGAACATTAGTCCAATGCTTTGGTATTTTACAATCTATTCATTCTGCAAATTATAACCAAAGAATTATTGAACATCTATCATCCATTTTACAACAAAATCTTGCCCCACTGAAAGTGCAGTAACTAATCACGTGAAAGCAGTTTATACAACAATTTAACGACGCTTATGATACCTCCAACGCCAAATTGTAGATTCAGTTTCTCTGTATAACAGAATCCATTTTGAGCCGCGCAACATTGTTTCGCGAATTTTCCTAGATTTTTTTTTTCTTCAATTTGGTGAAAAATGAAAATATGGAAATTGAAATCGACATTAGAACTTGATAATCATTAAAAAGAACATCAGTCTTTTCAGGGGGTATTCGAGATGATGTTCCCATTCAAGTCAATAATATCACAAAAACAACAATCCTCAATACTGGGGTCTTTGATTAGTACCCGTTCAGTTTCATTATTATCCTCTTTAAAACCATCATACAATTCTACAAGTTCAATTAAAAGAGTTGGTAGAGGTCCATCAAGTGGTTATGGTAAAACTTCAGGTAGAGGTCAAAAGGGTCAAAAGGCTAGAGGTAAAGTGAAGTCCTGGTTTGAAGGTGGTCAAACTCCAATTTTCAAATTATTTCCAAAGATTGGGTTCAATAATGTTAAAGCTTTACAATTGAAAGAAGTTAATTTGATTAGAATAATTCAATTCCATCAAGATGGAAGATTGGATTTGAAAGAAGGTGAAACCTTGAATATGAGAAAAATGAAACAGATTGGTTTAGTGACGGGTACTTTAAGAGATGGTGTTAAAATTTTGGCTACAGGTAAAGAAAGATTAGATTTCCCAATCAAAATTGAAGCAACAAGAGCTAGTGCTGAAGCTATCAAAGCTATTGAAAGAGCCGGTGGTAAATTTACTGCTCGTTTCTTTACAAAATTAGGTTTGAGAGCACATTTACACCCAATGCATTTTTTGAAGACAAGAGGTTACATTCCATTACCAGGTAGACCAGCATCCAAAAGAAATATTGATTACTATAGCAACCCACGTAAGAGAGGTTATTTGATCAAGGAAAATGATCCATTATTACAAGCTATAAGAGATGCTAAAGATGCACCAATTAAAGCTAGAGAATTAAAGAAGACTGCTTTAGAAGGTTTATTGAATGGAGCTGCTGGTACTAACAAGAGTGGTGCTGGTTTTGTCAAGTCAGGGGTTGTTAAGTTTTCTGACTTAAACTTGTAAAGTGATATAGATTAATATAATGATCTTGTATATATTGGCAATTTGTACACCAAAAAACCTGTCTCTTTAATAACCTCCGAGATCGAGAAAAATCATGATGTTTTTCCAGAACTTGAAAAATGATTTGACACTTTTTCATTTATAGTGGCAATATAGGATTGATCAAAACAAAGAGTATAGAAAATGAAGAGACAAGTGTTTGGGTTGACTAGATCGATGGCCAGAACCGCTGGTGTTCGTTATGGTGCTATCAAGCCAACTTCAATAATGATGTCGAAGTTAAGAACACCCTCAATTTGGAATTCGAATACTGTTCGTTTCTATTCAGAAAAGAAATCCAATGAAGCCAATGAATCAGAGATTGATGCTGAAGCTGAAGCTGAACAAAATTTATCAGAAGATGCTAAAAGAATTCAAGAATTGGAGTCTAAATTACTTGCAAAGGATAAAGAAGCTGCAGACTTGAAAGACCGATTAATAAGATCAATAGCTGATTTCCGTAATTTACAAGAAGTTACCAAAAGAGATGTTCAAAAGGCAAAAGATTTTGCATTACAAAAATTTGCTAAGGATCTATTAGAATCTGTGGATAATTTTGGACATGCTTTAGGAGCAGTTAAGACAGAAACAGTTGAACAACATGAAGAAGTTGCAACCTTATACGATGGTGTCAAAATGACCAAGGATGTTTTTGAGAAAACATTGACAAGACATGGATTAGAGAAAATTGACCCATTAGGTGAAGTTTTCGATCCAAATATGCATGAGGCTACTTTTGAATTGGTTCAACCTGATAAGGAACCTGGTACTGTGTTCTTCGTTCAACAACATGGTTATACATTGAACAATAGAGTTTTAAGACCAGCTAAGGTTGGTGTTGTCAAGGAGCAAGAATAAGGGTCTTTATGAAGGTTATTATGAATTATGAGATACGCTTGTTTATACTTTGGAGCTTCTGAAAGATGTGCATGATGATAAAGTTTCCCATATCATTCTAACATGGGCTCCACATTTGATATGATTACATTAATAATATTTTTTTATACTCTGATTTAATTATGTACGTGACATGATAAGTTCTTTGTTAATCACTCTATATGAGAGAAGCGACCTTGATGATGATCATCTCAAAAGCTGAGCATTTCAAAAATGACAGCATCAGAAGTCTTGATCGTAACCACACTTCCATATCAAGTTATTTTGATCAAAGCACATGATACTGTATCCTGTTGATGCACTATGCAAACTGGTATGCCTATTGTATTTAGTTTATACATACACAGCTTGATAACAATAACCAGAATAAGCAAACATGGTTAAAGATAGACTCAATAATCCAGGCTTCTTATCACTACAACAATCAAATCTCACAAGTCGACGCTTTGAGTAAAGTTGTTTATTTTGTTTTGAAACATGTCATTCTTCATTCCAAATTCGCGCATCGACCCTGTGCAACTGGGAAGGTGAGCCTAGAGGAGTTAGGCTGAGTGTCTTCCTGGCTCTAGAGGGAGTCCTCGTGGAATTTAGGCTCGCTCTCTGCCCAGCGCTCCCCTCCAGAACCGCGACAGACGCCAAAACCGAAGATCGTGCCTTGAACCAGAAAAATTTCAGATTTGGGAAATGTAAACAAAAACAAAGAATTCAAACATTCTCTTCACAACATCACCGTTGTTTGGACCCATCGCACTGGCATATAACTACCAGCTACCCACCGCTTCTTCCTCTGCTCTCACGCCACAAGGGGCACACTCACCATTACTACTGCTGCTGTTGTACCATAGTCGTTGCTTCGAGTAATTAGAGAAGAGAGACTGTCTAGCTTGAAGACTGTTTGAGGTAAGTATCACTTTTCCTTCAGATCCAGAAGAGAAAACATCAACAGAGTATATCCAGAATAGCACTCTGTGTGCACGCTACTCTGAAGAACTCAATCAAATATTGAAGAACACCGCTAACCATTATTATAGTTTAGATTCAAGTTGGTTTCAGTCGTGTATTATAAATAGAATTTTTTTGCCATTCATTGATTCTACTCCAAACCTCTACATTTTGGCAAGCTAAGTGTTCCCAAATATATCCAACTTTAGTCAATCCTTTGAACAATACTACACCACCCTGTATCTATCATCCACCTCTCAAATATCAACATTTTTACTACTGCCCCCAATTTTCTTGAGTTTTGATCGACATCTTACAGATCAACACTAAAAATCACACAAACCATTTATTTCAATCCTTAACCAACAAGAAGATAACAATACCAATAACACAATGGGAGACCCAACAGTGACTACTCGTCGTCAAAGCTTCCAATCAAAATCTAGAAAGCCTAATAAAGAAATTAGATTTGGTTCCTATGTTTTGGGATCAACACTAGGTGAAGGTGAATTTGGTAAAGTCAAACTTGGTTGGAAAAAAGATGGTACTCAACCTTCTCAGGTGGCTATCAAATTCATACGTCGTGACTCAATTCCAAGAGGAAGTGAAAGAGAAAGTAAAGTTCATAGAGAAATCAATGCATTGAAAAGGTTATCACATCCTAATATTGTCACTTTAGAAGAAGTTTTACAGAATGATAAGTACATTGGAATCGTTTTGGAATATGCATCAGGTGGTGAATTATTTGATTATATTTTACAACATAGATATTTAAAAGACTCATTAGCTTGCAGATTATTTTCTCAACTGGTTAGTGGTGTTCACTATATGCATTCCAAAGGTATTGTCCATAGAGATTTGAAATTAGAAAATCTTTTACTTGATAAGCATAAAAATATAATAATTACTGATTTTGGATTCGTCAATAGTTTTGGTCCACATAATGATTTAATGAAAACTTCTTGTGGTTCCCCATGTTATGCTGCTCCTGAATTGGTGATATCAAATGAACCTTATGAAGCAAGAAAAGTTGATGTTTGGTCTTGTGGTGTCATATTATACGCTATGCTGGCTGGTTATTTACCTTTTGATGATGATCCTCAAAATCCAGATGGTGATAACATTGCAAGATTATATCAATATATCACAAATACCCATTTAACATTCCCTGAATATGTTGAACCAATGCCTAGAGACTTGTTAAGAAGAATATTAGTTTCAAATCCAAGAAAAAGATTAACTTTGAAAGAAGTAAGAGGCCATCAATGGTTAACACCTCATGCTCCATTCTTATCTGTTACACCTGCAGAATGGGATAAAAATTATAAAACTAATAATGAACATAATGCAAATATTGTCAAGACTCAACGCAATTTGGTTAAAAATGATATTAGAAGATATTCATTAATTGATACAACTTCATCATCTTTCCAAAATCATAATGTTTCAAACCATAACTTCTTTGCAAACCCATTACCACCTCAAACTTCATCAAATCATGCAATTGCATTACCTTCATCAACTTCCTCAACTTCAATCAATGAACAATTAAGATTTAGCCCAAGAACTCATCAAAGAAGTAATTCTGTTCAATCTTATAGTTCTGCTTCTTTGGCATTACAAGCTGTCGTTGATGCAGATGAAATTAGACATCATAATACCAACAACAACAATAATTTATCATCCTCTGTGAACTCCATTGAAATGAAACGTCGTAATTCAGATGCTGGTAAGAAACAACCAAATGCTGCTCAATTTTTGAGTCAAAGTTTACCAAGATCAACTACACATACTGGTATTCCAACATTGAGTGATATTAAACAAAGTTCAAGAATTAATGAAACAATTCAAGAACAAACACCATTGGATCCACCATTTAAGAATAACCCAGATTTTGCTGTTCCAAAGGTTCCAAAATCTTCAGATAATTATCATCATCCTCAAACTAATCAAAAATTACCAGGTCCAGGTCCAAGAAAACCAAGACCAACATCTTATCATCCTGGGTTTTATTCATTATCTGGTCAAATTTCACCTGGTTTTGACACCAATAATTCACCAGTTATAAGATCTGAATCAACAAACTCAATCACTTCTTTAACCAACTATAAAATTAGTCAACCATCTGTGGATTTATCTTCAGCTGAAGGTGATATAATAAAACCAAAATCTCCTGGATTATTATCAACAAAGAATTTCCCAACTAATACCAACTTTGATGAATCTGAAGAAGATGTTTCTGAAAAATTAAAAGATCCAAAAGCTATTGATGACAATAATGACCAACAACAATCAACAACTAATCCTAATGATAACAAAATACCATCAACTAGTGAAAAGGATACAATTAATGATAAATCTGTGAAATCTAATAGCAATAAGAAGAATAGATATAGTGCAGTTATTGCAGCTGAAATTGTTTTCGATAAACTGTTTGGTTCAAGTTCAAATGATCTTGAAAAAAATACTGAAACTTCAGATAATTTAACTAAACAACAATCACATACATCAAGTGTACATTCATCAAACTCAAAACCTTCAGATGTTTCGACTGCTACCAAAAATACATCAGTTCAAGATTCTCCAGATAATCAGTTCAGAAAACATTCTAATTCATCAAAGACAAGAGTTGCTAGTGGATCTGATACTACAAATAGTAACAAGGCTAAAAGATTCAGTTTCCTTGGATTTTATAATAATACTACTTCATCAAATGAAAATTCTGAGTCAATTCAACAACGTTCCAAACCACAACCTTCAAGTGCAAATAATAGAAGAATTTTGGAACCATCTAATGATGCAAATATTTTGAAAAAGTCTAATGCTGATAATAGAAAGTCAACAATTGGTTATCCAAGTTCTCAAAAGAAAGAACCTTCAACTGCTAAAAAGGTTATGGATTTCTTTAAAAGAAGAAGTATGCGTGTTGGTTAGTTGCTGAAAAAAAGGACATTTATTAATTGGTTAACTTGGCTTGATCATTTCAATTTTACATTCGCTTAAACCTTTTATGGCTTCATGAATACATTTTTGTGCTTTCATTTTTTTTACAATCATATTACACTTGTCTTTTTTTTTGTCAATTATATTGGTGGTCATTTATGAGATATTTTTGTTATGTTTTTTTATCATTGTTAATTATTTACATAGTTTACGATTAATCGGTTTTTGTATATGAACATATAATGTGCATTGTTTTTGAAATAAATATGAAGTATTGTAGTGCGTATCACCACATGAATAAATAAATATTAATAAATAAGGATGATTTGATCACATAAAATAAATAGGTTTCTAATAAATAAATAAGACCATCAAATGATAGATCACCACCATCTTGAAGGTTTTTCCAATTTCCAAAATGAATTGGTTTTGAAAACTTCTGGAGCTTTTTCATTAGCAACTTGTTCTCTGAATTTACCAGTCAATCTGTAATCCCTCTCCATCATTTGTTCCTCCCAATTATCATAAGCATATCTTACTCTATGACCATTATTTTGATAAACCCTTGTAGCGGTAACTAAACCACCCCCTAATGTTAATAGCTAAAAAAAACATCAATTGTTAGTACAACCGTTTACACTTTCTTGTTCAGGGAGCTAGTTACTTACGGTCATCATAATGCCATATGGCAATAAACCCTCAAATGGAATCATCTCGCCTTGATTTTTATGTTCTTGTTGATGTTTATGGGGTTGTAATGTAAAGATCGAAAGTTGAAGTTCTAAAAATCAACAGTGAGTCGTAATTGACTGACTCCGGTCACGTGAAATTTGTTATATCCGGTCATATATATAGACTAAATGGGATAAAAATAATGCTTTTAGGCATTTATAGTGAGTATTAGAAGCTAAAAATTTTAAGAAAGAGAGTTACCGATCAATGGACTGCTCAAAATTGTCAATTGCAATGGTTTTTGTGGGAGATGGTGGCCATATACCACGGCCATATACCATGACTTTGACCTTATAAGAATGTAAGAATGCGATGAAAAAGTCTAACGGCCTAGGCATTTGGCACAATACGAGTGTCAATTATCACCAGCTACCTATCAGATATTAGAGTATGATACAGATTTTAAGAGCTAATTTCAAAACCGAAATACTATGTGTCACCAGAGAATTAACCTCTTTCAAATAGCACCTTAGAGTTCAAACAATATTCAGTCTCTCAATCAGTAAAGATTCACTAACTAAAGTAAAGAACTATTCCCTATGAAACATATTCTACATTCCAAATATATTATACACAAAAAGTACCCATTTTTATTAATTAAATACCTTTATATTTTGTTGTTGTTGTTTTGATGATGTTAGATGATAGGAAAAGGTGATTGTGATAAAAAACTTCGTATGAAACAGACTTCGTAATATGATAATATAACCCAATAAAAAATTAGCAGAACAACCTAATAATAATAATTTGTAACCTTAAAATGATAATTTAATTAAATTTAGATGTTTGATGGGTATAAGAAGATACGGACTGAAGCACCAAAAGTTTTAGCTGGTAAGTTTGATTTGAAGTTAGCTCTGACGACACCTGAGTTACCGTGAGTTCTAGTGATTTTACCCCAAATAACTCTGATTTTTGAACCTCTGATTTCTTTTGAAGCTCTGTAGACGTAGGCAACACGTTTACCTTGGTAGAATTTAGCGTCTTCTGGAGTAGCAACACCTTCAATTTTAACTAAAGAAACGTTTGGGTTGTTGACACGTTTACTTCTTTGGTAAGAAATGTGTTTACCTTTAACGTATACTAAAAAAGTTGTTAGTTTTCATAATCTTAAAATGTTGGTTAAATTTGATCTTTCAAGGTAGTCTCATATAGGTTGTAATCTTATTCTTTCATTCCACTCATAAGCACATTATTTGCTAGTTCTCTTATTTAATTATTCCCTCTCTTTACTATCAACTCATTCATATCATCACTCTTTACATATTCATATCTCTCTTGACTTCAAATCTTTGATTATCTTTCACAGTAACGATATTCCTCTTTGTGCTTTATTTCTCTTTATATGACACTACCCTTTTAGATCAAATGTTCCATTCTCAAACATACATCTATGAGATTCAGCCATCTTGTCTTGTCTTGATTATTTGATGTTTCTAACCTTTCTATGAGTTGTGTTGAAATGAAGTTTTGTATTTCACTTTTCACTTTTCCTGGATTCGAGAGTGCACCAACAACGAGCACTCTAACAACTTTTTCGTGTGGTGTTCTGATGTTGCACGCTGTTGAAAATTGATTTTTTTGTGAGTTTTACAACTGTTGCCTAGTTACAATTGAATAAATGGTAAGGGTCACATACCTTTAACATCCCAACACCAAGAAGAAATTGAAAGACCATTAGACGTGCCCTGTCACACATCACATGACTAATATAAAATCAACGTCAGCCCTAAGTGATGCCCTAAAGTTTTCACATTGGCAGATTCCCGTGTCAAAACAAATTTTTCATACGCCAGAAAACTATATAAGGAGCAGGATTCCCTTCTCATTTGAAATTTTATGTCTTTTTCTTTTCTTTGTCGACGTACTTCAGTAAGTTACTTACCAATAAGCTTCACATGCTTATAGAACACTTCAAAGGATTCATGATAGACTAACACCTTCCAAAGTAGGATCATTTCTATAGTTTACGTCCCTCTTTGACTCTTCTAAAGAGCCACTGAATCCAACTTGGTTGATGAGCCGTATACCTTTGTGCCCTAGAGTGAGAAATACAATTTAGCTTGTCTATAACCCTTAGCGGTTTAGTCATCTATTTTAATTTTGCCTTTTGTTACAAAGGAACTCGTCCTTATGGACTTGATGCCTTTATAAAGGAGCGATGATCTTGACCCTGTTTATGAACTTTTTCGGAAGGGATAAATATGGGTGGGTGCAAATGGCAATCTGACAAGTTAACCATATTCTTTTTTAATATTATTTTTAGGTAAAGGTTTATCTAGAGTATTAAAAAAGAAATATGAATACAAAGCTCTATGAGCTTATTGTTTGATGAATGTACAGCTACGTACCTAGAATTACTTCTGATTAAGTACAAGAAAACCTAACTCGTATTAAATATATATTTATCTTAAAGTCGTACAATTATATTAAATAGTCAATCAATCAAAAAAACTCCAGTACATAAAAATAAAACTAAAAAAAAGGATCAAATCATCAAAATCTGATCATCATTAAAATATTAAAAAAAAAGGGTGGTGGGACATGGAAGATCATTAATGAACTTTCGAAAACCAACATCATCTAGTTGTTAATATTCACATCAACTTGTGTTAACCGGTGTTTTCTTCATCATCATTTCAAGGATTGATTATCAAACTATCCAATTTAAACGGTATATTCAGTTTCATTATCCCAATTAGATCTAACAAATCTCCAATGTAAATAATTTGAACCTTTATCATCTTTATCACCATTAACAGTACCACTAACAACATTTTTTCTTGATAAATTAGCTAAAGTTGATAAACCAATTAATGGATCACTTTCTTCACCAATATTTGGTAAATTTTCAAAATTCTTCTCTTCAAAATATCTTGTTTGCCATTTCATACCTAATTCTTGTTCTTTTTTTCTCAATTCTCTTTGTTCATTTTCTAATGCTGATTTTTCTTTATGAATTAAATCAAAATTTCCTTCTCTAATTGCATCAGCAACTGATTTCCAAGCTTTACGACTTTCTAAATCTTTTTGTTCTTCAATTGGTTTAACTAATAAATGTTCTGGTTCTTTTGCCTTGGCATCATAAAATTCTGCACAATCTTTTGAAGAAGTTGATGAACCTTTATAAATTGTAGATTTACCAGACCATTGACCAGATATGGTATATAATGCACTATCTTTATTACTTGAACTTGATTTATCTTTGAAAATTCTAGCTTTGAATGAATTTTTTTTACCACTGAAATAACCACGACCACTATAGTCAATGACTGATATATAACCTGAAGAAGATTGAATTATTGATTTACCTTCCAATTCAACAAATGGTGAAGCAACTAATAAACCTTCAATATGTAAAGGAGGTAATGTAATCAAAAAAGATTCATTTAAATCTTTGAATTTTAAGATAGCATGACCATATTGTTTAACATTTATAGAAGCTGTTGAAATAGAAGCTCTTATACCATTATAACCTTGTAATTCAACATGATTCTTATCATTAAAAATTGTATATGCAGTTACTGGAGGGTGATGAGAAACTTGTTCACTTAATAAAACAGTTTCACCCAATTTTGAATCTTTTGTTGAATCTTCCCATTTTCCTAAAAATAATTCACCTAAGAATGGATTTAATGGTTTCTTTTCAGAACCTAAACTTTCATTTCTTGAACAATATTGAGATCTTAAAGTTGAAATAAACCATCTTGTAACTGCAAGGATTCTTTCAATTGCAATATCATCAGCATCATCTTTATTAACAGAATCAGCATCACCAATAAAATTTGGAGCAATTAATAAATCAGGATGTTCACCCCAAAATTGAGAATATTCAACTAATGAAGTTGGTGATAAAATAAAAGGAGGCGCTGTTAAAGAAGATAAATCCCCGTTATAAGATGCAATTGATTTTAAAAAACTAGTCCATGATGAAGAAGAAGCATTTGAGGACATTTTTTTGGTATGTTTATCAGGATCCTGATGTTGTTGGTCAGTTGGTGATGATGGTGATGATGAATTTGATGATGGAAGGTTAACGTTGTTGTTGTGAGTTTTCCGATGTAAGAACTTCAACTTGGGCAACTTTTTTTCTCTTTTCAAAAAATTATTTTTCCAGGGTCAAAAACGTGAATTTTTGGTGGAAGCTGGCAACAACAAAAAAAACGCGCGCTAAACGAGAATGAATGAGATAATGTGTGAGCTTTTAATCTGAATGGTGATAAAGCTCTTTTGAATTGGTTGTGATATAGTAAATAGCAGCCAAATGTGTTTCAATCAAGAGTTGAGAATGGCTTATATTGCTGTTGTTTGGGTGTATAATTGACTATAAGGAGATGTCTATGTTTAAACGGAGGGTGTGTGGGAAGTGAACAATGGAGCGGTAGTGTTGCAAATGTCCCAAGAGCGTCTAATTCAAATGGTGTAGCTTTCAGAACAAGTGATCCGTTGAGCAATTGTTTTGTTAGCCAAAAGTGTATAGGTGGTTGTTTGTTTGCAATAGAGAAGAAGAAGGATTCAAATGGTTTCATTTATCCAGTCCTAATCGCTTTCTATTGTTGGCAATTACGTAATTTCAGAATCCTGGTCTTCAGGGAATTCGCGACGTATCCGAGTTTTGCTGTGTTGTTTGAGTTTCCCAATTAAGTTATTTGGATGGTTTTAGGAAATGGTTATGTGGCTCCGCTGCCAGTCACGTGCTTATCCAATTCTAGGCCCTCAATGGCTTGAAATTTGAACAAGGTTTAAACTTATAGATTGCAAAGTATCGAGAATCAGTCAGTTTGGAATGAGGTGTGGATCAGATACAATAACAGCATCTTATCAAACTGATTGGTCCATGCTAGTTATATCCCAGTTCTAGATCAATCATGGCAAATTCACAGCTCAGCTCAACTTTCCAATTGACCTGGCCTCATTCCTCCGGATAAATAGCAGATGTTGGTAGCCATAATTAACGTTTGATCGGACGTTGGCTAGTGCACGATATAATTAGATACCTCCAGAGTTGGCCCTTGATAATGAGCCTAGTTTGAAATCGAACTAGCCATGGTCTAACCAAATCACTGCCTTTAATTTGCTTCAAGGCTTTGGCAATTGGTGGAAGGCATCGCACATATCTAGAGCGCATCGACGATCCTTCAATCAACCATTGACAGGTATTAATCACCGAATCCAACCACAGGCACAGTTATCATTTGAGCAAGTAGTTTTGGTTTAAAGCAGTGTGGTTATTTATTATCAGCTCTTCCCAATCAATTGCCACAGTCTAGCACAATACCAATTTCACCTCTCAAAGACAAACGGTAGTGTACTTGTTCCCAAGGTTAATTATAATTCAGTCCACTCGTCAAAACTTATCTCACGTTTTAAGAACAGGTACATAAGCTAAACACCTGTCGTCCACGCCGGCTACTAATAGCCACTGAAATTAATTGATTGATTTAAAACCTTGTTATTGTGCAAGACTCAAGTCCATTTGAGGTACTCTTTTATTATTATCACAGGCCAGTATAAGTACCTCATCATTTGTCCCTTTTATTCCAGAAATTCATATAAATAAACACCAATACAACTTCACCAAACTTATCCACTTGATTAGGTCAATAAAACCAAACAATAGCATCCTATAAATCTGGGTTTGATGATGATGTTGAAGGAACAATTCAAACGATTCAACAATCACGTTTCCAATCAAAGAAAAATTTCAAAAGAAAAATCGAAATCTTCACCATCTTCACCATCAAGTACACCAAGATCATCTTCACCAAATGGCACTGATTCATTGAAAAAACAAATCAAAGCTGGCGGTAGTACCGCGGTTGCTAATTTACAATTCAATAATCAATCAGAACCAAATTACGTTTATGATTCAAATGGTGCCTTCATCGATAGAGTTCCTTCAAGTTACCTTCATCGGTTAAAACAAGATTTAAACCAATCAGAACCAGGTATTTACAACATCTCTACAACTCATTTGAACAAAGTGCTAGATTCATGGTTTGCTACTCCTTTACCAAATGCTTCAAAATTGTTTCCCTATTTGCATGGCGCTATTTCTCAAACTCAATGTGATTTCCTTGATATGAATATTGATGGTCAAGAAGATGATTTACCAAACGTTCGTTATTTGTTGATTATCAAGTCTAATGAAGTTGATAATTGCACAATGATCAAATCCACAATCACTCCTGATGATATTTATATTGAACCTTTAACTTCGCCTTCATCAAGTGTCATCAATTTGAGAAACTATTCATCTCAGATTACATTACTATCCAAGATATCAGACTTTATCATTTATAACGAGGATAATAACTTGAAGGATAACCTTACATTGGCTCATGAACTACTTGAACTACAAAGTTCAGCTGCTTCCGGTTCTAAAAGACATTACAACACTTATATTTTGGATTATGAACCAAAGGCATTAAGCGCCAAATACAAAATCAATCAAGATTTATCAAAACTTGCTCCAACAACGGCATTACAATTCACAATGAATAACTGGAATTTGAATTACCTTTTCCATGAAAGAGTTGAAATGTGGTTAATGACTTCTAAAACTCAAGTTCACAAGAATTTATATTTGGGGAATGTTAATGATTTACACCCTGAAAACACTCATGAAGATGAATTTTCATTAATTATTAATTGTCATGAAGGTGTTAGAATCCCAACAGGTGATGTTATTGATCAAATCTTCAATGATAAGTCAGATAAAATTGGACTAGATTTCACAAGTTCAGGAAGTTATTCAGTGGAAATGATGAGTGATTTGGAAGTTGATGGTATTTTGAAAATTTGTAAATTGATTCATCATCATACTGAAGTTTTACACAAAAAAGTATTCATTTATTGTTTTGATGGATATAGTTCATTCTCATTTTTGTTATTAGCTTATGAAATGTTTAAAACTGGTGATTGTTTGGCTCAAAGTATTTTGAATTATTTCATCAAGTATCAAAAACCTTTATATTTTTTCAAAAATGATTATGATGTCTTGTCACAAGTTTTAGAAAAAGAATTGACCAAGAATTGTTCAAAATTACAAACAATCAATGAATTAGATGATCAAGACGCTGATACAACTTCATTAACTTCTTCAATCAATTCAATGAATCTCAGGGATAATCAAGATATTCAACTTTTCCAAAATTGGTTGAATAATGCAAATGATAAAAACCCACCAGCAAGAATTTTCCCACATTTATATCTAGGTACTTTTGAACATGCAAGTTGTCCAATTTTATTATCAAAATTATCAATATCTCAAGTTATTTCATTTGGTCAAATTCCAACATGGTGTGATGAATTAGATTTGGAAAATTTACATGTTGATAAACATTATGCATCATTAGATATGGATGAATCAAGTGTTATTTATATTTACCATAATCCATTACCTCATATCAAAAAATTAATTCATGTACCATATTTGGAAGATGATGGGAAATGTTCAGTTATTAATTATTTTGAGAAGATTTACAGATTGGTTAAAACTGGTGATATTAATCCATTAAACAATGAAGTCAATTTGATTCATTGTAGAGTTGGTGTTTCAAGATCTGCATCATTTTGTATTTTGGAAACTATGAAGTTGTTGAATGTTTCATTACCAAGAGCTTATCTTTATGTTCGTGTTAGAAGATTAAATATAATTATTCAACCAAACTTGAAGATTTTTTATGAATTGTTGAAGATTGAACAATGTTTGAAAAAAGAGAGAGAGGTTGATTGGCATATCTTGTGCAGAGAGATTGATTATTTAAATAGAAGATATTTCTGACTGTGCATTAACTGCCGGTACTTTTGCTTTATTTATTTTGCTTTGGGTTTTTTTTTATTATTTATTTGGTTTTATATTAGGAGTTTTAAGTCGATGGCATACTAGAAGATTATTTAGAAAAGTTTACAAAAAAAAAATGATACTGTTTTTTCACTCATTAATTCAATTTCTTTTGTACAATGTAAACTCATATTCGAAATCACCTTCAACCACTTTTGAGTCTGCAAATTCAATATCTTCACCAACAAATTTTTTCAAATCATTTGCTGAAGCTTTTGTAAAATTATTCAATATATAATCTTTATCCAAAAAAGTATCCATTTCAATAACTTCACCATCTTTCTTGTGAACAATCTCAGTGATCAATAAATTATCAACCAACTTACTAAACAATGATCTATTATAAATTTCGCAACCACCAATAATGAAAATTTTACCAATCTTCTCATCTTGTAATAAATCTTGTAATACTTCATCAATAGCATTTGCATATCTAACATTCTCTAACTGTTCAAACTGGCTAACATCTTGCTTTGTCAATATAACATTGTAACGATCAGGCAGTGGTCTGAATTTACTAGGAATAGATTCCCAGGTTTTTCTGCCCATTATCACTGCATTTTTATGATTTGGCGATATATTCTTTGTTGTGACATTTTTGAAATATTTCATTTCATTTCTAAGTCTCCATGGTAGTTGATTTTTGTAGCCAATACCAAAGCTTGGTAATAAGGCAGCCACTATTATGGAAACTTGCTTCTGGGTAGTCATTTTGAAAAGGTAGGGTCTATGATATAGTTGATGGTTTAGTATAAAGATCAAAACGCGTTCAACAAAACACGGTCAAGAAAGGTTTCGCGAAAGTATTGAGAAAGGGTAAAAAAGATGGGTATTAATTAATTGTTTGCATCAACGTCATCAATTTATAGAGATCAAAATGTCAGGTCCAGAAGAGGCTCCATATCCAAAGAGACAGAAGAGGAATTCGGATGGTGATCATTCAGTTGAACAAGATGTGGACCAAGAACCCGTCGTTGCACAATCAAAACCATCAGCTACAACAATAAAGAAAGCTAATGAAATATTTGATATAATGAGAACAAAGAGACTATCTATGGCTGATTTTGTTGCGTCGTTACCATATGTTAGTGGGAACAAGAGAAGGCAAGAAGTTATTGTGCAAAGTTTATTCCAAAATGAAGAAGTATTAATGGAATTGTTGTTTCGAAATAATTTTGATGTTGATTTCAACCCTTTATGTAAAGTAATTGGTGTTAAAATCTTGAAAGAATTGGGGAATATTCAACAGAGTAATAAATTATTTGGTAAATTTCAGGTTGGTGACGTCGAAAATAAAGATCAATTGAAATCAAAGATTCTTCAAAGTCTAGAGATTGATAATAATTCAGTGGAAACTCTGTACAAACAAGCACCAATACTGACAAATTTGTTTAAAGAACTTTTACCATCTCGTCCAGAAGGTGAAACCAATTCAACTACCTCTGTTTCAAATATTGATAATCGCTTGATCCTCATTCTGTCAGTTATCTGTTATTCAAGAAATAAAAAAAGATGTACCAATTTACCAGTACTTTTTGGATTATACTTGAATTCTTTGGGGCTAACAACTAAAAGAGGACTCCAAGTATTTAACAAATTTGGAATTTCCGTCAATCAAAAATCTATTATTGATATCCTTGATGAATTGAGTCGTCTTGAGACTGCTCGCAAAGATCAAGGGTCTAAAGATCAAACAGTAAACTCTCAAGTACCCAATCCTGAAAACAATAGCAATACAACAAGGCCTCCACTCAATGGACCACTTGTCCTGCCATTCACACAAAATATTATTAGTTCCACAACTGATGCATACAAACCAACATCTTCGGAAGTTTTGAAAATTTCAGATGCCAAATTCGACCAACTATTTGATCAGTACACAAATAATACAACCACTGATAATATCGATCATATTGATCCAAAAATATCAAATGAAATGCAGCAATCGAAATCTCCTTAGCCATTTTGCCAATTGTACATTTTTAATGAGCCATGAAACTTCTGTCAAATTCTGTAGTGCCTTGATTCGAGATTTGAAAATTGGAAAAATCGAGACTAAAACATGATTTCACAGAACTCAGCAACACAGCCAAATTCGAAGGTATCAAAGGCTCATTCTAAATTGATCTTTTAATAAATCAATAAATTAGTGATCTAGATCTTAATAACTATGAGCTTCACAAGAACTTTTTCCACAGAATTGGATCCAAATTTTGGTGAACCATTTCAAATACTAGTAACAATTCCATCAGAAAAACCATCGCAAACCGAGAGAAACAAAGTACCAATAACAATATTCATAAGCAAAGAGGGCCCAAACACACAATTCGGCTGTTATATCTATTCAATAGTACACGTACGTTTAAAATCACTTGAAAGCCTTGGTAGCTTTTTATACTAACTACTCAATTTTAGCCAAAAACATCACAAGTCTACCAAACCATACTGAACAATTCAAACGAAGGACTACTTGATATAACAAAGAAATTATCGAACGTTGTTTCAAAGAAATATAAAGTACCAGCTTATGTCAATGTAAATGGTTATTTTGATATTTATGATTATATGGGTGTGCTCAAGACCGTTTTAGAATACATTGATGAGAAATTTGACAACCCAGAAGATACAAAAGACGTTATAATACAATAATTTAGAAGTAAATAATAGAACTAATGCATTTTTTTGAATTATTTGTTGTGGAAGTATTTCAACTATGATTCCCGATATGGAAGGGTTATGAGGCCCTGAAACTTTTTTTTTTTTGATTTTTTTTTTATCAGGAAAAAAAATTTTAAAGCGATGAGCTTCACTCCAAGTACACATTGATCTAACTCGCAACGTAGAACACAGAGTCAAGAATGGAAGTTAACAGACCAGCTCAAAAGAAGCAAGCATCTCGTAAGGGTAGAAAAGCCTGGAGAAAAAACATCGACATCGATGATGTTGAAATCGGTTTAGAAGAGAAAAGAGACCAAATCCGTACATTAGGTGAAGAAGCTGATAAAATTGATTCAAACCAGTTATTCTCCATTGATACTGCTGGTGATGAAAAATTAAACAAAAAGGCCGTTAAACCTTACAAGGTTTTAAAATCTGCTGAAATTTTAGCACAAAGATCAAAAGCTCCAGGATTTAGTAATCCTCATAAAAAGAGTGATAACAAGATTGATGGTGTTAAGAAGAAGGAAATTCATAGATTAATGAAACTTGCAGGTAGAGTGCAAGGTGAAACTTCAAGCAATACTATTGTGGAAAAAGATGGATTAATAAATACAAATGCTTATGATGTTTGGGATGAACCAGAAGTTGAAAATGATCCAAAACCAGAAATTTTGAAGAAATTCAGTTCAAATGGTTGGACAAAGGCTAAAGTTGCTCCAAGTACATTGAAAGAAGCACCAATCTCAGTGCAGGAAGTTGAAAAATTACCAAACGCTGGTAAATCTTATAATCCATCCTTAGAATCTTGGAAATCATTGATCAATAAAGAATACAAAACTACCAAGGAAAGAGATGATAAAAAACAAGAATTGGAAGCACAAAGAGACAGAGTTAAGACATTACTTTTGACAATGGACCAAAAAGAAGAGGAAGAAAGTGATGACGATGACGAAGAAGAAGAGGAGGAAGAAGAGGAAGAAGATGATTCATTATCATTATCTGTTAATAAGCCTGTCGTTTTAAAGAAAAAAACCAAGACTCAAAGAAACAAGCAAAAGAAACATCAAGAAAGAGAAAAATTAGAAAAAGAACTAAAATCATTAAAGAAACAAATAACGGAATTGCAAAAATTAAAAGTTTATGAACAAGAGATTAATGAAAAAGAACAACAGATAGAAAAATTACAACAAAAGGAAAAAAAGAGAAAGCATAAACTTGGTACTAGACATCAAATCATGGATGAACAGTTAGAAGTTAAATTGTCTGATGAATTGACTGATTCCTTAAGAAAGTTAAAATCAGAAGGTAACTTATTATATGACACCATGAGAGGATTACAAAGTAAAGGTCAAGTTGAAACAAGAGTTCCAGTTGGTAAACGTAGAAGATATCAACCAAAAGTCACTGAAAAATGGACTTACAAGGATTTTAAATGAATTTAGCATCAATATAGTTATTTGTATATTAGACATCATGTTTTTAAATGGGTAAATGGTTTAAATTTTTCGCTTTTAACATAGAATTGTAGTTTATACCATTTTTTGGCACTTGAAATAACCGTATAGGAATGACAGATGTAAAATTAGAACTGGACAATAGCCTTCATCGAGTAAACAAAACACTCTGTTCTCTTGATGAAAGTCCAAAATGACAAATAGCCAATACACACACCTCATAATTGTTCCGGGTCATGGTATCTGGAAGGGTTCTAATGATGGATACAAGACAGAAGATTGGTGGTTAGAGTCATTTCAAGTGGAGGGCCATGATCATTTGTTATTCATTGATCATATCAAAATTGGTTTACAAGAACTAAGAAAGGATCCTTGTGCAATCTTATTATTCAGTGGAGGTCAAACAAAGAAACAGGCAGGCCCGGTATCTGAAGCTCAAAGCTATTATGCATTGGCTGATAAATTAGGTTTAATTGATGATGACTTAAGAGATAGAGTTTCAACTGAAGAATTCGCAAGGGACTCATTTGAAAATGTACTATTTGGTCTTGCAAGGTTCCATGAACTAGCTGAAAGATATCCTGAACAAATTACAATCCCTGGCTTTGAATTTAAAAGATCAAGATTCTTAGATCATCATTTCCCTGCTTTAAATTTTCCTGTTGAGAAAGTTAACTACATGGGTTCAGATCCAAGACCTGATTACGAGAAAGGTTCATCTGAATATAAAAAATATTTCAGTGATCTAGCTAACGCAGAGCATAAGAACGCATTGGCTTTATTTGAGCAAGATCCATTCGGTACAGGTGCTGTGTTGTCAAAGAAAAGAAAGAACAGAAATCCTTTTAAAAGATATCACGGATATCTGCAAAGTAATGAAGTCTTGAAGCCTTTCTTCACTGAAAGTCCTACAAAAGTTTTGAAAACTCCATGGTGAGATTGATACAATATAGATAAATGAAAGCAACCATAAATTCATCATAAACTATAAACTTGTGCGTAAATCATTAACCCTTAATCAACTTCACTAATTTTACTGACGTCTAGCATTTCTTTGGTATCGGTAACACCATCTAACATGTTTTCCAAATGAACTTTACGATGTTCTTTTGAATCAACATCTCTCAACTTATCTTCAATTTCCTTGATCTCCTTATCAATTGATGTGATTGCTGCATCACTACCCAAAGTTTCAAATACCCAATCACCATTTTGTTGAATTTCAAGTAAATGATCGTGATATTTGATCAATAATGGTCTATGTGAAAGAGTTATGAATGCAAAATTCTTTCTCTTCAATAAATCAAACAAGTATGCTTCAATATCACTACTTATAGCATTTGTTGCTTCATCCAATACCACAAACTTTGGATTCTTGTACAAGATTCTTGCAAATTGGACTCTTTGCTTTTCACCTCCACTTAAAACGTCCTTCCAATCATGAACTGAGTCCAGGTAGTTCAAGCCAATATCACGATCAAGCAAGTATTCCAATCTGACTTCTTTTAAAATTCTAATCAAGTCTTGGTCAGTTTTACCCTCGTTCAACATTTCAGAGTGAGATAAAGGATAAATTATTTGATCTCTCAATGTACCATTACTGAAGTAAGCTCTTTGTGGTAAATAAATAATATCATCATCATTTGGTTTAGAGATCAAACCATTGTATAAAGGCCATAATCCGGCAATGATTCTCTCTATTGAAGTTTTACCACAGCCATTCATACCCAAAATCAAAATACTTTCGTGTTGTTTGAGACTAAAGTCTAAATCACGAATCAATTTGGTGCCTTCACTTCCGTTAAGCGATGGAATGATCACATTAATCTTTTCAAATCTCAAACCGTTGTAATGGTATTGAATTGTACCTTTTATATCATTATTCAAGTTTTCATCACCATAATTGAAATCGACAGCATGAACTTGGTGTAATACAGTCAATAAAGTGAAAACTCTATCAGTGTACCCAGTCAACTTGGAAATATCTTTGATTGAATACATCAATCTACTACCTGCATCAGCCAAATTCAACATCAATCGCTTGTTGACTATGAATTGACGCATATTTCTCTCTTCGGTACTCTTTTTAACATTATCTTTGATTGAAACAATGAAAATTGGGATTGAAGCAAATAAGTAACCTAAAGCTGACCAAGTATATTTCAAAATGTAATCTTCCAAAATATTGTAAGTGACTTTCAGTCTATTGATCTTGAAGATATGGTTCATCATTTTTTGATAAATATCATTGATCTTTATCTTTTCCAAGTTTGTACCATTGTAGAAAGCAATCTCTTCACTGTTGGTTATCAAATTCAAATGATCATTATAGTATTCACCTTCTAAAGCAGATTTTTCTTTTGTTAATTTACCAAATGGTGGAGTATTTCTTTTCAAAATGTATGCAGTAAGGAAATAATTTGCAAAAATACCAGCAATACCAGCAGTACCCAAGTTGTCTCTCAAGTAGACGGAAAAGAACACCAAATCAATCATTGGCTTACCAATGTTAGAAAATAATGAGCAAATGGAGTTACAAAATCTGTTTATATCTGTTGTTATGAAATTATCAATATCCTTGATAGCTTGATCGTTGAAAGAGACTTTATAGTAAACCATTCTAGGATCCAAATACATGTCATGGACATATCTCATCAATTTTGATCTGAAATTGATTGAAAGTTTTTTAACAAGATATTTGATAGCACTGTTGGTATAAGAAGCAGGTACTGCCATCAAGAACCAATAGATCAGGTCACGCAGAAACTTCCTAAACTTACCACCAATAATATCCTTAACGATCTGACCATCCAATTTAGCAATAAGTAAACTTAACCAAGTTCTTAAAATCAAAAAGAAAAACTGAGTAATCAATAAAACAGAATTCTTATCATTAACCTTAGGTATCAAAATCTGCCAAATTATAACTAACTGGTTTAAAAACTTTGAACTAAAGACATGATCACCATCCTTTTCGTGCTGATTTATGTTCTTCATGAAATTTTTGAATTTGAATCGATCTCTTTCATAAACTTCTGGATCAGTTGGCTGAATAATGACTCTTTTTTGTCTGCTTTTGTAAGGAATGAACAATTCTCTGGCACCATTTTTCAAGATGGTTGATGATGAGCGCTTGTAAAGAGGTCTTGAGTCTCTTCTATCCCTGATATCAGATATGAGTTTGTTTAGCAAATAGATTGCACCAACCGCTGTGGATGAAAGAAGTGAAACCAAGAAGATAATAACATGTTTGGAAGGATGCTTCCTGTTTTCCTTGTATAGCTGAAGCAAGTTTATGAGGATGATCTTCAGCTCCTGCTTCCTGTTCTTTGAGTTCAAAAGCTTCGATATGATCATTTCCACTGCTGAGCTCGTAGTTGTTTCAACGTGTTCGTGTCACCTGTCAAAACCATTTGGATTTCTCTGTTTATATATGTTTCTTCCATGCTTTTTCTTAACTAGTGTCAAGCGTTTCGCTGTGGGGAAACATTGGTTTGTATGGTGTTCGCTTAACCCGAGGAGTAAAAAAATTACGTGACAGGAAAATTTGGCAGATCACGACAATGGGACAACAACGATGATCATCGCCGTTTTAGCTACAGTGTGGAACTGGGATATAACTTTTGCTTTCATCTAGTTAAGAAACTCTTCTTGAATCCCCAAAAGTAACTCTTTGCTTATTTCGTTACTGTTTGCCACGTATTCCAAGATCTTGACAAGGTTCAATAACTTGCGATTTCTCACCATTTGTTCCTCCTCTTCAGGGTTTGACTCAATAGCGTTATTCTCTAAGTTCTCTGAAATTTCCTTAGCCTTTTCAATGATACTATTTTCAAAATACTTTTGTGCTACTCTGATCCCATATCTCTTCACATCTGTAAGGCCCCCTAGCATTCTGTAATTCATTTTTAGTCCATCATTTTGTGTACTTGAGCAGCTCATGTGATTTTGAATTACACCAGGCTTGGTACCCAAAATCTTTGATAGCTCATGAAAATGTGTGGTTATGAAAACTGTAGCATTTGTTGTTACTAAATGCTCACATATAGCTAGTGAAATAGCAAACCCATCATTCAAGCTAGAACCTCTTCCTAATTCATCAATTATAACAAGACTATTTTCATCGAAATCTTCTAAAATACAAACCATTTCATTCATTTCTGTTGCAAAACTTGAAGTAGTAGATGCAAAGTTATCAACACAAATCCTTGCTTTCAAACTATTGAAAATTGGAAAATTTGCATACTCAGCTGGAACAAAAGAACCAATTTGTGCCATGATGGACAATAGTGCAACTTGTCTCAAATAAACTGACTTCCCACTCATATTTGTTCCAGTTATCACCTGAACTCTTGAGGTATCCTTAACCGCACAAATATCATTAGAGACATAATTCTCCGTCATGGTCTCCACGATGGGATGTCTACTTGCCTTGAGTGTCAACATATCTGATATTTCAGGGCACGAGTATTTTCCCTTGGTTGCATTTAAAGCAAAGCATTGAAAAAGATCCAATACAGCTAGGGCTTCACCCATCATGAAAAGAACTGGGATATAATTTGTAATTTCATCAAGCAACTCTTCTAGCATCTTATCACTAGTTCTCAATATATCAGAAACAGTATCATCCATGCGAGCATTCCATTTGATTAAGTCCAATGTTGTACATTCTAAAAAGTTCTTCTTTTCTTTGCGATTGATGAAAATGTCTGGTAGTTGGTTTATATCTTCGTAGTTTTTCACCTTCAAGTAATACCCACGTTGGTTATTATAGCAAGCCTCGATGAAGAGATCATATTGCTCTGATAAATTACCAGCTGTTGTAACAGCTTCCTCACCCACAAAGTTGTAGGCTTTTCTGGACATATCAAGATACCCATTCTTGCCTGACTTTACAGCATAAATCCTTTGATTTTGAATATCTAGGGTACCAGAAGCCCAATTGCAATCTTCATTTATATATTCATCTATCAAATTCTTTACCGCAATTACACCATCATCCTTGCAAATATCTCTTATTTGCTGCAATAAAGTACACCTGGCACCTTCAAGGTAATTTCCAATATCTATAGCAACATTCACTGCTTGTTTGACAAGTATAATATGATTGACTTTATTGACAGATTTTTCTGGTACCTCTGAATTATTTGATAACAATAGAATGGCAAAAATCTTATCAAGATCTTGCAACCCTTTAATACTGACTCTTAGCTCATCAAGTAATGATTGATTATCAACAAGCTCTTTGACAGCTTTCAATCTCATTATAATACTATCTTTATCTGTCAATGGCTGAAAAATATTATTTCTCAACACTCTTTCTCCCATCTTTGTCAAGGTTGAGTTCAAAAACTTCATGAAAGATAATCCATTCTTTTCAACTAAATTTTCAGTCAATTGAAGACTCTTTATGGTTCTAGTATCAATAAACATTGTACTTTCTGGCACCTCATACTTGAATCTGAATTTTTTGAAGAACACTTGTTGCATTCTATAAATTTTTATGATGAATTTCATACCAGCAGCCAAAGCGCACAACGCATTTTGTTTATCACCCAATTCCTGTTTTAAATAGTTAAGATCCTTTTCAAACGCCAACTTTTGTATGTTTTCTAACCCTTCATTACTATTGAAAAACCTCTTATCGACCCCATGAAACCTGATTTCCTGTGACACATTAGACTTCAAAATGACAGTCAACTTATTTCCAGGAGGCCCAATGTAATGTTCAGGTGCTAATATATCAGAAGGTTCAAAAACATGGATCTTATGAATGGTTCTAACATATGTCTGTGAGTCCAAAATAGTGCTCAATGTGATTTCTCCTGTTGCTATATTGAAAAAACATAAACCAACATTAACATCAACACTACTTTTTCCTTCATATATTGAGCAAAACACCTTATTAGAACCTGTTTGAGCTGTAGCAGGACCAGATCTTGATAATGTAGTACCCTTACTGAGTGACCCAGCAGTTGAAGTAGTGAATCTGCTCATCTCCAAATAATCTTGAAGTTACCGCCTAAACATTAAAAGAACAAGATTTAATTTTCTTAGCGGCTAAAATTCACCATTATCAGTATTGATAAAACTACATAACAACCAACTTGGCAAAAAAACATGCAAATCAAAAACATCTTTCTTTTTCATTATAAATACTAATATGAAACACTAAATTTGACAAACCATTTATCCCACAACATTTCTATCATCTCTTCTTTTTTGTATATCGGCAAGGAATGGCAAGCCACCACCAATTGGAGCTGCTGGAGGTGGATTAGAAGCTGATGGTGCTGGTGCTGGTGGTGCTGGTGGTGCTGGTGGTGCTGGTGCTCCTGTTGGAGGTGGTGGAGGTGGTGCTGGTGGTGCATTGGCCTGAGGTAATGGTGGAGGTGGAGGTACACTAGCTTGTGGTAATGGAGGTGGTGCTGGTGCTGATGATTCCGGTAATGGAGGTGGTGCTGGTGCTGAAGATTCTGGTAATGGAGGTGGTGCTGGTGCACTTTGTTCAAAAAATGAAGGAGTTGATGGTGCACTTGTTTGCGGCAAAGGTGGTGGAGGTGGCGCACTTGTTTCTGGTAAAGGTGGTGGAGGTGGTGCACTTGTATCTGGTAATGGTGGTGGTGCAGGGGCACTTGACGGTGGTAATGGTGGTGGAATTGAATCTGGTAACTGAGGTGCACTAGCTTGTGGTAATGGTGGAGCTTCAGGAGCAGGTGAAGGAGCAGCAGGAGTTGACAGAGAATCAACAAATTGATCATCATCAGATGGCACACTATCTTCATTTAACTCAGGATGAGGATGAGCTGCAAATGCATCGTCTGCTGGACCTTCTTCAGTAGGATATGGTGGTGAAGGTGGAGTTGGTGGGATAGGTGAATCTTGAGCTGGGGCTTGTGGAATTGGTGGAGCAACAGGTTGTTGTTCAGGTTGCACTGGAGCTTGAGGTACAATATTGGATGAGGAAGCACTTGGAATAGGAGCAGCAATAGGAACTGGTTTCTCTTTAACATTATCAAATAATTTGTTTTGTTCTTGCTTTGGTGTAGAAACTTGAGAATTAGAATTAGTTCTTGCAGGACCCATACCTGAAAACAACAACCCAGCCAAATGAGCAGCTCCTTGACGATTTGGAATTTCATCTTCATCTTCACTCTTGTCTTCTTCAGAACTCCAACCATCATCATCGTCATTGTTATTCAATCCTCTTTGAGCATTTCTTTGGGCCTCAGCATTCTTGGAATTAAATGATGGGGCTTGAGATGGAGCTGGAGCTGGAGCTATAGGTTGAGGACCTTTTGGAGCTTGTTGGGATGCTTGTGGTTTACCAAATGGATTGTTTGATGAGATAGAAGCAGGAGCTTGATTTTTAGCAAATGGATTAGTATCATGATGTTTCAAATCTTTATCAGCACTTGGTTCAGCTTGAGCTGGTTGTGGTTGTGGAGTAGAAACTTGAGGTGAAGCTGTTTTTGGTTGAGGCGCAAACGTCTTGACTGGAGCTTGTGGTATAGATTCTTCCTCTTTTTCTTCTTCATGTTCAGCATCTTCTAATTCTTTACGTAAATGAGCCAATCTAGCTTCTTTATCAGCTTTTTTCTTCTTCTTCAAATCTTCCAATTGTTGGCGTAATTTTAATTCTTCTTCATCAACTTCCTCCTCAGATTCTTCAGTTGTCTTAGCTGGTGCTGATGCCTTTGGTGTAGTTCTTGAAGTTGGTGGCGGTGGTGGTGCAGACTTGGCTTGCGCTTGTGCATGGAATGAAGGTTGTTGTGGTTTTGGAGGTGCAGGAGATTGTGCTTGAGGTGCCGGTTGAGAGTTAATTGGAGGTTGTTGTGGCTTTTCTTGAACTGGTGGAGGAGTGTTCACTTGAGGTGAAGCAGCAGGAGATGGAGTTTCTGCTTTGGATCCACCATGTCTTGAAATACCAAATTTAGCTAGTCTTTCATTCATCTTTCTCTTTGCTTGTTCTTTAATATAAGCGGCTCTATCTTCAGGACTCTTGTAACTAGAATATGAATCTGGAGTTGAAGGTTTTGGACTTAAAGCACTTGGTGAAGAATAAGAATTTGAAGCAGATAATGAAGGAGCATTATTTGATGATCTAGTAGCTTGTGATGGAGCAGGACTGCTTATTCTCAAAGATTTGATCAATTCAGCAACATCTGGTTGAACATCCAAGCCTAATTCCCATTTCTTGTAACTAGTTGGATCACTATCTTTATTCAAACTATTTAAAACACCTTCTGAAATATCTTTAATTGTCTTTTCAATATCATAAATAATTTCTTGGGTCTCTTTATTCTTGGACTTTATTTTAACAACTTCTTCATTCAATTGCTGTTGTTCATTTTCAAAATCAGCAGTTGGATCTGAGACTGTCTTACCAGTTAAAGCAGCCATTCTTTGAGCTAATAAAGCCTTACTTTTTGCCTTTCTTTTATCAGATTCGGTAACTTCACCATTTGGACCGGAACCAACAATTGAAGATGGATGTTGAATCTTGTAAAGTTCAATTCTTGAGTTTGTGATATCATTATCTATTCTTGAGATTTCATTAAGTAAATTTGGAACTCTTGAAACCAATGTATTTAATTTATCCTTCTGTTGTAATGCATCATTTGATATATTTGGTTTAGGCAACGTTCTAATTTTGTTTTTCAAATCTTCAATTTCTTGTAACTCTTTAGCATTATGTTCGGCCTTCTTTGCACTTTCAGCATTCAAAGATTCCAATTGACGTTGTTTATCTTGAACTTGTCCCTTTAAAGCATCAATTGAAGATTTTGAGTCACTACTAGGACTATCTGTTTTCCTTCTGTTTCTGGAAGAGTTCATATCACTAGCATTGCCCTCAGTTTTGAAATTAGAAAAAGCTGTTGAAGGTTTACCAAATGATGGTGTATTTTTCAATTGATTTTTAACATAATTCACATTCTTAACGCTATCAGGTAATAAAGAATCAGGCAAGCGGTTTGGCAATTCATTCCCATTCAACTTTCTATAAATCAACCACATACCAAGTGAAAAAGATTCTTTATTTAAGTGGGTTGTGCTTTCATTTGTAATCAAGTTCCACACTTTTTCTAATTCTGAACGATTTAAACCAGATTTTCTAAATATCTCAGCAGATAAGCTTGGATCTAATTGACCTTTTTTGCTTGTATCATAAGTATCAAAAATTTTGCTAAACAAGGCCTTTTCTTGAGGTTTGATGAATTCTTGATTCTGTTGTGGTGGCAAGTTTTGATATTGAGAGAAACCAGTGAAACCGGTACGTTGAGGCTGTAAATAGCTTGATTGAAACAAGTTATTATTACCTACACCAGTCTTTTGTTGTTGTAATAAACCTGATGAAAACATACCGTTGTTACCAACACCAGTTTTTTGTTGTTGTAGAAGAGCTGGTGGATTATAATTTGGTTGATACCCCGTAGTTTGGCTTTGTAAAGGCTGTTGGATGCCAGTGGCTTGTTGTTGCAAAGGTTGATAACCAGTAGTTTGTGTTTGTAATGCTTGGAATCCGGTTCTTTGAGGTTGTAATGGTTGAAATCCAGTAGCTTGAGCTTGTAGTGGTTGATATCCAGTTGCTTGAGATAACAAAGGTTGCTGGAATCCAGTTTGTTGAGGTTGCATTTGAATTCCACTTAATTGACTGATTGCACTTTGTTGTTGAGGCTGTTGTGAAATATTGTCAAATGGTGTTGATCTTTGAGGAGCATTATCATCTGGAATGCTGAAATTAATGGCATCAACGAAACCTTCCACTTCGTTTTTGACATTAGATTCTAGTTGATATGGGATTGGTAATCCTTTCAAAGCAACATTACACAAATGTAATGCTAGAGCAAACTCTGGAAATAACAATTGACCAGATTTGTTAAGATCTGATAACTCCCAAATTCTAGCTAGTTGGTTTGGTTGTAATCCTGATCTCATCAAGACATCTCTAGCAGCATCAGCACTAATTGCAAAAGACTTCTTTGGAACAGCACTTCTGAATAAATCTTCAAACTTTTGTTGATCATGAGCTGTCAAGAAAGACAATCTAATGTTTGGAATTTTTAACTCTTCATTTTTCTCAACACCTTGAGCAGCTGATGAGAAGCCAGTTTTCTGTGGAGCTATCGGTTGTTGTGGTTGCTGTTGTTGCAAACCAAATTGTGATTGTTGTCCAAATTGATTTGATACGTATCCAGTTTGTTGAGGTTGAACAAAACCTGTTTGCTGTGGTTGGACATATCCTGTAGGTTGGCCATATAGAGGCTGTTGAGCACCAAATCCAACTGGTTGATTCAATTGAGATTGGAAACTAGTTGTTGGAGGCTGTTGTTGTTGTTGAAATCCCGCTTGAAATCCAGTCTGCTGAGGAGGCAATTGACCGTAGCCAGTTGGTTGATACCCGAGAGGCTGTTGGCCCGTAAACTGGCCACCTTGCTGATAACCAGTGTAATTGTACATTCTCTATTCTCCTGACTTGGATTCAATTGATAACGTTGACGTGGGTTTAAGTAGTTTTCGTTTTCAATTTCGATTCCAGCTTTGAATTTTGGTGAAACGCTGATGGAAAAAAATCTTAAGGGGCACAATCGGCCAGTGTAACCTTGCCCGATATGGCGCACACATAAATATTTCAGAGCTACAAGTTGGAAATAGATATAGAAAGTATCTTTGATTAGACTGAAAGCACTTGGTGCTGCTATAGCTAAGAGATTCATATGCAGCATTCTCTATGTTCCTTGGAGATCCTGGTGATTCATAAGCTCAGGATAAGAAAATAAAGGATTCAGATAGCATTGACTGCATTTTAACCGTTTGTTCTGTTCAGTCAACATCAAGTGGTGGGCTAAATTCAGTAGTCAACGACATCACCAGCCCATTCGACCTTTGTATATTCTCAATCCTAACCAGTGTTTTTGCACTTGAGTCTCTCTTCCACTTCAACACCTTTCTTCTCTAGTTGACCCACTAATGATTTTTGTTCTTCTAGCAGCGCATCCAAATAATCCGCAGACTTATTCAGTATCAAAATCTCTGATCTGTTATCACTAGGCTTCAATTCAGGTACCAGTTCAACAAGCCTGCTGAATGCATCTCTGATAGCCTGTCTTCTCTTGTGCTCTGATTCTATATGGTGTTTTTTCTTCTCTTCCTCAGTGAGGAACACAGTCTTCTTGGTCTTTGGCTTCTTGCCCTTTTGCTTCGCTATTGGAGAGCCTCCCTGTTGCTGCTGCTTTGGGATGGCTGCTGGTGGTGACTTGGACATTCTATCTCTGGCACACGATGGCTCTTGCACTGGCGTGTCGTCTATTGACACTGTTTTCGTTGGAGGAAATGAGTTTTTGTCAATTGACATGTGAACAGGATCGAGGAAAATGCTGCCCCGTGTCAAGCTTTGTTATACCTGGAAACAGTCATCTTCACCACGGTATAGAAGGAGCCTGTGGAATTACTCTGTAATTTCAATAATGGCTATTTAACACGAAATACGCTAAGTTATTCACACACTAATTGATTCATTTGTCGTCAAATCACCCATGGCCCATATTCTTTTATACTGTGCCTTGCCTCAATCCTTGTTGAAAAATTTAAAAAAAAAAAGACACGCCAACTTCAGTTACATAAACAATAGGGAATTAACTATTATACGTGATAACAACCGTGCAATTCAGTTGTCCTGAACCATTCCAAAATAGGTGTCCTACTAGTTGCTGTCTCATACTTGGTCTATCGCAAAATGTCAAGTTTATCTACCCAATTCAGTCTTTCTAGACTAAATTTACCACAGGCTACAAAATACTTACTATTAACATTATCTGGTGTATCATCATTGTTATTGTTCTTGAAATATAGAATGTATAATGATTTGATCGCAATTGGTGAAACTGATATTGAGTTTGACAAGATCGTGGTCCCTTATTTACAATTAATACCAAATCATACTTTATTACACCCTTGGACTGTTATCACCTCAATTTTCATTGAAACTAAAGTATGGAAATATTTCATTTCTGTTTTGATCTCTTATTTTGCTGGTAAATTCATTGAAAGATCTTGGTCAAGTAAAGAATTGATCAAATTTGTTATCTTAATTGGTGGTGTTACAAATTTATTGGTTTCATTATCTTTAATCATTTCCAATATTATTTTTCAATTACACTATTTTAATGTCCCTGTTGATGGTAACATCTCATTACTAGTTGGATTTTTAGTCGTTTTTAAACAATTGATTCCTGAACATTCGTTAGTGTTATTCAAAGGTGCTATCCATGCTAGAGTTAAACATATTCCATTCTTAGTCTTATTAGGATTGACTGTTTTTTCAATTGCAACTTTTAGTCCAACTCCATTTTATCAATCATGGATCGGATTCCTAGTTTCATGGGCCTACTTGAGGTTTTATCAATCAAACATCATTGATCCTCTATTACCTCAACCAAATGATGTTATCGGTGTTCAAAGATTAAAAGGTGATGCTTCTGAAACTTTCAGTTTGGTTCATTTCTTCCCAGATGCTCTTGCACCAATCTTGTCTCCAATTTTTGATCAATTCTATGAAATCTTTGTTCAATTAGGTTTATTATCAAGATTCAATGATAGTGAAATTGAACAAAGTAATTTAATCGCTAATAGAAGATTAACTGGTCAACAACAAGCTCAACAATTAGATTCAAGAAGTGCTGCTGAAAGAAGAAGACAAGTTGCCCTTAAAGTCTTGGAGGAAAGAATTGGTGAAGATCCAAACTCAAAAAAACAATCTCCAACTGAAATTGGTGTTGCTGCTAGTTCTCAAGATGAAGTGAGTGCTTGAGCTTCTTTTTTTTTCAAAACAAAAAATTTGAAAATTTATCTTTATCCAACCCACAACAAAAAAAAAGAAGTAGTGACATTAAGAAATAGTTTGAATATAGTCTATTTATTGAATTATTGTAGAAAAATAGCAAAAAAAAGGTTATTTTAGCATGCAAAAAGCGCCAAATCCCCGGCAAGCTAAAAAAACAAGCGACCCCGGACAGGATCGAACTGTCGATCTTGTGATTAACAGTCACACGCCTTAACCAGCTTGGCCACGGAGTCAATTTTTGAAAATTTATTTTTCTGCAAAACTAGGACATACTTTTATCACGTGATGATCACGTGATTAGTAAGTTTTTAACTCATAAATATAATATGAAATTTTTGTATAGAACTAATATTTAAAAAACGTATCTCAAGATACACTTAGATCTCCTTAATATAATTTTGGTTAATTTATGTCGAAAAGCATAATTTTCTTGTTGGTTTTAATTTTAAAGAAAATTTGTCTAAGTAAGGTTTAACAAATGCTCTAGATAAACTTGAGTAAAATTCATATAATAAAAATATTTTTCAAATTTAACTACAACTATTTATGCCAATCAATTATGCAGTCTTTTTAACCTTCTATTCCATTTTTAAATTGGGTCCTTCCCTATTTTATTGTTGTGTAAAAATTAATTCAAAATGTTGGTCACGTGATGAGATGAAGAAAATGACTGAAATCACAACATTTAATGAAAGTTTCCCATAAAAAGTCAAGAATTAGGCAGTGAAAACTACATAGGATTATCCTGAATATTTGGTTGTATAATTAAATCTCCAAACACATATAAACAAACCCTTGACATATATAAATTGACGTAATACTTATAAAAAAAATCCAGATCAACATTAAATAGAAAACCACCCATATTCTTCATTTCTCAAGTTAGAGAATTAATAAATTCATATAATAAAATAAAACCAAATACCTTTGACTTATTCATTTAGTTCAATAACACCTGGCAAGCTTGCAATATCAACAGTTGCATCACCAAAAGTGTTTTCACTTGAGTAAAGAACATACAAGAATCCATCTTCGTCTTTATGTTCTTCATAGATTGAGCTCATTGAAGCAGCTGTTGGTGGTAATATGTCATTAACAAAAATAAAGATTGCCTTTTCTGCTGGTAGGTGAATTCTTTTTCTAATAACGTAAACAAATTGACCAATAGTTAAATCATATGGAACAAGGTATTTCTTCTTGTCAATTTCTGGAAGGTTGGATTTCTCAGCTCTTTCACAGATTATTGGGATACGATTGTTGAATCTTTGACGAATCTTTGTAGCTTCAGCTTTTCTTTGTTCTGTGAACTATGTTAGTAATTGAGTTTCATGATAAGATAAGCAAAATAAACACATACCAAAACTGTGTTCTTCTTTAAATTGGAAAAACATGATTGATTCTTTGAAATGAGTTGTAGTAGTTGCTATTTGTAACTAATAATTAGTTAGTATCTTGTAATCGTTTGGTTTCAGTTAAAAATGTTAGAGTTGAGGTTACACGGTTTTTGACACAAACAAAGGACATCTCCCCAGAGAAAGGGGATAAAACCGTGACAAACTCTACTAAATCACCAGTTTCTTCTAGTACAAACCGATACTCACTCTTGGCTGATATAACTTCTTTGAATTGTATCCCCAAACGGTGTAATTGGCGTGTGTAACGTGTGTGTTGTTGTTTGTGTAGGTGGCGTCCCTTGTGACAGTTTTTTATTAACTTTTTAGTCACTACTGTTTGAATATTGTGGGCCGCGATAAGGAGTGCTGAACTGGGGGTAACACCTCTCTATCAAAAACATCTGAACCTCGTTATTATGGCATTTTCATATAGGAAAGAGTACTAAATGAGTATAAAATGGGTTTTATGAATGAAAAATTAATAGGATACATGATTTGGGTCTTTTCTAGACTTTATCTGGTGGTTACGTGGCTCAGTGTGAATTTACTATGGTGCCGGTGAGCATTCGTGAAAAAATGAGCATTTCTCGACAGCCTGGAAAAAACATGTATCAGCTAGTTCATCGAAATACTTGTTCAACAGTCATAAAGCGATGTCGTCCTCAAAGTATGCCGTCAGGCCAACCAAGAGACTGATAAAGTCAACCACTAATTGTCCAGATTCAGTGCGTTATGTTTGTCCAAGGAGTTTGTTTAGCAACTAACAATCCTCTTTGTAGGCTGCTGCTTATGGTGAATGTGTGTTACAAAACTATACGGATATGAAGAAAGGAACTTGTGAGAAAGAATTCCAGGCTTTTAAAGCTTGTGTACAGAAACACTTTGGAAGAAGGTTCTAGATAGAAGACACCATTATTTATTACTTATTTATTTGCATAACACAATTATTTATTACTACAAATGATTTAATGAAATAATTTACACATAATCTATTAAATATACAGTTTCAAAACGTGATTGATGTAGACACTTAGTCTTCTTAGATTCTGAGGATTCTCAAGTTGAAGATACAGTCATTGATGGCTTGTTCTTCATCAGCAACAACTTCTTTACTTGATTCACGGAATGGTTCCAATTCACCTTTCAAGGTCTTTGATAACAAATCTTTATGAGTTGAAACAACATTTTCAAAGTCAATGGTATCTTTGATCAATTTATATTGAACAAGAACATCATCTGTAGCGTTCAAACCACCTTTCTTACGTAATCTTTGAATACGATTAACCAATTCACGAGCTAAACCTTCAGTTTTCAATTCGGGGTAGATATTGATATCTAAAATGATTAAAACATCTTGATCACTTCTAACTTCTTGGTTTTCATTAGCTTGACTTTCTGGTAAACCTCTCAAAACTGATAAATCACCTTCAACTAAATCAATACCAGCAACAGTGATTTTACCAGTATTAGCATATGATTCAACTTCATCAGAAGTTAAAGCTGGTAAGGCATCTTTAACTTTTTTAACATCTTTCTTTAATTTTTTACCCAAGACTGGCCAGTCAGCAACTGCTCTATATTCAACACCATATTTCTTTTCATCTGAGGTGATAACCAAATCACGAACATTCAATTCTTCAATGATGTAACCTTTCAAAGCATCAACATCTTTCAAGTATTGTTCATCATTATGTAGGATAACCAATTGTTTTAATGGAGTTTTCAATGAAATCAATTTCTTTTCACGAATGTTACGACCTAAATCAATAACTTTTTGCATACGTGAAACAGCAGTTTCAATACGTTCATCAAATAATTCTTCACGAACAGTTGGATATGATAAGAAATGAATGGATCTATGATCTTTACCATTCAAAGCAAATGAAGCTAAAGTTTCTTCATCGAAATATTCTCTCAATCTTTGATAAATAGTTTCTGACAAGAATGGAGTGAATGGACCCATAGCACGAACTAAACCAAATAAAGCTTCAGTTAAAGTATTTAATGATTTTTTGGTGTCATCAACTGAAACTTCACCTTTGAGACGACGACGGTTGAATCTAATATACCAGTTGGTTAATTCATCAATAAAGTTTAATAATCTTGGAACAACAGTGTATAATCTGTATTCAGTCATTTCTTCATGAATAAATTTGATTAATGATTGTAATGAAGCTAAAACCCATCTATCCATAACATTATCAGATTTCAAGTTGGCATCATATTTGAAATCAACGTTTTCATTCTTCTTCAATAAAGCAACTGAACCTTCCAAGAATTTAGCAGAATTCCACCATGGTAATAAAACTTTAGAAACAACTTCTTTAACACCTTCTTCTTTGAATTTCAAAGTTTCAGCACGTAAAACTGGTGAATTGATCAAATATAATCTTAAGGCATCAGCACCATATTGATTCAAAACAATAGTTGGATCTGGATAATTCTTTAAACGTTTAGACATTTTCTTACCATCAGCAGCTAAAACAATACCACTAACGATAACATTTTGATATGGTGCAGTGTTAAAAAGATGAGTCCCTAAAACGGTTAAAGTATAGAACCAACCTCTAGTTTGATCCAAACCTTCAGAGATGAAGTTAGCTGGGAATCTGTTTTTGAATTTATCCTTGTTTTCAAATGGATAATGACCTGAAGCATAAGGCATAGAACCTGATTCAAACCAACAATCGAAAACTTCTTCAACTCTTTTCAAAACACCTTTACCAGTTTGAGATGGAATAGTAATATCATCAATACTATCACGATGTAAATCAGTGATATCATCTCTTCCTGATAATTTTTTCAATTCTTCAACAGAACCAACACAAACAACTTCTTCAAAATCATCACTAACCCATAATGGGATTGGTGTACCCCAATAACGATTTCTTGAAACGTTCCAGTCACGAGCATTAGCAATCCAGTTTGAAAATCTTTTTTCTTTGATAGTACTTGGAACCCATCTTGTCTTTTCAACATTGTTCAACATGTCTGGAATAGCTTCTTTAATACGAACAAACCAAGCTGGAACAGTTCTGTATAATAAAGGAGTATCTGATCTCCAACAGAATGGGTAACTATGTCTGATTTGAGAATTCAACAAGATTTTACCCTTTTCTGTTAAATATTTGATAATCTTGGAATCAGCATCTTTAACATAAACACCTTCCCAATCTGAAACTTCTTTAGTAAATAAACCTTTATCATCAACTGGGTTTGGAGGCAATAAAGTTTCATTAATAACACCGTTAGCAGTGGCGGCGTTGAAATCTTCTTCACCAAATGCTGGAGATTGATGAACAATACCAGTACCACTATCAGCAGAAACATATGAAGCTTGGATAACTTTGAAACCGGTTTCTTTGAATTTGTCATAGAAATAGTTGAATAATGGTTCATATTTCAAACCAACTAATTTTTTACCTGGGAATCTATCAACAACTTTGAATTTTTCATTTTGAGGTTTCTTGTATAATGTTTTAATTAAAGATTCAATTAAAATATAATATTTATCAGCTTTTTCATCATAAATTTTAACATATTCTAAGTCTGGATGAACACATAATGCGATATTTGATGGTAAAGTCCATGGAGTAGTGGTCCATGCAACCAAGATAGTTTTTGGATCATCTAATAATGGGAATGCAACTGTAACAGCTGGATCATTAACATCTTTATAATTTTGTTGAGCTTCAAAATTAGCTAATGGAGTGGTTAACCCAGTAGAATAAGGCATAACTCTAACACCTCTGTAAACTTGATTTTGATCAAATAATTGTTTGAAAACCCACCAAACAGATTCCATAAATTCTGGATATAAAGTTTTATAATCGTTATCAAAATCAATCCAACGACCTAAACGACCAATGGTTTTTCTCCATTCATCAGCATAACGCATAACAATGGCTCTACATTCAGCATTATATTTGTCAATACCCATGGCCATAACATCTTGTTTACCAGTGATACCTAATTTCTTGTCAATTTCATGTTCAACTGGAACACCATGAGTATCCCAACCAAATCTTCTTTCAACATGATAACCATTCATAGTAGCATATCTTGGAACAATATCCTTAATAGTGGAAGCTAAAATATGACCATAATGAGGAGTACCAGTGGCAAATGGAGGACCATCAAAGAATGAGAATTCTGGTTTACCTTCAGTGATTTTCAAAGAAGTTTGGAAAGCATCAATGTCTTCCCAATGGGATAAGACTTTCTCTTCCTCCTTAGGAAATGAAAAAGGAGCCGATTTAACTTCTTCTTCAGACATTATAAAAGGCGGTTTTATGTGTCAAATTGAATGTTAATAACAAGAATCAAACGGTTTTATTACAAATTCTGTATTTTTTTTTCATTGACTCAACGATCTTATGATGCTGACAACGGCAAAAAAAAAAAGAGTTGATGTTCTGAGATTCGAGGGTTTCGATTTTTAGTTAGCAAAGTCATGTGATCTTGTGAGTTCCGGTACATAATAAGTAAAAAAGTTGATTTAGTTCAACCTTCTTTAAGCTTCATTATTTGGTTCAGAAACCAGGTCTTGTTGTTATGAATACGCCTCCCAGAACTACAATAATATTCAGCAACATCCCACAAGATTGGCTAGTAGGGATTGATTTACAATTTTTCAACACAAATCATATATTAAAAGGTATCAAATTAGTACCCGATGGGATTCATATTGTACATTTTGCCAAAGATCAATCAAGTATACGACATGGGTTTTACATAAATGCTAAAGAAGGTGATGTTATAATATGTTACTGGGATGAAAAAGATGAAAAAATATTAGTTGATGATGAAATCGGGGAATTGAATATAACAAAAGAGATGTCAAAGTTATCAGATTATTATTCATTCATGATTAGTTATCCACCAGATCCCGAGTGGAAAAAATTAACTCAATATATCAATTTTGGCCAAGTTAATTATATATTACCAAGGGGTAAACGAATTGATAGTGTTTTGACTTCAAGTGATGAAAATAATTTGTTGTTGGATGCATTACAGAAAAGTGCAAAGTCAAGAAATTTAACACAAGATCCAATAATAAATTCTATTATTGATCAAAGTGATGAAGAGATTAAATATACTTTGATTGATTTAAACAAGACTATAAGGCCTGATGGTACTGCAGGTGAAAAGACTAAAGATTCATTAGATAAATCATGGTTTTTAAATCAATTGTTGATTTCTGGTTATAATTCAAATGAAGAAATGTTGTTGAGTGAGTTTCAACAAGCTTTTTTAAATATGATCATTTTTGCAAACTATAGTAGTTCTATTCAATGGTTAAAATTTATTAAAGTGATTATGAATTGTAAAGAGATTTTGAATGGAAGATTAATCTTTTTTGAAAAATTCCTAGATGTGCTGATTGTTCAATTTGGGAAATTCCAGGAGGATTATATGGATGAATTCATTAGTGAAGATTTTTTGGATACTACAATTTCAGAATTTGAATATACAGTGAAAGAACAAGAATTACGTCCATTAATTAAAAAAACCATTGAGTTGAAAAATTTATTATTAGTGAAATTTAGTATCACTATACAAGGTTTAATGGAAGACGAAGAAGAAGCTCCAGTTGTTGTTGATATATCAGTATGAATCAAATGAATAAATGTTATTTTTGAGGGTCCATGGATTAGTTTTCCTATTTTCTATTAGTGGGAAATATGAATTTTTTTTATCTTTTAAATCATAAACGAAAGGTGTCCCTTCAAATTCAACAAGTGATTTCCCACCAATCTTAGCTCTTGCTGGTTTATCCGCTATTGTTATTGATTTTAACAATAAGTGTTGTTCACGACTTGATGGATTTATGAATTGGAACCAATAAATATTATCAAAAAGAAACCATTTTGTATGTGATAAAGCTGGTATTATGATCTCTTGTGATGAAGGTGTTGCTGTGTTTTGTTTTCTAATTGTTAAAACTGTTGTGTTTTCATTATGTACAAGGTTCCACTTTAGTTGTAATAAAGTGAATTGTTTTTGACTTTTCAATGCTGGTATCGTTTTCAAAACTTTATGGAAACTGTAATGATAATTGGATGATGGTGAATAAGGATAAAATAATTTGAATAATAATACTGCAATGACCAAGTTTGAGTTTTCATCCAAGGTTTTATTATCAAATTGAATTCTTAAACCTCTTGCTGAAAAATCTATTTTTTGCTCATTTCTTAAAGTCTGATATACTTGATCCACAAGATGTTCAATCATATCAGTGAATTTAAGAACTTGATTGTAAACTTCAACCAATTCAAGTTTTTTTGATGGATTTTGTCGTAGGTACGATCTAACAGTATTTCTTTTTGTAATTTCCAATTCATTTGTATGATCTTCAACCCATTTTATATTGTTCTCTTTAGCGTATGCATATAATTCCATTTTGGTAAATTCTAACAAGGGCCGTATCAAATTCAACCTATGCATTGATTCATTTGGTGATTGAGGTGATGGTGCTATAGATTTTCTTTGAATTCCTCTTAGGCCCATAATCCCACTATTACCAAATAATCTCAAGACAAAAGTTTCTAAATTATCATCAAAGTGATGACCAGTCATTAAATGATGGATTTCAAAGTTTTGACATATCGAATGTAATGTATTATATCTTTGTACTCTGGCAACCTCTTCAAATGAATCTTCAGGTTTTAATTCTGCAAGATTTAGCTTTGAATTATGGAAAGTTTCATAAAGACCAAGTTTCTTGATTTCTTCACCAATGAAGTTTATCTCTTGGGAACTTTTATCTCTCAAGCCATGATCCATTGATATTGTATGAATTTGAATTCCTAAATTTTCATGTTGATTTACTTTATGCAACAGATGAGTTAAACACATTGAATCTAACCCACCAGATAATGATATTGCTATTCTAGCTGGAATTGTTTGCCCATTTTTGAAGAGATGTCGTATTGATTGGAGGAATCTCAATTCCAAATGGTGTAGCATCCTCTTGATTCGAAAGTCTTGTTTTGAAGACATATTGATCTCTACAGATGCAATTTGATAATTTTCATACTTGTCACATGACGTACACGTGATGTCTCACATGACTATAAAGTAATATTCACGTGATCTGGTACACACAGCACTTTTTCTACGAGATTCTGTGTGCCAAAATCAGATCATCGCCTTTTTAGAATTTTTCATTTTTCAGTTGTTTGGCGCAAAGTTACAAAACAAAGAACGAGATGATTAAAGTGCAATTATTAGCAATTGAGTATTTTAGAGTGAAGAGGTTGATATTTTAGTGGAATTACAATCAATTGATCTTAAATTAAGTGATAAGATGTAGATATTTCCTAACTAAATCTCTGTAAATACTGGTCTTGCTTTTCTCGAGATGTGCCCACATTTTGACACAATGCCAAACCCACGTCTATCTCGGAAAGGGTCAACATGAACAAATTACAACAGAACAAGGAGCAAAGAACCAAAAGAACTGGTTTCAATTCAAGAACAATCCAGTTCAATCTAGTCTATTCTATTACTACGATCCATCACCATTTTATTCTCAATTGACGTATTCTTTATTGTGTTTTTCTAGAACCTTCTTTTGCTCTATAGTGTACCCATCTCAAAAAACTACAATTAGTGCTTTATCGAATATTCTGGAGAACTCGGTGGCCATTCAAGAAAAAAACTATATAAGGGACCCAATCAAACCCTCTTTGAAACATATCTCCCTTTTCCTATTACAACAAGAATAATTAATAGAGAATAATTATACACACACAAATACAAATATGTCAAAAGCTATAGGTATTGATTTAGGTACAACTTATTCATGTGTTGCTCATTTCACCAATGATCGTGTTGAAATCATTGCAAATGATCAAGGTAATAGAACAACCCCATCATATGTTGCTTTCACAGATACAGAAAGATTGATTGGTGATGCTGCAAAGAATCAAGCCGCTATGAACCCTTCAAACACTGTGTTTGATGCTAAACGTTTGATTGGTAGAAAATTTGATGATCCAGAAGTTATTACAGATGCAAAGCATTTCCCTTTCAAAGTGTTAGATAAAGAAGGTAAACCTTTTATTCAAGTTGAATTTAAAGGTGAAAGTAAAACTTTCTCACCAGAGGAAATTTCTTCAATGGTTTTAGGTAAAATGAAGGAAACTGCTGAAGGTTATCTTGGTGATACTGTTAAAGATGCTGTTATTACTGTTCCTGCTTATTTCAATGATTCTCAAAGACAAGCCACAAAAGATGCAGGTTTAATTGCAGGTTTAAACGTTTTGAGAATTATTAATGAACCAACCGCTGCAGCAATTGCTTATGGTTTAGATAAAAAAGGTCAAGGTGAACATAATGTTTTAATTTTTGATCTTGGTGGTGGTACTTTTGATGTTTCATTATTATCAATTGATGATGGTATTTTTGAAGTTAAGGCCACTGCAGGTGATACTCATTTAGGTGGTGAAGATTTTGATAATAAATTGGTTGATCATTTAGCTAATGAATTTAAGAGAAAGAACAAAAAAGATATCACTGGTAACCAAAGATCATTAAGAAGATTAAGAACAGCAGCTGAACGTGCTAAACGTACATTGTCATCATCTGCTCAAGCCTCAATTGAAATTGATTCATTGTTTGAAGGTATTGATTTCTATACTTCAATCACAAGAGCTAGATTTGAAGAATTGTGTGCTGATTTGTTTAGATCCACAATTGATCCAGTTGAAAGGGTTTTAAAAGATGCTAAATTGGATAAATCTCAAGTTCATGAAATTGTTTTAGTTGGTGGTTCTACACGTATTCCAAAAGTTCAAAAATTAGTTTCTGAATTCTTCAATGGTAAAGAACCAAATAAATCAATTAACCCAGATGAAGCTGTTGCATATGGTGCTGCTGTGCAAGCTGCCATTTTAACTGGTGATACATCTTCAAAGACTCAAGATTTATTATTGTTGGATGTTGCACCATTATCTATGGGTATTGAAACTGCTGGTGGTATTATGACTAAATTAATTCCAAGAAATTCCACAATTCCAACTAAAAAATCTGAAACTTTCTCCACTTATGCTGATAATCAACCAGGTGTCTTGATTCAAGTGTTTGAAGGTGAAAGAGCTAGAACAAAAGATAATAATTTATTAGGTAAATTTGAGTTGTCTGGTATTCCACCAGCTCCAAGAGGTGTTCCACAAATTGAAGTTACATTTGATGTTGATGCTAATGGTATCTTGAATGTTTCAGCATTGGAGAAAGGTACTGGTAAGACAAATAAGATTACAATTACAAACGATAAAGGTAGATTATCAAAAGAAGATATTGAACGTATGGTTTCAGAAGCTGAAAAATTCAAAGCTGAAGATGAAGCTGAAGCTGAACGTGTTTCTTCAAAGAATGGATTGGAAGCTTATGCTTATTCATTAAAGAATACAATTAATGAAGGTCAATTTAAAGAAAAAGTTGGTGAAGAAGATTATGAAAAATTATCAAAAGAGATTGAATCCACAATTTCTTGGATTGATGAATCTCAAGCTGCTTCCACTGATGAATATAAAGATAGACAAAAAGAATTGGAGGGTGTTGCTAATCCAATTGTGACTAAATTCTATCAAGCTGGTGGTGCTCCTCCTCCAGGTGCTGAAGGTGCTGCTCCAGGTGGATTCCCAGGTGGTGCCCCAGGCGGTGGTGCTCCAGGTGCTGGTGGTGACAATGGTCCTACTGTTGAAGAAGTTGATTAGATTTATTTAGCTAGTTGTAATTAATGAAATGGTAAGAAAAATTGGTTTTATTTTTATATTTGGTATAGGTTTTTAATTTTTATGATGATTGTATTAAATGAATGCATGTAGAATATCTAAACACTAACTTCTTATATCTTTTCAGCAGGTAGATGTCTTCTGTAGTTGAAATTCAAATTAAACATCCCCAACATTATATCTAATATTTTCGATCTTGGTAAGAAATTTGGAATATAATATAATCTTGAAGCTTCACCACCTTCAAAGATTCTAAAAGTGTTTAAACCAGATTTTTCCACTTGATCCAATACTCTTTTAGCGAAAATATCAGCAGGCATTCTTTTATGATTATTTTTATCTAAAGCTTGCTTTCTATTTTGGAAAATTTCAGTGTATTCATCAAAGTTATAAATGGAATCATCAGGAACAGTATTCATTGAATTGTTAAAGATATCAGTTTTAATCATCCCACCCAATACTTCAATGACTTTAACACCATAATTTCTAACTTCTAATTGTAATACCGAGATATATTGATCTAGGGCAGCTTTTGAAGAAACATATAATGAATTACAATGTAATGGTATATTCTTAGTGACAGAACCTGAAAAAATGATTGTACCTTTTGCATTTATGACCAATTTGATGAATTCTCTAGTCATTTTAATTGGACCAAATACATTAATGTCATATAGGTCTTGTAATTGTTCATCGGTAATGTCAGTTGAATGAACCGCAGTAACTATACCAGCGTTATTGTAAAGATAGTCTAATTTCCCATTTTCTTCAGCATCCACAACATCACGGATTTTTTTAATATCTTGGATATTACGAACATCTAAAGTATGTGTAATTATCCCTAGATCTTTAAAAGTTTGTAAGGTTGTATTGGAGAATTGATAATCAGTTGCATAGACTTTTACGCCCCTTTTATGGAATTCTAGGGCTAATGAATAACCAATACCAGAGTTTGTACCAGTGATCAAGGCGACTTTTGACATGGTTTTGATGAGTTAAAAGTTGAGTTAAAGTTGACGTGATGTAGGAGTTGGAGATAGTAATGAAAATTTTAGCTTAAACGGTTTTTTTTGGATTTGTTGGAGACCGCAACAATAGTGACGGCTGATTATATGATGATGAGTAAGGGAAGGGCTCAAAGCGTTTCTAGGAATTGGTGATGATTAGTTGTCTACTATTGAATTATGAGATATCAGATTGTTATTAAAGAGACAATAGCGTATTGCTCAAGGATGTCTATCAATTGAATAGCTAGTGTCCATGTTCCTGCTACAGCCGTTCATGGATTGACTGAGTTCATGGTTGTAGTCACGTGGTGATACTAGTCAATACACTTTAATACAATTAGATACACCTTATTCTATCACATTGCTCTAACTAATCTGAATGGCTATGCCCTTATCCAACTGATAACCAACTGATAAACTCTCTATTAAACGAACATTCGGTTTAATCAATCCAAGGCTACTTCCAACTTCGTATAGCCCTAGCCCTCGTTTAATGCACCTCGTTTAACTCTCTCGTTCCCTCGTTTAGACGTGCGCCACCCAACATTTTACAATTTTTTTTTGTTTTTAATTTTTTGATTTTTTTGAATTGCTCAAGAACGCGAATGTGAGGATTTCTATTTAACAACAAATTTGAACAGTTTTCGATAGCACAATCAATATTATCATCAATAGTTACAACCATTCAACATGAGGTGAGTGATACTAGACACACTAGGAATGACCTTTAACTAACACCAAACTATAGTAACGTCTTGATAAACTCCCCTATTCAGATAGTTCCAAATTCAACATTTTCTCAAAATTTCCAATCCCTAAGTTTACTAGATGCTTCTTCAAATTCATTAAGTTTAGTGGAAAAACTATGGGCTTCTTATTATCTATACATCAAAAATGATATCTTTGCCACCGGGTTATTGTTTTTCACCCTACATGAAATTATGTATTTTGGTCGTTGTTTACCATGGTATATAATTGATTGTATTCCATATTTCCAAAGATATAAAATTCAAGCTTCTAAAATCCCTTCAAATAAAGAACAATGGGAATGTTTAAAATCAGTCTTGATCTCCCATTTCCTAGTTGAAGCCTTCCCAATTTGGTTCTTCCATCCAGTTTGTAATTTAGTTGGTATAAGTTATCAAGTTCCATTCCCATCTTGGTCTTCAATTGCCTTACAAATCTTTGTGTTTTTCGCTTTTGAAGATTTATGGCATTATGCCTTCCATAGAGCTCTACATTATGGTGTTTTTTACAAATATATTCATAAACAACATCATCGTTATGCTGCTCCATTTGGGTTAGCTGCTGAATATGCTCATCCAATTGAAGTTGCCCTCTTGGGGTTAGGTACCGTGGGTATTCCAATTGCTTGGGCTGCAATCACTGGTGAATTACATTTATTCACCGTTTGTATTTGGATCACATTAAGATTATTCCAAGCTGTTGATGCTCATTCAGGTTATGAATTCCCATGGTCTTTACATCATTTCTTACCATTCTGGGCCGGTGCAGATCATCATGATTTACATCATCATTATTTCATTGGTAATTATGCTAGTTCTTTTAGATGGTGGGATTTCACCCTTGATACTGAAGCTGGTCCTGAAGCTAAAGTGGAAAGAGAGGAAAGAATGAAATTAAAAGCTGAACAAAAAAAACTGAAATAGAGAACGTTTCAAAACTGTTAAAATAGATATACACATTATACAGCATATAAATATTCATTAATTTTGAAACAATTTGTAAACTACATTTGACTTTCTTTTCATTAAAACTTAATTAAATGATGTCAATCAACACCAGAACCTATAAATTCTATAATACAATGGCTTAGCTGCCAATTTCTCAGCATGTAATTGTTGTTCTTGTTTTAATAAATCAACATCTGGATATCTTTTACAAGTATCTAAATCAATTTCATCTAATGGAATCCAAAATTTCTTGAAAAAAGTCCCCTTTATGATTCTATAACATGACCAAACAACAATCATTAAAGGTATACTTAAACAATTTTGGAAAAAAGTTTGCACACTTGCAGGACTTCCCAAGGGGAAAATTGAAATCCAAATCTCACCAATAATAACTAATAATAAGATTATCCCACCAATAATTGATCCATATATCCCTAAAGTTGCCTTATACCCTAATTCTTCAGTATTTCTACCTTGTTTATATAACGCCAATCTAAATCTAATATGACTTAAACAAATTGAAAACCATGTGAAAAATGCACTAATTGAACATAATGAAAATAACCAAGTGAAAACAATACTTTGTTTACTAGATGCAACAACAAAACATAATAACCCAATCAATGCACTAACAATAATACCAACTAAAGGTCTACCTTCATTATCAATATATGCAAATATCGAAGGTAATTGACCAGAAGCTCCAAGACTTTGAATAACTCTTGAAGATGCATAAACACATGAATTACCCACTGAAAGCACTGCAACTAAAATAACTGCATTCATAAAATGACTAACTTTAACACCCATTGAACCTGTATTACTTAGGGCAATAACAAACGGAGATGCCGTAATATCTTGTGATGTGGAACCTCCTAATAATCTTGGATCCGTTCTAGGAACAAGACATCCAATAACAACAATCGTGGTGATATAAAATAATGCAATTCTCCAAAAGACTTGCTTTGTTGCCCTTGTAACACTTGAAGCTTTTGAAGTTTCAATTGCAGAAATTAAAGTTAATTCAGTACCACCATAACTAAAACCTGCAGAGATTAAAGTTGAACAAATTGATTTTAAAGCAGGATGAGAAAAAGAACCAGGATCATGCCAATATTTAGCACCAATATATCCTGTAGAATTTGGTCCACCACCACAAATTAAAACAATACCAATAATAATGAAAATAATAATAGCCAAAACTTTAATAATTGATAGTATAAATTCAGATTCACCATAACCTTTAACACCAAACAAATTTAAAGTTACAATAAATGTCCAAAAAATCGCAACCCAAGCAACAGGATTAACATCTGACCAATATTTAATAGTCATTGAACAACCAATCAATTCACTAGGAAATGAAATCAACCAACTTAGTCCATAATTACTCGCAATGGTGAAACCTAAAGCAGGATCAACAAATCTACCAACATGAGATGCAAATGAACCACTGACAGGATACGCAACAGCCATTTCCGCAGCGGCCTGCATCACACAATAAATACCAAACCCAACTATACTAAACCCAATCAATGTTGCACCTGGGCCCTGAGATAATGAATAGCCCAACCCGATGAATAAACCTGTACCTAATGTCCCATCAATGGCAATCATTTGTAAATGTCTTCTTTTTAATGATTTTTTCAAAGGTTGGTTCGCAAGGATGTAGTTGACTTTATGGTATGGATCCATTTGATCAACTTCTGGAGGGATTGAAACTGTTCTTCTTTTGAATGAATGTTTGAAAGATTCAAAAGCTGATAGGTTTGAAGTGGAGTTGTTTGAAGAACTATGGATTGAGTCCTCATATTGGATTTGATCCTTTGTGGACTGGCCCTTTTCTAAAGAATCCATGGTTGAAGGGATGGTGCAGACCTGAAGGACTTGGATGGTGGTGTTAGAGAATGTGAAGGTATAAGGATTTTGGTGTTGATTTAAATCTTTCAACCTTTCTTTTTTTTTCGGTGTTCAAAAAAATTTTTTTGGCACAATCTTAAATATGATGCGATTTTCAACAGATTTTAAGAATGTTTACGAGTTTAATTATGTTTTGGAGATGGTTTAATTGAAGAATGTGTTGTTTATGTGGTTGGTTAAATAGAGGATTTGTAATTAATATGGACCTCCCTGTTTAAGCTTTCTCAGGGTGCTGAATCTGAGATAATTCCTGGTTGTTTTCACTAGTTGTGGCTTGGAGAGCCTTTAGCTGTCTCTTGAGTACCTGTCAAAGATACTTTCAACGTGGAAGAACACCAGGAAGTGTTCTGGCTCATTAAGCTTATCAGTAATGAATATACAACACTATCTTATCAGATAATAATAAAATAATACCCCATACAACCCAAGTGTAGCCGTTTGTATAGCGTTGAAAGTTTGAAAGAGCTTGACACTTTTGCAACAGGGCCACACCACAGAACGAATTCGCGAAGTCTTCAGAATTTAGAAAACACCAATTGGTGTAAGACTTAAGTGGTACAAGAAAGTACAGGTTCATTTTTGTAAACAAAACGGGCAGCCAAAATTCCATCTTCATTGTCTTCCGAAACCTGTTGCTTGAATCAAATTGATATGCCTTGATTTGAGCTGTGACCTAGACTTTGCGAAAGTGAAATGAGTAATTCAAGTTGCTGGTATTAGAGCTTTTATATGTCTTATGTGTCGACTCATATATGGTGACCATTTAAAGCTTTCTATATTAGCAAATGCACAGAGTAATGAATCCATAATTTGTTCCTTAGACCTTCAATTGTCAATTGTTCAAATTGTCATTCCTCAATAGAGTTTCAAATTTCAATAAATATTCACTTGTCAAACCTTTATTTAGTCTTCACAGATTGATGAGTTTTGTTCAAATGGATACACAGTTTTTTCAGATATATCAAACTAGCTTGTAGGAAAAACTAATATATAGCGCTCTGAACCCGTGTAACGTTGGTATGTTGTTTCGCTTTACAATAACGCTGAGGATCTTAAATTGATCTCTAGCCTCTACTATACCTAGCTATATTATTGACAGGCTTAAAATCCCGAATAAGTACGCTAAAATTAACCAAAAGGCTGATTTATCTACAGCCGTGATCAAATATTCACACCTAGATAGAGGAACAGATAGTTTAGAAGTACCACCATATGATATCTTTGATTGATTTACTGGTGTAAATTCAAACGGTTGCAGAGACATCAAAACATCCGGCATTTGGTGACTAATTGCTTTAAACTTTACACATCATATCTTGAGCAAGTTTCATTCACCGAGCAACAACAATAAAGCAATTACAGCCAGAGCATTCAAAAGATCTTTCCGAATGCACCATGGGAAGATACTATATCCATCAACAACTCTAGTCAAACAAGCTGATGATACGGTATTGTTGGTGCTGTTGACAAGGCTAGGTTTCCTTGTTGCGATGTGTCCGAGATTCCAAGAGTCTTGATTGTTAGTGATTATTTGTACGGGATCATTTGGATTTAGTGGAGGCAATGTCAATGGCTTGGAGACTGGGGCAGAGTGATGATATATAAAGACAAGTGGTATTCCACTGAGATGCTCTTCTGCTATCACCACCATCATCACCAGATCTTGTTGCCATCATGCTCCCGCCATCTTACAGACAAGCCACAAATGAACAACTACCGTCTTACAAACCAACTCTACTCCATCATGATATCGTTCTACTCAAGAAAGAACTATCTTCTCCATTTGACGTGGCTAAAGACAGAAGCTGGGATCTAGCCATAGTGGAAATCAACTCTACTCAGTTGAACCTCTACAAACTCAAGAACCTAAGCAACATATATCAATACATTTGGAAACTCATTGATAATGAAAACTCAATAGATCATAAACATGAAATCAAAAAGAAAGTGATTACTCAAGATACCCATTTATCATCATCATCATCATCATCATCTTTTTCAAACAAATCTCTAATGGAGTTCTTATTGGTGAACAATTCTCATACTATTCCTTATGAAATCATAAAGCATTACACGGGCGCTAAAATCCATTCATATACATTACAAACGTGTCATATAGGTTCCGCTACAGATTATCATAAAAAGAATTATACACTAAGAGTAAGGATTGAATTACATCAATTCTTGTTATCATTCATCAATATCAACAAATTTAATAGATTCTTCAATAATGTATTGATCGGAATTGATTTATCAAAACCTTTGGATGAAAGAACTTTACCAAAAGAGAAAACTGTGCCAAATGAGATATCAAGATTCAGAGTACAAAACTTTGAAAACTTTTATATTAAGAACTGTATCAATTCAGATCATGGCTTGGCAACTTATAGAAGAAATACCATTGACCATACTGGTTTATTAAACAGAGAAGAGTTAAAGTTTCAAATGGAATTGGCAAAGACCCGTGGAAGATCAAATTCTCTTCCATTATCAAGCACTTCTTCTTCATCTGCATTGATTTCAGATAGTGAAAGTTATATTGGATCTCCTCCAGATTATAAATATTCACCAGAAGATCCAGCAAATGAATTCATTGATGAGAATTTGATATATTCATTAACTTGTATGAAACCATTGGAAGCTAAGAATGATTGGAAAGGTTCAATGATTATAACAGGGAATTATAAATCAAAGTCATTATCAAAGTTCAAATCTAAAAAGTCAAGTAACTTTGGAGATAAATTATTTGTGGATAATACTAGTTGTAACAAGTTTAGTAAGATTGTTTTGGATCAAGGATTGAGTTGTAAAGAGTTTATAGTACTCGCAGATGGATTAGTTGAATCTGTGATATAAAGATAGTATAATGATTAGCATATATATTTATTGCATTATTTATTCTTGTAAAATCGATGGAAAGTACTCTTCTGGCTATTATGATTACCATTAAATTACATAATCAGATATCATATTGTAATGACCCGTTTAGCGTTGGCAGATTCATTTAAACTTTTGCTTGCTCATGAATCAAAAAATTTAGTGCCATGAACATAAACAATCAGCAACATAGCAAAAGGCCAAATTAAATAACGCGCTTAAACACAAGCGCTAGAATCTAGTTCAACAAATCGAATCGGATATTGTCTCAATTACAGAGGTTTTTTTGATCTTCCTGCTGTTAAATTTCATCAAGGAAAAGTCGGTAATTCATGGGCTCGAATTAAAATGGTTATGATTGCGCTTGATTAGGATGTGTATTTAACCACACCCCATAAAATTAAAGGACACATACAGCAAATTGATTATGGTACCATATGGCTTCAATTATATGTGCTCTTAGTGGATATTCAGCAATCATGAAGGGACAGTCAAGTTTTAACTATAAAAAGGGTTCAATAATCTCTCTCGTTTTCTTGGTGATATTTGGTAGCCACATTATTATCATATCATAGTAATTAATCAAATTCAAATATGGCAGAAACAGTTACAATCAAATTCCCAACAGGGGAAAGTTATAAACAACCAACTGGTATCTTTATCAACAATAAATTTCAACCAGCTCGTTCTGGTGATACTTCAGAAGTTGTGAATCCTGCTACTGAAGAAGTCATTACAAAAGTTGCCAAAGGTAATAAAGATGATGTGAATGAAGCTGTTGATGCTGCCGAAAAAGCATTTGAAACTTGGTCTCAAACCGCTCCTTATGAAAGATCTTTAAAATTGTTAAAATTGGCTGATTTAATTGAACAAAATGCTGATACTATTGCTAAAATTGAGACACTAAATAATGGTAAAGCTCTAATCTGGGCTAAATCAGATGTCCAACTATTAATCAGATGTTTTAGATCAACAGCTGGTGCTTATGATAAAATTGAAGGTCGTACCATTGACACTCAAGATGGTTATTTCACCTATACGAAAAAAGAACCATTAGGTGTTTGTGGTCAAATCATTCCATGGAATTTCCCAATCTTGATGTGGGCTTGGAAAATTGGTCCAGCTGTTATTACTGGTAATACAGTTGTTTTGAAACCTGCAAGTGCAACTCCTCTAAGCGCTTTGTTTTGCTCACAATTGATTGCTGATGCAGGATTCCCTCCAGGTGTCATTAATACTTTGATTGGTTCTGGTAGAGATGCTGGTGATACCATGTTGAGACATCCAAAGATTAGAAAGACTGCATTCACTGGTTCTACAGCTATTGGTCGTGAAATTTTAATTTCCTCTGGTGAATCAAACTTGAAAAAAATTAGTGTTGAATTGGGTGGTAAATCTCCAAACATTGTCTTCAATGACGTGGAGGATCGTATTGATGAAGTTGTTGATGCTTTAATTATGGGTATCTTTTATAACAATGGTGAAGTTTGTTGTGCAGGTTCAAGAATTTATATCCAAAGTGGTATTTATGATAAAGTTGTGAAAAAATTGAAGGAAAAGACTGAAGCTATTAAAGTTGGTGATCCTTTTGAAGAAGGTGTTTTCCATGGTGCTCAAGCTTTAAAATCACAATTTGATACTGTTTTAGAATACATTGAAAAAGGTAAAAAAGAAGGTGCAAAACTTCTAACTGGTGGTGAAAGAGTTGGTAATAAAGGTTTCTTCATTCAACCAACAATCTTTGAAACTTCAAGTGAAGACTACTCAATTGTCAAGGAAGAAATCTTTGGTCCTGTTGCAACTATTGGTAAATTTACAACCGCTGACGAAGCTATCAAAAAAGCCAACGATTCTGAATATGGTTTAGCCTCTGGTGTCCATACTAATGATTTACATGTTGCTTTGGAAGTTTCTAATCGTTTACAGGCTGGTACAGTTTGGGTTAACACTTACAATGACTTACAAGAATCAACTCCATTTGGTGGTTACAAACAAAGTGGGTTTGGTAGAGAAATGGGTATTGAAGTTTTTGATAACTATACTCAAGTCAAAGCTGTTCGTATGAAATACCATCACAAGACTGCTTTGTCTGAAGGTAAAAAATAATTAACTGGTTTAATTTAGTTACGATTTGCTTGAATATATTGATTTTAACTTGATTTTGAGATATGCACTCATTGTAGCGTCTATTGATTAGTTAGCACTAGCTTTCTATTTAATTTAAAATATTGTTCAATATCCTCTTGAGAATCATAACTTAAATAATCATCAAACCATTGTTTTAATTTTCTATCTTCACCTATCTTACCAACAGCGAAACTGAACCAATTTAAAACTTCAGCCCTCTCAGCATTGGCCAACAATAAAGTGTTTAAATAAATTAACCAAAAATCTAATGATTCATTAAACTTCCCATTTTCATTCAAGCTTTGCAATAATTTCACATCTATCGTAATATTTTTGAAACTTGTTAGATGCTTTAAAAGAACATTGGCTATCTTCACAGGTTTTTCTTGTATTAAATTGATGACAAAGTTTTTAAATTTTGTTAAATTTTCATGACTTATAATGTATTCTAAATTGATTAATTCCAAAAAAAGTTCTATATTTGTTTCATTGACACTCAAAACCGTTACTAGCAAATCTTTTGCCTTGATATAGTTCTTTAAAGCACACTCAATTTTGACTAGCTTGGTTTGAATCTGGATAGCATTTGTTTTGTTCATGAAAATCAAAGACTTGTATAAAAGGTTTTTAGCATTTTGGAACTGGGATAAACCAATGAAATAATTAGCATATTTTAACCATATTGTTGGATAGTTTGCTAATGGGATCAATGCCCTTTCGTAAAGTTGTTCAATTTGTTTTGGAGACCCGTTCAATTCAATAAAAGAGATGTATTGTTCCCAGTTTGTTAATTCTTGAAAAGATCTGTAAAAATTTGGTACATAATATTCTAATGTGATGTTCTTTTCAAACTGATATAGTTCAAATGATCTGAATTGTGTAGTGATGTATAAATCTGTGTAGGTTTTCTTTAGTTTAGCCTTCAAGTCATGATAATCCAGTTTTTTCAAATCTTTCTTATCTAGACTGACTTTGAATTTTTTGACGATATCTTGTTCATCAACTAGCTTCAGCACATTTTCATGATTCAAGTTTTCAATTTCATTGAGCCATGCTTTGAAAAAGATTGCAAAATTGTAAATCGGTAATTCAATTATTTTCCTCAAAATGTTGAAGTAAAATAGCGATTTTCCATTAAATTTTTCTTCAAACTCCAAAAATTCAGACCAAAATTCATAACTATGATAATGATAACCTATTTTGGATTCAGCTGATTGGAAAAACCATACCAACTTCTCATAGTCCAATTCAACTTTCCTCAAGAATCTCAAGTACTGTATCCATATCAAAAGAGAATAAGGATTACTATTCAAACCACGTTGATAAACGTCTCTGGCTAGCTCTGTATTACCTAGCTTGAATTCTAGTTCAGCATAATTCACCCAGTACTGCTCCAGTATAGGGAATCTGAATAGGAATTGATCATATGAGATTCTAAAACTATTGATTTTTGGAGTTGGTGTTATTTTCGATAGATCTTTTGAAACGTAATTTATAAGCGCTTCCCAATGTGGAACATTATCAGGCTCATTGGCAACCTGCAACGAAAGCTTCGACCACTCTTCATCCACAAAACTCATTTTCGTAACACTTGAACTCTGAGTACCTAATTGAAATTGGTTTGTTGTACATTGGAAGTTCGTCTGTTTACTTTGAAACTTTTCTCGAAAATCACAAAATATTACATAATCACCATACAAAATTTTGAGCTTGATAGTGGAAAGGACATACAGAGGCCAAATTAACTTCAATAACATTTATTTATGAAAGGAAAGACTAGAGTTGGTTGTATAAAAAAACATTAGCAAGTATTAAAGAATTCAAGAAGATTAATCAATCATTAATCAGCAAGATGGGGGGCCAAAATAGCATCAAATATCTAATTCTGGTTTCAATAAAAGGAATGGAGGCCTAAGCTCAAATATTAAAATAGGTAATACTAAAGGTCCCTTGATTATTATGGGATACTCAAATGAAATGGAAAACGTCCGTAGAACTGAATTTAAAGCAACAAAACAAATATTATGAAACAACAATTAGCGAAGCCAAGATCAAAAACACCTAAGAAACCTCAAATTCTATTGGAAGGTTCACTGGATCTTTGTTTACCGGCATGTGCAACAGCAGCAGCAGCGGCAGCAGAAGCAGAAGAAGCAACTCTTTGACTTGGATGACGGATTGCACCAGCGCTATATGGTTTACTCTTGAACTCAGTATCAATCGGACTTGGATTAGCTGATGATGGTGTAGATTTTGGTGAAATGAAACCAGATGCAATGTTATAAGGTGATGAGAAACCATTGTCATTTTGCATTATTGGTGTCATTTCAGAAGTTGTTGCTGTAGTATTTGGTGAATGTGCTGGGATGTTAGAATCAAATGAACCTGAATCTGGTGAAATAGATGAAGTACCCGAAACATCATTCAATGAACCATTTGGTGCCAATTTTCCTGCTTGATGTTGTGGTTGGTTCAATTGTTCTTGAGTTTGCCTATAAGCATCCTCTCTCTTTTTAGCATTTTCTCTGGCTTGAACCAATAAGGCTTGAGCTTTTTGTAACGAAACAGTAGGTGTTGCACACGAACTCAAAATTGGAACTGATTCATCAATATCGATAGTCGCTTTTATAAGAGCAGCCATCCATGTTCTCATTTCTTCTTTAGATTCAACAGCAAAATAATGAATTTTTGGTTGAGTAAAAGTTAAACCTTTTCTTGAACCTGGAGCTGGAGGAACCAATTTGAAACAGAATTTACCATGCCCAGTACTAGCAGCATACAATGACACAAACTTATCATCATCCTTAGCAGGTAAAACTTTATGAGAAGTTATATCAATCAACCCACGTTCTCTAGTATCACTTAATGATGTAAAATATGATAATCTTGTACCATGTAAGGTGAAATATCTTTGTTTCCATGTACCGACGGCAATACCACCTCTTTTACTCATCCAACCAAAACAATCAGCAGTCTTTATAGAATCAGCTGGATTGGTGTTCCTTATACCTTCCATGAAAGCAGATGTATCCTTTTTAGTATTTCTTGATCTCAAAGTTGTTGATGAGGAAATATTACGTAGAGTTTTAGCTCTGACAGCTTCTGAAACAGATCTTTTACCAGCTGGTGATTTGGCAGGTGATTCCTCCTTATCAGCCTCTTTTGCTGACACAGATCTTCTTTTCTTATCTGGAGCTTGTAACTGTGGTGTACTTTGTAGTTGAGGAGTCATTTGAGCGTCTTGAGAACGGAATCCATTTCTTGATGGACTCACTGCACCATCAGTGTTGATGACTGAGTTTCTTCTTGTAGGTGATTTTCTTGTTGGAGAAATAGAACCTCCATTATTGAAATTAGCATTTGATAAGAATGAAAAAACAGACGAATGACGACGGTGCGCACGTTCTTCCTTGGAAGCTTTTGTTGAATTAGCAACACTGATGTCAGAAGCACCTCTGATATGACCTCTTCTGAAATTGGCACTTGAAGTTCTTGAATGTTGAGGTTCTGGCATATATATGCTTGAAGCTGGACGACCATTATCAAGATGTGTAGTGCTTAACAAATCACTAACTGATTGACTCTTAAAGTTTGCTGAGTTATTTCTTGAATGGTTTCCACTTCTTGGTACTTGATAAGCAGTATTGACTTCATAAGAAGGTTTTCTTGAATGACTCAACTCAATGTATGAGTTTCTACTTGTTCTGTTCACAGTTGGTGTCAAATGGTTGGAGTTGTTATCTTCTTTCAATTGTATTGGACTTGGGTATGAAGGTGGATTTGGTGCTCTTCTTGGAGATGCGAATTGTTGTTGAATAACTGGAAGATCTGGAACCTGTGATGACGGAGGATGAACAGATAGTGGTCTTAGTGGATGACGATTATCTTGCTGCTGCTGTTGTCTAGTGACTTCTGGGATATCATCTAACGATTGTGATTTCTTTCTTGCATGACCCAGTGGACGAGTGAATACATCATAGTCATCATCTAATTGATTGGTTTTTGACACATTTCTGGAACTGTGCAATTCTGCAGGGGCTAACAATCTATAAGGACTATCTTCAGCCGAACTTTGATCTATTTCTTTTTGTTTAGCCAGCTCTTTCAAAGCTTCAATCTCTTTAAACATCTCAAATCTTGTTCCAAATGATGAAATATCCAATTCTTTCAAGTATGCCAACTCCAATTCCAACAAAATAGCACCTGTAATTTTATGTCTTGCAAATTGACCTGCAGAGTTCACGTCAAAGCCCAGATATGAAAAATAAGCAGTAACTTGTTCAGGAGACCAGGATTCCACTAACTCAGGGTTTAAAGAATCTTCAGATTGGATACTAAATGATCTATGTTTATCTTTGCCATTTGCACCAGCACCAAACCCACTGCTATTGACATCATTGTTTGGATTCGGCGAAGCTTCACTTCTTAATTCTTCTAATGCCTTGTCAATATCAGATAATGCTCTTGTTACAGAGTTTGGTTTTTTATGGTCTATTGTTTCCTTTGTTGTTTCAGTCGCCTCTTCTGGAATAAACTGACGTTGCGTTTTAACTGTAGCTGGAGTGTTAGCAGCACTTGATGTTGGAAGTGAAACAGGTGACTGATTGTTTGAGTTTGGACTAGCTATTCTTCTGGATCTTGATCTTAATAACGTTGGTCTTGATAAACTTGGGATTAGTTGTGTGAAGGATTTTGGATATAAACCAACAGACCCTGTACTTAGAGATTTCCCCATATACCAACCATCATTATACTCTTTATCATCTGAGATGACTTCAATCTTGTCACCGACTTTTAAAGTAAGCTCGTCTTCTAATCTAGCATTGAATTCTTTGATGACTTGATAGATGGCGCCTGTTGCGTTCTCCTCTAGATTTGTTGTCTTTATGGAGGGCAGTTGTTGTCTGAGCTCGTTGGAAGACATGTTTGTGTGAGATATGAATTAGCGCTTGCTAGTCTGTGGTCATCAAACGGTATCTAAAGCTTGACTATAGTACACTTGGTGATTCAGAACTTGGTGTTAGCGATGTGTTCAAATGGTGTCTTTACGCTATTTGTTGTTGTTTTCTTATGCCACTTTTAAAAAAGACTGAAACTGAGAAAAAAAATGAAATGGTGCTGCGCATACCGGAAAGTGCTGGCCGCAAACCGGAATTTTGGTCTGGACTTTTCCAAATTTTCACCAGAAAATGCACCGCCGTTTCGCGCTACAAGATCTCGCCTAGATCTAAGACAAGCTACAATAGACTCTAGCACAGGAACAAAATACACTAAACTATAGAAATCATAACCACCCATTAAGCTCATCATCAAACACCGATAAAAATAGAAAAAAATAACAACCATTACATATAAAAAAGACTAACGTACTCCGCGTTCTTGGTTTTGTTGAGCCCTTTCCATTCCATACAGGACTAATTACTCCCAAAAAAATCACACAACTAGACTCACGAAAGTGCAGCAGCTGCAGCAGCTTCCTCCTCTTCTCTTTGCTTCTTAATATCATCAATAGATCCAAGAACAGTTTCATGCTTACGCAACTCTAGCAATCTCTCTTGTCTAGTCAATTGTCTAGTACCTTGACCAGACTTGACTTCTAATTCTCTCTTCTTTTGTCTAATCAAATCCTCTTCCTTAGCTTTTTCTCTAGCTATACTCAATTCCTTCAAGTTTTCTTCATGATCTTTCTTCAGCTGTTCAAGTTTAGTATTGAAATCATTCAATGTACCAAAAGTCTTGTTAGCATCTGAACAATATGATTCAAAATCAAAATTACCGTTCAATTTGTTATTTAAAGCCAGATCAACTAATCTTGGTCTCTTTTTCTCTTCTAATATGAATTTAGCCTTAACTTGTCTTCTTGTTCTATGTGGGAACATTTGTGCAATCAAACCAAAATCAGTACCCCATTGACCTAATGCTCTATAAAATTTCAGTACCTCATTTTCATCCCATTTATCTGTATATCTTTGTTTCCCATATGACGCAGAATTAACGACATTTTCAAATGGGTTTTGATTGTACCTTTCTCTAGTGTCATTATCAATATTAACATGTCTATCTATCAGTCTTGAATCTTCATCAACAATAAGATTACCATCTGCACCAACTTTCAATTGAATAGCTGCATTGGAGCTTGAGGCTACTTTTTGCTCCTCTTCAGGTTCACCATCTTGTCCTTCACCTTCTTCACCTTCCTTTTTCGTTTCCTTTTTCACACTATCTTTATCAGTCAAACTTTCTAATGAAACTCTATTCTCCTTGGCCAATCTTCTTAATTCTCTCTTTTCTTTTCTTTGTTTCATTTTACTCTTACGAGCTTCTTGAGCTTGATGGAAATTTGATGAAACTTTACCAATTGGTAATGTAGGTTTACAAAGATCTTGAATAGTGAACGATTCTTCATCAATAGTGATATGTTGAGACAGCTCAGGATTTATTGAACTGAAATTTCTAGAAAATTGATCATATTTCTTTGCTTGGAATGATGTAAGGATTTCAAAACCTGGTGTTTTATCCTTTGGATCATACATAATCTTTCTCAGCTGTTGAGTTTCCTCATCAAAATATAAACCTTCAGTCATTCTACCCGTATCTTCATCATTAGTGTGTGATGGTGCTTGTGGTGCAGGAGATGAGGCAACAGTATCATCTTCTGGTGCTTTACCTTCAGCTTTTGACAAAGTAGGTGCTGTGAATGGTCTTCTTATGATTGGGATACCTATAGGCATTGGTGATTGTTCTTTTGAGGCATTATTATCAACAGCAGGTCTTGATGCTTCAGGTGCACTAACAGGACGTGATTGTTGTTCAACTGGAGTTTCAGATGACTTTTGACTTTTTGAACCATCTTGTGCAGTCGATGGAAGACTTGATGGCAGAGTTGATGGAATCGGAAGTGAACTTGTAAATGGGTCTTGACTTGAAGATGTTGGGGATAATGGTTCATCAGTTTCACCTTTATCTTTGGATGTTGTTTCAATAGTGGTTGGTCTTGAAACTTGTGGTTTTTCAACTGGAGCTTCCTTCTCTGAAACTTTTTGTAAAATAGGTGGAGGTGGTACAGAACTTGCAGCAGATGGTGTAGCAGTACCAGCAGCAGAAGCGGGAGGAGTAGCCCCAGGCACTTCACTAACAGATTTTCTTTTCAAAGCAGACCCACGTCTACTTTGACTAACTGTACTTCTTCTTCTCTTGACAGGTGCTGGTGGTTGAGGAATACCAATGATATGAGTTTTTCTATCAGCATTACTCGAACTAGTAGCATCATGCGTATATCCATTCTGTACGGAAACTTTCTTAAAGATGTCTCTATTCGATATATTGCTCAGAGTTGATAATCTTCTTTGCTTTGTTTCTTGAGGTTTTGGCATTTCAATTGTACTCGGTTTTAATAATGGGCCATCATCTTCATCATCGTCATCTGAATTTTCATCATCATCCTCTTTTCCCGCTCTGTTATTTGTATCTTCAAAACTAGCATCTATTGATCTTCTTGATGTATCAGGGGTTGGTGTAACACTTGGCCTTCTACTAGCAATTGGTGTTCCTGTTGTAGAACGACGTTGTTTAGCTTTTGGTGCAAATCTAACACCACTCTTGTCTAAAAAAAAAAAGCAAGTTAGTACTAGGTTCTTTGGTTGGCGTAGCTGAGCTTTATAATCAATACTTACTGACAATACTACTCATAGCTCTTGAATATTGATGACTTCTACCACGGGTTAATACTAATGAGTTAAATTTTTAGAAAAGAAAACAAATGTAAAATCAAGTCAAAAAAAAATAAAAAAAAATAATACTCCATGATTACATAATAATCATATTGAAACGAATTTTTTTAAGGGCAAGAACAAAGTACTACAATTGAGGGTCAATGAGGATGATATATGCATTTAGGTGAATAAATAAGAGTGTGAATTATTAGGGTTCCGGGTCAGCAACAGACCCAAAGCGTTCATACTGATTGGAACAATGAGCTTGTTTAACCTCATCTCTATCTCCTATCTCTGTTCTGATAACATTTAACATATTGATGATGATGAGCAGTCACCTTTACTACTTCTGATTGACACTATACCGATTCTCTATTTTTTATCAAATAACTTTTTTCTAATTTCCGCTCGTAGTTTTTCCAAGTGTGCTAATCTTAAATCAGTTTCCTGTTCTAATGTTAGTAAAACATCTCCCACTAAATTCTGATAGCACTAAACTTACCGGAAATATTAAAACCAATCTATCAAGATCTTTGACAATTATAGCAAGGTAATAAATGAATTGTAAACCATAAGCACCTTCATTTATAACAACATCAATAACTTGTTCACTTGATATGAATTTATGTTGAACACTATTATGAAATATACCACTTGTTTCCTTCACTTCAATTCCTAGAGATTTATTTACAGAGACTGATTTTGCTAGATTAAACGAGTTAGTTAATGGACTTTTTTGTTGGCTATGTGGGTTACTCACTTTGATTGATTTTGATGGAGTTGAAAATCACAATTGATCCAATAATAACTAAAAAGCTATATATTCTGTAAGGGAATGAAGGGGTAATAGAGAGGAGCAATGCAGTAATCAACAGCACTAAAGCTTTTAAAATGATTGGAGTTTTGTTATTATGGTGGTAGACATATTTTAGTTGATTTTCATTGTCACAGACCTTGACAAGGTTGGGACAAGAATTGTTCATTATTTTGTGGGATTTCCTTATTGAGCGAGGTTTAAATTATGATTACTAGCCATAAATAACCATCTTATGCTTGAACAATCTCTCTTCAGAACGTTTGCAATTCTTTTCAGTATACAAATCTATTTGACAGTTAAAGATATTTTCGCGAATTCTATACATAAGAGGTTGCCCTGACAAAAGAGGTCACATGACTATCCTAAACTGGTATATATCCTAATTTGGCCATTTATACTCATTTTTTGTGATTTCTCTTTCAAAATATTTACACCCAAATTTTGCCTGAAATCTTCGAATAAGCTCGAGTTTTTAACTAAGCACGGTAAAATAAACCAATGGGAGAGATGGAAAACTCTTATTACAAAGGATCAGGTAGAAACTATGCAACAGCAGACACAAAAAAGAAAGTCTGAAGATGTTGATAAAAATTAAGACACATAAAAGTACCACCCATATTAAATTACGAGTGCATTTGTAGCAGAGCATACAGTGTCAATCTGTTGTATGGGGAATGGAGTAGTGGTTGATTGATTCCTTTCTAATCAAAGATGAGTCTGGCTGAACAATAAGATCAGAGCATAAAAGCAAACGAGCTCCAGCTCTCAATTCCTCGAGGAATTAGTAAACTTTAGTCCTCTAGACACAGGAATTTAAACACAGCACAACGTAGCCTCGATCAACATTATCATCCACCTAATAACACTTCCTCATCACCATCAAACGAATCCATACGAATTTGTCTAATCTGGACCTGTTCAAGTCCACTCTGTGTCAAATCGCTGACAATTTTCAGTCTTCTGATTGGATTTGCTGGAAACGGTCGAGAGCATAACTTGTCCCGAAACAGTTAAAAAGTCCAAGGGACACTCGACAGAAATGCCGTCAAAACTACAATTTCCACTATACAAACACCATATAAAAACCTGATTTATGATAACTAGACATCCCAATTAACACTATATCATTTTCTCCCACTCAATTCCCCCTATTATAACCCATTTCCCACCCTTTTCCTCTCTAAATCCTGGCTCCATTTTGTCCCGTCTGTGCTGGCCCTACCGCATTTCTCTGGCCATTTAAAATCCAGTGAAAAAAATCAAATCCGCCAAAAAGAAAAAAAATAAAACAGTCAAAGGACCTGGAAACAACACTATTACAAAAATTTTAATCGGTTTAAATACCTTGACTTTTGGCTACTTTTCTTAACACAATCTGTTGATAGTGGAGAGTTGTTTTGATTGTTATCATCTTCAAGTATTCATACTGGAAAACAAACATTTCAACAATAATCGCATATTTGCTACCTGAACGAGATTTTCCCAATTAAACTCCAAAAACCTTTTTTTCCATCATTTATAAACTGAAATCAGTGCTTTCCCAAAAAAGTTTCATCAACTGTTTTCAATACATCAATACTGGAATTTTTCTAATTTGCTCGACATTAGAAACCCATCATTTCAATATTCACTTTTATTTGTTTGTTTCAAGCTTTCAAAGTCCTTTAGGTTGTTTCTTTTTTGCAGACCCCTAAGCGAACAACAACAACATCAATTTTACAACTTGTCATTGAAAAACCACAATTCAATTGGGTCTTTCTTTACTCCTTGACATTAGTTCAACTTCAAACCTCATTAATATAATATCATTCATAAACAATGTTATCTTCACCAATACAACATATTGATTCCTCTGCAAAATTACAATTCAATTTCGGACCGTCATCATCAAATTTTAGAAAAATGTCTGTACCAAAAACTCATGCAAATGATAAAAACTCCTCAGTCATAGTGGATGATTATTCTCCAAATAAATCAACTCCAATTGTTGCTACAGATTCTCGTGTTCCTTATGTTCCTGATCAAATTTTCATTGGTGGTCGTAAATCAAAATTAGCTGTTGCTCAAAGTGAAATTGTTAAATCCAAAATAAAGGAAAATTTCCCTTCAATCTCATGTCCAATTTTGGCTTTAACTACATTAGGTGATCAAGTTCAAAATAAACCATTATATTCATTTGGTGGTAAATCTTTATGGACTAAAGAATTGGAAATCTTATTATTACAAGATATGGGTGAATATCATCAATTAGATTTGATTGTCCACTCATTAAAAGATATGCCAACCAATTTACCAGAAGAATTTGAATTGGGTTGTATTATTAAAAGAGAAGATCCTTCAGATGCTGTCTTGATGGCTAAGAATTCCCCTTATAAATCTTTACAAGAATTACCTTCAGGTTCAGTTGTTGGTACTTCATCAGTTAGAAGATCTGCTCAATTAAAGAAAAACTTCCCTCATTTAATCTTTGAAAGTATTCGTGGGAATTTACAAACAAGAATTTCAAAATTAGATGATGATTCAACAGATTTCAAATGTATTATATTGGCAACTGCTGGTTTAACAAGAGTCGGTTTAGAACACCGTATCACCCAACGTTTAGATGCTTCATTAATGTATCATGCAGTTGGTCAAGGTGCCTTGGGTATAGAGATTAGAAATAATGATGCTATTATCAAACCAATTTTGAAAACTATTGAAGATGTTAATGCAACCATTTGTTGTTATGCTGAACGTGCCTTAATGAGAACTTTAGAAGGTGGTTGTTCAGTTCCAATTGGTGTTTGGACCACTTATGATGATGAAACTAAAATGTTGAATTTGAAAGCTTTAGTTATTTCAGTTGATGGTCAAAAACATGTTGAAGATGAAATTACATTGAAAATTGATGATTATAAAAAAGATTCAGCTACATGTGGTGAAGTATTAGCTAGAAAATTGATTGATTTAGGTGCTAAAGAAATTCTTGATGAAATCAATTTTGATAAAATTAATGAAAAAGATGAATAAAGAAGTCACCATCACCAATATTTCTCCACAACGACCACAAATTTCATGATTATGACAAAACTATCCAAATTTTATGATTACCATTTTTTTTTTCAACCTCATTATTATGCACATTTAAAATTAAGAGAGCTTTAGGTTTATTGTTTATAAAAAACATAGCTCAGTCACTATTGCATTATTAATTTCACCCATTTCATATCATATGGCTAATTCTTACGATTTATGTCCAAAACAAAGCAATTTTTCCACATCACTATTTCATTTATTATACCTTCTTCACTTGATGTCTCAAAGAAGATCAGTTCGGGAGCCATGCGTTTGTTTTCTTGTTTAAAAGTTATGTTTTGATTGAATTTCACCCAATCTTTGTATATAGATCCCCATGGTGAAATCCAAGAAACAAGAGAATTAACAAGAGAAGCAGAAAACAACTCCTATTAATTTTAATTAACGTGTACACTATAGAATTAAAAGAAAGATATTTAAATTGATTATTCCATTTGTAGTTGACTGAAAAGTTTATTATGGTGTTGCGCCTATCTAAAAAATGGCGTACCTCGAAAAAAAAAATTGTGTAAGCTCAAGATCTACTAAACAACATTCAAAAACAACATCAATGTCGCTCACTGATAAACCAGCTCGTGTTCAAGTGGACCCAGAGACAATCCCACAAGATGATGCTCCACCTCAAACGGGTACCGTCTTCAATATTTGGTATAACAAATGGTCTGGTGGTGGAAATCAATTCCAATTAGTCAAATCCAAATATAAACTAAATGTTGAAAAGGATTCAGGTTATACAAGAGCTAATAAAATTGATGGACAGAAATATTTTTGTCTATTCTTTGCTAAAGGAATGTGTACAAAAGGTAGAAAGTGTGAATACTTGCATAGAATTCCTAATGATTTGGATTTTTTCCCACAAACTGTTGATTGTTTTGGCCGTGAAAAATTTAGTGAATATAGAGATGATATGAGTGGGATTGGTTCTTTCAATACAGTTAACAAGACCCTATACATTGGTGGGTTAATAATTAAGGATAATACCCAGGATCTGTTGAATAAAGAGTTTAGAAAATTAGGGAAAATTGCAAAGATAAATGTGATAAATAATAAAAATTGTGGGTTTATAACTTTTAAAAATGAATCAAGCGCACAATTTGCTAAAGAAGCAATGTTTGGCCAAAGTTTATACGGAACAGATATTCTCAATATTAAATGGGCAAATGAAGATCCAAACCCAGCAGCTATAAAGGCGAAAAAAAGACAACATGAAGAAGAAACTCAACAAGTTGTTGAACAATTACTGCAGAAATTCGATCAAAAAAGAGCAAAATTAGAGAACGATGCTGAACCAACAGTGGAAGAACCTGAAGAACCTGAAGCCCCAGAGAAAGCACAACCAGAAGTTAAACAATTAGAGGCACCACCGCCAGTGAATACATTGTTGAATAATGATTCATTAAGTTTTTTGAAATTGTTAGGTTCTGGTTCTATCAAGAAGCCTGAAGGATCAGTTGAAAAAGCTAAACCACTCGTTTCTGGTTATGAAAGTAGTGACGATGAAGATGATTGAACTTGATGAATTGTTGGTTGAGGCAAATATCAACAACTATTAGGCGGTTTGAAAAGGAACTAGGTCAACTAATGATTTGAACCTGATTGGTTTGACTACAATTACTCAAACTTATCAGAACTAGTCCACCCAACAAGCTGACTCACGACATTACAAGCACAGAGAGTGCTTGACTGTGTCAATAGAGAGCTCTGTCGTTGAAAAGGGGATGCAAGATCAAGGGTACTCGACGCCTCCAAAATTGATAAAAGCTTCATATGATAACCTTTTAGATAGTGGTTATAATGAACACCAAGCCTGAAATTTCAATATAGTAGATGACCAAATATCAAGTACAACTTTTTGAGTGAAAAGTATTCATACCTTATGTAAATTTCTACAGACAAAGACAAATCTCAAGATGGGTATCTATAACATATCTGTAGTGCATTTACTGTAAACTATTATAAAATGTTTTGAACTTTATCATTAATCTTTTTGAACTCCTCAGGTAATTTATTCCCACTCTTTGACACCAATTTTTTCAAGTCTCCATAAATCTCTGAATCAGCTTCATCACTAAGGAAAGTTATTGAAGTACCATATGAGCCAGCTCTACCAGTTCTACCAACCCTGTGGATATAATCATCGATCTTCTTACTCATTTGGAAATTTACAACCAAAGAAACATTAGGAATATCAATACCACGACTAGCAACATTAGTACCTATCAAAATATCAGCTTTTCCTTCCTTCAACTGCTTGATAGCAAATTCTCTTTGCTCTTGATTCTTTGAACCATGAATCAAAGCAACTTTGAACCCCGATTGTGTAAGATTTTTGAAAAGGTATTCACCAGATTCTTTATAGTTGATGAATATGATGATAGGAGCAGGGTATTGACCACTTGACAAGATTCTAGTAAGTTTATTAGCTTTTTTGGAATCATCATTTGAATTGAAGAATTCAAATCTTTGTTCAATTCTATCATTGATTGTCATTTCACTGGAACTAACATTACCAATATTCACAATAGCTGGATCATTAACATAACTCTTTGATAATTTTTCAACATCAGATGTCATTGTGGCTGTAAACATCATGTTTTGTCTTTTAGTATTCATAAATTCTGTAATTTTTGCAACTTGATCACCAAAGTTCATTTCAATCATTTTATCACTTTCATCAAGAACTAAAAAGTTTATTTGATTCAACACCAAATAATGTCTTTCAAGACAATCTATTAAACGACCAGGTGTTGCAATGATGATCTCGATCGTTCTATTTTGTAAATCTAAAATGTTTTTTTCAATCAGTTTACCACCAACAATAGAGATGATATCGATATCTGGCAAATATTTTGAAAACTTTTTGAATTCTGTTTCAATTTGTTGAGCCAATTCTCTTGTTGGCACTAAGATTAAACCATAAGGACCATCAGTCTTTGTGAATTCATTCAATCTTGGTAGTTTCAATGATTTGGAAAGCATAGGAATCAAATATGCTAAAGTCTTACCAGAACCAGTTTCTGCAATACCAATAATATCTTTTTTTGATAGTGAAATTGGTATTGATGCTCTTTGAATTGGCGTTGGGTCCTTGTAGCCCAATTTTTCAATGATATCTAACAACTCATTGGGTATTTTGGACTCTTTCCAATTTCTCAAAGGATTGGGCAGATTTGAACCTCTTGTTATAATCTCAAAATCTTCCTTCAATATTCTCCAATCTCTAGCCTTCATATTCTCCAAAGGTTTTTCTGACCAATGAATATCATCCCAGTTTTTCTTTGACTTCGATTTTGCGTAGCCTATATCATCTCTTCTTGGTTTAGATAAGTCATATGAAGCATATTGTGAAGCTATTGAATCGGTGTTGTTTAAAGTATCATCATCATTTTTCCATTCAAAATTGAATTTGTTACCAGTACGAGCTCTTTCCAGTACCTTTTCATAGTTTTTGGAGAAGTTTTCATCAAAAGAGTCCTTCTTGCCTTCAGCTTTTTCAATATCATACGGTTTAAATCTATGTGATGCATTATTACTTTGGATTTGGTTTACTTTATTCTGTCTTCTCTCTAGCGCCAACTTTTGTCTTTCCTTCTTCGATAAAAACTTTGGAGTTTCCAGCTTTCCTTCACTCTTCTTCTTTGCTATTAGTTCTTCCAATGAAATAGGACCTCTTTCTGACATGATTTAATCTCAAACGAATGTGAAATAAACATGTCAATCTGTCATATTCATCCAGTTTTTCTCTAAAAATTAACTATGGCGTGTCCCCTACCGCCTCTGTAGTCTGCCAATAGTTCACGGTTCACTTCTTTGGCTAGCTTCAACATTCCGAAAACGGAATTCTCGTCGACGAGGGAAGAAATGGTTGAATAACTCATTGTGGTTGAGAGTGGACTATTCTAGCCTTATTTGCAGTAAAAATTTTAACCGTTAAAAGAGTCAGTCTCTACAATATCCTGCCTAGCTTTGGTGTATTTCTCTATTCAGAAATTGGCTCTCGCTCACCTAATCTCTTAGCTAATCATCGCTGGTGTCTGGGTGTTTTCCCCATCAAATCGATACAATCAGCCGAAGGGAAAAAGGCAGCATCATTGGTGATCAGTGATCAAATCAACGAACAACTACCAAAGAGACAGAAGGAAGGCTTCATATCTCTCAACCATTCTTACACTATCTATTGAGTCAACTAGATATTCAACTCTTCAAAGATGTCTTTATTTGGAAGTGGTGCCGAGTGCTCCACAGCAAGAAACCCATTATCTCAATTTACTAAGCATACAAATGAAGATAGATCATTACAAAGACCAGGTTTAAACCAGCAAATTAACAACCAAGGTGGAATCAGAGAAGAGACTCGTATGAACCAACATGATCAACAAGTGAGTATGGCCTTATTGTTTTGTAAGATGATGTTAACTAACTCTTTATTTTTCTCAGCGTATGAATCAATTCTTCAAAGGGCAAGATAGCTTCAATTTCCAACCAATGAATCACGAATTAGCTCATATACATACACATCAACAACCACAAGGATTCCGTCAATCACCTTCTTCAAACTGGTCTTCAGAGTTTAAGACTGATAGTCCTTTACAACATAATGGGTCTTTAAGATCAAATGGTTCCCGTTGGTCTTCAGAATTTAATACTTCAACTGCTTCCCCAATGAGTTCCACAACTACATTAAGTGAACCACAATCTCATGCAAATCCAATGGTGAGACAAAGAATTGGTGGATTTAATCCAGTGTTTTCAAGCTATCATAATGGGATGGTGAATCATGTTCAACCAGTACACACTAATTCTAAAATTGCTGAAGTTGGAAATAATGAACAATGGGAAGATCGTTTCAAAGAAATTGATGAACAATTCCAAGATGCTTTTTCAAAACAAGAAGGAAAACAAAATGAAGAAGAATTAAAAGATCAAGAGAAAAATGTTGATCCAGAAATCATAATAGATGATAAATATCAAACAAATTTTGATGAAGTTTGGGAATCTTTGAACTCTCAAACAGTTCAAGATGATTTACAAGCTGAACCTTCATGGGAAAAAGATTTTGCTACATATGCTCAAGCTAGAGCAAATTTTGGGAAATATCAATTTGAACAAACTAATCAATTTTTAAACAACCCAAGTGCCTATGAAATCGGTGTTACTTTGATGGAACAAGGTGCTAAATTATCAGAAGCTGCTCTAGCATTTGAGGCTGCTATTCAAGAGAATCCAAGACATACAGATGCTTGGTTAAAATTAGGTGAAGTTCAAACTCAAAATGAGAAAGAAATTGCTGGTTTAACTGCTTTAGAGAAATGTCTTTCACTAGACCCAAATAATCTAAGTGCATTGATGACTTTAGCTGTCTCTTATATTAATGAAGGTTATGATAATGCTGCATTTGCCACTTTGGAGCGCTGGATTGAAACAAAATACCCTCAAGTCACAGATAAGGCCAGAAGTACCAATCCAAAGATTAACGATGAAGATAGATTCTCATTGAATAAAAGAGTTACTGAATTATTCATACAAGCTGCACAATTATCTCCAGCAGGAGCAAATATTGACGCTGATGTTCAAATGGGTCTTGGTGTTTTATTTTATGCTAATGAAGAGTTCGAAAAAACTATTGATTGTTTCAAAGCTGCATTAGCTGTTCGTCCAAATGACGAATTATTATGGAATAGATTAGGTGCCTCATTAGCCAACTCAAACAGATCTGAAGAAGCTATCGAAGCTTATCAAAGAGCTCTACAATTGAAACCATCATTTGTTAGAGCTAGATACAATTTGGGTGTTTCTTCTATAAACATTGGTTGTTATAAAGAGGCTGCTGAACATTTATTAGGAGCATTGTCTATGCATAAAGTTGAAGGCTTAGATGATGATGACTTGAGAAATAATGCAATTGCTAATCAATCAACAAGTATATTGGAAACTTTGAAAAGAGCTTTCGTTGCTATGAATAGAAGAGATCTAATTGAAAAAGTTAAACCAGGAATGAATTTGAACCAATTTAGAGGAGAATTCAACTTTTGAAGTGTTCTGTTTGTGATTCATCTATTATTTCATCAGTGTTACTGTGCATCTTTTTTACATGGGGATTTTGGGGGAACAAAAAATGAGTATATTTAATTAATTATAGTATTATCGGATATTTGGAAAATACTTACACTTGTAGTTGAAATATTTTACCAGACTCTCAAAACCTACCAATCTTCTTTTTATACTCACTCAAATCTTTTTCAAATTGCTCTTTTGTAATACCAGCATTCCATTTGTACTTGTAAGCACCATGATCTTCAGGAACAAACGTTTGTCCTTTAATACCATAGATATTCTCTCTAAATGTACCACCCTTTACTGGATAATCATCCCAAGCCAAGCCACGTCTTCTCAACTCAGGAATCAGTAAATCAACAATGTCTTCAAAACTTCCTGGCCAAAGATTATAGGCAAAATTGAAACCATCAATACCAGATCTGTCCACTAAATCTTCAATTTGATCAGCAACCTCTTCAACGGAGCCCACAAATGTAGTGTTTGATTTAATCCCTGAAATTTTTTCAATCAAATCTCGTCTAGTAACTTTATTTGGAGCACCTAACAAGGTTTTTAAATGTGATCTAGGATCATTTTTACCAACTTGTCTCAAGTCTTCATCATAATCATATTTACTTAAATCAACACCAGTCCAACCTCCAAAAAGTACTTGGACTCCATCTTTACTAACATATGAAGTAATGTCTTTGAACTTCTCTTTAGCTTCCTCTGAAGTCTTTGCAACATAGACATTAATTAAAGAAATAAACTTCAAATGTTCAGGATCTCTACCATACTCATCTTTAGCAATTTTTCTAATGGCTTGAATTTTCTCTTTCAATTTCTCTGGCGTTTCCTCATTGATGAACACTAGCTCAGCAATTCTTGCACCAAACTTTTGACCAGATCCAGATGCACCTGCTTGAATAATGACAGGTAACCTTTGAGGAGAAGGTTCAGTAAATTGGTACCCTGGAACATTAAAATATTTTCCTTTGAACTGAACTTGTCTTATAGCATCAGGATCAGCAAAGATTCTTCTCTCTTTATCATTTAAAACAGCATCATCTCTCCAGCTTGACAATAACAACTCATATATAACGTCAACGTACTCATGTGCTCTATCATACCTATCTTCACTTTTTGGTAAATCTTGACCATTCAAATTATTTCTAGCTGCACTATTTGTGAAAGTGGTGACAACATTCCATCCAATTCTACCGTCTGAAAGATGATCCAAAGTTGCAAGTCTTCTAGCTAGATGATATGGTGGTTCAGCTAAAGTACTTATTGTTAATCCAAATCCTAAATTTTCAGTAACTTCAGCCATCAAGGGAACAACAGACGTTGGTTCATTTGTTGGATACTGTGCACCAGCAATTGCAGTACTTGTAACACTTTCTGGACCTTGATAGACATCATATGGACTTAACGTATCACCGATAAATAAGGCATTGATCTTCCCACGTTCAGCAATTTTAGCCAACTTGATCCAATATGCTCTTGACTTGTATGTTGATGATTCATCTTTTGGGTGAGCAAAAATCTTGAAGTTGTCAATGAACGTCACTCAAGCTGTTTCTGAATAAAGATACATACACCGGGAAACATCTGAGCTGGCCCTGCATGCTCAAAGAAGTTGAGTATCAATGGTTTTCTAGCGGTTTTCTGTCTTTTATTTGCACTTGTCATTTTTATTGAATTAACGTGATTGTTATTGGTAAGTCATTTCTAAAATACAACAATGGAGGAATAGTCATATTTATTGTCTTTGAGAAAGCCTTCTTGGTTTCCCTATTGTCACCACAATTTCTTTCATCATCTATCAACTGTACAAAAACTAAATATCTGTGGCTGACCCGAGCCGATCACGTAGCTTGAAGATTGGAGCATTCCCAACTTCATTAACCGTGAAAGCTGTGGATATAAGCCCTAAGATATAAGACCACAAAATACAATTCCCTTCAGATTAAAAGTAGGTCATTCGAAATGCCTGAATTCATTAAAAGTCAGTTGTAGAAGATAGTTTTTTTGTTCACAAATGTTTATGTCGCTTTTTTCAATCGTTCAGTGTGGTCCCTACCACCATATCTTGGGAACTAAAATTTTGCAACAATTTTCGTCTGATTTTGATCTCACTTGACAGATAAATTCATAAAAAAGGCAAAGAGCTAAAGATATATAGCTAAATGCTAGATAAATCAAAAAATATAAGCATTTGCTGCCCAAAATGGCCCAAAAATTAGCAAAAAAAGAAAATGCGCAAGCCCGGAGTCGAACCGGGGGCTCAAAGATGGCAACTTTGAATTTTACCGCTAAACCACTTGCGCTTCTGTTGAAGTTTTCAGCATGGACTGTTCACCAGAATACTTTAAATTTGGTTAGGGCACTCCACATTTAGCTACAATTGACGTAATCAATAATGATAAAGTCTTTTGCCAAATGCTGTCGTGTTATAACTCCATTATGTACGAAGTATAATTGATTTTGAAATAATTTGATTGCAAGCTGGTTTAGTTATATTTGTTTACAATTTTTTTCGGCCAATTCATAATAATGACGTGCATGAATCGAATTATATATTAACGTCTGCAACGTACAGTACTACCGGCTACTAGTAATAATACTGCATTTTGACTAGCAGCTAGCTCATGATCATGATCTTATCATAATTATATAACTAGGTGATCAATTAACTCATGATCATATACGACGTCATTAATCAGAATAAAATTCTTTTAAGCTAGCTGCAGTGGCTCACTAGTCACCTTAGAAATATGATCAACTAACTATTATTAACAAACCAATATATATTTATATTAACAAATTACTATTATAATTAAATATATATTTGTTATAGCATCATTAATTCATTAAATATATATGATCAAGAAATTAAGTATATATTTATAAATTAATTAGGCTAGGATTAATAATATCTAATTGGTGATTTCCACAATTATATATTTTATAATATAAATTTATTTACATATTTTAGTGGAGAATGGGTTTTCTCAGTTGGCTGAGAAGGATATTATAAGGAAGCCTGAATTCCAACATAGCGAGAAGCCTACAATCCAAGCGGTTCGTGCGTAATTGCATTCCTCATCCAAGTTCATCAAATACATCAACTAAAAAAAAAAAATACATTAAGCAGAACAGCTGCTAATTGAATAATATGATCATCTATTAATATTTGGAATCAATTAGCCACACCATATTATACTCGTATCATCCATAGTGGATTGCGAGGTGATTCTTTGTGACTTTTGAAGAAATCAATAATGCAGTAATCTTTTGATCATGAACTAATTTATCTCAGTACAAAAACTTACAATCTCAATCCAGCTGTGCCCGCCCAACTAGCGCTTTTACCATCGGTCATCTATCAAACCCAATAGATAACCTGATCTTTATCGCTGTGTATGGCGGGTTGAAATTTGGAAGTTGCAATCTGAGTGCTTCGGTACCTTAACAGCTTCCACAGATTCTTTTTGACATGAGCTTAAGTTAACCGAGACACATATACACAGGAACAACAAAATGTGCATGGTTGAAATTCAAGGATTTCACAATTAATTCGTTCGCAATTGACAACGTGAAGGATCAATCACTTAATATTTGGGCCCATGGTCATGAATTGAGTCTACTTTGGACGTACTTAAGACTACAATCTATACCGCAGCACCAGTTCATACTGTAGCTTTCATGGATAAAGTAATTGAATAGTAAACTGTGCTGAAATGAGTCATGACTGGTACCATAAACAGCACTAAAGTCAATGTGTTCACTGATTTTACCTAGTGCTCAATTATCTGATGATGAGATTGTACCCATTAATTAATGACCTTGCGACACAAGGCCATGGAATGACTGTACTATGATCTGCTTTAACTAGAGCTAGCAATAATGAGATACTGTAAATTAAAGCCAGAAATTAGATTAAAGAAGCCTGTACAGGTCAACCTCGCTCAAAAACTCTTAAAACCAGATTTTGGAATTCTTTCATAACATTTACTGTTCAAGATCCAACACCTAACATTAATATTGGGAGTGTTTAAGCAAACGACTCGATTTGAAAATTTCATAGATAAGGTACCAATAAGATCAGTTCTTGGCACCAGTTATGACTAAGATTCAATCATGATTCATAAGGAGTCCATAGTCCTCAAGAGACCGAAATGATTATACCACACAGCTTGTGTTCAAACTTCACATTGAAAGACATCTCCAGGTTGAGCTGTCAAGTCCGGTCGGAGTTGAGGCAGGTCTACGAAGCTCATACCCAAACACCAATGTGCTCAAGAAGTTGTAGCTTTTAGCCTGTGTAACACGTATTTGAGGATCATCACTAGTTTAGAATTAGATCCGGTCTCTGTATAGTGGAAATCCTTGCATAAGAATACAATTCTCGAAATGGATTTTCAATTATGTATGAGCCAAAGGCTTTCAGTTGTTCGTGAGTTTAAAATCCTGTATAATAACCAACTTATGATATCAAGCCCCAGCTTAGGAAAGAACTGTATCTCCAGTGTACCATGTATTTTCATTTAACCATCTCTACACTTGAAGTTCAAATATTAGGGTTTAGGACCTCAAAACTTGTGGATAACGGATTTAGGCATGGTGAGCTTTGGAGATGCATCCTGTCTAATATCTGATGCAAAGGATCATCGACTTGATATTGGTCGATTCAAAGGAAACACGAACCACGAAGAAGAAGCTCGCAGAGAAAAAATGTAGCAATGTGAAGCTTCAGTAATGAAAGTTATCAGAGGATGTTTGTCAATTGACTAGCCAATATCGATTTAAAACGACTCATTTTGACGATGTTCCTGTCTAATCCACATTTCAGCATGAACTAGTATGTTCCTTCCTTATCGTTGGTTTCTAAAGCCGATCAATTGAAACGGAGACATCATTGCACCTGACTCCTATGTATTTCCCCTTATAAATGCTTTTTTATGGAGTGACAGGCCGTTAGTACATAAACAAACAGTTGAGATGAAAATTTGGTTGAGACTCGAGAGTTGAGAGTGCATCAATTTCACAAAATTCATACACTATCATACGTAGAGGCTCTTACTTTATACCTTGGCATGCTCTATCTTTCAATCAAAAAAGCTGATAGACTCCAGTTAAAAACTTTGGGAGCATTTAAGTGGATATTGATAATTGATATTTCATCTCGAGGTTCACCTTTCCACATCCAGACAAATCCCGATGACTATTGCAAATGACTTAAGACGATGTACTGTACTAATAGTAATCAAAGTTAGCACGGAAGAAGGCAAACAAAGCAACAAATCTCGAGATATATTTGCAGATCATCGTCATATCAACACACTGAAAACATAACAAAAACAAAAGTCACCGAGTCCTTCAAATTTCCGAAACTAAAACTTTCTTTGGAAACAAGAACTTGTAACGAATTTGTGACAAATTGATATACTTAAAGTCTTTCAAAGCTAAATAGAAATTGAAACCAAAAATTCAAGACACTGATGTAAAGACAAGCTTTTCTTCTTATTTGGATTCTGATTGATGGAAAACTAATATTTATTCACCGCTAGAGCTTGAAGACCCCAAATATTCAACATTATGCACATGTCTTGGTCCTCGAGGTCGCAAGTACAACATCTTAATTTCAAAACAGAACCAACATCCAAATCAAGAAATTGATTTTCAAAGCTTTACTCGTTCGAGCATACAACTAAAAAAACTGATATTCATCATTATTCGACAAATATACCAAATATTGCATGCTTCAGCAACCATAAACAACACTCTTTATCAAATCACTTCAATTTCAGATGACGAATTAACCAATCCAATCCTTGTTCAAAATTTGATTATAAAAGGAACCCAAATTTCCCAATTTCTTTCAACTCGAGTTCATTTGATCCCATCATCTTCAAGAGTTCCATTCACTTGATCAAACCAAAAGGAAAAACTAAATACCCAATCTCAAAACAAAAATGAAATTCTCAATCACTTCTGCCTTCGCTGTCTTTTCATTATTAGCTGTTTCTGCTTACGCTGCTCCAGTTGCCGTTGCAGCTCCAGCTCCAGCTCCAGTTGCAAATGCTGTCGCTGCTCCATTCGCAGAATCTGATCTTGATATTGTTAATGGTGCTGTTGCAAACATCACTGGTGAAATTGGTCAATTAACCAAAATTTTAACTTCATCAAAAGCTCCACATGACACTTTAAACAAAATTGATGATATTGTTGTCAAATTAGTTGAAGGTATTGTTGATACCTTGGGTAAATTAACTGGTTTATCAGGTGCCACTGATGCTATCAACAAATTATTGAATGAAGCCGTTTCTGAATTGGATGGTCTTTTGGATGAAACTGGATTATCAGCCACTTTGAACAAAGAAGTTGATTCATTGGTTAAAACTGTTCAAGATTTATTGAAAAATATTGTCTCCACTTTAAACGGTGTTTTATCTAACTTGTTATCATTAAACTTAATTGGTGTTGTCACTTCATTATTAGGTGGTTTGTTGAAAACTTTAGGTGGTTTATTAGGTGACTTATAAGTTTGATACTTTTAAGGACAATAATCTTTGAAAGATTTCTTTCAGTTTCTAAGCTCTATAGCTAGTTTTTAAAATCTCTATGAATTAATTCCTTGTGGAGATTCTTAATTTGTGACACATTTTATATGATTGAAAATTAAAAATAACCGGTTATTTTGATTATAATGATTGTAGTAGTAAATGAAAGCATTCACCTAGGAAACCTTTAAATCTTTTAGTTAATGCTAAGCACACCAATGTTCAATTTCATCAAGTTTATACGTTGAAATTATTTTAGAAAGTTCAATGGTCTAAAAATCGCGAACTTTACCCGCAAATGGGGAACTTTGAAAAAAAAATCGAAATTTATGAACAACATCAAAGAAGAGATCAGTATCGAAAAGATCATAGAAAAGAACCATAATAAACATAGAAATAATGGCCCGTCAAAACTTCTTAGGGCTTGTGGTTTCACAAGGGAAAATGTCCAAGACGGTCAAAGTCCGTGTTCAAAGAAAAGCCTTTGACAGAGTCATCAATAAAGTGAGTTTTTCCAATTCAACATTGATCAAGTTGAAAATGTATTAACAAATGGGTTCCTTTAGGAAGTTATTAAAAGAAGAGATTTCTTGGTTCATGATGAAGGTGAAATTTCAAGAGAAGGTGATTTAGTCCGTATTGAACAATGTCGTCCAATTTCCAAAAGAAAAGCTTTCTCAATTGCAGAAATTAGAAAGAATCAAGGTCAACAATTTGCTAAATATGATGAATTAGCTAAAGCGCAAGTTGTTAGAGAAGAGAATGAAAAAACCAGAGAATTTTTACAAAGAAGAAAGAACACCACAAAAGATATAAATGAAAACTCATCATTCATAAAGGATTTAGCCATTGTTGAAAAAGGTGCTTCTCGTAGAGAAAGTGAACTATCTGAGAGTCTACGTCTTCAAATTGCTACAATCAAGGCCAAATATGGTATAAAGAGCTGGCCACCACAAAAAGAAGTTTTGAAATTAGAAGTACAAACATTACGTGAAGAATTAGAATCTTTAACGGATTCAATTGGTAATTTAGTTCCAAGATTAGAGGGTTTATTGAATGATAAGGAAAAAAGTGATAACATTTTATCTCAACTAGGCCATAACCCAGAAACCTTGAAATCTAATGTGCGTAAAAATATATTGAGAAAGTATCTATTGAAGAGTTCCGTATCAAATAAAGTTAAAGGGTTGGAAATATAATGAATGTTATTTAGGTTAAGAGAAAGAGGATTGAAACTTGTATATATAGAGAGTACAATAAAAACAAAACAGCATATATAATTTGAAATGAATGTAGTTGAAACTTGAAATATTGGTCAATGTGATTTTTGGTTCCTCCGAACTTTCTTTTTCAAGGTGATGAGCTCGAGGAAAAAACGTCGAGAACAACAAAAAGCATTCAACAAACACCATCATGTAGCTTAAATATCTGCTGAGCAATGTATCAGATAAAATTCCTAAAACCATTAACTTTAAATCAAGGGTCTTTATTACCAAAAAATCCAAAGAAAAATCAAAGAAATGTCGCTGCTTCGTATGAAATATCCTCAGCCATAACAATCTCCAATGATCTTGGTGAACAATTCTTTTATGGACGTGCAACTCTGGCCTGTCAACTACGACTTTATGATAGTGATGAAATGAAAAATGTGGAAACAAAATATACACCTATTGCAATCACAACAGTTGAGTGGACAGCTGGGAAACGAGCCATGGATGTTAAACTAGAAATCCCATCTAAGTATCTACAACCTGGGAAATATATCGCTTTGAACGTTTCGGTGGATTCAACTAAGCAAGCTGTTGATGAGATGAATGTTTCAGATATCACACATGATGAGCTACGGGAAGAATGGTTCCCTGAATGGAAGAAAATAGTGGGTGATTGTGTGGAATCCATTGATATCTCAAGCACCAATTTACAAATTTTTCCAACAACTTCAAGTTTATTGAAAATTTCCAATGAAGTTCCTGTAAAGTCTGAAAGGTTTGCTATAAGGTCTATATCTGATGTTGTTTTATATGAAGAACTTTCAGGTGAGATTGCACGTCATTTATGGGATGCTGGTATAATTGTAAATAACTTGTCAAAACAACAATTTGAAAAGTTTTTATACAGGAATGAGACTTCACCAAAAGGAACAAATCTACAGATACTTGAGTTAGGAACAGGTATTGGACTTGTTGCCATTCATTTGAGTAAGATGTCCAGAGATTCAGAGTTTTTGGCTACAGATCTTCCTGATGCTAAAGAGATCTGTACTATGAATATAGGGCTGAATGAGGTACAGGAACAAGTGAAATTCAGTGAATTGGACTGGGAAGATGATGTACCAGCTTTGAAGCAATGGGATATCATCATTACCACAGACTGTACATACAATCCACTTTATTATGATGCTTTAATCAAGGTTTTGAAAAGAGAATCCAACAAAGATACAAAGATCATTTTGGCACACAAATTTCGTGAACCCATCACAGAGTCTGAGTTTTTCGTCAAGATCCAAGCTCACTTCCACCTGGAAAGGCAAATGTGGTATAATGCCCAGGGCCAGAGTCTAACTCATATAGGGCTTTACTCACTCAAATAAACATATACGTTCTGTTTCATCAAATTTTGTAGTTTCAAAGGCATATAAGAAATCTGCCAAAAGTCATAGGGTTTAAAATCTGACGATAAAATGAAAACAAAGATCTCGCTAAAAAAGCCGAATGAGACTTTTACTTTTAACATCTCCAAGACACGAAATCGAAGCCGACTCTTTACTCTCCATTCTATTAAATCTCATGCCAAAATCTACAATATAGAGAAATAACAACGCTCATTAAGATCATTTTATTGGGCTGCTTTTTCGATTCGTGTTTCAGTTCTTTGGTTTTTAATTTTTTTTTTTTGATTGACGTATTTTTTTTGATTGGTATTTGGTTTGTCAAAGTTAAGGCTGAAGGAAAAGCTCAATTAGGCCTATAATATTCAATATAATGGAGAATAGTAGAAGGAGAAGCATAATACGGAATGTCAGTGGGAGTCCCATTATACCCATTGATGCCACGTTCCATTCAAATTCAAATATCAATTCACATCTTGTCAATTCATCCAAGAGATCAATTAGAGATCCAACAACTGAAATCTTCAACAGTGTGAAACATATAAACAATGACTACTCTTCCAAGTTCAGCGGGTCTTCAATGATCAAAGTATTGTTGATTGGTGATGCTGGTGTAGGGAAATCCGCCTTGATTGTGCGGTATTGTGATGATTATTTTAATGAGAATGAATCAAAATCTACCGTTGGTGTTGATTTGAAAGTTAAACTTGTGAGTGTTGATAACAAGTTTTTCAAAACTGTTCTTTGGGATACTGCTGGTCAGGAAAGGTATAGAAACCTGATACCTTCTCTATATAAAGGAACAAATGGGGTATTATTGACATATGATGTTACTGATAAAAATTCCTTTGATGGATTATATCATTGGATTAAAGAATGCTATGATAACTGTGATTTATCGAGAACCATTTTCTACTTGGTTGGTAATAAATTGGATCAAGCTGAAAAGCAAGTTAATAAAGAAGATATAAGGAAACTATTAGAGTACGTTAAAACCAACCACACAGACTTTAAAATCAATGCTGTTTTTGAAGTTAGTGCTAAATATTCAAACTTTGTCTATGGTTTGTTTGACAATGTGATCAAAGATTTAGTTGAGCATCGATGTTATTTTGATGAGAATAAACTCAGAAGTAAAAGAAGTGTTGATTTATCAACTGCAAGAGATGATCAACAAACAAATTGTTGTTCTTATTGATCAAATGGATCCTAAAGAAGTCACGAAGTTCATGTCCTATATTTATTCCCATCATAAACCCCACACCATTTGCATTTTATCATGTTACTTGATTCAACTATAATATTCTAGCTATATTCAGTTCTAAGTCACACGGAAACAACTACATATAACCCCCCATAAAAATTATAATGATACACTTTTTAATGCTCTATATTTTTAATGCAAGATGCTATGATTTTTGATTCTTTTGCTCCCTACTTGGAGTTGTAAAGTACTAGAACTTTAGTTAGTAACTGTCATTGAAACAACACGAGCATTAGCAACTTACTTTTTTTCTAAATTCTGGGATTGAAGTTGCACCCATATTATCTTCACCATTATAATCGTCACCTCTATTGATGTAGACTAACAGTCTTCTGGACCATTTGTTGAACTCTTGTACTAGGTGGTACTTTAATTCTAGATTTCTATGCTTTGGTATAATTGTTGGAACGTATTCATCATTAGCTGTTGGCATCCAGAAACATAATCTTCCACCAATTGGAAGCCTATCGACTCCAAACTGTAACAAGTCACAAAGTAGTGCATCTAATTCATATGGTTTCTTTGTGGGTATATAATCTTTTCTTAAAAATGCCTTTTTACCATCAATTTCAACCTCCTCTTTCCCTGCAAATCTATCAGGATTTTTAGCACCAAGAACTTTTAACCCTTCTCTAACCCCATATGGTGGATCACACACTATTGTATCTATTTTCATGTTTGATCTGAATGCATTATGTGTGAAATCCATAGTTAAAACATCCATGAATAATGATGATGTGTTATACTGTTTAAAGTTTGCTCTGATTGTATTGTTTCCCTTTCCTTTGATTAATCTACCATCAATATCTGAACCAACTGTTAATGCACCATAGTTTGCACCTGCGACTAGAAAAGAGCCAGTTCCAACAAATGGATCATACATGATCTTACCTGTATCAACTTGTCCTAAATTACATGAAACTAAAGCCAATTCAGCCTCAAAAGTCGTAGTACCAATGTATCTTCTTTTTCTCAAATCATATTTATCCAAAATACCTCTTTCTCTTGCACTAAGTTCAATTTGTCTACCAAAATATAACTTTGTTGGGATAACTGCAGAATCATTTTCAGTTGGTGGGACATAATGTTCGAGCACTGTGAATGTTTCATCTGGATTCTTCATCCTTATAGGGCCTTCAAATTCAACATATTTGAAACTCTCAATCAGTTTGATCTTTTCTGAATTGTTTCTTTTACCCATATACCCAATCACATCAAATTTAAATGAACATTCTTTATACAGTTCAAATTTATCAGATGATCTTCTCTTAACATCTTCATGTAACTCTTCCTCTGTATCACCAATACCCCATAATTCATAAATTCCTTTAGCCAACACGGCTCTTGAAATCAAATTCTTTGCATCTTGATCATTATCTAAAGTGATAATCATGAATGGTGTATTTTCATCATGACCTGAAAAATCAACTTTTATACCATGTATATCACCTAAAGACTCAAGTTCTGGGACTCTGAAAGTAGGATGTTGCTGAGCCAAAAACACCAAATATTCCTTCGCCATAATCAACTATGAGCAATTAACCGAATAGCCTCTATCGTGGTTATCCAACTTATCTACTTCAATGTTGTGAAATCGATGAGCATCTACAAAAAAAAATTCACATACAGCCAAAAGAGGCTAGGTTACAAGCACTGCTCTCTGTCTAGACAGGACGTGTCCCAGAAGGACATTTGGAAATGAGGTCTGCCTAGCGCTAGGCTCAGATGTCCAGAAGCTAGAAGGAGCGAGCCCAGAAATGCCAACCTGCCCTGGAACACACCGGGTAAAAAAGTGGTGAAAGCTTTTTTTTCTATGGTGAATTTTCTTCCTCCAACTTCTTTTGCTTTAACGTGTTCAGGATCAAAGAATTCATCAATTGAATCAGTGGATAGCTATATACATTTAGGGTGTTTGGATTAGTTCTAAAGAGAAGTAAACCAGGTCATTTTTAATTTGAATTCATTAGATTTATCAACGTTTGGGAAGACCTTTGTTTTAATAGTTTAGGTGTTTAATTGTTTATAAGACCAGATCAGAGGCAAAACAAATAAAAATCCTTTATAAAACAATCAATTAATAATACCAATTTCAAATAAAAGTTATTTATCTACTATTTCTTTATTCAAAATTAGAAGTTAGTTTAGGTTTGCTTTAGCTAGATAAGTTTTTAAAAAAGTAAACAAAAGAAAACATCAAAAATACAAAAATGTCATTATCTGATGATGAAGAAGCTCTCTTTGATGATATCTATGGAGAAGATGATAAAAAAGAAGAACCTAAGAAAGATCTAGATACAAAGGAAGAGGAACCTGAAAATGATTCAACTAAAAAAGATGAGGGTGAATCTACCGACGATGTTAAGAAAGAGGATGATGATGATGAGACTAAACCACAAGATTCAGCAAATAACGAGCAGGAATCATCATCAACTGGTAATTCAGCTGCTCCACCACCACCTCCTCCTACAACTCAAGATTCAAATGTCTCTAACGCTTCTTCAGAAGCTCAAAAGGCTGATCTAAGTCGTGATGCTGGTAAAATGTTTATTGGTGGGTTAGATTGGGATACAACAGAAGACAGATTGAAAGAATATTTTAGTAAATATGGTGAAGTTATAGATCATACAATCATGAGAGAATCTTCAACTGGTCGTTCAAGAGGGTTTGGATTTTTAACATTTGCAACATCAAAATCTGTTGATGATGTTTTGAAAACTCAACATGTTTTAGATGGTAAAGTTATTGATCCAAAAAGAGCAATTCCAAGAGATGAACAAGATAAAACTGGTAAAATCTTTGTTGGTGGTATTGCACCAGAAGTTCGTCCAAAGGAATTTGAAGAATTTTTCGGTAAATTTGGTACAATTATCGATGCTCAATTAATGTTGGATAAAGATACTGGACGTTCAAGAGGGTTTGGTTTTGTTACATTTGATGCACCAGATGCTGTTGATAGAGTTTGTCAAGGTAGATATCTAGATTTCAATGGTCGTCAAATTGAAGTTAAAAGAGCAGAACCAAGAGGTCCTCAACAACAACAAAATCATATTCAACAACAACAGCAACGTTATTTACAACAACAAGGTTATCAGACTTCATATCAACAAGGCGGTGCTGCTATGCCAAACATGGCTGCTGCTGCTGTACCAGGTGCTCAAATGTATGGAGGTATGACCCCAGAAGCTATGACACAATATTGGCAACAAATGCAACAATATTGGATGCAATTTCAACAACAACAGCAACAAGCTGGAGGTGCTCCAATGGCTGGATTACCACAAAATCTACAAATTTTCCAACAGCAATTCCAACAAGCCCAAGCCCAAGCTCAACAACAACAAGGTGGTCAATCACCAGTCGCTGGTGAATCTTCAGTTGCGAAAGATGAGCTTAACCAGGACGGTAATGGTGGTGCTGATCAAGGTTACAATAATAATGGGGGTTATAACAATGGTGGGTATAATTCATACAGAAGACGTGGACCTTCAATGGATACACCAAGAGGCCCAAGAGGTAGTGGAAGAGGTGGTAGAGGAAGAGGTAGAGGTAGAGGTGGTTATAGCAGAAATGACTACCATCCATATTCACGTAATTGATGGTTTAAAGACGATGTTTTCATGTTTTTTAGCTATATACGAATGAAAAACACAATGTATAATGATAAGGTTTGTAGTTTACAATGGTTGATTTTATAATACAAGTATAAACATCCATTAAATATATAGCACAATAATTCATAGCGTATAAAAACAAATTCCGTATATAGTACATGTAATACTTCATTTCAATTCCTCTGGCAAATTACCATGACATAACCAACCAATTGGTTGTTTTAAATTCTTTTCACGATCAATATATCTATAATCTTCCAACAATTGAATACAATTCTGTAATGAATAACCTTTTTCTAAACCTTTCTCAATAGCCCTATAGATTGCCTTTCTTCTATTGAATTTTTTAGACGTTGCAGGATCACGACGCCAACCAGTTTTATATTCTTCCTCCAATTGTCTTATAGAAGGTTGATTGTTTAACCCAACAGAATACTCATTCCAAATTTCTTCAACTGAAGATGGTGCTTTAATGAAAGCATAATCTTTTTCATAAACTTTACGTCTTTTTGGAGATTCAGTAATGGGTGGTTCAGAGTTTGGATTTATCGCAATTGGAATATGACGAGCTGAAGAGATCTGGGCCTGGTTTGATAATGATGGTCGTAGTTGTTGAATTGGTTTTCGTTGTTGTTGAGTTTCTTGAGTATAACCATCTAAAGGGTCATCATCATCCAACAACGCAGCAGCATCTGTCGTTTCTGGTTCTGATTCTCTTTGTTTGTTAGCCTTGCGTTTCTGTTGCTGTTGATGGTGCTGGTGGTGCTGCTGTTGTTGCTGATGGTGTTGTTGTTGAAGCTGCTGCTGTTGTTGTTGGTGCATCTGACGTTGTTGTTGTTGCTGCTGTTGAAAAGATTGTTGCAAGGCAGCTAATGATTGCTGTTGGAGAGGATGGTTTTGTTGTTGCTGCTGTTGTTGTTGTTGTTGCTGTTGCTGTTGTTGTTGTGGTTGAATTTGTCTTTGATGTTGAGGTATAAGGTGCTGCTGTTGTTGTTGATGATGCTGTTGTTGTTGACTTTGTTGAATCTGTTGCTGAATGGACAATTGATTAGATGAAGGTGTCAACAAGTTTTGATCGTTACTATTCACTCTGTTATGAGGGTTCAAAAATGAATTTGGATTTGATGTTGAACCATTTGAACTTTGATTTGAACCTGATGATGGATTTAAAGTCAGGCCAGCAATTGAAGACAGACTATCACTATTCAAAGGATTTGTGCCAGAAGTGCCACCAGCACCTGTAAGGCTTGCAAATTCATTAGTTACATCAATATTTAAAATATTTGTGATCTTTTGAAGTACTTGGTTCTCTCTAGCTTCTTCAACATGACGATTATCTTTAACAATGTCCAACACTAATGAAGCCAGGTTTGTGATTTGATTTTGTTGTTTTGCAATCTCCAGTTGGTAATTCTTTTGGTTGTATTGGAAATCATTTTGTAGTATGTAAAGATGATTTTGAAATACTTTTAAATGGCTTTCAAGTAATTTCACTTGATCTTTCAACTGTTTAAATTCATCTGAAGACATGTCTGATTGTTTTGATTAGCCAAGGGGGAAATTGAATTTTGAGGCGAAACTTCTAGCAAAATGAAAGCAGGAACTTGTAAAGCAATATTTGGGTATATACTGAGCTATACTCTGGCAGTCTATGTGTCAATTAACCAACCTTCAGCTATGAATGCCGCCAGTGTTTCCGTTCTGACTATTGTTTACACCTTTTGCTGATTATTAACTGTTTGGATTTGTCGGTACAAATGGTGAAAAAATGTCTGCTTTTTTTTTGAGTTGCGAAGAAAAATTCGCGAAAGTGCTCTCGGTAGGGTATCCTTTGTGGAATTGCGACCCATAATAGGGCAAAATTGGATGAAATATAGAGGTTGTTCTTGGTTTAATTGGTTTAAACTGGTTCTATATTCGTTTGGATGAGCACAGGGTTTAGTTTACCAAGCTCTGACAGTTTTAACCGTGTAAAAGCGAGTGTCTCTTTGTGTTTTCACCAGTGAAAAATGTATGTACTCACTGTTAATCAACGAGACAAACCACATTCAAAAGGCATCAACGTGACGTTTTGTGCTTCAACTACAGAGAAAACAGGGACAGAACCGTTGAGACTAGACAATTGGAACAGAGTGACACAAATAAAATGGGCTAGAGAGATTACAGCTGGCTATTAAAGAGTGAGCCATACTCCACCTGCTCAAGCTTCACCAGCACAACTGTGAACATAACAATATTGGTGATCTGTCCACTTGAGAAATGTCAGATTAGCTTTGAAGTCTATTGCTGAATTCGGTGGTTAGCAGCCCTTGAACAACGTTAGAATGGCTAGTCGATTAATCTTCTAGAACACCCTAACGACTTGAAACCCTGTACAACACAGTTACAATCAACACCTCGATAAGCCTTTGCAAACCGTCACCGTTAAAAGGGCAAAGCACACTTTCTTTTAATTACGCGCGTAGTAATCTAAGCTCATCGCCGGTAGAGGACACATAATAGCCTGTCTCAGCCTTTTATCGTGACACTTCAAGAGATTGAAATCCAATAGGCAATGCTACACCACTGATTGAGCAGTTTTGATGAGTAGGTATTCGATTCATGATGTCCAGTGGCGTATTATATGTTCTTGCGCAATCTAATGAATGACTGAAATTACCATCACAACGTTGATAAGTAGAGTGTGTGGTTCCTGAAATTTTCATTCGTCACTATGTTGCTCCAGACGAAAAAAAGTACCAAGAAATGAGTTTCAGTTGTTGGTGATATAAAAGTCAAACAATATCTTCTTTGCCATTAACTTCTCCATTTGCTTAGCCAAAGTCAATCAATAACTAATTATCACAATGGCACCAGTACCAACTAGTCAAGAGGTTACAGAATTGGTAAAGAGATACTATTCAAACTACGGTTACAACCGTGGTAGAACATACAGACCATGGTGGGTCGTCTTTATTGTTGTTGTTCCTATTATCATTATACTGTTATTATGCTGCTCTTTTAGAAGACGTAATTTCAAAAGAAAATCACAAGGTATGGCTCCTGTACCATACACTGGCTGGACAACTTATCAATGGAATGGTAATAATCAACAAAACCAACAACAGCCTTATTACAAACCAGAAGGTGGCCAACAATATGATTACAATAATCAACCAAATTCAAATACTTATAACCAACCACCAAACTATTACCAAACTACCGGAAATGCTAGAGATTCAGGTGTGAACGATACAGCATATCAAAGACCTGAAGGTCCTCCACCTGGACATAATGAACCAACTTATCCTCAAAATGCTTATACCAAATCATAAGAGACAGTGCTAGATATAAAGATATTGTTCATTATCATGAATTAGATGCTCATTATTATTAATCCCTTTTTTTTCTTCTTTCTTTGTTTTGAACTTTCATTTTTTATGATTCCCTTTTTTCACCATGACCATTTAATGCTGTTTAATTAATATAATGTGCCTGCTTTTTCAGTAAACTAAATTTGTGATTGTATTGCACACACAGCGTAGCAATTTAAGCTCAATAATTTTGATAACGCTGAACAAAGATTTGTATGCCTCAATAAGTTCCAGTCCTTCAAAATGAATAGGCTAATCATCGTTGCTTGCCATAATCAACCACAATATAATAACGTTATACTGCTTGCTTTTCACATAGGCGACATGTAACAGAAGTGATTCAAAGTGTAAGAACGTAGCTGCTGCTTGGTAGTTCACACTTCTAACTATCGCGGCTAAATAGATTTGTTGAAGCAACTATCAAGACCCTTTTTGAGAATTTTATCAACCTTTTACTTGTGTCACAGTTCTTATAAAGCCTTTTCTGTCCTTCTGTCTCCTGGTGCTTTGATATCACAAGCGCAAGGTTGTAGTAAATTGTGAAAAGTGTTGACATTCACTTGACAACATTGACATCAACAGCTTTGAAAGTGTTCCTGAAATTGTCTTGAGAATTTAGCAGGGACATAGGCGCTCCGTTGGCAAATTTATCAAACCTGAAGCAATCTTCATGAATCGTAAGCCAGGAATGTTCAAGTGTAACTTTTACTGAAACGTGATTTTCAACTGAAGTTTTGATGAACTGGCGATCGAAAGAAACGAAACAATTCAAGGTTTGATCATTGAACTTCGGTGGTGTAGGCTTATTATGGAAAGCCGCAATGATATTCTAATGAAAATTCAGAGATCTCTTGAATGAACTATTTTTGTGGATACTAGTTATAGCTTCAGATACCATTAGAAACATAATTCAGTCCTTCTTAAAGTCACAAATATTGCACATATTCAAACTGAAAACTACTACAACATATTCCAAATTAAGACAAGCCTGTGACTCAAACGTCTCCTTTCAACACCAACTTAACCCCAATTCATCCAATTTCTGTTCCAAATCCGTGTTGAACATTGCTGCACTCCTTTGATCAATTGCAGTATGTCACTCTACCCAATCGCGATGGTGAACATTCCAACTTTGTACAAGGGTTGGGCTAAAATCGTAAGGCTATATGTACTGTACCTTTAAAACTTTACAATTTGTGAAAAGAAGAGAAAACATCCGCTGAAATTGAATTTCCTGTCAATTTGGTTTGAAGGAGTGGTAGACGTTGATGCATGTACCTTAGATTTTCAATGGAGGAAGTTTTTTTTTCAAATTGATCAAAGAACGAATCGGTGAATGAAGTTTGAGAACCCGAGGTGTAGAACACGAATCATATACTTATAGTTTTCTCAATTAAACCATTGAAGTATTATCATCTGCTAACTCAATAGCCAATTGTCAATTCAAGCCTTGGTTTGTATCTTTTTCCTTTGTCTAGCCCAAATCTTTTATGCTTTTGCCGGTCGAGACCTCATCATCACCCCCTTGCTACGCGAAAAAAACGCGACGCGACTCACGTAGAAACGCCAAAAAAATCAAAATATTTTGATTTTGATGTGCAAAAAACCGTGTCTAATCAAAACAAAAATGCATAGACTATTTACCAAACACAAATAACCCACTGAGCACACTACATATTCCTTACAATAAGATATGAGAAGTGAATACATATACTTTCATCCCTACAATTGACGCACACAGTACTGAAAATTTTCTCGAGAATGAGGCATGGCACACACAAAACACGACTTTGGTTATACAAAATTCCCGATTCGCGTGTCACCAAGATCCTAAGCTCAATCAACTTTTTGAAAAGGTATAAAGGTAGTAGAAGCTGCTGATTATTTTTTTAAAGTTCTTCCTTTTCTTTTATTCTTCATCTCAAAAGTCCAACTACTTTACATTCATTTAACAAAAGATCATATCCAACTATTATTCACTCATTTACAATGAAATTCTCAACTATTGCTCCAATTGCCTTCTCATCATTAGCTTACGCTGCTTACACTCAAGAAACTTCAACTGCCGTTGTTGAACATGATGCCACTACTTTGAAAACTATTACTTCATGTTCTCATGAAGCTTGTACCGCTTACACTTCAGTTGCTGTTGCCACTACTACTGCTACTGAAAGTGAAAGTGATGAAATTGTTTACGCTACCACCACTGTTAAACCAGCTTCAAGTGGTTCATCCCTTGCTTCAACTTCAGGAAAAGCTCCAGTTTCATCAGATTCAACTTTCTCAACAACTGTTGCTTCAACTTCATCTGCTCCATCATCAGCTTCATCAGATGATATCACCTATGTTGATGAAACCACAACTCCAACTGTCACTAAATCAACCATTGCTTCAACAGATGTCACAACTACACCAACTTTATACACAACTTTCAACAGCGGAAATCTTTCAAACCGTACTAGTTCAGTTGCTGCTTTAAGTACGTATGAAGGTAACGCTAACTTAATCAGAGGTGGTTTAGTTGGTGGTGTTTTAGCTGCTGGTATTGCCTTATTATTATAATGAACAATTTTTAAGGAAAGAAAAGGTTTATGTTTTTCGTGTTTTTGGTTTCTGTATAATAGACGTTGACATTTAATTTATGATACACATGACATGAGAATATAATTGATTGTACTTGATGATTGTAGTTGCATACAGCTTGAGCATTTGGCGATGATAAGTCTTTTTTTTTTATAAATATACCTGTATTTTCTAATTACTTACTAAGCTATATAGAGCCACAGGGTTTGGATTTATCTCAAAATATTTGATTTCAAAATAATTGCTGTGTAACTACTACCTGTCTTGTTTGGGCTAGTACGATAAGTCATGGTACTATTTCTCACACATTTCCGCGAACGCTAGTAACTAACCACTACAATATCTCCAAAACTTTCAATACAACAACCAGAATTAAAATAGATATTTCAACTATTCAAACACTAGAGAACTATATTTTGAAACTCTCATATAATCTTCATCAGTTTGAAGTAATTCATTAGTGTCTTGTATGTACTTTGAACCGTCTAATGCTTTCACCAACCTATTGGATGTGATACGTCAGAAGAAGATGCTTAAACTTTAGTACTACAAACGCCACTCTACAGAGCATGAAGGCTGAACACAATGCTATCTAGAAACATAAGTAATGTGACTGCATGTCAAAATTGCACTGGTATGCTTCAAATAATCTTCTCGCAGGACAACCATAGGCTAGAAGTTCTTTAATATTGCATGAATCTTTCAGCTACCTTGTCGTTAAGAGATTTCAGCATATACAGCGTCTCTTTTCTTCAGCACATTGAGAGTAAGTTGGTACTTTTGAACTGGTAACAATAGTAAATATGATCTTGCTTTCACTAAACCTCAATATTGCGTTTGAAATTAGTACTTGGTGGTTGCAATCATCATAAGCTGGAGGTTCCAATGAATGTCCATCGTGACATCAGTCTAGGTGGACGAGGTCTCTGAGTAACGCTGGCTACTAATCAATTTAACCAAAAAGTATATACTTCAACCATGATTATAACTCAAAGCAATAGCTTCGCAAAAACCATGTAATTCTCAACCAGTTTGTGAGAATTCTTTGGAGTTTGAATTTGATATGCAACCGAAAGGACGTAGCGGATAATTAAACGTCCGGCATCTTAATTGATAATTCTGACAGGGGCGCCATTTTCCGAACTACATCAAAAGTTTATCATTACTATTCTTTTTTTATATTATTAAAAACCCTATATAAAACCACAATCATAAATAAATCACCAAATTCACTGAAATTAAGGTCAACTCAATATTCAGCTAATCTCAACTTTTCACTCAATTGTCTACTTGAAAAACCAGATTTTTTGAAACCAAATCTTTCTGGACTGTTACCTCTTGATTTTATTTCATCATCTTCCAAGTCAAAGTAACCATAACCACCTAATAAATAGTTCAAGTTTCCTGATCTTGCATGTTGTAATCTTCCTCTTTCCTTTTGCTTTTCTGCATTCAAGATTTCTTCTTTATAAATATGTTCAATTTCTTCATAATAATTCTTTAAAGTATCAATAAATCTTTGAGTTTGACGATGCTTTGAAGAAACACAAACTGTGATTGAATTTTCTTTGATAATATAAGCGATACCAAACCCATTAGAAGCAACTGGACCAAATCCGAAAACTTTTAATGAAGGATTACCACAATTTGAAGTTGAAATGATTGAATTGTTCAATTTATCCCAACCTGAATCTGCAAAGATTGATGGAATTTCATTTTTATCAAATTTACCTCCAAATGAAGCCATACTTTCAGAATTACCAATAGTGGAATCTGAATGAGTATCACCATCTTCACCATCAGTGTCATCAGCATTTGAATCATCGTGATCAGCAACATAACGTTTCCAAATACAAAACAATGCATATAAATGACGATCTTGACCTAAACCTTGAGAACAACGTCTAGTGGTTTCTGAATGTTTCTTTGATGCAATTCTTAGGAATTCTAACTTGTCTTTACCTGGAACATCTTCAAAAAATCTTCTAACAAACAAGTTTGATTCAAGTGAAACTGTTCTAATAGCTTCAGTACGACCATGTAAGAATTGTTTAGTCATTGCAGGTTCATAAGTACATTCAACTTTACCATATAATGCATAATAGGCAGCTTGGAAACTCATTTGAACAAATGCATCTGGTGAGCATTTCAACTTTTTGATTAGATCAGAACCATAATTTTTAAACTCTAATGTAGCAAATTCATTTTGAGAGATTAAATCAGATAACCTTGTTTCACCAAATCTTAAAGATAATGATAAATCCGAAGTTAGATTCCATTCCAATTTTCTTGGGATTGTAATAATATTTGTATCGATTGAGGATTTATTTAAAATTGATGGAGATTTTGATTTCCAAATTGATGGAGAATTTGGATTGATTGATTTAGCAAATTTTAAAATAGAATCAGTATAAATATCTGAGCAAAATCTTAGGACAGTATGACCATCAACACCAGTGTGTTCGAAATTAACACCAGCTTTTGCATTTTTGGTAATGATTAGTTGTAATTTATCATACCATCTATTTGTACAAGTACCAACTTGAACACCTTTTTCCAATTTTGATATACCACAAAGCATATTTTTAGATAAATCTGGTAGTGTATCCAATTCAATATCATCTAAAACAACAACAAATAAAGCAGAATCGATAATTTTCAAGATTTTGTAATTTATTGGATCATTTAACAAAGAATTTCTCAAGTTTGCCCAATTTTTACGATTTTCAGTTGTCAAAACACCAAAACTTGATCTAGCCAATTCACTTGGAGTTGTCTTCATTGAATCTCTAACAATACTTTCAAAATTAATAGACATTTCATCATCATTCAAGATCAAATCATTATTTCTATCCAAGACATCAAACCAATACAATTGAGATTTTGACAAGACAATAATATGATGAGATGAAGAATCACTTTGCATAACACAACCAGTTTGAGTTGGAATTCTTGCAGAACCAAACAATTTATGGTATTGATCCATACATAACGGAGTTGTCTTAATCATATCAGGTGGTAGTTCCTCTCTTCTCAAAGCTCTAATGAATTCTAATGAAGATTGAGTTAATGAAGTTGCTCTTTTAACTTGGGTATTGTTAATTGGAGTTGGATCATCTTCTAATAAGAAGAATGGGTTCAAGTTCAAAACAACTGGAGAGTCATAATTCAAATAAGAATCATACCAAAATTGTTCAATATATGAAGGTCTTGTCTTGGAGTATTCTCGAAGTTGTTGATCTAAATAGGGACCTATACCATTGAGAAATTTATGAGTAGCAGCCTGCGTCTCTTTAAATTCAGCTTCAGTTTGTAATGGTCTTAAGGCATTTAGATAATTTTCACAAGTTGATTTCAAATCAGGGATTGGTAGTTTCTCTAGTTTATCTTGATATTGGAAAGTGGACATTTTGATTATTGTTGATTGTTGATGAAAACTCAGAGAGAATATTATGGGATACTTTTGTCTTTCTTATATAGCTTCATCAAGAGTCTTGATGAGCTTAAAGCATAAAGGTCATGTAACGGCCAACTGGGTATATTTTACCTTCACATCAATGCTTATCTCATCTGGACCAGTTGTTATGTCATCAGCACCACCATTAACAGAGTACAAAGCGCTCTTAAAATCGTGACTTTACTTTACTCTGGTCATGATTTGACAATTTTCTTCTCGTCAGGCTGAACGGTGCAAATTCAAACACAGCGAAAAGGGCGGTACGTGGCACAGGCGGACTCCTACGGCCAGGGACACAATAAAGCTTGACACCATTTCATCCGATTTCCGATTAGATAGAGGGAATACAAGTTATTAAGGTATTCATGGTTGTATTCTTATAACTAACATGGTACTGGTTTAATTATGGTCATGTTTAACCAAGTGGTGAAGGTCATAATTCAAACGTCTCAGATGTGTCAATAGTGCTTTTGCTCAGACTCAAATCCCAAGAAAAGCTCATTCTTTTTATACAAAAACTGCGTTGGAGAAGTGTTGAATTGAATAGGGAAATTGACTCAAGTTTCAACACGATCTAAAAATGGAATAGAGCGCCCAATCGCTAACCGATTGCTGTTTGCATGATATAACCAGATCTATACAGAGTTACACGTTCAATTGGCTACAGATGTAGATGTCAACTAGCATAGTTACAAAGTGAACTCTTTAGATTTTATAATTAGCTATGCTACTGTATCAGATACATGAATCTCATGAATTATCTAGCTATGGCTGTTCTGTGGAAAGAATTGAGCAGGTATGGCTATATTATCTTATCAAGGTTCTGATCCTGATAGCACTCTTTTACTTCAAGTTATAATTGATACACAGCTCTCCTAGTAAAGAGATATCACATCGCCCGAAGTACTCTCTAACAAGAAAAACAGAATTTTATCAGAAGAGAACATTGACAACGAGCTCTAGATCGATTACGACAATGACTTTGCAAAATCTCATTCATGCAATACTTCGTTTCGTTCGGAAGCTCCATGTTAGTTTAATAATGCTGATAAGCTCAAGGTCATGATTTTGACTCAGCTTGTCGACGCTTGACCCGTGTAGCCTATATTAGCTTCAAATATCCTCTATTCCTTGACCATACATAATTCAAAAAATAATACTAAAACTGATAGAAGACATCTGTCAATTGTCAATATTTTCTATCAAATATTGGATCAATGGAGCACCTTCATCGACATAGATTAACACTGAACTAAAGTCTTTTTCCCGATTTAAGCTTTGATTAACTGTAGCATTGTTTGACTCCTTTAAGTGAATATATTTGATTGAAGTATAACTGGCCATGTTTTACTGTGTTTTTTTGCCTTTGGTCCATACCAGAAATCTTCATCTTTCAACCTGCCTGCTGGAGAAGAGATATTAGCATCAAAAACATAATAGTCCACATTTCACTAGTGATTGGAATTACAACAATTTCAATATCAAATGAAAAACTGTAGATGCAATTGATCATTTATGCTGTACTTCTCTGGTTGGTTTTTCAATATAATCTCTTGATCATAAGTTTCTATTATCAAACAAAATTAACGGAGGTTCAGGTTCTAAACCAGCATTAATATTAAAGCATAGTTCAATAATATTCATATGTTGGAAATTCGTGAAAAAAGCAATATCATTGAACGTTAACCTTGGACGTAGTCAATTGTAATTACCATTGGCTTCAGTTAATATTATTGTACATATACGTCTTCTTCAGAAGCGACTAGTTGAATTAACAGTAGAAAGCTGCATCATTTGCTGAAAAAGTTGAGTTATCTCGCTAATGTAACATTTAATAGCCTGCCAACACCGTCACTATTAGTTTGTTCCTGACTTCTGAACGCATAAAATGGAGTTGTAAGATTGTGTTCAATTGTTTTATCAAGTGTTGTAAAATCATCCACTTTTTTTTGTCGTGAATTTTTTCGTTTTTTAAGCGCAAAAGCTCGCTTAAATTGGCAATCACTGTTCATGCACTTTCCCCAATCGGGAATCTGTACGATAGTTATGTCAAAGTAATTCACAAGTTGCACGTTCAACTAGTGTGTGCTTGTGCATAGATCCCATGTTATAAAGTACAGATCAAAAGGAGTTAGAGACTGTCAGAAAATGAGCTCAAAAGCTTCTAAACAACTACCAAAAGCACCTTGACACTTCAAATCAAAACCAGCTTTCAATATCTATATTGGCTTTTAAACGATAAAGTATGAATAAAACTGTCTTGCTGACGTATTTAACTCAATTTTTCCAGTTCGGACGGGTTCAATTTTTACGACTTGGTCCTGACTTCAACGCGCCCGCTGCGTGCTCGTAAAAATTTCAGGATTTGACCATGAGTAAACCAGAAAAACTTGAACCCTCTGTTCAAATCACAATTTTACAAACACTCGATACACTTATATCCGTTAGAAAACTTATACTTTGAGCAAAAAGTGTGAGTTTTTCCCCTACTGCTCAGTAAATTAGAAGAGCTCTTACCTAGCAGCGTAGATGGTTCTCAAATCTTGCATACAAAGATCGCTGGTGTAAAATTTGGTGCCTTTTTTTCAAGAATCGCAGTCGTTTCAGAATTAGTTTGAATTGACGGACTGGAGTGAAAATTACTCCGTCTAAACTAGCTAATTCTAACCAGTCTCATGAAGAATCAATCAATTCTGCCTGATTGAAATTAAGGTTTTAATATAGAGCAGGTGTTCCACAATTAAACAAAGGTTGCGGAGCTGTCATTTTTGACTTTTAGCTTTGAACAGTGCAATATGGTCAGCTTGACCTCATTAACTGGAATCAGATAATTGTTCAACCAGAGCTAGCTTTCATGAATCTGAAATCTGAGCGTATGAAATTAGTGCAAAGTACATACGTGTACTTGTATTTGTATCAAACTAATTCAAACACACGAGTTTCAAATCGACCGTTGAAACTTCATTACTGCAGGTGAAGCATCGGTGAACTCCATGAAGCATCAATCATTCAAATATTTTAACAAATACGATACAATCGACGAAATATTTGAAGAGCCGCTATCAAGGCCACTGGAGATCCATTCAAATGTTAAACGTCACTCATCTAGCTTAACGCGCCTATTATAATTGCTTTGGAATTAAAATGAAAACAATATTGTAATGCAATGGGGTTTTCTTCTTCGAGTTAATTACACTGATCATCGAAGCTTGTAAGACGTCCCAATATGATCTCTGATCCTTTTGAATAATCTGAGGATTAGCCGCCTACCATATTGAAGCAACAGATTAAGTAGAGATTAGATGTAAGCATAAACATAAGATTCAAAGCCCAGCGCCAGGTGTTAATTTTGAAGCTGAAGATGATATTCATGTTTGCACTTTTCATCATAATGCTTCAGCCATTTCATAAACCATGTCTAGGCGAGGTGTTGATCGGGATAAGGTGGCCAATAAGTGGGCCATGACCACTAGTAGGTTACTCGATGTCGCGCACTAAATCTTGTCACTAGTGTACGATTAAGATGTACTATCGAACGATTTGATGTCAAGTCAAGTAAAATGACAGCCTTCACCATCACTACATTTGTCCTCCTTCTCCTGTCTAAAAGTTTCTAGAAGCTCTGGACGTTTATAAACGGTCTCCATATAATCAATTGTTCATATTCAAGATTAAGTTTCCGAACAGTAATATGTCTCCGTTTGCTCAACCAATCAGTATTTAGAATATTATAGGGTTTTATGAGATGATCAAGTGTGTAGCACCCTCATCTGATAGCTACACCATCATTAGTTGAGAGTACTGATCACAAAAGATACAAAACCGGCGTTGTCTCTCGATTAATTGTTGGACATATCTGATGTAGAATACCAAATTTAACGTAGAATGTAAACTATTGAACAAAAATATAAGCTGCAAATTAGGGAAGAACGCAGAGAAAACTAGATCGAGATTTGATTGCAATCATTCGCTTTGTACTGATTGGGGGACGTTAGCAATTAACTTTATGCAGTGTTTCTTGAATACTTTAAAATCCGTCTAAGTATAGAACAAAGTTCAACAATATTTGAAACAATGTGCTGATTGATGGTGTAAGTTGTAACTGATTAATACCTGCTAAGTACCTATAGGTCCATTTTCCTTTTGGGTAGACACAAACTTCAGAACCTCAGGTACTAAGTATAATGGGCCTGCAGTCAAATATAGTCGCCATGGAGAATTGGTTACACATAGTTGATCCACAAATTGAACTGACCAAAGCTTTAAATCAAAGTTCATGTCCGAGTTGAAAGTAATCGTGACCCATGAAATTGAATTTGTACCACTTTTCCTTCTTCCTCTGACGTACACTTGAGTCTTTGTACAAATATATCCGAATATACAGAAGTGCCCAGCTCATCAAGAAGTTAGAATGGTGAACCCCTAGAGCTCTAGATAAGATAATCTATTCAAGAGCTTGTAATTAGACGGCGTAGTACATGTGGATAGCCATATCACTAGGTAGTTTATTGCAGGTACTAGGTTCCCTTTTAGTCACAGATGGAACATACCTACAGGGCCTTCAAAAACCGCATCAAACGGACTAGATTTCCAGGAATATTATAAATTGATGGAATGAGTGCTTGTGCCCAAATTTCAGTCTAAACATTGACGTCGACAGGTCAGCCAAAGGCCCATAACACATAACAGAACTAGCACCCAAACAGCATGTATGTATTCTAAAATCAAAGTACTATGTGTAGCACTTTGGTCAGTGCAATTAAGAGCTAATTGAATGATCATCGACTACAGCGTACCACAATAACATTTCGCTTTTTTCACATTTCAAAATTGAGTGGTAATTTGCATATTAGGCATTATTTCACTTACATGAAACCACGTCTTGAAACAACCAACCAGCATAAACTTTAAACGTCCACATCAACACCATCAACAACAACAGAAACACTAACAAGTGATAGCTTTACACACAGGTTGTTGGCGCTAGATTGTTCCCTCCAGATAAAAGAGTATTATGTTCAGTTTCGCTTAGAGCGATACCTCTATTCAGCACTAGTTTTTTTCCTATCCCAAAAGTTCCTCTTACACCCATTCATCAACTAGTTATTAAACTTACTAGCTTCAAAAGGGGACTACTGATATACCACCATTACCTTCATTTATTGAAGAGCGCTATCCATTTGGACTACGTATTCCATCAATTTTAGCCAATTTTGTTATTAGTTTTCAGCCGTGATTCTACTAAAACACTCCAGTCGTTGTTGAAACAAGACTCTAGCTATACACAGTCTTCAAAAGTTTTCTAGCTGTTTGCTTATATTTATTAATTGTCGTTTATCAGAGGTTGGCAATTCAATCACAGTTTATATTGTTAATTCCCTAATTAGGTTTATTGTTGTTTTATCCCTTGGTTCACCTTTTAAGCTGCTTATATCTCATTTAATTGTTAATCATTAATTGTTGGGTGTATTATACTATATGGCCCTATTATGTCTGATCATAAGAATTCCAAATCGAATTATGATCGTTGGAAACCAGGGACAAAATTAGCTTGTATGATGTCTTTAAAACAAGTTTGTCAGGATTCAAGATATTATGACCCATCAAATAATCGTTTCAATTCCTTAACATGGCATACAGTTGCTGAAAATTTGAACAAAGAGTATCCTGATTATGCTAAACGTTTTACAAACATCAATGTCAAAGATCGTTATGACCGTGTTTTAAAACATCATAAAGTGTTCAAGAAAATGGCTGATAAGGCTAATGGCTTTGTATGGAATCCAAAGAACTTTTGTTTTGACTTGAACGAAGAGTTAATTAAACAATACGAAGAAGGTTATATAAAGGATGATGTTATCTCAAATGAGTTAAATGTCGTTAAATTTTTATCAAAGCCCGGTCACATTGATTTAGAGTACTATCATCGTTTTGTTTATCAATTTGCAAACCAAGAAGAACTGGAAAATGATGCAATTATTCAATCACCTTCATTCATAGATGATGCCATTGCAAAAGGTATATTGAATCTTGTAACTAAATCCAACTTTGTTTCAAAGAATGATCATCAAAATTCAAATGAGTTTCAATCATCACCAGTGATGTTACAACAGCAACCAGTCCAACATCAATCATCATCCTCTTCAAATACAACAAATTCATCAACATCAATACCAATGGCACCAAACTCAGCAAATTCACAAACACAAATACCCAACAGTTCCATGCCTTCACAGTCATCGTCATCAATGATTCCAATACAACAACCACATCTTCAACATCATTTGATACCCAATCCTCAACCTCCACATCCTTCAATACAACCACAACACTCATCAGATTTAGACTTCTCAGGGCTAATAAATCCAGATCAATCAGTTCCACAACAACCCCCTCATACCCATCCCCATCCAACACCAATGATGAATCCAGGTATGACTATACCTTTTCAAATGGGACCAGGCGGTGAGATGATTCCAGGTCCAAATACTCAAAAAAATTCATTACCTTTAGCTGGTCAACCTCCATTCAAGAAGCCAAGAACTGCAAGCATACCAGGTGGCTCATCATCTGTTGTACCACAAAGTATAATAGGAACAGCTATGATGGTTGATAATTATGAATCGATGCTGGCGGCTCAACAAGGGCCTGCTGGTGGTCAACCTGCTGGTAGATTTGGATATAGTTCATGGGAGGCTATTATGCAGTTGAATAAAGAGTTTGATATGATGAGGAATTTGGTCAATGAACAAATATTGAATCTAAGATTACAGAAATTGATTAGCTATCAAGATTTTAATCAAATTCAAACTATTCAGAATTCAAATGATCAATTTGTTAGAAGTGCTTATAAAAGAATTGGTGATGACCCTAAGCTAATAGATCTGATCAATATTTATCTAAACAATACTGATTAATGAAAGATGGTCATCTTGTTGAGCTAAAACTGGAATAGAATCAATCAAAAGGTTCCATTGGAGATGTTAAACTTTGGAACCATTAAAGAATGTACTATTATAATCAAGTTTTTTGTACCAATAGAAAAGTTCAATATCATAGTAAAGTTGATTTGATTTAAAGAATGACCTAGACTCAGGTGTTGAGCCAAAGATGTAGCTTTAATTCACACATTGACATTCCCTAGAAAGTGCGGTCACGTTCTGAACTTGTGATGCTCGACCATAAGGCACTGAGACGCCACTAGAGCTGTTTTGAAGTACAAATTGATCGAAAATTGTGGATATCTTCCTTCACTTGATAATCGCCTTATAGTCTTAAAGTACAGTTCTTCACACAAATCCGTCATGAACAGTTCAACAGTTTCTCCTACGGTAGTAATTACTAGTAGTGCTGAGTTTCTGCACTACGTACAACTCTAGAGTGCTCTAGTTCTTGAATATTCGGTCCAACTAATGAAAACTGTATAACTATATACCAATTCAACAGGATCAAATATATAGATCTTTAGAAATATTGAGGTTGACGTTACGTGGACCATAAATACAGAGACTTTAATATTCAATCTTGTTAGCTTTTAGTATAGAAGCTGTAGGTGTTGAAGCTGGCTGGTTTGAAAGAAAATCAACATTAATAGATGATCTCAGTGCAAATGATCCATAGTTTAGTTAATGTCTCGGGTTTTTCCACCAGCTTGTGCACCTCTGAAAGAACTTCTCTTAGGTTAGACCAAATAATTAATCATTCTACTCTGGATTAAAAAGTACCAACAGTGGATCCGGTAAAGGAGTCACTGGTCAGCTCAGAACTCAGAACAAAGGTTCACGCTCACAAACTGCAAGCAGTGATTTACTTTGAGGCTGGAATGATGAATCTTTGCCTATAAAATCTATAACTTACAACGTAGTTACAACTTACAAGGTGATGTTCATCTTTTATTGATGTCAGTTTAAGCACAATCAAACATCCCCTTTGACAGATATTCACATCAAAAAAGTGAGATCGCCAAATGCGCACAAAGAAAGGAAAAAAAAAAAATCCATTTTAAGCACGCCTTTGAAAAGTTATTCCGCAAATTTACTTAAAATGGATGGATTTACGTAAATAGCGAAAATTTGGCGCCAAAAAATGCGCAAAAAATATTTGGACGAGACCGGAGTCGAACCGATGACCTTTTGCTTGCAAGGCAAACGCGCTACCAACTGCGCTACACGCCCTAAGATAAAATTTGAAAAAATGCTGGTAGCTTATGCGAAATTAGGCGCGGATATAAGCGGCCAGATTATTTGACTTTTGGTGCTTAATCATAGTCTCAGAAAACTGATATGAATGTGAATTGAATACGCTTAAGCTTACTACCAAGTGCTATTCAGTTACCTAGCCCACAGTTCATTATGGAGTCAACCATAAAATTGTACTTTTGTGGCACTTCAATCATCTAGTCATGATTCTATTGGTTCCAAAGATTATCTTAATTAGCTGCCTGACACAAAACTGAAAAATTCAGATACTTCAAATTCCTCCACAAACAGAGAAGTGCGGGTCCCAGAGAGCACTAGCTACTTGATGCTCATACTGAAAACGACTGGCTTATTTGGTAACTTGCATAGAATTGAATCTATCCTTTAAGCAAAGATCAACAAGATGAAATTCAACAGTTTCTACTATTCAATCATTTTGATTCCAACAATCTTTGCAACCACAGCTTTAACAGATCCACCAACTAAAACAATCACTGAAGTTTTGACCATCACATATACACCAACAGAAACTTCTAAGAATAACGTTGTTACAAAGACACTTTATGAAACTATCCATGATGGTATCGAATCAGATCAACAAACCAAACCCGGGGACTTTGCACAAACACCTTCAGTTCCAGTAGCTGCTCCAGCTAATGGTGAGTTTATCAACAGCTTATTATCAGATTTGAAAGCTCATAAAAAAATAGCACAGAATACTAACAAAACAAAAGTTCTCGTACCAGGTTTAAACGTTGAATCAACTAGTGGTGTTGTACCTGAAGCTAATGAACAATTAAAATCTCAAGCTGGTGAAGATGAATTTGGATATGATGCTGATTATTTTCAAAGTCGTTTAGAACCACTCATTTCAAACCCATCTGAAAAAGATTTCCATGAGTTGAATGAAGAAATTGATTCACAAGTCAGTGATGAAGAAGATGATGATGAAGAGGAAGAAATTTATGAAGAGTCTGAAGATGGTGAGGACTTTGAAGATGATGTTGAAGTTGCTGATGAATATGATATTGATGCCGATGTTGAAATATCCTCTCCATATCATCTTGATCCAAATTATAGAGGTACCACCAACCCAAAGGAATTAGAAAAACCAAGACCTGCTGATGCCACAGACGATATCAATCAACCAGATCCTACACTCGATCAAAACAATCCACTAGAACACCAACAACCGACCATTGATGAGCAACAAAAAGATCAAGACCCAGAAAATAACAATAATCCTAATGAGCCTCAACTGGTGGATGAAGATCTTTCAAACAAATACACTCATTCAAATTTCACCAAGCCTGAACCTAATGAAGAAGGACATCCTATCCCTCAACCAATTGGTGAACATGATCCAGAAGAGGAAGAAATAACAAAGGGCAAACAAGTTTTGGATAAAGAAGAGACTGATTCATTAGTTATTGGTAACAAAACTTCTGGAATCCCAAAGAAGATTAAAGGTAACAAATTGAAATCTGAAGATAATGATTTTGAAAATAGATTCATTCAAGGTTCGATAATTGATGGATTAGATTCCAAAAACCAAACCTCTAGAACTGGGAAGTCATCATGTAGGCCATTGAGCACAACTTTAACCAAGATGAATGATGATACAAGTGGAGGGTCCATGAATTATATTAGTTTGAATTCAGTTCTTTTCATTGTTGGGATTTTATCTGGATTCATGACATTTGCATAGGTAGAAGTCTGATTGTTTAGCTATTGAGAATTGACGTGGACATTTTAAGTACTCTTTGTAGCAATACCACCATCAATTGAGCCTTCAGCAAGAGAATAATGTAAACCCAGCTCTTTATAACCATCAAATCAACAACCGCTGAGTTGATATTCTTCACCAGCGAGAATTAAAGTCAAAGGCCAAATTAAAAAAAAATCGTGAAGAAAAAAAAGCTTTGGAAGAAAAAAAAAGTGGGAAGGGAGCGATCGAAAAGTGGAAAGTAGGAATTCGCAAAAAGGACAAATTTGCTGGCTTATACTTTTGAACACAGCGTTTAAGAACGTGATTGAATAAATAGAATCGTATTAGAGGATTTCCAAGATGGCTGAAGTGAGTATTGATTGCTGAATTAAACGGGGGCAATGATGTTATTTTGTGGTGGACAATAGTGTCGAAAGCGCTATGTATAATGGACGTGTGCGATGAATTGAATGAACTCTATTGCCCTTGCTCTTGACGCTCTTTTTTGATTAAAATCAAGACTAACGACATATGAAAAGGTTCAAAGAACAATCAGAATCGTGACGAATCAAAATATAGTGGAGGGTGCTCCAGTTCCAGCTGAAGGCTTTCCTTTACGTGCTTGGTCAATTGAAATATTTCTTTTAAATTCAGAAGGTAAACCTATTCCTGCAACTATATTTGAAAAAGTTACATATCATTTACATCCAACTTTTGCCAATCCAACTCGTGTTTTGAAGAAAGCTCCTTTCAAAATTTCCGAGGAAGGTTGGGGTGAATTTGAACTGGGTTTAACATTAACATTTATTGAAAAAAGTGGTGAAAGAAAATTAGCTCATGATTTGAATTTCCAACAGAATAGATATGAAGTTGATCATGTTCTAAATGTTCCAATTAACAAGAGTGCAAATCTAAGAAATTTATTAGCTGAAAGTGGTTCAGTACCAGATGTTGATGAAAATATTGGTGATAAACGTAAACAAAATAATGCTAATGATTCTAAAAATAAAAGATCAAAATTAGCTTCAAGCTCAATGACAAACCCTATTAAAGGTAGTGTGGATTTGGAAAAATTAGCTGAAGGTTTAACAAAATTAAATGAAGATGATTTATTAGGAGTTGTTCAAATGGTTACTGATAATCGTACACCTGATATGAATATTAAAAATGATGTTGAAGAAGGTGAGTTTACGATGGACTTATACACTTTACCTGATAGCTTGTTGAAAAGTCTTTGGGAATATGTTAAAAAACGTACTGAATGATTATGATTGTTGGGTTATTTTTGTTGAAAAAGAATGAACGCTTTGTTGTTTGAAACAAGAGAAAAGAAAAGAGGGTAGATTGACTATTGACTCATCATTATTTATTGAAAGGCGTCATTTTTATGTTCTATCTCCTTCTTTTTGTAATTTTTTGTATTGTACATTAAAAACAAACACTTTTTATGTTTATGTTACATACTGTATGTTAGAAAGTAGATCTTTTCAATTAAACTATAAATAAGATGGCGTAAACACTCTCATTGTTGTATCCCATGATGCAGTAGCAACAGCTAACCCATTCGGTGAAGTTGCAACATGTGAAACACGATTATTATGACCTTCTAATTTCCCAACAATTTCAGCTTTTAATAAATCCCAAACCATACAACCATGTTCTGTATAGCAAGAATACATTAATCGACCTGATTGACTGAAATCTAATGAAGTTATACCTGAATTATCAATGGCCGAATTTAATGAATTTGATATAGATAAAGAAGATCGACTCTTGACAAATGGTGATTGATTGTTATATTGTGGAGTGTTTGGTGTTAGAAAAGTTTGATTTTGCTTGGATCTATTCATTTCTTGTATAGCTCTAGGCAGTGAATATTGAGCCAATTCACAATCAGCTCTAAGATCAAATAATCTTATAACACCATCATCACTTCCCGTTACTATTGAATTCCCATCTTTGAAAAATTTAACACTTGTAACATCACTGTTACTCACAAAGAAACTTTGTTCCAAGTTTGAAGATCTTCTATCCCAAATTCTTGCATACCCATCTGAAGCACCTGAAACCAATTGATTTGTATCTGATTTATTAATATCCATGCAAAGTACATCACCTAAATGGTCCAAATATTCGGCAGTTTTTTTACCTTTCTTTATATCCCATAGGGCACAAGTCATATCACCACTTGCTGTCAAGATTTCTTCATCATTAATGAAATCACATGCAGTAATACCACAAGTATGACCTTTGAAAATTGACACGATTCTTTGTTGGAATGCAAATTCATCTTGTAAATTTGAAGAGATTCTATAAATTGTACAATTGTTTGTTAATCCTGCACTTGCAACTAATTGAGCACTGGGCGAATAAGCACAAGATAATACCCATTGAGATTCTAATGGTACTGCATTCAATTTTAATCCAGTTGTCGGATCCCATATGATTAAAAACCCATCTTGTGAGGCACTTAATATTGATTTTGAATCCTTGGACCATTTCATATCTGCTATTTTATTATTATGACCTTTTAAATTTTGTAAAGGTTTTAAATTTATCGAATCTTTTGATAACGATGGAATTTGAGTTGCACTATCTAATAATGTTGTATCTTGAATTTTAGCTTTAACTTTATCAATTTGAGCATATAGTTGACGACTCTCTAGTCTAGCTTTATTTAGTTGTTTTGTGATGTACTCTTGAGGATCATCTTGTTGTGGACTCATGACTTGCATTTGTAATTATGGTGGTAAACAATGGATGGTTTTTTGATGATGTTGTTGATAAGAGAATGAATAGTTGGAGGGATGAATTGGGTGGGAGTCTTCTCTTGATTGTGACCAGTTAGTTCTTTGTTGTTGATGCTGTTGAAATAATAGTTTATCCTTTTTGGTAATATTATTAGTATACCCTTATGTGTTGTCTCGAATGTATTAATTTATCCATCATCAAAGTACACTTCAAAATTTCCTTCTGCAACTAAAAAAGCGTTGCCTCATTTCGAATTGAAAAAAAAATGAAACCTTTTTTTCGGATTTAATGTTTCAAAAAAAAAAACGTCGGATTTAACGATTTTGAGGTTCACAAAAATTAATGAAAAAAACTACAAAAAAGAAGATTAATAACTAGTTTCTCATTCATTAAGTGGTTTCTTCGGTGGGTTCTGCTGTTGGTTGTGATGATTTAAAGTTCTCTGTTACTGGATTTTCAGCCGTCGTTGTTGTCTCCACTTGTTCCTTTTCTGTATGCTTTTCTGTTCTTATACTACTCTCCTGTTGAACAACTCTTTCTCTACTTTGCTCAACATTTCTCTCTGGACTTTTAGATCTTGGACGTTTGCTTGAATCACCATTAGCATTAGCATTAGCACTTGCACTTGATTCACGTTTTCTCTTTTTTTGTGAACGATCATCACCTAAATCACCAGTAACTTTTGATAAATATTCAGGAACTTGACCATTATTTTTCAGATAACCCATTTTCCAATTTCTTGCTTTATCTTTTAATTGAACTTGAGTTCTATTTTTCAAATTTTCAGATTTTGAACCACCTGCACCATGTAATTCCAAGATTTTAGACCATTGTGGTCCTGTTTCCTTTAATGCATCAACTAATGTGTTTTCCTCTTCTGATGACCATGGTCTTCTAAGAATATGACGTAAACGAGGTGGATTTGTTGTTGTTGGTGGAGGTCTTTGTGGAGGTTGTTGTGATGATGAGGATGTCGATGTACTGGAAGTTGCCTGTTGCTTCTTTTTCAGTTTTTCTTGTGCAATTCGTTGAGATTCTTTTTCATCACGTTCTTTAAGTTGACGTTCTTTTTCTTTTTGAATTTCAAGTCTTTTTTGTAATTCATCTTTTGACAATGAAGCATATGGTGATCCTGATGTATTATTTGGTGTTGTTGGAGATGATGAATCCAGAGCTGCACCAATTGTTGTCAATACTGTATGACGACCTTTTCTTCCCCATATCAAAAATCCGATATTTTTGGAAACATAATTAAACAATTCTTTTAGGAAAATCAACCATTCGTAATGTTCTGATAAATCTTGATCATCCGAAGTTGTTAATAAAGTTTCACGGCGTGATTTGCAACGTAATAAGAAGTCTTGCTCAGCAGGTGATAATTCAGTAGTTTTTCTTCTTTCCAATAATTGATCTTTCAAATCATCAGGGAAAATATCCTCCAATACTTCAATTTTGGAACGATCACCAGACTCTAAAGCTGAAATATAAGCTTGAGTTTTCAATTCCAAGAAAAGAGCAGCTTGGGCTTTTAGTAATTTACCTGCAGTGACTGAAGAAGTTGCATTAGTTTGATTATTTTTAAACCAACCACTATTATGAGTTGGACAGAAAACATCCAAAAATGATTCATTCAAATAGAAGAACCCAACTTCAATAGAACCAAGAGTTGCCAGCAAAAAAGTAGCTAAATTTGTTTTCCTAAAAGCGGAATCTATTGAATCTTCAATTTCTTTTAAACTCTTAACAATAATCAAATCTAATCCATCAACATCTTCAATTAAGTTATGGAACCCTAAAAATGGATCCTCTTCACTGAAAACTCTTTTAACTTGTTCAAATAACTCAACAAGATCTTTATAAACTAAACCTTCTGGAGTTGGTTCTTCACTTGTAATAATCGCCAAAGTTTCTTCATAGGGGCCCACACCAATCATTCTTAGGATTTGAGTGGATAGATTATCCAATAATGGGATTGAATGTATCAAGAATTGGATTCTGATAGGTAATGAATCATGGGCTTGTAAAGTCAATGGTAATGAAGCTAAATTCGCCTTAATCAATAAAGAAGGTGATATTTCCAAATTTTGTAAAGGATTATAAGAAATGTCTATTGATTGAAATAATGCGGAATCTTTAGGGATTGGTATACCGTTTCGTATCACTGTTTCTGAGTCATTATCTGTGAATGTTTCTGTTATTTCTGAAAGTTCTTTTTCTAATGATATTGGATCTGGTTGGGGTTGTTCAGGTTCTTTGTTTTGATCTTCTTGTTCAATTAGAGCGGGATCGACTGGGTTGTCCTGTTGTTCATCTGTTGTTGGTTCAGCTTCTTTCTCTTGTTCTGGTGGCTGGACAGCTTCTCTAGTTTGTTCTGGTTCTGATTCTTTTTGTTCTGTAGGTTCTGGTTCTTGTGGTTTCTCTTGAGGTTGTTCTGGTTGTTGATCTGAGATGAGTTCCGTGTCCTGAACTTTCTCAGCCTCAAGCTGTGCACTTTGTTGAATATCAGTCATTTTCAAAGCATCTATCTTTAAAGTATATGGGTTTATGGAGACTTTTTTAATGTTGTTTACATACGTTTTTGTTTATGGTTTAAATTTTTCCCTACGATTAGAAAAAAAATTTGGTAAGCTCGGTGGTTAGGGGCACTGGCTCATAGACCAGATATAAGAATAAGCAGTCAAGGAACCATCAGAATGGGTTGTGTTATACTAAGCATTTGAGAACTATCTTGGGACGAGATTACAAGTAGCTGGAGTCATGAATATTCAGCGGGAACTCCAATTGGGAAAGGAATAATTAGCTGTATGGAAAGCGTGTTCAACGGTGAATAATTAGTTCAGTATGACACTAGCATGAGTGCTGCTAATCAAATGAACATAGACAGTACTCATGAGCTAAATTTAATACACTGAATACATATAATTAATTGTATCACCACCGCTTCAATCCAGACAATCTCAACTCAATCAAAGATTAAACAGCTATGTAGTAAAAATGAATCCCTGCAAAATTCATTTTCTGAATAGTGGCCACAACAAGCGATAATGAATCTATCTCCATGGCAACCAGATTTTAGATCACATCTATGGAAACACGTATTAAAGCAGATGAAACATTATCTAAGCCAGATAGTTGTGTTACTTCAATTATAATTGGCTATAATGATGTTATAACTGTCTCAATACCATAAATGTTGATATTCTCTGCCTACTCAACCCCAGCTCATCCCCCAGTGACTCCATCTTCTCCAGGCAGACGTATCACCGATCTCTGCCTGTGGCCCTACCACATCTCTGCCTAGCGACACGCTTTTCAGTTCAAAAAAATCAAAACAAATCAAAACAAAACAAAACAACAAAAACTCAACACCAAAAAAATAAATAAACAAGTTTTTGCTGTTTTTCCCATCCTTCTTTTCAATTACAACAACAACAATCTTTTTTTGTTTACACAACTCAATCAATTGATATATTCCAAGAAAATGGCCAAAGCTGCATCCACCACTAAAGCTACTAAAGCTACCAAAGCTTCTTCTGCTGAGAAGACCCACACCCCATATGCTGGTGAGTATTATTGAACAACCCCCCTTGTTTATGTGTTTATTTTTTTTGTAAACAAATCACTAACTTACTTCCAAGAAATGATCAAGAATGGTATCTTAAACTTGAAAGATCGTAATGGTTCATCTCGTCAAGCTTTAAAGAAATATATTCAAAACAATTACAAAATCACTGCATCCAATTTTGATTCATTGTTTAATGCTGCTTTAAGAAGAGGTGTCGAAAAAGAAATCTTTATTCAACCAAAAGGTACTTCAGGTCCAGTTAAGTTAAACAAAAAGAAACCAGCTGCTGAACCAAAAGCTGTTGAAGCTAAAGCTGCTGCTCCAGCAAAGAAGGCGACCACCACTAAAAAGACAACAACTGCTAAAAAACCAGTTGCTAAAAAAGCTGCACCAAAGAAAGCTGCTGCTAAGAAAGTTACAAAAGCTGCTCCAGCTAAGAAACCAACCCCAGCTAAAAAGGCTGCTGCTCCAGCAAAGAAAGCTACTGCTGCTAAAAAAGCTGCTCCAAAAAAGGCAACAACAACTAAAACCACTAAAAGAACTGCAAAGAAATAAGATGCTTTGTTTCTAATTGGTTGATGTTTATGTTTTAAAGGTGTATTTTATTATTATAATGAGGTGAATGGTTTCCTTTTGTTGTGTTTTTTTTTCTCTTTTTTGATATCCTCTCCCCAAAGGTCACACTCATCAGTTTTTTTTCTATCAAAATGTTGTTTTGTCTTTGTTCCTTGATTGTTTTTTTGATCAACAACTTTTTTTTACTTCCTTATTCTTTTTATTATTACTTATGCTCTTGATATTGGTTATTTGATGGGTGTAATTAACTCTGTATACTATACTATTATCCATATTATTGTTGTTGAGAGTGGTGTTTTTTTTGTGTGTTATAATTTGAATGTGTATTATTTAGAGACTGATGTAGACTAGGTCCGCTATGCCCACGGAGACTAGTCTTTGTTGAGACCATCCTTTTGTTACAGCCGAAGTCCCGAAGCCAAAGCAGAGACTAATGCTCATTGTACTCGTAAAAAGCAGTGAAATGATGGATTAAGATAGAATGGAATTGAATGATTGAGTCGTATCTAAATGATTTATAAGGCATCTATTATTCTCTCAACCTCTATATGTATCTCTATCAAATTCTCACCACTTCAGCTTCCTTCCAGACTCTTGTCCCTTGGTGACTATGTCCGTTGTACTGATATAAGTATAGTCACTCCCGGAATACCCAACATCAGCAGAATTAAAGTCAATTGGATTCTTATGGGTAACTAGTAGCTTCGAGTAGTACAATCTACTCGTCACTATGGTCCTCTCTCGCACCCATTCGGTCTGTATATTGTTCAAAGTGGCATCATTTGTCGTACTCGATCAACTATATCCCCAGATTCCCACACTAAATATAGCTCAAGCGAATCCAAACGACAGCATCGACAATGCAACAACCAGCTTGAAAAAAAGACAAGATACTAGTACTTTAAAGCCAGCCAGACCCTGGATCCAATTGAGCCTAGGTAGAACTCAATTTAACATTCACCTTATAATTTGTACTAGTCCTCTCTAATTCTAGTGTCAGCCGGTCTTTGACAACTTGTCCCGAGAAGTGTTTTATACTCGCCAGTTTTCATTGGTTGAATCGAACAATTTATACCCAGTATCCCACTATTTAATATATATACCTCCTACGCTTCCTGGATCACCAAGCACACTACCAAACCGACTCACACTCAACTCAACGCCTACAGCCTTCACCACATCTCCCTCATCACCTCCCTCCCCCTATCCTTCTGGAAGACTAGGATCTATATACCTCTCGGAATATATCCAATATTCATTCATCCCACTGATCCAATAGAAATTTGATTGATCCAAAACTGATCACTTTCAAACCTTTCAATTTCTTTCTTTCCACCTTTTTTCTTTGTCAAACAAGAACAAGAACAAGAAGAACTCTAATTAGCTGGTGGTGATATTATATACCCGTTCTATCATAATGTCCATCTCAAAAGAAGAATTCAACAAAGCTGAACAAGAAGCTCAAGCTAAGGCAGCTGAAGAAGCCGTTAAAGAAAATGATCAAGTCGATGATACCACTGTCACAAAACCTTCAACAAGATCTTCTGAAGATAATCATCAATTCCATTCTCCTTTAAATTCAAATGCAATCATCACTATATCAACTGATGAACCAATAGATATTCAACCTTTATTGAAAACTCATGAAACTTTTGAATTGTTACCAAGTGTCCCACCTTTCATCAAGATAAAATTCATTGACAAGAATGAAGCTACAAATCTAAAAGATGAAATCTTGTTGAAATATCCAGATCTTGAAATTAATGTTGAATATGATGCCTTGACTCATCCGGGGAATATTTATGTTCGTGGGTTATTACCAGAGATTACAACTCAAGATTTATATAAAATCTTTGAACCATTTGGTGAAATTACTTCATTGAAAATCGTTAATGATGAGTTTGGTCGTTCAAAAGGTTATGGGTTTATAAATTTTGTTGATGGAGATTCCGCTGATGAAGCTATAACAAAATTGAATGGATTGTTAGTTAATGGTTCAAAATTATATTTGAATCATCATATTGCTAAAAAGGAAAGACTTGAAAGAATGGATTTTGAAAAATCAAATTTTACAAATCTTTATATCAAGAATTTACCAATTGATTATACTTTGGAATTGTTTAATCAATTATTTGAAAAATTTGGTGAGATTAATTCAACTTTTTTACCTGAATTACCGGAACATGAATTGAATAACCCAACTTCGAAAAGATTTGGATTTGTTAATTTTAAAAACCATGAATCTGCTATTGCTGCAATTGAAGAATTAAACAATAAGGAAATCTCACCAAATCATTTACTTTCAGTTTCAAGAGCTCAACGTCGTGACGAAAGAAATGATCATCATAACAACAATGTTAATTCATTCAGAAACAATTCAATCTCACCAACACCAGCTCCACTAATTTTCCAATCACCACCTCCTATAATATCAACAAACCCAATCCCAACCGCTTTACCTCCAAATTTAATCACTTCTCCTCAATTACAACATCCTATCTCTGCAACTCCATCACAGGGAACAACACCAATAATACCATTACCACTCCCAGGTCCAAATCATCAACAATCAAACCTATACGTTAAAAACCTATCACCAACAATTGATGACAATGCTCTACATTCAGCTTTTGCTCCCTTTGGTATAATTGTTTCAGCAAAAGTTATGACAACAGAAGATGGTTCCTCAAGAGGATTTGGATTCGTTTGCTTCAGAACCAGTCCAGAAGCTTCAAGAGCCCTATTGGCAATGAATGGTAATGTCTTGGATGGTAATATCTTGCACGTTTCATTTGCTCAAAAGAATTCAAGAAGAAAATTCCAATCAAATCCTCCACATCAACAAAGAATGGAGTATCCTTATTACTACAACCAATATCAAACAGCTGAGTTTGCACCAATGTACTATGGCGGTAATGGTAATGCTCCTCCTGGTGGAGCTCCTCCTCCTCCTCAAACACCTGGTCATTTAGCCACTGGGTTACCAAATGGTAATAACGGATACATACCCTATAACGCGGTGAGATATTCAAATAATGGAAATGGGTTTAACAAGTATAATGGGTTTAAGAATTATAACAATGGTTTTAACAGAGTTCAACAACAACAGAAACAACAATCAAGTGATGAAAGGATTAATTCTGAATATAGTAAAAAAATTGGGAAATTAACTTCAGAAATCTCATCAATTGGTGAAGATAATGATGATGTTAAAATTGAAAAAATTTCAAAATTTTTAATCATTCCAAAACTGTTGGAAAATGGACAAATTGAAAATGTTGAATTGAAGGCTAAAGATTTTTTACAGAGACAAGTTGATGATTATAAACAACAGCAACAGGATGATGGTGCTGATTCAAGTGATGTTTATTTAGATATCATTAATGATTGGGCTAATGATGAAAATTCTTTGATTCAATCACTTGAAAAATTATCGTTATAATGTGATTATACGTTTCTTGGATGGTTTGGGAAAAAAAGTTTAGTGTATATAGGAAAAAGAAAATGGGTTTCTACAAACGTTTTAAAATCAATATGTAAAATGTATCCTCTTTTGAACTATATACTAATAAATAACTTCTTTCTCAGATATTTGGTGGTGGAACTTCTTCTTGTGTTTGCTTTTTCAATCCAATTAATGGATCTTGTTCCTCCTCCTCCTCTTCTTCAACTTGTCTAACTTCTTCAACCTCTTCAATATAATGCTTCAACATACTTTCAATACCATTCTTCAATGTAACACTACTACTATCACATGATCTACATGCACCTCTTAATCTCAACACAACAGTACCACTATCTTCTTCAAATTTAACAAATTCAATATCTCCACCATCTTCTTGTATGGCTGGTCTAATCTTAGTGAAAATTAATTCTTTAATCATAGCAACAATATCATCATCATCTTCATCAAATGCAGCATCTTTTGGTAATACCATATTCTCATCAAATATAGGCTCTCCTGATGTTAAACTTTCAGTTAATATACTGAAAATCTCAGGTTTTATCAACATCCATTGAATATTTGTCTTTTTCTCAACAGTTATAAAATTTGAACCAAACATCACAGTCTTAATACCTTCAATGGCAAATAATTTCCTAGCTAACGGCGAGGCAAATGCTTCACGGCCTGATAAATATTCTAATGTCTCACCAGCTGGCATTATATTGGTTGATGGTAAGAATTTTAAAGCTTGTTCATTTGGAGTTTCTTCAGTTTGAATAAATAATGAACGGATGAAATTTGGGCGGAAAGTTGTTGATGTGAGTATTGATGGTCTTGTGGCTCGTAGTGTTGGTAATTTTGATAGTATTCTGAAGCTCATAATGATTGATTTTCTCTATATAATTAGTCTCGAAAAGGTTATTGAAAAGAAGTCAAGTTTGTGGGTTACTTGTGATGATTTGTAAGTGTGATTGGTGATTTTTTTGGCCTGTTATGGGACACAGAACAATAATAGTCATGTGACTCAACTACATAAAAAGAAAAATTAACTAAAACTATTAAATTAAAACTATTATTATTACTATTATTTATATGTTCATGAATATTTTGCAAAGTCTGAGGATTTGATATCTGATCTTTCACACATTTGTCTGAAAATACCCTCTGTTTCACTGTATAAGGTCAATGGTTCATCAAATTGTTCAATTTCACCTTGTTCTAAAACCATGATTCTATCATAATTCAAAATGGTTTTCAATCTATGTGCAATACACAAGATTGTACAGTGTTTGAATTCCTTAACAATGGTGGATTGAATCTTTGCATCAGTCTCATAATCAACACTTGATGTAGCTTCATCCAAAATTAAAATCTTGGAATTACGAACTAAAGCTCTTGCTAATGCTAATAATTGACGTTCACCTAATGAAAAATTGGAACCTTCATCTTCAACTTGTTGATCTAAATGGAACTTGTGGAAATTTTCATCATCTTTGCTTTGATTTTTAATGACACCCAAAACTGATTCTTCAATTAATCCAGATCTTCTTAATGCATCCCATAAATGTAAATCATCACTTTCACCAAATGGATCTAAATTCTTACGAATTGAACCTTGAAACAAAACAGGATCTTGTGGAATAATTGATAATCTTGATCTTAGATCATAAAGTCCTAATTTTGAGATATCAACACCATCAATGGCAACTTCACCTTCAGCTAATTCATTCAAACGATACAATACTGAAACTAAAGAACTCTTACCAGCACCAGTACGACCACAAATCCCAATTTTTTCACCAGGGTTAACAGTAAAATCAAGGTTTTTCAAAACTAATGGTAATCCATCTCTATAACGTGATGAAACATCTTTAAATTCAATTTGACCATGTTCTGGCCATGTTGGTGAAGGTTTTGTTTCTGAAACTCTATAAGCAGCTTCTTGTTCTAATGAATTTGCATAATAACATAATCTTTCAACAGAATTCATTTCATTTTCCACTTGGGTATAAGCTCTCAAAATTAATGATAATAAACCAGCCAATTGTAAAACATAAGTCACGACTAAACCTGCAGACGCAGCACTAATATTGAATTGTCTTGAAACTGACAATAGGGCAACGATTAAAGCCAAAACACAAGCAACAAGATCTAGGTGAATTGAGATCCATCTTTGATTAGCAATAACAACAAAATAAGCTTCATTCATTTTATCCAACAAGGTATCATTCTTATTTATAAATCTTTCACTTGCCTGATAAGCTTTGATAGTGAACATACCACTCAACACTTCATTGAAATTATTATAAACAAATGATCTCTTGACAGCTTCTAATCTTTTAACTTCTCTTGATGATGATTGGTAATAATTGGTGACACAAACAAAAACAACAGCTAATGGTGGAACTGCAATGGCAAACCAAGGTAGATAAATAATACATAAAATGATAATACCACAAACAAAAGCAGCTGGATGTAAAAACAGTCTAATTTGTTCACCAGTTTCATTATCTAAGGCATCTGTATCTTTTGTAAATCTGTTCATGATTCTACCTAATGGTGTAGTATCGATATAACTCATTGGAGCATGTAAGATTTTTTGCATAGCTTTCAAATTCAACTTCTTTGCAGCACCCACAGTAATATAACCCATCAAAACAAAAGTACATGAACATAAAACCATATAAACCATGGTGAACATCACATAAAGACCAATGTAAAAGCCGTCATGTCTTCCTTTGAACTTATAACTGATCCAAAATGACAACCAAACATTACAAAACAATGATACGAAAACTTCGGTAATCAAAAACATTAAAGCTAATGGAGCTGCAAATATACCAAGTTTACCTTGACCAGCTTTCAAATAATCAAGGTAAATTGCCCAAGAAATGTTATTGACTGCTTTTTCTTCAGCACTTGTCAAAGCACCATCTTTTGCATTTGCAATACCATGTTCACTAACTGCATGAGATTTCTTTGTTTCTAAATCTTGTTGGTCAACATTTTCCTCAAAACTTTCTTCTTCTTCATCATCATCTTCAGAGTTTTTACTATATTCCATTAATGTAACAAAACCTGGTGAAGTTTGTGATAATTCTTCAACAGTACCCATATTAATAGTACCATCACCATTCAAATAAATAACACGATCAGCATCATTGACTAATGACAATTGATGAGTGGCCAATATTCTTGTTTTATTATGAAGTAAATCAACAAGACAGTTATCCATTATGTGTTTACCAACTCTAGCATCAACAGCACTCAAAACATCATCTAGTAAGATAATCTCTTTATCAGCATAAACTGCACGAGCTAAATTGATACGAGCTTTTTGACCACCAGATAATGTAATACCACGTTCACCAATCTCTGTTAAATCACCACCTGGGAATGATTTCAAATCATCTTTCAAAGCACATGCTTCAATAACTTGTTTATACCATTCGTCATCATAATCTAAACCAAACAAGATGTTTTCACGAACAGTTGCATTTTGAACCCATGATTGACCACATAATAATAATGAACCCTTAACACCTAAATTACCTTTCCTCTTTCTCATAAACCCTGATAAAGCAGTTAATAATGATGATTTTCCTGAACCAATTGGACCAGTAACAATGATAAATTCATTCTTTTTAACATCAAGATTGATATCATGGAAACCTTTAAACACAGATTTGGTATATTTAACATCATCATCGGTATCTTTTTCAGAAGGTGAAGAATCTGAAGTTATTGTATCAACTGTATTAATTGGAACTTTTTCATTCTCTTCCTTTTTTGATCTCTTGAACCATTTCTTCTTGGTTGTGCCTTTTGCAGCTGTTGATTCTTCTTCTTCTGGAAACTCTTCCCATTCAAATGAAGCATCTCTAACCCTAATAGCGACGTCATCTGGTAATGTATCGTCATTAAATTCTTGTGAGTTTTCATCATCTTCTATTTCTGGAGATTGCAAATATTCACGAACTCTACCAATCCCGATCATTGCATCTGCACCTGTGGCCAAAGCCATTGGTAACATTAAAACTTGTTGTGACAAAGCACCAAATAAGGAAATAGATGAAAAGATATTGGCTGGGTTTCTATTATTTGAGACACCATACAAAACTAAGAATGCAACCATGGAGGTGAAAGTTGGTAAAGTCACTGCAAAAGCTGTCAAAAAATTTCTAATTGTTTGCATTTTGAAAATGATTGAAACTTCTTTTCTTCTAGTTTCTGTGACATTTTTCTCATAAGCATCTTCCCAAGAGTAAAACTTTATCATCTTCATTGATTGTAAAATTTCTCTCATGAATCCAACACGACCATCAGTGTATTGATTTGCACTTTTTCTTAATTTCAATAAAGATTTAGCAGAAGCACCAATAATTGTAATTGAAACAATGAAAATAGCAATACCAGCCAATGCGGAAACACCAATATTAACAATCAAAAGTACGATTGAGATAATAACAGGAATTGGGAACGTGATAGCAAAAGGTTGAAACCCAATAGCAAGATCAATTCTTGCCAAATCTGTACCCATTAATGAAGTGACTTTACCACTTGGATATTTATGTCTTGTTTCAGCATTTGCTCTGAATGATTTTTTCAACAATGCAGTTGTTAAAATACTCTTACAATGAGCACCAGTTGTGATGGAATTGTGTAAGAAATGATTGATCAAAATACCATTAGCAGCAAGAACAAATGAAACCCCGATTGAATAACCAACACCTTTACCCAAAGGTAAATCTTTAACATACATTTTCTTTTCAACGAAATTGATTAAAGCTTTGGTCAAAAGTGGATTAAGGGTTTGTGCAATATCTGATAAGGCCTTGCAAAAAATAGCAAAAGAATATTGCCATTTAAAAGTTAGGAATAATGCTTGGACAATTGAATATTTTGGATATGGGATCTTGGCTAGTTCTTCTGGTGTTAAGTTTGGGTTCTTCTTCAGATGCTTTGCACGATCTTTTTCAATTATACTTGTCAAGTTGTGTTCAAATTTTGCATAAGTTTGTTTGATGGTCATATCTTCTTCCAAGTACCACAAATCATTTGAAGTCAAAGTTCTTTTGTAACCAACATTCATTAATGGCATCAACCACCAGAATAACATTCTTGAAAGATAGTTTGAGTGTTTATAAGGGTATCTTTTTCTTTCATCCTCGTTGGGTATCTCTGGGACTTTTTTCGACAAGAACGGAGTCATTAATCTTCGTTGTAACCTGAGGTCTTCATCTGTGTAACCTAGCGGATGACGATTCTGTTTTTCAGCATCATCTTGAGAGGATATACTCGGTGAAGACATTGTTGATGATGAGATTTGCTATGCTAGATCTATCAGATGACAAACAATAACAATAGTGATTGGTTAGGGTGTGATAGAACGCAAGAGCAACAATAAGCAGTGGGTTGTCTAACCAGCTATTGAACTATTCAGTAGCCTTTCCTTTGAATGATTCTTGAAGCAATAGTTAGGATGGTTGAATCAAAACAGAGAAAAAGTGATGAACTGGCAATATATTTTTTTTTGCCTCTATTTTTTTTCTCCAGCCAAATACGATAAAACCAGCCGTATAAAATTCCAACAGTTCAAAAAGCCGAGAGCTTCTAGCGTAAAAAGGGTGTACTTCTTCTGTGTTGAACCAAGCTTTGGTAGTCGATCTTGGTGATTGTTTGTGAAAATAGAGTGAAAGGATGGCAAATGGCAAATGGGCTGAATAAATACCATCAATTGTTTTTTGATAGGTGGAAAGATTCTGCAGCTACAGTGATTTTTTAAACCTTAGCTACGAGGAGATAATAGACGCTTACTCAGCGACCTTGCGGGCCATTACGAGGAGTACATATTGGTTGATTTCTTTATGGGTAAATGAAGGTACATAAGGGCTTTTGTAGTGACACTGGAGGGCAGTACAGCTGGCTTTTATGACTGGATGTGTATATGAAATGATTAGATCGGTGATTAAAGGAAGCTTTTCTTGAACAAGAGCACAATCTCTTGGTTAAAAATTTTCAGCGAACACTCTTGGACTCGGGTCGACTCGAAAATGAGCAGCTACGTCAATATTGTAGTCAACTCCATGTGTAACATAGTGTTTTGTACCATGAGTACTCCAATATCGATTCTTTATAGCCAAGTGTCCTTTTGTTGATGCCAAAGAACATTACAGTAACAACAGTGAACACGTAGCCAAATCTGCTAAAATCAGTCCAGACTTCAGATGGTCACAACTACGTATCGGAGCTAATTCTGTTTCTGGTGTCAATTCCTTACAACAACTTTCAAAAAGTATTTGTGCACTTTATTCTACACAGCTTGTATTTTGCTCCAACTCAGCCAATCAGGGCTTACTTTTGTTTATTACTTCTACATGGACTTAATTGCCCAAAAAACAAGACTTCTCATCGTGCAATATCTCGGGTTTAACGGTTTTTGTCACGATCGCTAAACTCAAACACGATGTTCGGCCGGCATAGAATTAAAGCTTCCGAATCCCGACACTTAAATCAATATTAATAACACTTGAATTATTAAAGTTGTTATTCGAAATCATAGCAATAAAGGCTCAATGGTACTCAATCATATTATATTATTGATTTGATATTGCTCGTCATAGGCTTGATTAACGCCTGCAATATTAATAGATCGATCAATTGACTACAATACATAGCATCCCATTTGCTGAGCTGGCTAGCTGCATATTGTGCTTGAATTATTAAGAGTGTTATCAAATGTAGTCGCTTTTCTTCAATTAATTAGCTGATTTTCAAACTGCGAAATTTATCATTAATATATCATGATCATGGCTCCACAAAAAGTATCGACTCAGGCTCGCTATATATGGCCAAATACTATTGCTATTAATATTGAATATGATACAGCAATATCTTTAAATTAAGCTCCTATAGAAGTGTCACTGCTCCCAAGAATACTTTTATTACTTAAAGCACACAGACACTCACGTTGAAACTTGATATTGACTAGCAGTATACTAATACCAAAACTACATCCGCTAGACATGTCACGTCGGCCACAGTATTAATGATATTAGAAGTTGCAGGCGACAGACGTTTATAATTTAAGGATCCCTAGCTAGTTCAATGTTGCTTTCGCAACATGTCACAGCTAAATTGAGTAGTAGTAATTCAATATATTGTATGGTCTTTATTTGAGACGTCCTATAGTTGGAATTTCGACTCAACGACATACAACAAAGTTGAAGAGATCTTAAGAAGCGCACGAAGCCAAATCAAAAACACAGTCTATCGTTCGCTATTGTTATAAGGTCTCAAGAACATTTGTTCCACTTCTTCTCTTTTAATTCAAAATGTGTTTTAATTTAAGCACAAAGTCGCGATCGCGGCACTCTCAAAGGTAAACATCCGGGTAAAAAGCGCGAAGATCCTCAAAATTTGGGCAGCTTTCTGGAAAGGACAAAAATGAAACATGAAACTAATGTCCACGTATATTTTTAAGTCAACTGTGATATTTCATCGACACTTGGTGAGAATTTGACGTATTTGATTCCAATTGTACCTTATACATCTTGTTGCACCAAATACACAATTGATTCAATTTTTCATCTATTTTCACATTTCTTCGGATCCCTTTGATTTCATTAGTGGATCAATCATTTGACACTTTTCAATTTCAATCCAAAGATCAGGGTCTCAATTCCAAAAGCAAACACCAACATTGGGTCCAGAAAGACATAATCATCAGATCACAAACACCTGCTCATTCTAATATTATTAAATAATGTCTTTCAGAGGAACTAAATTTAATCAAATCCCAACAGCAAACGCTGGTGGATTTAACACACCAAGTCAATTCAATAATCAAAATTCAACATCTCCATTAGAAAAATTTGAAGAATTCTCCAAAAAAGTTGAAGATTTATTAGATCATCCAATGGTTTCAAAATTAAAACCTTACATTCCTCAAATTGGTAGATTTTTGATTGTTGCTACCTTTTATGAAGATTCTTTAAGAATTATTTCACAATGGAGCGATCAAGTTTACTACTTATGGAATTATAGACATATTCCTTACTTTCTAGTCTTGATTCTCTTGTTTTTCGTTGTTGTTACAATGTTGGGTGCTTCCACTATGATTGTTTTGAGAAAACATGCTTTATATGCAAGTGCTGCTTTGATTTCAGTTATTGTTGTTCAAGGTTTTATGTATGGTTTATTTGTTGGCTCAAACTTCATTTTGAGAAACTTTTCTTTGATTGGTGGGTTATTAATTGCATTTTCTGATACATTGGTTCAACAAAAGACAAGATTTGCAGGTTTACCAGAAATTTCTTCAAACAACGACTTCAAAAACTATGTTTTATTAGCTGGTAGAATTTTGTTGGTCTTACTATTTTTCACTTTCATTTTAACTAAAAGTTGGTTAACCACAATTGTTGTTTTAATTGGTGTCTCTGCTATTGCGTTTGGATACAAGACTAGATTTGCTTCCGCTGCTCTGATCACCATTTTAACCTTTTACAACTTTTCATCAAATGCTTATTGGTTCAATACTTCAGAAGCACAAAGAGATTACTTGAAATATGAATTCTTCCAAACTTTGTCAATCATTGGTGGTTTACTATTAGTCGTTAATACTGGTGCAGGTGAATTGTCATTAGATGAAAAGAAAAAGATTTATTAATCTGAAAATACATTTTCACAAAATATATATCTCCATGAGGTTGGTTCCTCAACAAAATATAAACATGACTCCTAAAAGCACTGTTCAAATACAAAATAAATGAATTGAAATGGTTACATGTAGTTTTAGCAAACTATCAATTCCTGTTATGCCTTGCGACGCTTCATGTAGCTGTATCCGTATACACGTCGCGACGGAACAGAAAATTAATTTCTAAAAGCTTCTTTAACCTTTTTCATGAAAAACATTAAGTCAAGCTTTCTAAATCACATTCCATTCATTATCGACACAGATTCAATTTCAAAGTATTGGTGCCAATAAGATAACGGCTGTTCACTGAATAAAACCAGAGCCAATATTCTCCCTTGAGCAAGAAACGTTTTTGGGATCAGGCGCAATGTCCGATCATGTTCAGGATGTATCACAACCATCAGTTATACAAGATCTCCAGACTATTCAACAACCAACTGACCAATATAATAACCAATCATCTTCATTCATCGGCGCTATAATATGGGGACTATCCAAAATATCTGTGCGAGTGCTTGAGTTCTCGTTGATTACTGTTCCTGGCTGGATTCTACGGTTATTGAGCACAAATTTTAGCATTACTCTCAGTTTCAGTTCCTTGCTGATGCTGTTGTTTCTACTAACTTTTACGTTATTTTCAATCTTAAGGTATAGGGTGCTGACAAGCTATTCAAGATTTGTTGAAGAGCCTCGTACGGAGCCTAAGATTGATCCATTCTTGGGCGCTAGAGAACAAGACAATAGGAAAAGAGTTGGCTCTTATCTTGATGAATTTTTAACAGCCATCAAGATCTTTGGGTACCTAGAGAAACCTGTCTTCAATGAGTTGACAAGATCTATGAGAACTCAAAAATTGGATGCTGATGAAGTGTTGTATGTTGATGAATCCTTAGGGTTTGCAATTGTTGTGGAAGGGAATGTTCAGATATACACAAAAGTTAATAACCAAACAAACAATGATACTTCTTTCTCTATGGATGATGACCAAAGTGAAGGTTCAAGTGAAATATTTGTTTTAAATGAAGAGCGTTATCAATTGTTAAATGAGGTCAAGACCGGTAATCCATTATCCTCGTTGGTCAACATTTTATCATTGTTTACAGATGAAGATGATGCAAATGGCATACAATCACCTACAATCAGACAAAGACTACCAGATGGCTCCTTTGCTCAGCTACACCCTGATGTAGACATACCAACACTGAGTTTAGACCATGAAGATGTTTTCCCAACAACCCCAAATATCATTGCGAGAGCTACATCTGATTCAACAATAGCAATCATTCCTGCGGACGCTTTCAGACGGTTGAAAAGAAAGCATCCAAGATCTTCATCTCATATTGTACAAATGATCTTGACCAGGTTATACAGAGTGACTTTCCAAACTGCTCATAATTACCTTGGTTTGACTCGTGAAATTTTCAATACAGAAATCAAATTAAATAGTGAAGCTAAGCTGGAATTACCTTCTTATTTACATGATGGTGTTAAACAAAGATTCAAAAAGGGAAAACATTCAAGAGGTGGAGCAATCAATGAGAGAGGTAGACCAACCAATAAGACACCAAAATTGGGTAATAGATCAGAAAGCTCAACAAGTACCTTGATGACACCTTCAACAAAATTGGAAGCAAGGCCAAAAGTTAAAAGAATTGAATCAAGACATGTCGTCCTAGATTCTAGAGACTCTTTCAATCCTGGTGATCTTTTATCAAACGTTCCATTATCAAGAAAAGAGTTGAGTTATCAAGCTATTGCTGAGGATGACGTTATGAATAGAAGTTTTAGTGCAGAGGAAGAAACAGAAGATACGTCATTGAGGATTGCTTTGGTGGAGGGTATGTTCAAGTTTTTAGGTATTGATAAGGAAAGCATCATTCCTAGAAGACCAAGTGCATCAGTGAGTGCAATTTCAAGTCCAATGCCACAAGGGTTGGGTCTTTTCCCAACATTTCCAATAGAAACTTATAGTTCAAGAGCACCAAAAACAAGAACAATGTCTACGACAAGCTCCAGATTATCATTTTGTGAATCACCATCAGAACATGTTGATTTTGAAGAAGCAAAAACAGATTTTGCTAATGAGATTGAAATTTTACAAATTGAACAAGGCACAACTATCATTGAGCAAAACTCTCGTAATAATGGTCTGTACTATGTTGTTAGTGGGACTTTGGAAGTCACATACACAGACCCATCTTCAAATGTTGAACATGTGCTATATACTGTTAATCCAGGTGGTGTTGCTGGTTATCTTGGAGCACTTGTTGGTTATAAATCTTTTGTTTCATTACGCGCAAAGACTGAAACTTATGTGGGATTTTTATCAAAGAAAGATTTGGAAAGGTTATGTGAAAAGTATTTTATGATTTATTTGAGCATTGCAAAGAGTTTGATCAAGTCTTTGAGTAAGAAGATTTTAAAGTTGGATTCTGCTCTTGAATGGATTCAACTTGATGCTGGAGAGACTCTTTTCAAACAGGACACGGATGCTAATGGTATTTATATCGTTTTGAGTGGTCGTTTAAGGTCACTTTCTGAAAATGAAACAACTAATGACGTGAAAATTTTGGCTGAATATGGACAAGGCGAAAGTTTTGGTGAAGTTGAAGTATTGACAGCTGCTAAAAGATCAAGTACATTTGTTGCTATCAGAGACTCAGAAACTGCAAGAATTCCAAGAACACTATTTGAAATTTTGGCATTAGAAAATCCAGCTATCATGATCAAAGTTAGTAGGATTGTGGCAAGAACAATCAAGGCTGAATCAAGTGAAAGTTTTAGTCCAAATACTCATGTTCCCTCTGTCACAAAGTTTAAAAACCCAAACTCAAATTATAGAACTGTAACAATCCTGCCAGTCAACCATGGGTTACCTGTTCGAGAGTTTGCCAGCAAATTGATCCAGGCTTTCAAAAATGTCAATAGATCGGTCATTGGTTTAGACCAGGCATCAACGTTGAATTATTTGGGGAAACATGCATTTGATAGATTATCAAGACTTAGACAGTCTGGATTCTTTTCAGATCTTGAAGAGAGATATCAAATCGTGGTTTATATTGCAGATACAGCAGTGAATTCTTCTTGGACAAGTACTTGTATTCAACAAGGTGATTGTGTTTTGCTATTAGCTGATGCCTTAGGAGATACAAACATTGGTGACTATGAAAGATTGTTGATGAAGACGAGAACTACAGCAAGAACTGAGTTGATTCTATTACACCCAGAGAAATATGTCGAGCCAGGGCTTGTGAATAGATGGTTGAAGAATCGTGTTTGGGTTCATTCACATCATCATATTCAGTTCAACTTGCAAAGAACTGGTAACGCCCATCCAGAAAGGGGTCAAAACTCTTTTGCAAGTAACATTAGAACAAAAGTTGAAAATCTTCGTTCAAAATATGTTGGGCCAAAGAAATATTATACTTCATCATTACCACACAAGAATGATTTCATGAGATTGGCAAGGTTGCTATCTGGTCAAGCTGTTGGTCTTGTCCTCGGAGGTGGTGGTGCAAGAGGGTTTAGTCATCTTGGTGTTTTAAAAGCATTGCAAGAGAATGGTATTCCAATTGATATGATTGGTGGTACTTCAATTGGTTCTTTCATTGGTGGTCTATATGCTAGAGATTATGATCTTGTTCCAATTTATGGTAGGGCTAAGAAATTTTCTGGTAGAATTTCAAGTGTTTGGAGAACATTATCTGACTTAACATATCCAACTACTTCTTATACAACTGGTCATGAATTTAATCGTGGTATTTGGAAAGTGTTTGGTGATAGTAGAATTGAAGATTTTTGGATCCAATTCTATTGTAATTCCACCAATATCACAAACTCAACTATGGATATTCATTCATCTGGTTATGCATGGAGATTCATTAGAGCTTCGATGTCATTAGCTGGGTTATTACCTCCAATTACTGATAATGGATCAATGTTACTTGATGGTGGTTATGTTGATAACTTACCAGTTGGTGAAATGAAAAGCAGAGGTGCTAGTATAATTTTCGCAGTTGATGTTGGCTCAGTTGATGATCGTACACCAATGAAGTATGGTGATTCTCTAAGTGGATTATGGATTATGTTTAATAGATGGAATCCGTTTTCCAAGCATCCAAATGTTCCAACAATGAGTGAAATTCAAATGAGACTATGTTACGTTAGTTCTGTCAATGCATTAGAGAGAGCTAAGAACACACCAGGTATAATTTATTTGAGACCACCTATTGAAAACTATGCCACTCTTGATTTTGGTAAATTCGAAGAAATTTACAACGTTGGTTCCATTTATGGCCATATGGTCTTGAAAGAACTAGCAGAGACTGGAAAATTACCGCAAATTGCTGGTGCAAATGTTTTAGTTGAAAGACAAAATCGTGGTATCCAAAGAAGAAACAGTATTTGAGTATATAGTGTATTTTAATTTATTGAGCAAAAAAAAGTTATAGCATTCATTTCTATTAATATAAGTTGATTACAAAAACACCCAATGTTTCCCTATTCTTCCTAATCATCCGATGGCGAGCTAACCAATATAACTGAATCACCTCTAATGAATAAAACTTCTGATTTTTTGGTTGTTGACTGTTTCGAGATTTTGTTAGTTAGGTCATACATGAGCTTATATTGAACTTACCTTCAATTCATCTGAGCCTTCCTCTATGTCAAAGATTGTTTCTGTAGCATCACTTAACACTATGTTACAATGTGAATCATATGCCTTTAGTTGTTGTTAGTGTTGTGTTTTTAGATTTCCATTGAATACTCACTTGTAATTTCCCGGTTAATTCTCTTGCTCCACGCAGTTTAACGTAGACTTGTTCGTCTAGAAGCAATCTTATGAGATCAAGTGGTTCTGATGACGTTTGTTTAGGTTCTTCTGACATGATTTTCTATGGCTTGAAAGGTATAATGTCTTTGTTTTTGGTAGTTGTCTCTATGGAGCTTCTTCACCATCAATCTGTTTTTCAACTCAAGAAAGACGGAATGGTTTAAAGCCCTGGTGTTGATTTTTTTTCGTCTTGATGAAGGAAAAAAAAAGTTGAAAAATGTCGAGACATAAGCTAATGAAAAGACACATTTGAACTATTCTTATTTCAAGAGTCTTTGATCTAGGACACCATGCTAAGAAACTCCAAGAGATCGCTTCATACTGCGCGTGTGTGCTTGCAAAGAAAGAAAGCGTCCCAGGCACCACCTCCTTTAACCATCAGACCTCCAATTCCACCAACTGCAAAGAACTTAGCTGTTTCTGATGATCATCAACTATGGCAATTCTTCCATGATAAACAATTCATGAGACCATTCTCCGAGTTGGACAGTACAGGTCGTCCATGGACTATTCCAGAGTTGAGACGCAAAAGTTTCAACGATTTGCACAGTTTATGGTATAGTTGTTTAAAAGAAAGAAACATTTTGGCCAGAGAACAACATTTATTAAATGTTGATATTGAACAGCCAGATTCACCATATATGAAATTATCAGATTCTATACGTGAAACTATGTGGAGAATTAGACACGTTTTAAGTGAACGTCAACATGCTCATGAAAATGCTCAATCCGAATTACCAGAACATATCCAAGAATTTTTGGAAGAATTTAAAACTACATTCACAACTGCACCAAAAGAAGAAGAAGCTGAATTACAAGAACAGTTAGTACGTCTACAATATGCTATCTTTGGTATAAGTGAAGTTATTACAGACAACAAAGTTGATAAACATTTCATTGAAGGTTTGAAATATATTGCCAATTTGAAATTAGAACGCTATGGTAAAGAACTTGAAGATTTTGAAGAGCTTTCCCCTATTTTAGATGTTGGTGAAGCATTCTGTATATTCCATTCAGATGGTGAAGAAGGGTTCAATAGTGAAATTAATCAAGTTAGAGAGTTGAGAAAGAATGGTAATCAAGTTGATAGACTCAAGGAAATTTCCACCATCAAACGTGTGTTGAACGATGTTATCAGACAGGCATAGATAAGTCGGTGCATATATATATTGGAATTTTGTAAATAGGATGCTTTAAGAATGTATATTAATGTTTTGACAAATTATGATTCAACTTTTATAGTCTTTCTTCTTTTTGGTCTACCAGTGACGGAATACTCGATCTCTAGTTCTTCTTTAACTTCTAGCTTCGTTTCTGGTTCAACTTCTTCCTCTTTTTTGATAACATTTTCTTCAACTTTCACTATTGGAATCTCACCATTAATTTGATTAATACCATTATTCAAATCCTTCAAATCAGCCGCAAATAAAACGGATTGAGCCCAACCAGCATAAGGACCCCATATTCCAACGAAGAACTTCCTCACTATTTCATATGTTTGCTTTGTTATGGTTTCTCCTTTTGATTTCAACTTGTAATCCCTTTTAGCAATTTGATAAACATGTGTATCAACTGGGATGGCATCATGTTTGTCCAAAGACATCAAGCAAACACAATCTGCTACTTTTGGTCCAACACCAGTGAATTTCAACAGTTCAGCATGCGTTTCTTCATAAGGTAATTCTCTTAGTTTGAATAAATCTTGTTTTGAAGAATGAACCATTTGCGCAGTCTTGAAGATATATTTTGCCCTATAACCAAAGCTTAGACTCCTTAGACGCTCTTCAGTACCTGACTGAGCCAACGCTTCTGGTGTTGGGAACGAATAGTAATCAAAACCTTCATGCTTCACGATAAATTTACCAAAATGCAAACACAAATTATCACACATTTGACTGATTCTCTTGATATTGTTGTTGGTGGAGCAGATAAAAGATACTAAATTCTCCCAGGGATCTTGTCTCAAGATTCTTATACCTTCAAAGCCGACTGCATTCTTGCTGAAATTTGAATCTTTCAAAGACCAATTTTTGTATAGATCTTGAATCTTGATATCCAAATTGAAGTAATCTTGAATAGTTTCGAGTACTTGAGAGTTTTCAGGATAGCTAGCATAGTGTAGTTCATCGCCTTGTTGCTTGAGGAACAAAACATGCGGCCCTATAGAGCAGGACCATACGTTATTTATGTTTTTCCATCTTAGAATGTTGTTAATGTGACAGGTCTCGATTTCGCTAGTTATCTCTGCAACTTACCTGAAGGCTTGACCACACCTCAGCACTTTAGGTAGACAAAGTTCTTTGGCAGAGACTGCCACGGAGTTCCAGTTTAACTTGACCATGATCTCAACTACTCAATATAGCTTCTTTCTATGAAATCTGTCTTTTTGGTTTCACTTATGTCTCGAGAAAGCGATCCATCATAAAAAAAGTTTCGTGTACGCTTCAAAAAAAGTTTCGTGTTGATGTGAAAAAAGACAACAAAAAAAGTACTACAAATAGAGGGATACCCACCCAAAAACACACAGCCAAAGGGACACACAGACTTTCTTTTTCTTAGTGAAGAGTGAAGAAGAAAGATTAGCTTGCCGCTGCTGAGAATATTGGGCGGACAAGAAGAAGAAGAAGAGGAAGTTTAAAAGAATCTCGTGTTTGCAGTGTGTGAATAAAGGCATACTCTCACAGATAAGATTCCAATCCATTGTGTCCTACAATATTCCAACCTCAGACCCAGTCGTCCTCCATTTGATGCTACAGCCCAGTTTATGAACCTTATACAACTAGTTAAAAGCGGCTGTCTCCATACTGTACCTCACACGGTCAGACTGAAGAGTACGTTATTGCCCCCAAGTCACACAGTCATACGCTTAATACATTCAACAATGCACCCAAAGAGCTTCTACAGCACGCCAAAGAAGCAAATAAAGCTATCACAATCAAGATCACCAGGCTCCAAAATTGATATCGCTGATTTAGAAGCATTAGAAGAATCTTTTTCAGATGATGATTCTTTTAAAGCTGCATTCGTGAAATCTGACGCTCCTATTAAACAAAGCCCAGTGAAAGCCCATAATAAACAATTTGAAGATGATTTTGATATAGAGCTAAGTGAAGAGGGAGATCTGGAAACAACAGAGATACAACTTGCTAAAGAAGAAGCTTCCCAGCTGGCAAATTTGGTGAAGGAGTTTTCAGCCTCACCAACAAAACCAAGGTCAACTGAAAAGATTAAGATAACACAACTAAGTCAGTCATTCGACAAGAAGCCATTACCAAAACTAACAAAAGTTTTATTCGAAGAAGATTTCGAAGATAGTCTTGAGGATGATTTTGAGTCGCTACAAGCCAATGATCCTATCGAAAATGGAAATGTTGGAGTGGATAAACAAGTTGAAATACCCAGGGAAACTGAACCAGCTCAACCACAGATACCCAGTGTGCCTCAACAAGTACAGGCTTTACAACAAGGAAATGCCAGCTCTGCTCCTGCATCGTCAGTCTTTACATCATCTCCTTCGTATCACAACTATGAAACCCTTTATAAACGCGTTCCTGAAGTGCCTAGAGAGTCAACTAATCTGGACATGCTGGCCAGCTTTGAAGCTGAGATCCAAAATGATCCATTTCCATCACTATCAAAAGAGGGACCGAATCATGATGATTTATATCCTCAATTGCCACCTCTTCAATCAACACCAAGGGATGCAAATAATTTGTATCCCAAAATGGACAGCTATAATGAAATGTATGATAATAACCCACCAAAAGAAGCTCAAGATGGGACAGCACCAAGAGACTTTTTTGATGCTACACACAAAAGAGCTCAAGTTGAAGAACCAGCACAACAAGAAAAGAAAAGGAAATTTGATTTTACAAGATTTGCACAACCAAAAACAAGGGCCTTTTCCAATGTCAACGGTGCAGATACAAAGATAAGTCAATTGTTGACTAAACCGAAGAAGAGAAATGCTGAGATCTCGCTATTAACTCAACGTCCACAATTTCATGAAATGGATCAAGTGAGAAATGCAAGTACAGTGTCAAGACCCGATTCACCTGCTCCACAATCCAAGATTGTTCAACCATTTATTTTAAGTGAAGAGCAACAACATGTTGTGGATTTAGCTAAACAGGGGATAAGTTTATTCTACACCGGTTCTGCAGGTACTGGTAAATCTATTTTATTGAGAAGTATGATCAAAACATTGAAAGAAATCAATCCACCAGATACAGTCGCCGTTACAGCTTCTACAGGTCTTGCTGCTTGTAATATTGGTGGTATGACATTACATTCTTTTGCGGGTATTGGTTTAGGTAAAGAGAGTGCTACTGATTTATTGAAAAAGATAAGGAGAAGTAAAAAAAATTCTAAAAGATGGAAAAATATCAAAGTTTTAATTATTGATGAAATATCCATGATCGATGGTGAACTATTTGATAAATTGGATGATATTGCCAGAAGAATAAGAAGATGTGATGAACCGTTTGGTGGGATTCAAGTAGTTGTTTGTGGTGATTTTTTCCAATTACCACCTGTCTCTAAAAAAGAGGAACAACCAGCTACTTTTGCATTTGATTCTTTTGCTTGGAAAAGATGTATTAAATTGACAATCACTTTACAAAAAGTTTTCAGACAACAAGGTGATATGGAATTTATTGAGATGTTGAATGAAATGAGAATTGGCAAATTATCAGAGAAATCTATTCGAGAATTTATGAAATTGGAAAGAGAATTACCAGAAACCGATATCGAACCTGCTGAATTGTTTTGTACAAGATTTGAAGTTGATAGAGCTAACAAAACAAGATTAGATAAACTGGAATCTGAAATCAAGACATATACTGCTTGGGATGGTGGTAATTTAGAAGATCCACAACAGAGAGAAAGGTTACTGGCAAACTTCATGGCTCCAAAATTACTACATTTGAAGACGGGTGCTCAAGTTATGATGATCAAAAACATTGATGAGTCTTTAGTTAATGGTTCTTTAGGTAAAGTTATTGATTTTATTGACCAAGAAACATACTTGACCTATGAAAAAGTATCAAGTAATTTTAACTTGGATGATGAGGAAATTGAGAGAGATATTGCAAAAGTTAAAGAAGAGCAGATGGGTAAAGAAGATGAAACAATGGAGAAACCTGAAGGGAAACTTGAAGAAACTGTTTTTGAGTTTTTCAATGAAATTGATTCAAATGATCCTGATGTTCAAAGAAACATTCAAATGAAGAAAGATTTAATGAATAAATTACATGAAAGTTCAAGAGGTAAAAAATTACCATTGGTTAGATTCACCACACCAGATGGTCAAAAAAGAACTGTTTTAGTGCATCCAGAAACTTGGTCTGTTGAAGATGAACATGAAAAACCATTAGTTACCAGAATGCAACTTCCATTAATTTTGGCATGGGCTTTATCAATACATAAATCTCAAGGTCAAACATTACCAAAAGTTTGTGTTAATTTGAAAAGAGTTTTCGAAAAAGGTCAAGCTTATGTTGCCCTATCAAGAGCTGTCAGTAGAAATGGGTTACAAGTTTTACATTTCAATGCCAGAAAAGTTGAAGCTCATGATCGTGTTCTGCAGTTTTATGCCCAATTGAAATCAGCTGAAGATTCGTTTTTGGAGCAACAAAATAGACGTAAACTTGAATTACATCAAAATGAAATTGATGATGCAATGGGTGGCTCTTTTGAAGATCTTGAAGACGAGGAATTAGGTGACGAACAATACGTTGATGCTCCAAGTCCAAGTTCATTCGCTGAAAATAGTGATTATATCCCGCTTATGGCCACCCAAGATGATTCTACAGATAATATTGTGTTGAACAGAAGAAGCTTTCGAAAAAGAGGAAATGATTAATAGATGACGTGTGTTTTTTTGATGTATATAGTGTTTTTCTTTCTAGGAGTTATGCGAGTGTTTTTTATAATAAAACAAACTAATTAATTTTGACTACTTGTAAGCTAGAGATGCATGATTCTTAATTTTATCTCAAGGAAAGCTCCATATCCAACGAGCTCCACTGAGCAATAATAACTTGAGTGTTTTTAACAGGACAAATCTTTAAAACCTTTGCCAAAAGATCTAACTGACTTTTAATTGATTCTTCAGGAATCTCCGTATCTAACCATTCTGGAGAAACATACTTGCCAACTTGGAAAAAGGTCAACCAAGTACTTTGCAGTTTCAATTGATCTTTTGTAGTATCTAGTAGTTCATTAGCAGCATCTAGGGCAAATTCAAAATCATTATTTGCTAAGGCGGATTCAATACAGAACGCTTTGAGTTGGAATGTATCCATTGGGTCCAATGAAAACCCCTCTGTTAAGCCATTTGAAACCTCTAGTAATTTATCAGACTCTAGATATGCTTCAGGGTTCAATTCCAATACTCTTTGAATAATCTCAGTTATTGAACCAACAGCAAGAAAATCCGCAGGGACTAATGGAGTTCCTGGCTTGAAGTATAAGGAATAATGTGATAGCTCATCAATGGAATCAATCAATTTCTGTAAAGACTTCACTTTTGGTGATGGATTAGGGATCACACGAAGTGATTGTGAAGCATTCAAAATTTCACCTCTATGTTTTGAACCATTTGATGCACGTTTGAAACACTTCCAGAAATAATCAATCATCAAATCTTCATAACTATCTTGATAGGAAACTAATGAAAACAATCTTAGGGATAATAATTTTTCAATCAATAGACTGTTAAAAATGTTGAAATTGATATTTGTGAAAATTGTTTGTCTTAGAACGTAAAGTTGATTGATAAATTCTTTGGAAGTGTTGGCATCAATGTTCTCCAATACTGAGTGAAGTAGAGCTTCTTGAGATTTGGAGCTTTTGGAAATTTCATCCAATGCTTTCAATGAACCCTGGTCAAAGTTTATAGCTTTAGCTGCAGAAGTTAATTTGATCAAATTCCCCAAGAATGAATCATTCGAATATTTTTGGAAAACACCAAGCACTTCACTTATAGATTGTAGTGCATGTGAAGATAATTCTGGATATTCATACAACGTTGCTGTTGTTTGTTGGATTAGTGGATCTTTAGGTTCATATGCTGGAGTCACCTGTACTATAAGTTTGTTCAACAATTGTAGAGTTCTGACATTTTCAGGTGGATATGTTTGAAGATATTCAATTAATGTGTTTGGACTAGAATTTTCAACAAATGCCACTATTGGTAGTTCAACTTTGGTTACTAAACCAATCTCGAGTGCATCTAGTAACAATTTTAGTTTTTCAACTTGTGACAGGTTTTCGAACTCAAGTAATGAAACATCAGTAGTTGAGATTCTTTTCAAGTATTCATAAGGACCAACAATTGTATCAGACCATATTTGGAAATCAGTATCATCAGCAACTAATCTGAATAACGGATCATTGAAATGAATATCAGGATTGACAGCAAACGTTTTACGTATTCTAGCCTTGACAAATGATGATAGATTCAGCTTGACAAACCCAAGACTTGTGCAATTCTCAGCAAGATATGACTTCAATTGATTAATACGATTTGAAAGAATATCAGAGTTGACTTCCAGGAGATCAATCAAGTGTGGATCATCTGACAATAGTTCAATCACTGCATCTTGATTTTCAAGAGACGAATTGTTGTTGTCTGTGATTTCTTTGACAAATAATAGATTGGAAGCTGGCTCCAATTCTGGGGTGAACACCAGAAGTATTGATAGTAACGTTAGTTTGTCATATATGTTGTAATTTTGCAAGAAAGTTTGAAGTTTTGCTAAAGAGCCTTGAGATGCTAATATTGAAGCAGCTAAAATTGCTTGGTTTTGACTCATTGAAGATGCAATTTTCTATGGAGATTAATGCTTGAATATGGTGAGGGTGTAATTGTTCAAATTGATTACCACATGTACAATATCAAGTTTGATTAACTGATTTCGTAGGTATTTGCTTCATAGAAAATGTCTTTGATGATTTCTCATTTCGAGATTCGTGTACTTTTGGTGTTGTGATGTTTTTGTTGTAGTTCAAAATTTTGATGGACATTTTAAGAGACAACTTGAAGTTTGAAGAAGTTTTGATCAAATTGAAATAAAATAAGATCAAAGATTCAAAATGCCCTCAATGATCACAGCCAATAAAGATATAAGTATGTGGAATGGTGGCCTTTTTTAGTTGCGCAAAAGTACTAATGCTTTGAAAATAGATGATACATTGGATGAAAGAGTGGGTTCAACAAGATTATTCACCACAGAGATCCTTTCTTATTGTAAAAATGCCAATGAAGTTAGCCATATTCAATTAGACCTTATACATAACAAGCTACAGAAGAAAACAGTTCCAGAATTACAAAAATTGAAACAAGATCTGATAAGGTCATTTTCAGTCGCCAAAACACAGATTGATCATTCAAAATTATACTATAACAACATACTCGAGGATAAAGACGACTTGAAGAAACAACTTTCTGAAGAAACGATTTCCAAAAAGAAGGAACAATTGATGAAGAAGTTATTCACTTCAAAGAAGAAGATTGAACAATTGACCAAGAAAAAATTGGAAGTTAGAGAGATTAATAGAATAATTGATTCGTTTAGCGGTATTCAAGAATTAAGTTATAATGAAGATCAACTGAAACAAATATTTGGTGATCAGGCAGATGCTATAAAGAATGCACCTGGAATTTTGAAAAGGGCTTCTTTAGTCAGGGTGAAGAAGGAACAACCAGATGTGAAAATGGAGGATAAAGAAGAGGATGAAAAAAAGGACGAGAAAAAAGACGATGGATCTAAAAAAGAGGAGGATAACAAAGTTGAAGAATTTGAAACTAAAGAAGTTATAAGATATGTTTTCAAAACTAATTTAGCAAACTCTGTGGAGAAATTGAAAGAAATTCAAACACAATTATTATCGAGTATAGAGCAATATGAGAAAGATATCGACAGGATCAAAAGAAGTTATATTGAAGATGTTCAAAAGTTTGAAGCAATTAAGAAGATTTTGGATCCTGCTAGTGTTGATCAAGAAAATGGAATCGATAAGGAGCATCATGAAGATGAGGATGTTGAGATGGGCGAAGCTGAAGGAGAGACCCCTGAGGCTGTTGACGAGACTGTTGCTGAAGCAGGAGACCCAGAAGATCACCATAGTGAGGCAGAAAGTGATATTGGTGATGAAGCGTATAGATGAGCTAAAAATAGGAGAATTTAATAGAAAGAGTATCAGCGTAGTGCTATGAATAAAAGTACACTTTCTAATACACTAGAAACTACCAAAACGCACATAAAATAAAGTATTCAAAGTTGTGAACTCTAGTTCAATTCATAATTCTCATGGTTAATTGTATATTATAACCTCAAAATTACCTAATCGCTTACGTCACATTTTCTCGATTTTTTTTTTGGTCATAGTTTTTCTGATGATTCACTTTCAGTCGCTCAACCCGCAAAATAATCAACAAATTTGACTAAAAAAGCACAGGAAACCAACAAAAACAAAGTACCATCCAGACTCCCTAATATCACAAGACAGTAACAGGAAAGCATCTATCAAATTCCAAGAAGAATAGCAAAGAGTAAGGCTTTCCACAAAGAGAAGACGCTTGATTGAAACAAACTTTTTAGTGCGTTGACAACCCCATATTTTTCATACAAGCTGTGTCCTGTCAAATGGCTGTTGAACAAGTGAAGAAGGAGAAACCCTCTAATGGTCCACCAAAGACGTGAGTATAGAATATGATACAAGTATGCAGAATTAACAGTTTTACTAACATTGCTGTGTCTTTTTAGCAAAGTGATTCGTGCTCCTGGATCTCAAATTGAAAGAGTTGCACAGGCTTGTGACCGGTGTAGACTAAAGAAAACTAGATGTGATGGTAAAAGACCCCAATGTTCCCAGTGTGCTGCTGTTGGATTCGAATGTAAGGTCAGTGATAGACTAAGTCGTCGTGCTTTCCCAAGAGGTTATACTGAAACTTTGGAAGAGAGAGTTCGTGAGTTGGAGGCGGAAAACAGAAGGCTAACTGCCCTTTTGGACCTTAGAGATGAACAAATGGAACTATATTCAAAAGTTGAAAGCACTCCTGACCTAAGTGATAGTACTGGGAACCATCAGCCTCTAAGCTCTTCAAACCTTTCATTGTTAAATAAAGGCCATGACCAAAATTCAAAGAATGGTAATGGTGGTTTATCCCTGATGACGGAATATATTGATCATGATCCAAAACATGTTCATTCAGGTCCTGGTTGTTGCGCCAACTATCCACATTCAGTTAATGAAAGACCTGTCTCCATTGCAGGGTCCGTTGATTTAGATAATGGTGATTTAACAGATGATGAAGCTTTACCTTTCAATCATGACTTTTCAGATAGTTTCAATCATAACAGCAATAATCCAAACAATGTCAGTTTTGAACAAAATCAAGCACCTGGATTGCCTGCAGCTATGGCAATTGCAAGAATGAATAACTCAAATAGTAAAAGAACTCAACTAGCCACATTAGTGGCAATGTCGATTCCAAGAAGTACCGAGGAGACTTTATTCATCCCATCATTATTATCCAAAATTGGTGAAACTCATGGCTTAGACTCAAGAGCATGCTTAACTACAGCAACTGCAATTGCTTCGTTAAAGGAAATTCCAAAGATTAATTCCAAATTGATCCAAGAGAAGAATAACATTATTAATTTCACAAATATCAATTTTAAGACAATCACACCTGCTGAATCTAATTTATTTTTCAACAATTTGAAATTACCACCAAAATATCATCTTGACCAATTAATCACCATTTATTTCCAAGAATGGGGGATGATCATTCCAATTTTGGATAAGAATGATTTCCTAAAGCAATATGTTCAATTTGCCAAATCATTTGAAAATAAATTTAATGATAATGGGATGGTTTATAAAGAAAGATTTGGTGCAATAATGATTTTGATTGTTCAATTGGCATTATTGTGTCAAAAAAATCATAATAATGCAGGTTCTTCGCCAAATGGGGATTCACCAAATAGTAATTTCCAAGATGCTGATAAGGATCAAATCTTGTATTATGATTATTTGATCCATCAATTGATTAATTCATCAATTGCATCAACTTGTTCAATCCAATCTTTACAAATCTTGAGTTTAGCGTTGTTTTATTGTTTAAACACTGGTGATGTTATAACTTCATATGGATTACGTGGTCGTGTTATTACAATGGCTCAACAATTAAGATTACATAGATGTCCATCTGCAGTGTTGGGTAATACTGGTTCTACAGTGTCAAAATTCCAGCAAGCTGAAAGACGTATCTTGTTTTGGTGTATTTATACATTAGATACCTTTGCTTCTTTACAATTGGGTGTTCCTAGATTATTAAAAGATTATGAAATTGAGTGTGCTTTACCATTTGGTAATGATAATTTGGATGATGATAATAATATAAATATTTTGATTGTGAATAATAATCAAGTTCCATTAGTTGGTAAAGTTTGTAATTTATCATTAGCCATTATGAGATATTCAAAAGTTTTAGGGAATGTTTTGGATTCAATTTTTAAGAGACATAGTCATTCATCTTCAGATAATTTCCAAGAATTAACTTTAATCCATGAAAATTTGTTGGATAATTGGAGAAGAGATTTACCTCCAAATATTAAATTTGAACTAGATGTTAATGGATTATTAAAAGATTCCAAAAAATTAACAAATGATAAACAAATGTTATTAGTGCTGTTGTATTATTCTGCAAAGATTTTGATTCATTTACCAGTTGTTGCATCAGAAGTTAGTAAGAGTCGTGGATCTGCTTCATATATTGTTATTCAACAATGTACTATTGCTATTTTGAACATTTTATCAGATTTATATTCTAAAAAGACTTATTATATTCCAATTCCAATGAATATATCAAGAACAAAATCAAGGTTAGCAATCTTGAGTGCAAAAGGTTCATTAGAATATACAAGAGGTGGTGCATTATTTCAAGAATCTAAACAAATTTTACAAAATATTATTAATGAATTGAAAAATGAAAACATTAATGAAATACCAGGTAATTTATCCAAGAATTGTGTTTATTTGATTGAAAGTGCCATTGAAGCTATTATTTCATCACCAAGTAATAAAGATCAAATAAGTAGGAAATCAAGTGTTGATCATAAATCTAAAAAGACAAACTCACCATTGAAACAAGTTGAAATGCAAAGAACAAGAGCATATTCTCATAGTGGCCCATCTCCATTATCTAATAATGTTCAAAATTTTCAACAAAACTTGACATCAACAACACCATCTATAAAGACAGAATCTTCAGAACAATTATCAAACATGTTATCACAATTAGATTCAATCCCACCAATCTCATTTGATTCAAGCACTGCGGCTCAAAGAGTTCCAGTCAATAGACAAAGATCAGTTAGTGTTTCACAACCAACTCCACAACATTTCATTCCATCACCAAAGGATCAACAACAACAGCAAGCTTTCAAATCAACATACCTAGGAAGTAGCAGTAGTGGTGGACCACCAAGTAACAGTGGTGATAGTGTGAATAGTTTTGAAGAACAACAAACAATGGAGTATGATTTTGGTGCAGATGGTTCATTAGGTTTAGCACCTTGGTTAGATTTTGATTTGAATGGGTTTGATTTCGGTGGTTATAATGTTAGTGTTAATGGAGAATTAACACCAAGTGAACAACAACAACAATTGCAAAGCGGATTCCAGGGGTCTAATCCAGTACAAGTTAAGTTAGAACCTGATTTAACTGGAGGTTCTCATAGTTCTAATGTTAGTTTTGGTCAACAGCAACAACAGGGACAAGCTCAAAGAAGTGGTAGTTTATTTGATTGGCAGAATTCAAATATGGGAATGTAGTAAAAAGGTAGTACAAGTATCGATCTATTAGTTGTTATTTCTTATGTATAGTTTTATGAGTTTATGTGTTATTGTTAAGAGTGTTTTTTAGTTTTAGTTAAATCCGCAAAGTACATAAACGCGTCAAGGTGAACAGGTTTCGACAGAGAATTAACGCGAATCAGCAATTCAATATAGTTCAAGCTGGAATAATAAAGATTGTATATAACAATTATATTGTTGAAATAGAGTTAGAGTTGGTATCAAATCTCAGCTACAACCTCTTTGGTGATAGGAATCCTTTCCCATCAAACTCTTTGTCAACTTGACTTGCAAATCTTCTGAAAATATTAGCATGGGTGTGCTTACATTAAAGTGCTGCTGCTTCATCAACCTCACAAGTCACAAAAACGTACCCCAAGCGTCCAATCAGGATCTTCCGCTGAAGCTTGGCTAGCTCTTGGGCAAAGCTAGGTTGATAACAATTTGAATAGTCAGAGAACGCGCTTATAGGCCTTTATTGAGCGTGTCAGCTTTCAGAATAATTTGTGGAGCTGCTCTTTGACAAGACGTGAATATTTTTTAAGTGTAGCGTAAATTTATTATTCTGAAGGATATTTATTATCATCTCAGAGATCAGCTAGTTCGTCTTGGTTGTAACTGTGTACTTGTTGATTTGAGGCACACTGTTGCAACAGAAGTAGGAAATCTTCAAATTGTCAAGCTCCAAGAACTACAGTCAGAGTTTAAAAGCAAGTGTAAGAGACGCGTTTGTTCAGATAGTATCAAGCTGTTTTATCCTGGAAAGGGTGTTATTATGAGTGTAGTACTGTAGTCCATTGTCACTCTCTAACTCATTTGAGTGTTGATCCTTCGTTTCAACGTCGTACTATTTTTATGGCTCTTTTAGTCCCTTTGTAGCTAGACTCGATTCGAAGCAGGCACGAGGTACAGAGCCATAAGAGAAATAATACTGGTTGAATAGGGCAAGAACACGTCAAGACCAAACACGAAAACACACACAACCAATTCAACTACAATAACAACTAATATTCTGAATTCTAATCCACTTTACCCTAAATCCCAAATTTCATATACTGAGCATTTGTTCACCTTGAATTTCACGCTTTAAATTTTTGCTTTCCTTTCCCAACCAAAAAAAAAAAAAAAAAAAAAATTGAAATTTCAGTCGAATCTAATTTTGACTGTTTTTTGGCTAGAGAATTAAAATAGAAGAAACAAACCAAAAACCCTCTTCAACAACAAATTCATCAACAACAAACCCAAACACGCACCAAGATTCAACTGCTATCCACCAAGGAGAAAGGGCTAGTCGTCGCTAACTACAAGACCATCCAATACCTAGAAACACTCTCCCAAGCCCACAAAGATCACGGTCTCGATAAATTCCAGCTTGACACGGGCGCTAACGAAATAACCTGAACAAGAGATTTCGAAGAATTAGAAGAACCATCAACTATAGATCTTTCACTACTCAAAGCCTTGCTTGACAAATCATTACCGCACAGAGAAAGCATTTACAACTTCTCTTATTTTTTGAACCTTTCGTTGGAATAAAAGCACCTAGTTCATCATCTAGGCCGCTTTGTCACTCTTTTTTTTCTCTCAAGCTAACAAACAGAAGAAATAGCTGTTTATTGTTAGTATTTTTGCTAATTTATTATTTGCTAGTTGTCTAATCACTACAATATTGCTTATTTATATCCCAAAATGCTTCCTTATCAAAAATTTCCATCCATTTACAAACAATACCCTCAGCAATATCAACAAGATCAGGTGCCTCAAACACCTTTTGATATGGCCTATGGGAGCTCATTGCTACCTCGTCAGCTTTTAGTTGGCTCTCCTTACATTCAGGTTCAATCACCTTTACCTTCCCCTGTTCATCATGGGTCATTCCAAATTCAAAGAACTCCTCAAGGTGTACACCCTAGTCAACAAGCTGCTCAATCTTATTTTGTCCCAGCTCCAGCTCCAAAGTTAAGCTTCCCACCTGAAAGTGCAAGAAAAAGAGGTCTGAATTATCATTTGACTTTACAAAGACATAATTCATCAAACTCTACAACAGCTTCATACAAGAAGAACAATTCAAGTGCTAATGAGTTGGATGAGACTCCATCAAAGGGTAAATTTAAATCTACTGCAAGTTCTTCAAGCTCTTCATTAAATGATTCAACTTTTGATAATCAACCAATGATGGAATCTCAAAATATATATTCAAACCATGGTGCCATTTCAAGCAACTCATCGTTATATAATTTACATCAAGCCAATTCAAGTCCATCCTTATCTAATCCAATGGCTACAAGGGTATCAAATTTCCAAGTTTCAAGGCAACCAACACGGTCTATTTTGTTATTGAATGTTAATCAAGATTTATCCTTGACTGAATTTTTAGATACTATAACTTTTGGTCCTATTGAAAATGTTAGAATAGTGGAGAATTATCCAGATGAAGATCATAATTCAATAGCTTTAGCTTTCTTGAAAATTGAAACTTGTTTGAATTTCTATAATAACATTTTAACTTATTTATCAAAATTTAAAAAGGCAAACAAATCTCCAGATTTATCAATAAATTTCATCAATACCAAAAAATTATTACCATTCATTTCAAATGCTATCAATTCAGACGGTGCCACAAGAAATGTTTATGTTGGAAACTTGAAATCATTAGATAAAGAGATTGATGAAGACTTTTTATATCAAGAATTTTCAAAATTTGGTATCATTGATAAAATTGATTTGATAACTAAGAAAACTGATGAAAAAACTGATCAAGAGGCTGAAGAAGTTGAAGATGAACAAAATGATCAATTTGCATTTATACATTTTACAAATATTTCATCTGCAATCAAAGCTGTGGAACAATTATCCTTATCTTCAAATTGGCAAGATGTTAAAGTGTTTTATGGTACAGATAGATGTTCAATAAATTCAACTAGTTCATTAATAAGGTCAATAACTGATGAACAAGATGAAGAAATTAGTCAAATTTCAGAAGAGGATGAAGATGATTTGTTACAAGAAGAATTAGAGCAACAACTTCACCAACAACAGCAACAACACAGATATGGTTCTCAACAATTCATGACAGATGAGGATATTTCAAATGCTTTGAATCAAAAAAATTTAACTGCTCAAGCCGTTGCTACTAATGCTGGTGGGGCAAATAATGTTGGTAATAGAACTGTTTATTTGGGAAACTTAGATCCAAAAACAAAACCTGAAGATATTTGTAATGTTGTCAGAGGTGGAGTTTTACAATACATCAAACATTTCTCCACAAAGAAGATTTGCTTCCTAACCTTTATTGAACCTGTTGCTGCTGCTCAATTCTATGCTAATGCTAATATTGATGGTGTGACATTACATGGCCGTAAATTGAAAATTGGTTGGGGTAATCATTCTGGTCCTTTACCAAATCCAATTGCATTAGCTGTTACTATTGGTGCTTCAAGAAATGTTTATATTGGTATTAAAGATCAAGATTTATCTGATGAATCTTTAAAATTACCAAGTGAGGAAATTCTAAGAGAGGATTTTTCAAAGTTTGGTGAAATTGAACAAATTAATTTTTTCAAGAATGATCGTTGTGTTTTCTTAAACTTTTTGAACATTTCAAATGCTATCAAAGTTGTTGATGATGCTAATGGTAATAATACTGAAAAATTCCATGATTATTTCAATGGTAAATACAGAAATTTCAAGATCAGCTTTGGTAAAGATAGATGTGGTAATCCACCAAAGGCCAAAAAGAATAAAAAGAGAAATAGAATAAGAAAAAATCAACAACAAGATGATGACATTAAAGAGTCAAATGAAGATGATCAAGTTGAAAAAGTATCTGAAGATTTTTTGAATACCATGGGTATAACTTCCAAGACTGAAAATGAAGAAGATGAAACCAAAGAGGAAAAGGAACCTGTTGAATATATTGAAAATAACGCTTTTGGTATTTCTGCTGGTACCACAAATGAGGACACTAAAGAACAAGATGAAGAAGATGAAAAGAAAGCCCAAGAAGGAGACGATGAATTATATGAATCTTCATCTTCATCAGAAGTATTAGATATCGTTGCTAAATCTCCAACTGAAGCAAGACCTTACACACCATCAAGAACTTCGTCTGAAGAATTTTCAAATTCCAAAGTTCGTAATAATAAAAATAAGAAAAATTCATCACGTTCCAAAAAGAATGTTTCATCATCATTTTCACCAGCAATGTCATCCCGTGTTTCTTCAGCATCATTGAACTCATTAGGTTATTTCCCATATCAAGATCAAGAGACATTTATTTATAAGCAAGTTCCATTTGCACCACCTGCTCCACATCGTTCCTTCAGTAACTTATCAAGAGGCTCATCAAGAACTAATTTATCAAGTTATGGAGGTGGTCAAAGTATTCATCCTCACCAACAACAACAACCTCAATTTTATTCAAATGGATTCACAACATCGGGATCACAAGTCATGGCTCAGTATTTGGCACAATCCCAACATGCTAATATGGTTTATGCGGCTAATGTTTTGAACACCTCTGATGATTATGGTTATGAAGATGATAATGCTGGTTATTATCATCCTGGTTATAATAGTAATAATAATAGCAATAAGGGAAGACGTAATAATGGTAATGGAAATAGCACTAGATTAAGAAGATGAACATGATTTGAGTTTGAGTTTTATTTTTGTAACAATATAGTTAAAAAAGGATAATGGTTAATTAAAAAAAAATGTTTTTGATGAGTTTGGTTTTACTTTTTTTTTGATTTGGTCACTTCAAGATAGGGATGTCTATTGTTTCTAATATTCCAAAATAATTCAAATGAACAACTTATTTAATGTTGATACAAGACACTTGGTTTCTTACCTGTGATTAAAAGGTTTATTGTACAAGTTAGAACTTAGTATTTTGTAGGTGTCTTGATCGACGGCTTTGACTTAACACCGCCGGTAATACTCTTCATTTAGCCGAAATTGTATTTAGCCGCAGCCAAAAAAAAAGTTTCTGATAAAAAAGACCCTAACTTGTGCAAAATTGCATTAATCAAACTTACAGACTCTTTCAATAAATAAAAAAACCGTTATGCTGTTAAACTAGACATATTTTAGATCATCTGTACTTCTTTCTTCTATCCACATCAACTACATCAAGATCTCAACTATGATAACGGTAGATCCAAGGCCACCAGCTTTCAAAAATGCAGCACATGAGATATCAGTAGTATTGCTGATAATGTTTGCACAATTATTAAATCAAGCAGGCACAACACAAACGTTACCAATGATGAACTTATTAGAAAAATCATTTCCTAATATAACGCCAAATGATAAAGTTTGGTTCATGGCTGCATTCCCATTAACTTCAGGTGCTTTCATTTTAATATCTGGTAAATTTGGTGATTTATATGGATTGAAAAAAATTTTACTTATAGGTATTTCATGGTCATTAATCTGGACACTCATGACTGGTATTGCAGGGTATTCTCATAATATCGTCTTTTTTTGCTTATGTCGTGGGTTTCAAGGGATTGGATTAGCTTTTATATTGCCCTCTGCCATTGGTATAGCTGGTAATTTATACCCTAATGGTCAAAGGAAAGCACTAGTTTTTTGTTTTGTTGCAGCTTGTGCACCAACAGGTGCTACTTTAGGTGTTGTGTTTGGTGCTTTAACTGCACAGTTTGGACATTGGCAGTGGGCTTATTATTCTAATGCCATTGTGTTGGCATTGATGGGTGTTTGTGTCGTGTATTGCGTTCCAAAGATTAAACCTCATCATTCTTCAAGTAAAATGGATTGGTTAGGTGCTATCACTGGTGTTACAGGGTTGATATTGTTTAATTTCTCATTCAATCAAGCTCCAGAAGTTGGCTGGTCCAGTCCATATATCATTGTTTTATTAATTGTTGGTGTTTTGTTTTTAATTGCATTTTTCTACATTGAAAAAAGAGTTGAGTCACCCATTCTGCCTAGTGAGATTATGAATACTCATTTATTGCTTATTTTATCAGTTATTGCATTCGGATGGGCAAGTTTCTCTATATGGACTTACTACTATTGGACTTTCCTCTTAAATTTGAAGAACTGGACGCCACTTTCAGGTGCTGCTTCTTATGGCTGTTTGTTATTCTTTGGAATTGTTGCTTCTCTTATGGTTTCCGTCTTGATTAGAAAAATTAGAGCTTCATATATTCTATTTGCTGCAATGTGTGCATTTTTCATTGGGATTACAATGTTATCAACAACACCTGTTCACCAAACCTATTTCAATATGATCTTTGCTCAGATGGTTATTCTAAGCTTTGGTATGGATATGTCATTTCCTGCAGCCTCGTTGGTGCTATCAGATACATTACCCAAAAGACATCAAGGTATGGCTAGTTCGTTAGTTTCCACAATGATTAATTATTCACAATCTATATCATTAGGGTTCGCAGGAACTGCCGAAACAAAAATATTCGCTAAAACACATGATTTATTGAAAAGTTATAGAGCTGCAATGTATGTTGGAGTTGGACTTGCCAGTATCTCCATCTTATTGGCTATTGTATTGGTTATTTGTTCATATATTTGGCCCCATACTATTGAAGGTGAACAAGAAGAAGACCATGGCGAGTCTCTTGAACTGCCTGAAATCCAAAGCTACTCACTTGAAAAGCAGAGGACAAATAAAAAGGATATAGAAGATGTATAGATATTCGGTTACAAATAGATTATAGATTCCCATTGTTTACTCATTGTAGTCTAGTTATAAAGCCTAATCTGTGTAGGCCATTGGAGACCACCTCCAAGTTTGAAGCCTCTAATCATAGAGCATGAAAGCGTCTAGTCACGACCCAATTTAGCCACCAATGTCTTTAAGAAATGAGGAGCACCCACAAACTGGAAACAAACAAGATGTGGCAACTTACAAGAGATTCATGCATATACCTGTGAATCTATTGATATCGAAATGATCGATCTCAAGAATATTACATGCTTCAAATGATGATTGAGCTTTTCATAGGTCTTTACATGACAAAGTTCATATTTCCTCGAATATGATTATTTAAATCATGTATCAATGAATTAGGCTGAGCTTCAAGCCAGTTCTTGTTATTTGTATGAACTTTATACCTTGTAGCCTGTATCCAGGTCAACGATACGGTAGGGGCAACGAAAAGTAAACAAAATCTCTTCATCAAACTTTAAACTGATACCAAAACATACTGCAAGGGATTCTTGGGAACTTCGCAACATGAAATAATTCAGTCAAAATTGGACATATGGGATCCCAGTAAGATTATATAACTAATTTCCAACTCGAAATTCAAGTTTAGGACTCGTATTAAAATTGCTGTTTTTTCTGATTCAGTTGTGTCGATCTAGGCTTTCAAGTTTTGGGTTCGGGAAATTTTCACCATTAAGAACGGGACGTATAAAATATTCTTTATTGAAATATTTACATTGTGTCTTTGTATTTTAGCGTGTGCCTTCTTTGACTGATATGAAAACAGCTCTATGAGTCTATGAGCTTAGTTGATGCTTTGACTGGTAGGAGAACCTCTCCTTTGTTTGGTACTTTAATTGGTATGTGAACTATTCTCTTGTTCGATTCCCATATGAGAAGATAAGCAAAGATATTGTTAATTTCAGCACCAAGGAAGTGTATAAGAACACAAGCTAATTCCAGTTCTGAGAACTGAGGTCGTCTGTTGTGAAATATCGAGCAATAGTCAGAACGACCAGAGATACACTAAATACCTGTAAGACATTAACTACAATTTGAATATCATTACACTACTGTTGTTTCTATTACATCTACTGCTTTAAGTGCTGCTTAAGCTACTGCTTAGGAATATAAGGATACTTACTACTAAGGTCTCTGACGGTTCTTCGCACCTTCTCTATTTTTGATATTGGCAGCTAATTCATGAAGAATTTCGTAGACGTCGATCTTAATGAATGAGTTTTGTGACGAAGAAGACTACACCAATCATCTATATTCCTACCATAGCTATATTACACTAAAATGAGGATCTTTATTGAATTAGCTTACTGAATACTTGGTTATGAAAAGTTTCAAAAAAATTGGTGAATCAAAAGATTTCAGCTCATGATTTATATTTACCTCCAAAAACGTAGTTATATAGTAAAAATATAAAGACAGTTGTAGTAACTGATGGTATGTACTCATAGTTAATTACATCAACAACATTTCTTGGATAATTCCTTGGGATTTCGCTGATTCGGCCTTCTAGTCCTCTTATAAGGTACCTTACCAGACTCTCGCACAGCATTGACAGCCCGTAGCCTTGAGTGGAAGGTACCAGTAATAAGACAATTGAAGTACCAAAGAGCAACAATGGGATGTAATGATAGTTTAGTCTTTGACCAATGGTGAAAGAACGATGATGGTCCTGATTCTCTTCAACATTTAAGTCTTCAACAACATCATCAATATTTGAAATTGGGTTCTCTTCAACATTTAAGTCTTCAACAACACCACCTATTGTTTTTTGGGGATCATTGATTGAAAAAGTAGTTAATGAATCATCATTAGTATGATGATTTGGGAGGTTGTATTGATGGCTCGACATTCTTAACGAATCATATATTATGAACTTGATTTATAAATCGTACAGTTTTGGTCGAAGTTCAAATAATTAGGCGCTGGGGAAGATGTACAAGCACGTCTTTTGTGTCACAATTTTTTTGGTCGTTTAAAGTAATCAGCTCAAAAGATATAGTTGGTCTCAGAATGGTGAAAAAGCTAAGTAGGACCATTGATTGCATTGAAGTTGGATTAAGGGCTCTAATAACCAGTTTTGCTTACATCTCTGTGAGATTGTTTGTGTAGCTTTTGGTAATAAGTTCTCAAGATGTTTCACACTCGAAAAATAGTGTAACCCTTTTCGGTGAAATTTGTATAACTAAGGCAGAACTCGGTGGAAGTATTACGTAAGCGTTGTTTTGTTTTGGAGTTTTTCTAAAATGCAAAAAAAGACAAAACAATTGACAAGCTGAACTCGGTCCAAAATAAAGTGTTTGCCAAATTCTCAACCTTATCCTCGAGCTCCATACTCGAACTTCAAGGACATCAACACGTCCATCACCTCTAACCTCTCACCTTTCGATTTGTTTGTCTAGTTGCTGGCAGCATTTCTCATCACCATTAATACCCACATTCCTTTCATCACCACATTCTTTAACCACTGTCAACAAACTGTCAACAACCTTCAACAACCTTCAACAACAACTTTGTCCTTCGTGTTCTTTCAAGGAAACACTATTGGAGCTTCATATACATTGCATCAAATCATGTTATCATTTCACATCCTACTTCTTTTTTTTTCAGTCTCCATCTTTGCAATAATTCCAATTGGTGAAGATAGATTCATTTCTACCAAAAGCTATAAAGTGTCAAGTGTCCAGCTACCTCCTCAAGGATTTGAAAACTATTTACAACTGTTGAAAGCTTCACCTCAATCAAAAGGTTTGAATATCCAAAAAGATAGTGACAATAATAACAATGGTTCATCAAATTCAACGGTGCTGAACTTGAAACCTGGTATCACCACATTACAAACAGATGAAAACAATGAATGTTATTTTGTCAATACAACTATTGGGAAGAAAGAGTTCCCATTAATCATTGACACTGGATCTGCTTACCTTTGGGTTTATGGTGATAATTGTACGGATAGTGCTTGTCAGAATAATGCATTATACACACCTGCCAGTTCAGAGAGTTCAACTTCGACTTTTGCCTTAGCTTATGTCACAGGAACTGCAAGTGGTCAAGTTGTTGAAGATAATATTATTGTTAATAAATTGGCAACTACTCAAAAATTTAAATTTGGTAAAGCTGATAAAGTTCCTGATTTTTTCAAGAATTATCCAGTATCTGGTATATTTGGACTACCTTCTAATGATTCATCAGCTATTCAGAGTATTATCTCAGCATTATATGATTCACATGCTATTTCTATTGAGAAATTTTCAATAAGTTTGGGGAACATTTCAAATTCAACAGATTATCCAAATTCAGGTATTTTTGCAATTGGTGACCCAATCAAAGAATTATACAAAGGTGATATTCACTATTCAGACTTGATTGAAAACGACAGTCATTATTGGTTAATCCCAATTGAATCTGTGACATTGGATTCATTTGATGTTAATTTCACCAATCCTGTTAATCTTGGTGACGGTCAAGCAAATTCATCAACTTCAAGAAAGGCCATTGTGGATAGTGGTACAACTGTTCTTGCCCTGCCAAAACAAGATGCTTTAGATCTACACAGTTACTTCACAAATTCAATCACTGATGGTACAAATTTTGCAATTTTGTGTAATTCATCATTTAACATTGGGCTCAACATCAACGGCCATGATTGGACCATAGAACCAGAAAACTATCTTGGTGCCAAATATTCAGACCCTTCAATGGCAGGCTATTGTGTTTCAAATATCCAAGGTATTGATTCAGCTGCTGCTGATTCTTGGATTCTTGGCGCTGCATTCTTGAAGAGTGTTTATGCTGTGTTTGACGTTAATAATCAACAAATTGGATTTGCAACCAAGAATGAAGATGTTGTTTTAACTTCAACATCCACATCTCCATCTTCATCTGCTATACAAACAAGCTCTGCTGCATATTATGGGAACTCATCATCTATAATGACTTCATTATCATCCAATTCATCTGCATCAACTTCTGCATCAAAGACATCTCACAAAGCTGCTGGTGTTGCTTTGACTTCAACTCATTATTTTTCTATTTATTCCATCATTATTTCATTCATCACTACGTTTATGTTATAATGCTTAGTTATATTCTGTTTTTAAATTGTTTTATTTTATTTGTTTTTTAATTGATTTTCGTGAAGATGATAGACGCTTAATACAATATTAACCTCGATTCAAAGTTTAGACGTAGATATGTACTCTAGTTACTAATATACATAAAACAGAACAATATGGGACTTGAATATATGCTATATATTGGAATAAAAATCCTTAGGTATCTTTTTGTAGCTTCTTCTGAGTCTTTTCCGATAATTTATCCTTTCCTTCACTTTGACGTCTCTTCTTACGTTCTTTTCTTGCAATCTCTTGTAAATCATCTTCACTTGGCTCATAAATATGCCAAATTGTATAATGTGGTAACCCACCAACACTGAACCCCATCGTTTTAGCCATTTTACCAAATGCCTCAGTTTCTGCATGGTTTTGGAAAGTGAATGCAGGGAAATGGACACCTCTTCTGAAAACTTTAGCCTTAGCCAAGATAGAAACACCACCAACACCATCCATACCGACAACCTCATCTGGGTTACCGTTTGGATTTCTGATATAACCTAAATGAACCCTCCATGTTGGATATTCTGCATAACCTTCAACAATAACATCATCTTCGTTCAAATTCTTTGCCAATTCCAAACCTTGCTCGGACTCAATCCATGAATTTAGATCATAAGCTTGTTCATTGCCCAAGAATTCTGGTAATGGTCTCCAAACATTAGGAACTATAACGTCAAAGTTAAATTTCATCAAATCTTGGATAATGGAACCAGGCATCAATTCAATGTCGACATCTCTCCAATAAACCCATGAGTGGTAAGGTTTCAATGCATTGGCTGTTAACCAATTTCTAGCTCTACCCATAAGTTTACGTCTAATACCTTGAACTTTAACATCATGTCTATCGGTGAACCCTTGTCCAATGACTTGTCCGAAATCTTTTTTGAAAATTTGGACACTGTTGAAAGGTTTATTGTAATCTTTATGAAATGGTGGACTAAATGCTTTATCAACTTTCTCTATGTAATCTGGATCCATATAGCTCAAGTGTAAATCACTTGTACCTGAAACTGAACCTTGTTTACTTTCTTGGATCTTGAGCACTTCTGATAAGTTCCCATTTTGTAATGCAACTGAATAATCAAATAATGTTTCTAAAGTGTGATCGTCTTTTGAACAATCACTAACTAAAAATGCAATATCTATGAGGTTATGTGGGTATGTCAAGTTCATAATATGCTTGAACATTAATGGTAAGACTGGCTCAGCATTTCTCAATGGAATCAATAATAGAGTATAATCTCCATCTATAGCACCATTACTTGAGCCTTGAGAGTCACCCAAATCATAATAATCAACAGTGCTATGGTACAAATCATCAATGTCTTGTTGTAATTCTTTATATTCTAGAGAGTCAGATTTGACACCATCTTTATCAACCAAATATTTTTCAACACCTTCATCAAATTTTTTCAACTTTTCATAGTCTATCTCTTTGAACTTATAAGTTGTGTTTTCTTCATCTGTATAATGATGGATACCACTTTTGGAAGCAAATAGGTATATGAATAGCAGGACACCTATCACGTAGCCAGCATATTTCAACAATTGGCGATTAGATTGTGACTTTTTAGGCGTAAAGTTCGATGTTCTTTCAGATGTTAGTGCTCGGCTTTCAATAGTCATCAAGCAAAGGGTCCACACAAGCTTCCAGAATACCCTTTTCTTTTATCAGTGGAATTTGTCAACTTACATCGGCAGATCACTCTTTTTGCCCTGTGTGTCTCTGAGTCCTCTGAACATGGTGACCTCTAAGACTGAATGTGTGATTGAGTATGCCAATTGGCGAGTCCTGGTGGTTGCGAGTTGCTGGTGTTGAGCGTTTTCAAGTTGACAGCTGTGAATTTTGACAGAATATCCTCTACTGTGTGTATATAAGGTAATTCCGATGTTCTATTAATATACATATAATGTTACAATTAGTGGATTCTTGATTCTTCTTATAGTTGATGTGAAATGTTGAGTATTGATGAATTGTGCATAATTGGTTATTCTGGTTATGTAATACCTGACATTCCCCCCCTCATTTCTGAGTATTTATTGAATGTAATAATATTAAATATGATGAAACTTGATTTGGAACTATATTGTGTTGTCTTTTGTTAACCGGTGTTCAATTGGTTGTGATTGAATATGAAAGAATGAGTGAAGTACCTATAGATTTAAAAAGAAATGATTCTTGAATGGTGTGGAGGTTAATGTCTTTTGAATTTCAGGACCTGAGTATTTCTTGGTGAGAAAATCTGAGCAGTTTGAGATACCTGAAATATGATGGAATGTAACAATGTTATCTTCTTTGTAGCATTTAAGTTGTTTAAATCTATTGTAGTGATCTCCAAATAAATTCTTTTGATTGTTTGGTGTTG